CCACCACCACCACCCTCCTTTCTCCTACGGCAATAGGTCGTATTAGTAAAATAACCGTAGTCTATATTCATCATCATCATCATCAGCAGCAGCAGCAGCAGCAGCAGCAGCAGGATAATAACAACAGGTGTGTCTAAATCAGCAACAGCACCAGCATCATGTGTAATCAAAAAGCGAGCCACACAACAATCCGTAACCATCACCCTCTCTCTATTACATCCTGAAATAACCTGTTGTTATTGTATTCCGCAAACCCTCTTTTCCCCTACAAAAGCACACTAGAATGGAAAAAAGAACACCCAAATCAACATCACACAGTTTCACATATCTGTTTATTTATCTCAAAGTCCCTACATCAAAGACGCAGACCCGGCCTTTTTCACAAAACTTCCCCCAAACCTCCATCTCTCATTCATAGGTAGATACCCTTAAATCACCATCTTTCAGAAGGTTAATTCAACTGCGTCATACTGTACCTACTCGTACCTACTTACATATTACATGTAACAGTCCCAAACAAGGAGCAAAGTGCGTGAGCATGCTGCTCACCAAGCCTGAAACCTCATACTACATACTCCTAAAATGCATGCCTGATGCCCCGATGCCGCGCACCAACCCCCTTACACTCACCGAGCCCCGATACGCCTACACACCCATAACTAACCAATGTGCTTTTGATACATACCTGTACGAGCAACGCTACTCAAGCATCCGCAGCCTATACACAACACCGACCCTTTTTCTCGCCATCAGAATGGTCAAAAATACGAACACCCAGAGAGAGACACATTCAGTCAAATCACACAAAACCAAGTACTAGCACGTATTCCCTTGGGGGCGTGTGGCCAAGACTCTCCCAACAGACGCATTCATTCGCAAACATGACTACAACGCCAGAAAGCCGTAAATGCCCAACCCGGGCCTTCATGCCCCCCCCCTCTCTTCACACACCAACCAGGCTTTGCAGCATCACGCGACTCATCCCTCTTCTTTCAGGCTGACCTTTCTTCTCATTTGTCCATCCCATAACCCTCCGACTCCTCTAACGGCTCAGTTCTCCCTTTCCCCTCACACCCCGCAGACGCCGAAACCCTCTTCAGATGTATGTACTCTAATTCTCATCCCTTCTCATACCACAAGAGGCAGCAACCACACAGTTCTTCTCAAGTACAGATAATGATATTCTTTCGTTTGTTTCCTTTTTTTTTGTATGTCCCTTTCATTTTTCCTGGTCTGCCGGTAGCCACGTGTACATACGCAAGAGGTAAAAGTCCATGCACGTCTCGCTCTGACGACATCACTTCTGCCAGTCCCCCCACGCTCGCGCACATATCCCGGCCCAACGACAGCACTTAGATCTTGTTGACAAGTCTCCTCTCCTCTTTCAAGGCCAGCAGCTTCTCCAGAGCCTCGTCCACGGGGATCAGCGCTCCCTTGCTCTGTGTGCTCTGGTCATCTCGGTTTCGGATGTTGACGGTGCGTGAGCTGGCCTCCTCCGCTCCGACGACTGAAGAGAAGAAGAGCACGTTAGCAGCTATTTCAATGTGAAAGGCGTTGGGGATTCTTACCAAAGATGAAGTTGTACTGCTCCAGCTGCCCAGTCCGAATCTTCTTCTGGAATGTGTTGCTGCTCAGATCAACATCAATGTAGATGCCCTTGCTCTGGAACGTCTTCTGGAGCTCCTTGGCGTAGTCGTTGACGGCGGGCATCACCGGGACAACCAGGACCTGGCGAGGGCTCAGCCAGAACGGCCACTTGCCGGCAAAGTGCTCCGTAAGAATGCCAAACATTCGCTCGAAGCTGCCCATGACGGCTCGGTGAATCATGACTGGTCGGGCATAGCCGACAGGCAGGTCGGGGTCGCTTGCGTCCCGGTTGGCGCTGCTCTCGTCCTTGGCGGCAAGGTAACGCAGCTTGAATCGCTGAGGCAGGTTGAAGTCGAGCTGGATGGTGCCGCACTGGTGCTCTCGTCGCAGGGCATCGTAGACGGTGATGTCGATCTTGGGGCCATAGAAGGCACCGTCACCGGGGTTCTCCTCCCACTTGGAGTCAATCTTCTGTGTGAAGTTGTCCAGAGCCTCCTTCAGCTTGCCCTCAGCCATATCCCAGATAGCCACCTCGCCGATGAACTTCTCGGGCCGGGTCGAGAGCTTCAGCTTGAAAGCGAAGCCAAACAGGCCGTAGACGCTGTACAGGAAGTCAAAGCAACCCTCAATCTCGTCACGAATCTGGTAATGGTTAGCCAATAGCCGCTTCCTTGACGTACGTCATGTTGTCCGAGCATACCTGATCGACTGTGCAGAAGATGTGGGCATCGTCCTGCTGGAACCTGCGCACACGGGTGAGACCAGTGAGGGCACCCGAGAACTCGTTTCGGTGAAGGACACCAAAGTCAGCCATCCTCCATGGCAGATCCTTGTAGTTGACATCTGAGTGGGCAAAGATCCTGCAGTGGCCAGGGCAGTTCATCGGCTTGAGGCCATAGGTCTCCTTCTCGACCTCAAAGGTAAACATGTTCTCGGAGTAGTGTCCCCAGTGACCTGACGTCTTCCACAGATCGGACTTGTAGACGTTGGGGCTGATGACTTCGTCGAAAGCCCTCTTCTTGTACTCGCTGCGGATCAACTCCATCATGGCATTGTAGATCCTGGTGCCATGGGGCAGGAAGAAGGTGGAACCGGGGGAGACCTCGTCGAAGAAGAACAACTTCTGCTCGAGGCCAATCTTTCGGTGGTTGCGCTTGGCCGCTTCCTCAAGGAAGGTCTTGTACTCCTCAAGTTGCTTCTTGTCGGGGAATGAGACTCCGGAAATACGCTGGACAGACTCGTTGGAGCTGTTACCGAGCCAGTAGGCGGCCGAGTTCTACCGCAGACGTGTTAGTAGGTCGATAGCCCCCCGTCGCAAACAAATTTGCGACAGCTGACGACATCTTACCTTGAGGACGGAGAACGCCTTGATGTTTCCGGTGTGAGGGACGTGAGGACCTCTGCAAAGATCGATGAGAGGGCCGCATCGGTAGACGGTGCTGGTGGTGCCGTCAGGGACGCGCTGGTTGATGAAGTACTCCTTGTATTTGCTGTATTTGAACATCTCGAGGAGCTCTTCCTTGGTCATCTCCAGACGCTCAAAGGGCTGCTTCTCCTTGATGATGGAGCTGGCCAGCGACTCCAGCGCCTTCTTGTCCTCCTCCTGAACAACTTTTCTGGAGAGCCGGTCAGTAGACTGCGCTTGGCCAAAGGATCTAAATGATCGCTTACCCTTCCATGTTGGCCATATCGTAGTAGAATCCGGGAGGGTCGGTGGTAGGGGGTCCGTTGCAGAGGTAGCAGCCGAATCGCTTCTCGCAAGCCTCGCCGAGAACGTGAGCGGAAGAGTGCCAGAAGACCTTCTTGCCTGTACACCAGTCAGTCCCCAAATCCATCCCCTTCTCCAGGTATGCCTTTCTCCAGGTATGCCTCTTGACAGAGTCGTAGGTATTTGTGTCACATACCCTCCTCGTCCTCAAAGTCAAGAAACTCCAGCTTGCAGCTCTTCTCAAGAGGTCGGGTAAGATCCCAGAGCTCGCCATCGACCCTGGAGATGACGGTGCGCTCGAACAGTGACTTGGAGATGCCTCGGGCAATGGCGCCAGGGGTGGTCTCCCAGGCAATGCCCTTCTCCTCCTTGCCATTGGGCAAAGAAATGGTGATTTCCTCACGAGGCTTGGCTGCGGAAACAAGCAATTGTCAGCATCCCAGCCGTTACAAAACAATTGTCCAGGGGCTTGGATGGGGAAAATCGCCGTGGCGCAGAACGAACCAGCTATCTCGGCCTCGCGCTTGGCCTTGATCTTGTCGTAGATCTCGATACGGTGCTGGATGAACTCGGGGAGGACGGGGAGCTGCAAGCATTCACATTAGCACATGTTCCATCCCCATATCTCCTTGCGAGAAACGAAAGCATGTCTCGGTAACAAACCTCCAGTGAAGCCTTTCCTCCAGCCGCCTTCTTCTCTTTGGGCTGCTTCGCAGGCCGCGAAGGCAGGCTCTGGACAGGAGCGCCCTCGGCCGCCTTCGGGACGTCGGCGTTGTCGGAAGACATGGCGATCGAATTCTCTCGGCTTCGTTCTGTGGGCTGGAACAGAAGATGGAAATCGAGATCGTAAAAGACAGAAATGACTGGCTTGTCTTGGAGGCCGGTCGTTCGATGGAGGGGCAGGAAATACTTTGGTCTCTTTATCAGTTAGGCGCGAGGTGGGGTTGAGTCACAGTTTATCGCAGCAGTGGCGGCAGATCTTCGGAATGCGCGCGGCGGTATCAGTTGAATCCAACTTCAGTGAGTCAAGCTGGCTTGTAAGATGAGACATTGAAAAAGGCGGAAGATGATACGGCGCGGGGGATCACAAGAGCATTGTGCCCCAGGCTGCTACTAGTATCTGCCTATCTATGTCCGTCTACATGAGAAAGGAGTGCCAATCCTTGTGCGGCATGTTGCGTTATGCCTGAGGCGAGTTACAATTTCGATGGCCTGGCAAGTGCACTCCAAGTTGCTCGATACAGCTCCAAACTCCTTGTTCACATATGGATTGCCTCCTTCAAGTATTGTGAAGCCCAGTATCTGCCCCGATCCGTGTATGTAGCCCTCTCAAGCCATAGGACAGCGTATTGCTACGCCATCAAACTCAACCCTTCACTTTGAGTCATCCATCCTATATCCGCGTCTGACACAACTTGGCCGTACATCGGAGCCGCTGTAGTAGCATCAGGAGCAACTCGTAAACCATATGCATGTGAATATCTTGTCTAAACAGAAAGACTGGGTATCAAATCCGCTTCTCATCCTAAACATGGAAGTCCGCCCAAACTCCGCGAAATGCAATCTCAAATTCACCCCCATCAAGTCCCCCTTCAACTGTCCCTGTCCAGGACCAACATCCTTTCCGTCTTGAGCCTCGAGTCATAATCATCATCAAAGCTAGACTCTCAAAAGCAGACCCAACACCGCAGATAGAGTCAGTGACTCACAACCCATACCGAGTAACACATTCCTCCCTATGCGTCTCCATGCAGTCCAGCGCGCAGACTCTTGTCCCGCACTTCATGCACCGCACACGTCCCCAGTACCCGCACACCTCGCAAAACGTCCGCGTCGGGTAGTTATCTTCCCACTTGCCCCTGGCCTCGTAGTATGTAAGCGGCGGGTGGGCGAGCAGCTTCCTCAGCTCTGCGTCCGATGGCACCGGCGGCACGCGGGATACCAGCAGCGGGTCGTTGTCGCCGGGATGGGCAGCCGGCGGCGGCCTGTATGAGCCTACCAAGATAGGAGGCAGATCCGCATCAACCATTGCCGTATCCTCGTCTTTCGTTGTGACCGTGGGAGTAGCTGAAGCGGCGTCTCGTTTGCCGGCTGGGCGTTTCGAGCTGGCATTGGTCGGCCGGTTATTGCTCGCCGCTGTTGGACCGCCTTCGGCCTGCGCCTGCATTGCCAGAAAGTCGTCCAGGTGATTCGAGAACGTCTTTTGCGACTGTAATATCTTTCGCACATTGGGCGTGTGTTTTCCTGCAGCTGCACAGCGAATCCTCAATTAGCCAACCTCAAACTCTCCCTGCTACAGCACGATGTGACCGCGTTCACACACATACCTTTACCGCTCTTCGCAGGGATGGGAATCAGACTGTCCTTCCCGCCATCCCTCTCCAGCGCCTCAATCTCCTTCCGAATCTTGGCCTCCTGGCGCGCCGTCAAATCGCCAGCCGTCACGCCCGCGGGCGCATTGCGAGCTCTCTTCCGGTTCGCCGGCTGCAGGGCGTTTGCTCCGGGCAGCGCGCCCGTATCGGGGACGTAGGCCCATCCGGGAGCCGAGGTCGTCTTTGCGCTCGCGATCTCGATGACGCCGAAGTTGTTCATGGTTCGGATCTGTCCCCGCGGTGGGATGGTGTCGCGTGGGCGTCTTGGCTGGAGCTCGAGGTCGCTGAAAGAATGGAAAAGAAGCAATTGATGCTTAGATCATAAACAACAATGCCCTAGAAAGCGTCCCGTCGTTCCCGAATGAGAAGTCGGCTCCGATCGAATTATTAATAGATCGAAAAAGAAAAGAGGAACGAACCCGCTCCGCGATGCAAGCTCACAGGACGCACGTCAGTTCCACCAAATGACCCGTGGGGCAAAAGTGCTCCAGGTGGCGACAGCTCTCTCCAGCTGTCTTGCGCTCGGGCTATCCAGCGCCGGAACAACCCGTAATCCGCCGCCAAGCTGGGCAACACCTTGGCTCTGTCGTGATACCTTCAGAGCTCCCGGTTCAATACTCGACATTACAGGCCACTCCCGATTGCACTCGAGCAGCCTTGCGAATAACTAACTCTTGTAAGCTGCCAGATCCGAATTCACCTCTCAAAGCGTCAAGCTCATACTAATACCGTCCTTTCCAGTGGTCCCTCGTCCGCAAACCTCCGCATTCTCCTCCCCTCGCCACCACAGCACCACCACACAAACGCTCCGCAATGCTCTCGCCCGCCTCCTCAAGAATACTCGCCAGCGGCACCCGCCGTGCGCTGCTCTCGTCTCGCGGCTTCCACGCCTCCGCTCGGCGCATGGCCGATTCTGCGCCCCTGCCGGCGCGCAAACCCATGGGCGCTTTCAGAGGAGGGTATGTCGAACACCAGATATTTGCCGACGCAAATTGGGGCGCGCGAATTAGCCTCGGCTACGATTGCGTACCCGAAGAGAGAGTCGCTAGCTGACCTCGACATTCTCTTAGTCTTTTTGGTTTCTTGTTCGGAAGTGTACTGGCCGGCGGCGCCGTCTACAGCTACGTCCTGCAAGAATACCGGGCATCCAACGAGCTGCTCACTGAGGACATCTACGTGCGTTCTTCCCCCTGGATACCTACCTCTGTCCATGTAGCCTGACATGTCGAGCGATTGCCGCGCTATCATCCTACTCTTTCCCTTCACCCATTTCTCCTACATCATCCGAACGCAACGTGAAACAAGAGCATTGCTAATACCCTCATTGATTAGACTCTGCAAGCTTCCGTCACCCGGCTGACAAACCACATCAAGCTCCTCGAGGACAAGATCCAGCAGAAGAGGAAGTAAATTGCAAGTTGGCGAAACGGAAAGAGAAACAAATTAACGAATAGCGCATCGTCGTTTGGAGGACGAACTTCAGCACTTCCTCGCCAGTGGAGAGAGTTCTAGGCGAAAACGAGCATTATGGCAACGCCTGTGTTGTTTTCATTTGTAACAAAACACATCCTGTAAATCTGAACCTTCGGTATCAATCTAGCCTCCGAATTGTATTGTCACAAATCAAGGGAAGCATCGTAGAGCTCTCTCTGGGCACACAATCTTGCCACTACACGAATACATTCAGGAGCACTCTCGGGACGCATATTCTCAAGGAAACTCGGTGATCAAATTCAGGTGCTATCATCAAAGCAATGCTTCATATGGGCGTTCCGCCAGTATGCAATTGCTAGTACTTATTGAAAGGATCCGTAAACCAGCGCCGACGATTTGTTTTTCTCGTCAAGAAGCAATACCCACAATTATACAGTTTGTTTTTTTGTCTTTTCACCTCCAATTTTTTTGGACTTCTTTACAGCTCATCGTGAGTCTCCTCGGAAGCCTTGGCCTCCTCAGAGGCCTTGGACTCGGAAGCCTCAGCCTCCTCGGTGGGCTCGGCGGGGATCTCGACGCCGGCCTTGTACTTGCCGTTCTCCTTGATGAACTCGATGAAGTCCTCAACAGTGCGGGCACCGCTGTAGGTGACGGGGTTCTTCTTGTCACCGGCGGGGTAGAGCTTGATGGTGGGGAAGCCCTGGATCTCGTCGGGGACGTCGTTGGCAGTGGCATCAACCTTGGCGATGACAACCTTGTCCTTGAAGTCGCTCTTGGCATACAGGCTGGCGAGCTCATCGTACTTGGGGGCGAGAGCCTTGCAGTGACCGCACCAGGGAGCGTAGAACTCAATCAGGACGTCCTTCTTGTCGTCAAGGACAATGTCCTTGTAAGAGTGGGCAACGACAACGGTGACGGGGCCCTCCTGGGTCTCGGGGATGGGCTCGGACTTGATGCTGGCCTCAATCTTGCCAGAGGAGAAGCCGTCGACAAAGGCGGCAATGTCCTTCTCGGTGATCTCCTTGGACTGGTCAAAGGGGAACTTGAGGTTCTTCTCAATGTCGTGAATGGCAAAGGCGGGGAACTTGTCGGTCTTGAGGTTGATGTTGCCGGCGTGCGAGCCAAAGTTCTTGGCGTCGATGGTGGCGAAGTTGATCTTGCCCTTGTACTTCTCGGCGACGGGCTTGAGGGTCTTGGCCAGGTTCTCACGCTCCTCGGCGGTCTCGGCGAAGATGTAAGCCAGAGGGATACCGGCAGACATGTAGCCGGCGTAGGTCTCAGGGCCAACTTCGCCAACGAGGGGAGTGGCGGCAACCTGAGCAAAGTTGCGAATGGCCTCAGCATCGAACTTCTCGCTGAAGACGTTCTTGCCCTCGTCGAAGGACTTGTAGAGGACAATGGAAGGGAACTTGACGCCCTCAGCCTCAGCAACGGCAGCATCGTTGACGCCACCAAAGAGGTAGGTGTCACGCAGCTCGTTGGCCAGAGCAGTGAAGGTCTCGTTGGAGGCCTTGTCATCGGCGGCGATGTAGGCGACCAGGACGACCTTGTCGGCGGTCTTGAAGTCCTCGAGGGTATCCTTGGTGAGGGCGGAGACGGCAGGCAGGGACTGCTTCACCATGTAGGAGGTGATGCTGAAAGGACAACCAACGTTAGCGAATGAATGGATTGATGCAAAGAACAGTGCAATTCAAAGCTTACCCGTCAGCCTTGCGGGGACCAGTGTAGGGAGCGACCTTATCGAGGCCACGGAAGACCTTGAGCGTGGGGTAGCCCTCAACTCCATGCTCCTTGCAGAGGTCAGCCTCCTCGACACAGTCGACCTTGGCGAGCTTGATGCTCTTGTCCTTGAGAGTCGTGGCCGCCTCCTCGTACTCGGGGGCGAGAGCCTTGCAGTGGCCGCACCAGGGAGCGAAGACTGGAAGATTGCAGCTGTTAGCGGGGATCTCGATGCCGGGGGGCTGGCGGGGGAGGGGTCGAGAGATGCAGAAGCTTGAGAGGGCAGAAGGCAAAGGGGAGGGGGGGAGAGAGAGAGAGAGAGACATACACTCAGCCAGGACGAGGTCATTGGAGTTGATGAAGTCGTTGAAGGTGTCCTTGGTCAAGGACTTGACATCCGACTCGGCAGAGACCACAGCGGCCAAAGCGGCCACCAGGGCAGCAGTAAGACGCTTCTGTTGCATGGCGACGGTTGTGATTGGGGTATCAAGCGGGTATCACAGATGGACGGGGGAGAGGGAGGATTCGAGAAGAAAAAGAAAATAGAAAAAGAAGAAGAAGAAAAAAAAGTGGTGATGCGGAAGTGCAAAATGCAGTTGCACGAAAGACGGATGGACGGGCGAGGTTTTGTACTTGCAGTGGCCTTGATGACTTAGACGCACTCACTTCAATTGAACAAGTGTCCCTTTGGCCACATCTGGCTGCCGCGCTGGTTCAGCCGGGCCCAGTTGAGTCCCTGAACCACACCCTGTGCAGCCTAAAACTGGGGGGCCCCCTCTCTGTGCCTCTGGTAGTGGGTGCTAAACTCACCCGCTAAAGGAAGGCCGCTCCAGCACATCCCCCAGGGCATGGATTGGACTGGAGACGCTCAACTCAGACACTGGATACATACTGATGGATACATACAGTATTACCTTTCCTAGTACCTAGTATCTTGGGTATTGCCTTTTTTCCCTTTGTTTCTCGTTGCCACCTGACAAATCCACCTATCTTTGAGCTTATTCCGCCGCTTGAAGAAGTCGTTTTTGTGACCTGTCCCTGTCTCGATGCTGTGATTATTTAAATGCCCTACTAGTAATACTCCCTTCCCACAGTTGTTCTTGACTGTCTGAGACGAGATGGGCAGCTGCTGATCAGAAGAACAACTGGCCACCTCGCCTCATGCTGTTTGCCGGTACACGATGCGCCTCTGGTTTCCCCCACCGCCACGGCAGCCGCCTGCATGTAACTCCATAACAGCTGCCCACCCCTCCGGAGCGTTGGCTGCAGCTCAAAGAGGCACGCCAAGCGCTAACGCCTCCCCCTTGCACGATAGCCTCGCAGCCTTCACAGCCACCAATAGCGGCCTGTGCTGGCCGCAAGGAGAATGAGACAAAGAGGCAGAATATCAGCAGGGCGGCTGCGAGATGTGGTCAAGTCAGCAACACGAGCCTGCCAAGGTACCTCTTTATTCATATATTCGATGGCTGGGCGGACTTGTGGAGTAATTAGGTAGTAGTACAGCATCAGAGCGGCAATCGTACTCTTGTTTGTGTCGAGATATCTAGAGCATTCAAGTCTTCGATGGCGAAGGGTCTTGCTGAAGGCGTTGCGGCTCTGCGGCTTGTGTTTGCCACCAGATGGAGATGGACTACAGGTTGTGCCCATCACTTGGAAATACCTTACGATACTCGCAAAAAACAAGAGAGTTACCAATGCTAGAATCTCGATAGGCCACTTTTGCTGCACGTATCAGAAACAAAACAGTAGATATCTACCTACCTAAGTAGGTAGGTACGAGTACATGTAGTAAGACGGTCAGACATCATCAAGGCGAGCAATTGACCATCCCCGCTGTCACGATCAAATACCAGTCCCACCTCGACCTCGAACAACGACTGGAATGTGTGTATCCCTCGTAAGTTTTTCAGCAACTCGAGTATCACAGACGACGATAGTTTCATCCAGTGATGGCTGTCTCTATTTCTGCCCATTACACAAACCAATCCCTCCTCCCTGTGTCGTGGCTATATTGGATATACCAGTACTACTACAAAGCTGTAGCCTCCAGCATGTGGATTCCCGTCTCACCAAACCCCGACCCTAGCTTGGACATTTATCCAACTGCACCTCCCTCTTTGTTCAAGGGTCTCCCCTCAACTTCCGGAGGTTAAATGCACTGCGCGGCAATATGAACCCTTCGTGCAGATGCACCTTAACCGGCTTCCGATGCATGGTGTTGGTGATCTGTCCAGATCTTTGCGACGTCCTGCTAATGGTAATGGCGTTTCCTGACTGCTTTCGATAATCAACTGCCAGGTGCCAGACAAACACTTTCCACTCTCACAGATATGAGGATCGCAAGTATATTGTCCTTTGTGGAGAGTTCATGTCCAGATGTTATTGGCGGCAAGCTCGTGTAGAGACATATATATGATTCATCTAGTGCTGATGCAGCTTCACCCTCCGCATGCCGTACCTATTGAGAGGGGAAAAATTAAGCAAGCATGGCGCATTACATCGTATATCTAGGTAATCCTTGAATACATATGACGCTCAAAGTGCAAGTCTAAATGTGTATTACAACTTTTATCCCAGTTTGCGCCCTCGTTGTCTCCCTCCTACATCTCTCCCTCTTCCTCTCCCTCATCACGCCATCACCAGCCCTCAAAACTTCTTGCTAAAGTCCGTCCGCGGCCCAGCCCTTGAATACTGGTTCGCCCACTTGACGCCCACCTTGAGCTCATGCGCAACCCTCAGCACCCACTCGGGCTCCCTCAAAAACTGCCTCGCCACCAGCGCCAGCTCGCCCGCCGCCTCGGGCCCCTCCTGGACGACGTCGCGCGCCGTCTGCGCGTCCGTGATGTTGCCCACGGCGGCGACGACCATGTCGATGCCGTCCGCGCGGAGGGCCTTGCGGATGGTGCGCGCAATGTCGAGCTGGAAGTGCGGGTTCTCGGGGAAGCGCTGCTCGTAGCTGTTGCCGCTGCTGCTGACGTCGAAGATGTCGATGCCCCATGAGGGCACCAGCTTGGCCAGCTTGATGGTGTCCTCGACGGTCCACGACTCCTCGCCGGTCCACTCCATCAGCTCCGTGGCGGACACGCGCAGCGAGAGCGGCATCGTCTCGGGGATCACGGCGCGGACGGCCTCGGTGACCTCGCGCACGAAGCGGATGCGGTTATCAAAGCTTCCGCCGTACTCGTCGGTTCGTTTCTGAGGCCAACGTGTTAGCTTTCACATGTCCTGGGAGGGCGGTCATTCTCCCCGTGTACGGAGGAGGATCACTTACGTTGCTTCGGGGAGACAAAAAGCTCGAGATCAGGTAGCCGTGGGCACCGTGGATCTCAATCATGTCGAACCCGGCCTTGACAGCCCGCTCCGCCGCCTCGGCAAACTTGCGCACAAGGCCCTTGATCTCTTCCTTGGTCAGCTCCTTGGGCAGAGCATGGTCCTCGTAGAAGGGGATCGGGCTCGGCCCAACCACATCCTCGGGCCATCCGCCCACGCTCTCGTCCGCCAGCGTCTTGGTGGCTGTTCCGCCGATCCAGGGAGCAAGAGTGCTCGCCTTGCGGCCGGCGTGCGCAATCTGGATGCCCGCCTTGACGCCCTGGCTGTGGATGAAGTCGACGACGCGGCGCATGGGCGCAATGTGTGAGTCCTTCCACAGGCCGGCATCCTGGGGCGAGATGCGGCCGCGCGGCTCCACGGCCGTGGCCTCGACGATGATGAGGCCCGTGCCGTGGAGCGCCAGCTGGCCCAGGTGCACCAGGTGGTAGTCCGTCAGATGGCCATCGTCAGCGCTGTACTGGCACATGGGAGACACGACGAAGCGGTTGTGCAGCTCGAGAGAGCGGATCTTGAGCGGCTGAAAGAGCGTCGGCGCCGAGGCCTTGTCCAGCGGGGTGCCGGGCGGAGGGATCTGAGCCGGTGTGTAGAAGGGCACGCCGGGGGCGGCCGTGTTTTCGTAGTTTGTGCTGACGCTGCCCATTTTGAAGTTGATGGGGTCTGTTTCTCGTCGAGAGTTTGTCCTTGAGAGCCTCGTTTCTGAGGACAGGTGCGTGGACTATGGTATAGTAGATGCACCGATGAAAGGCAAGGTATATCGATCGACTGTATGTATCTGCGAGATATGCGCCTTATATACGGACGAGCGCTTGCAAATGACTTCCAGAAGCTACTGCGGGTTGGGTATAAGTCAAAAGGGGGCTTGATGACCAGAAGAGGAGTCTTCGTGAGTCGGATGAGTTGGGAGAATAGTAGTGATTCATCATGACAAGGTGCGTGTTCTTCCCATGGACCTTTATATAGGTAGGTAGGTAGGTAACCAAACGCTAGACCCTACATACAGGCGGATGTACGGCGACATTGCGAATCAAGCTGTTCGGTGCCGGCTCAATCCTCGTCCCCATCAATGAGCCAAAGATTCTGCGTCCTTCCATTGCCAGCATGCTACCAAAAATACGAACATGGCCCAAGCAATTGACAACTCTCGGCCTCGGCATGCCGTATCATCAGGGCGAAAAGCGACGGAATCCCCATCTATCATTCCATGTACCACCTGGATCGAGGCGCTCCGACTGGTCAGTTGATGTGTGTTCAAGCAAGATCTCCCCATAGACTCCAGTTCTCAAGAGGGGTTGCTGAATAATTCAATATGCTTGCAAAGAAATGCGGCCATAGTTGCCCTTGATCCTTACTCAGTCGCACTCCCATTCCATTCCACTGCGGCGGCGATAACCCGGCTTTGAGTGTTCTTTTGTCTGTCCAGCAAATTCTCCACCTCTATCCGTACTATAGTCTCCTCTCGAATCGCGTCTAAGCCGTGATAATCGATTGTCTGGCTGCTTGCTCTCTGTCTTGGCCGGTTTGTACAGTATCTGGGTATTTCTTCTCCAGTCTTCGACGTTCTTGATCCCCACCCACTCACTCCTCTTTGACCAATAAAGGCTTTTAGGCGCTGCCTTTCGCTCGCGCTTCGCTATATCCGACTGGACAGAAATACAGAAGGTACATACCTAGAAAATACTAGCCGGGTGCCTCTTCGTTCTCGCTTTCGCATGGAAAGATCGTTCTCGCTCCAGCGCTAATTGATAACGAGGATGCTCCAGGCACGGGACATTCCCTGTAAGCAAGAAGTCGTCATGTCTCCTCGGGACGGCAAAACTCTATCTTTCTTGATTTACAATCGAAGCCCAGAGGAAGGTCATTCGTAAGCACCTTGTCTTGACAAGGCTGTTGGCTGGGTCATTCATTGGCCAGGTGCAGATCGGGAGCGGTTAAGGTACCTGAGGTATGAGCAAGTATTTAAGGATACTCCGAGGAATCTGCTGCACCCATTGTGGTGATCGATCCCTAGAGGTTCTTGCTTCATCCCCGTGGTTTCACTGTTCGATGCATGTACGGAGGACTGCGTGCTCTTTGTGAACCTGACCTGTCACGTCTTCTAAGGTAGTCTTTCTTGCCGTCCTCTTTCTAGACTTTTGGTGTCGAAATAAAGATGCAGACCAAGGCGCTCGCAGGATGCCCTCAAAAGAGTCATCGGTGGAACTACCTTAGGTAGACACCTGGTAGGGCTTCGCCATCCTCCCAGTGCTACTACATCCTCCAAATCGCTGCAATATATACGAGTAGAGCAGAGCAACGTAACAGCTACCTAGACAACCTGGAATTCGTAACGTTAATCCCAAAGTTTCCCAGGGCCTTGAAATGATCTCTTCGACTCCTTTCAGGTTGATCTTCGGCCCAGATCCAATCTAGCCAGGTACGACTACTGAGCCTCTCAATTTGCACATAAAAATCAGCCATTTGCACATAAAACTAAACTAATGCTAGCCTAGTCATTCTCCTACAGTAATAACTGGTCTTCTTGACTTACTGTTCTCTTCTTTGAGGTACTGTCTCCAAGTATTAAGCCTACTGTAAATGGTCTGTTTACTGAACCCTTGCAGAACGCTAATGGGGATAAGGAGCTGCAGCTTGCAGAATGTATAATTTTGCCTTTATTGCAAGCGATTTTTCTCTTATATTTTAGCAGTTACAGCCGCTATAATAGCAGGAGACATAGCTTTTATTGCTATGGCTGTGATAGAGGAGATACATAAAGGAAGAAGACAGTAAGTGAGAGATATCGATTACTACTATGAGGGGTGCATCTTGCTATAAACAGTTTAGTGTTATGTGCAAATGGCTGACTTTTATGTGCAAATTGAGAGGCTCACGACTACTTGGGGGGCCTCTATCTCGGCCACCCCTACATCTCGTTCCTCGATGTAGGGGGGGTCACTGAATAGCAAAAAGCTTGATGATTCGCAAAGAAAAAATACCCCGCGAGGCACATGATTTACTTACTAAAAAAGGTATCGCCTCTCACCATAATCGCATTTTTAAAAGCGGGTCTCCAGCAGACCTCTATACTTACTTCAGTATATAAGCTGCACTACAATCTGAAGTACCTTTTCCTTTGCGAATCAACAGGCTTTTTGCTATTCAGTGAACCCCCCTACATCGAGGAACGAGATGTAGGGGTGGCCGAGATAGAGGCCCCCCAAGTACTGGCCAAAGATGCCCATTCTACCTAAGTCTTAGGGAAAGTGCGGGGAACCTGGCATGTAAGTACACTCCATATCGTCATGGCTTCAGTTACAGCCGCTGGTCGAATAGCACAACCTGGAATATTCACAGGCAAGATACTTCGTATAGTAGTAGTAGCTAGAGTAGCACGAAGTAAAACGAGGTAGTAGTACTGTGGCTCGGCGGGTGTCTTCACCTCCTCTTTTCCTCCCCCATTCAAAACACATTGCTGCCCTTCTGCTTTTCCACTGCATCACCTCGCTCTGTCTTCTAAGACACAAACCAGCATCACAACAATCTCGACTCCACGAAAGCATCGAAAACTGAGAAGCCCGTGTTCTTGATTTCGTGCTGAGTGCAGGGAGTTGGCAGAGGCATGGGCCGTTCAAATCACAAGACAGCACGAGTCAATGTCGTGCTCTGAGTATCAGCAGTCTGCGAGTATAGATCACAACGAGTCTTGCAAAGCTTTCTAAGCCTGCCTATCAAGTAGCCGTTTCAACTTTTTTTTTCCTTATGTGGCCGGCCGACAATCGGCTTCATCTCGTAAGATGGCCCTATATGTCTAAACTAAGGTATGTGCAAAATTCTATGTCCTCGCTCTCTAGTATTGACAACGCTAGTCTCCCCTTGTTTTCGTACATCGATCAACTCCCCGTCCTCGCCCTCATGCATATATACAAGCTTAAGAGTGGGTGGGCTTGAAGGTCCAGCGGTTGTTCTCGGTGCCCTCGGCAAAAGGAACACCAAGCTCAAACAGGCGGAGAACGACGTTGGAGAAGTCGCGGAAGAAGAGCTCGTTGTCGGCAGCGTACTTCTCAACCCAGGGCTTGAAGGCCTTGTCCTGGACCAGAACCATGTCGGTGGGCAGCATCATGAGGGACTTGGTGGTCTTGTCCTCGAACTGCTTGGGGCCGTCCCACTTCTTGACCTGCCACTTCTCCTCCAGCAGCAGCTTGTAGAAGTCGTTGGTCAGCATGGTGGGGGAGAAGGTCCAGGGGCCATCGTAGCCGGATCGGTCGCGGTGGCATCGGCCGATGGCGTGGCCACCGCTGAGGGCGACAATCTCCTGGTCGTTGAAGCCCATGCGGTAGAAGATGTCACGCAGGTGCCTGGCGCCCTTGCTGGCGTCGGGCAGGCGGCCGTCGGGGGTGCAGGCGGCAGCGTCGGCGTCGCGGCGGCCGGGTCGGTAGGGGATGATGGGGCCGTGCATCTCCTGGATGGCGCAAACGCCGCCGAGGATCCAGAGATCGGAGTAGCTGATCCAGGGGTACTTGGCTATTGGTTTCGGCTGTTAGCTGACGTCCCTAACTCTATGCGCACAAACGACAAGAGGCTTACCCTTGATAGGCTCGAGGAAGTCACGAGCAGCAATCAGACCGGCGTTGGCACCGTGAGCGCTCTCGGGAGCAAATCGCATAGTGGCGCCGTTGCTGCCACCGGTCCCGGTCTCCTTGTCGTAGGTGCCGCTGGCGTGCCAGGCGAGACGCACCAGGACGGGGCCGTAGCTGCCATCGTCATAGTCGTCGACCTCGAGACGCTCTGCGATGTCGTTGTACACCTTCTGGTAGTCGGCCTGGGTGGGAACAAACTCCTTGGAGGAGGCAGAGGCGCCAGAGGTGAAGTACCAGATGCCCAGGCCACCGGCGGCGGCGGCGGCGCCAAGGTACAGGAGGGAGGAGGAGGACTTCTTCTCAGGCTCGGAGGAGTAGAAGCGGCGGCCCTGCTGGCGGAAAGCCTGTCGAGGGACGGCGGCGAAGGAGCGGGTGGTTGTGCGGGTTGCCACGCGGGCGAACTGACGGGCAGAGGAGGCCATCTAGACAAATTGACACGAGGTGGACGTTAGCAGTGGCCTGGCTGAGCAGACGAGTTGATATAGGGTGTCTGGACGGTGGATGACAGCTTGGCCAAAGAAGCAACAATGGGTATCAAGTCCGAATCGAGCCCGAAGCACCAGCTGTCCTTCTACCGGCCTGACGGAATCAAAAAGAAATAGCAAGAGAGACAAGACGATGGAGCTGTCAACTCACCTTTGATATGCGTGGGTTAGAGAAGGATATGGGGAAGCAGGAAAAGGAAGTGAAGGGGAAGAGGAGGATTGATAAAGAAGACGGGATGGAAAGAATGGAAGAGCAAAGAAGAGCGTCTCACGCCCCAGAAGAAGGGGAAAAGGATTTCGGGATTTCTAAAAAGGCCCTCAGTCACAAAGAGCGCGAGAGTGAAACGATGCAAATTGCCATCGCCTGAGTGGCCAGCCGGGCGTTGTCGAGACCCGCAGTCTAGCGGAGCCGCTCCACGTCCTGCTCTTTCGTGATAGTATCGGCTTAGTGGTCTATCAGATACATGAAGTACTATGGACTAGTACGGAGTAGAGCTACTGTATGGGGGATATGCCAACGAGGATGGTTGCTATAGATAGCGAGGTTTGTTCTGTTCTGGGTGAGCGAGCTGTTTGTTGCGCCACCATGAGCCTCGTCGAGAGTAAAAAAGCATCTCGATAAGCCCACCCACGTTCTTGGGAGGCGAAAGAAGAAGAAACCGAAAAAAAAAAAAAAAAAAAAAAAAAAAAAAAAAAAAAAAAAAAAAAAAAAGTCAGACCCGTATGACAGCTCATAGGTACGCCAGCTCTATGTATGTACAGTAAGGTACCTAGTCCCCCCTCGGCCGGGCGCATTCACACCCTCAGCGACTGCCAGAGGTACTACCTCCTAATAAGCCCAGATAACGACAAGCCGCCGGATTGACGTTCTATAACACAAGCCTTCTCTTCTCTTCCCTCTCTGACGGTATCGGCCGATGGCGTTTGTTGTTGCCGCAAGACGCAGCCAATCAGAGCCGCCAATCCAATGCCGCAACTCAAAAAGATGCCGCTTCTGGTCCTCAACTCCAAATCATGCCATGTCAGGGTTTCCCCCCTCCGATGCCGTCCCTCTAGGTATGTATATGCTTGTACATACTTCTTCTCTCTCTCTCCCTCTGTGTTCTCTTCTCATTCTAGTAATATCCATAATCTCACCATTCCACCTCTCACAATCGCCATCCTGCTCTTTCATTCCTTTTTTATTTTACTTTCCCCAGCCCGCCCGTCTTTGGCTTAGACAAACATCGATCCAAAAACCAGTCTTAGCCTCGCTCGCGCTTGTACCTGACGAGGACCCTGATGGAAGAGGCAAAATCCGAAAGTACTTTGTCATTCATCTCAGAGCGATTGGTCAAGTATGATTATGTAATTCGCGAAGAGCTTCTCTTTACGGTATGCGTCGGCGAGCCACGTGGAGCTTCTTTTTCCGCCTCTGACTGAACTGGCACGGACAAAAAAAAGTTACTAGTATTAGAATTGGTCCCTGGATTGTCCGCATTGCATGTGATGAGACGTGCCTGTGTCCTGTCATCGAAGATCATCGCCACTTGTGCAGATCCGTTGTTAAAGCTACGATTTGTATTGTATGTACCTACCTAGTATCCGACCGTGGACTGACTGCCATTCTACTTGTTCAACTCTTAAAGCCGGCTAGGAGAATATCGAAACTTGCCTCTTGCTACCCCTTCTTCACGCCCCGTTCACCAGTCTTGATCATATGTCATTAAGTATTTGAGAATCATTCGTATTCAGCAGGGTGCTCCCTTGCCCCGAGGAGCAGAGAGTCAGCCATCTGCGTGTCTCATCGAGAAACTATAAACTCCGTACATTAAATAGAAATCATCCGTACCACTCGCGGCCCGCATCCAAATACGTCTGCAAGCAAAGTTGCCGCTCCTTATAAGTGTCCAGCAAATGCGTATAGTACAACCATCCGCCACTTGAAAGATGAAAACATCCTAATTTGACGCCCCCCCAAAATGCCTATTGCCTGAAACCCGGCGTCGTCTGACGTCCTGCTGTCTTCCGCCAAAACCCCAAAAAGCCGGCTTCCAATTTCCCTAGTTGAAGTCAGCTGCGCCTTGAGCGTCCGCAGCGGGCTCCTGGTGAGCCTCGTAGAAATTCAGGTATCTGGTCTGGGCCTTGCGCTTGCTGGCCTCATCGAGCTCGCCGACAGGCGACGCTCCGTTCTCCTTCGCGCCACTTCCACCCTTGGACGCGGCTGTAATGGACACGGGCCTGTGAGTAAGGGTTAGCTGGTTTCCTTCAGTCTCTCGGTAGCTCGCAGGATTGACGGACCCAAACATCTGTCTGTCCACGGTCAGGAACTCCTTCATGGCATCCTTGCCGCCGCGCTGGACCAGGAAGTTCATGTACAGTTGAGCTAGCTCCCGCTTGACAGGGCCGGGCAGCCGGGTTCGGCTACGGAATTCGTCGAAAACGTTCTTGACGAGCTCTGCCTGGCCCGGCTCCCCGTCCTTGTCCTTGCCATCTTGCTCCAGTTCAAATTGGAACCACTTGTCCCAGAAAACCCTGCTGTCGGCATACCACTGCACATTCTTGAGGAACACTGCGCGGGCTTCTTCGGGAGAGTTCTTGCCCTTCCACAGGAGCATGGCCCACTCGGCCACCAGGGCGGCCTTGGTGAACAGGTCAACGGTGGGCGCCTCGATGTGATCCTTGAGAACCTGGATAGCAGCCTCGACCCCGTTCTGGCGGCGCTGCAGGTTCGCCCAGGAGACGATCACCTCCACGCAGTCCGGAAGCTTGATGAGGATGGCGGCGTGAATGTCAAGCGCCACGTCGATGCGACCGCAGCTCTCTTCGAAATAAGCCCACTGCATGCGGATGCCCGGGCGGCTGATGGGGACGTAAAGTGTGGAGGCCCTGATGTAGATGTTGCGGACCTCCTCCTCCTTTCCAGGCTGCTCTGCCATCCATCGGGCATATCGGAACCAGAACTCGTCATAGAAAGCGCAGGTAACGAGGCACCGTTCGTACAGAGCCACGATTCGGCTATAGTCACCCTCAGCCTCCTCAAAGTCCAAGTACTTTCGCCAATTGTTGAGCTGGCTAGCCTCCAGCTCCGTCACGTGGAAGTACGGTCGTTTGTTCTCGGACTCGTAGGTCCAGCGCTTCGACACCTCGGCCTGCGTCTGGGTAAAGACTTCATAGTACATGGCATCAATCTTGGCTCGGACATCCCGCTCAACCTCCAGCTCGGGTCGCGGACCTCCGCCGTAGGCTGCCGCCTCCGCCGCAACCTCGGCCTGGAACTTCGCAAGGGTTTCTGCCGGTACGAGCTCAGCCAGGGGTTGGGTGTGGGACAGGTTTCGGAACCTTTCATAGTAGCGAGCATACTGATGCAGGGGGATGCGAATAATGCGCGCATGGATGGCAAAGATGCGATCCTCAGCCTCCTGTCGCTCTTCGTATTCGATGTACTTGTCCCAAAAGGGATGAGCGAGGAAATCCAGCCCAACAAGGGTAGCTCCGCGTTCGAAAAGCCTGCGTGTGCCTGTCAGTACTCAGCTCATGGGGGAAAGGGTCAGGCGAGCATGGGAACAGAGAGGGTCAGTACACAAGAGGGGTGGCCATTTGTGAGTGCAGAGATCGGGTTTCTCCGTCCCCAGAGGGGACAACGGTAGGAGCACGACGCAAGGTTATGGGACGAAGAGAGCACATCAACAAAGTCTGGGAAGAAGTGTGAGAGAGAGATCCCGGTTGGAGGGTGGGGGAGGGCGCTGTGGCATATCTCACCATCCGACACGGTCGATAGTGAGCTGCAGAGCTCTTGGTAGGTGGGCAACCGAAATCATGGTGCTTGAGCGCGATGCTGCATTGGCAGAAGCCGTTATGGGGGAAGGAAAAAAGTGCCCTGAATACTTACTCTCTGACCAACGTGGGGTCATGCGTCGTCTCCATCTTGAAGGAGCAGTAGTCGGTCCAGAGGTCGACCGAATTGGTTATGCTGGCGCATCCTCGCTCATAAACCTGGATTCAGCGCCATTAGCAGTGTATCGCAACAACAGTGGCGTCAGAGAGCGCAGGGGGACGGGGCAGCCCACCATTTCAGCCGATTCCGGGCCTGCGATGTTGAATTCAAGATCGGCATATTTCTTCCAGTACCCAAAAAAGAGCGGGAACTTGAGCAGAAGTCGGTCGTAGGCATCGCGGACGGTGGAGAGCGCCTGAGGGCTCGAGTTCCTGTTCAGACCACCATCGAGAGCTTCGCATGCTTTGATAAGGTTCTCCCAGCTCTCGAAGTTGTCAGGATTGGCCTCCTAAAGCGAGAAATACTCTGTTAGCAGCGATACGCTACGGACCAACACGAGGCTGTTGGATGGCAGCGAGCGATTGTCGAAGAAGGCTGACATACCGTTTCCGCTTGATATTTGCGAACCGACGCGTACTCCTCCTCGGAGCCGCCAAAACTGTTGAAATCGCTCATGGAAGGATGCTGGTCGGACGCGACGGAGGGCAGGGCGGTATGGATACAGGCGTCAAGAGACGGCGCGAGGTAGAACTGTTGAAGCGCAGGATGAGAAGGTAAAGTTGATGATGGAAGAATGAAGGACGAGTTCCGAGAGAAAAGGTACGAAGTACCAGAGGTACCCAGCTGGAGAGCTCGGCTGCTTGGCTCTGATTGGCCAAAAAGAGCACAGATCAGCAGGTACTTGTCGCCAAAGTAGCGAGCCTCGTATCGCGAGCGGGGCCTGCAGCGCGAATGGCGGAGCAGGAGGACCTTGTGCGCAGGTACCGGCGCGTGCTTGGAGATTGGCTTTTCGAAGTACCTTACTACTAGCGCGTTCGGATGAGTAAGCTACAGTCAATTTCAGATTTAACCCACGGCTGGGGTTGCAAAATTCTTCTTTTTCTTCTCCAAACATGACCAGTGATGATTCCAAAACAAAACATATGATAGGAAGAGAATGAACGCTCTCCATTCATGGCGAGCATGATCTCAAAATGGATCTGAGGTCTGGCGAATATCGGACAGTTTATTTACTGCCGTTTCGTTCCGAATCTCTTGTGCAGCGAGGCCGTTGATGTATCTAGGCTGCAAGTCCTGGCGCTCCCGGTTCCTTCGTTCCAGAAGTCTGGCTCTGACAGGGAAATCTATGGGCACTATTGCAGGTGGACATGGAGAGTAGCGTTACTGTTCCACGCGTCCATTCGAGCTCGTCTTTGGATGTAACGGTGCTTTGGTTCAGCCGCAGGGTTGCGTACTTGGCTTACGATACTCGGGCTTTCACAGGCAATGAGGTGTGCCAACGCTGTCAATGAGATCTCTCTGCGCTGAGAAGCATTCTGGCCGTGATAGGCATGCTATACTCTATACTCGCCCTTGAACCCAAATGTAGTCGCTCGTAAATACTCTTGTCAGCATACATACCACATGTATGTTGAGCCCAGTTGAAGCAGAAGTATCTCCCATCCATTTTGATGACTATCTACTTAAAAGGTAGCTACCTATGTAGGCATCCCATCATACCTACCTAGGTAGGAGCCGTTGTGTTGCTCTCAGAGAGACAGTTGTCTGCGGAATTTCGATAGGCGAGTTGATGGACATGATGTCGACTCGCAGATACCTAGAAGCCTCCAACATGATCTGCTTGTTTATCGTTCAAGCCCAGGACACAGCATGTCTGCTGCATTTTTGGAGCAGGTGGTTCTAGGGTGGGCAATGCCATGGAGCATTTCGAAAACTTGATTAGTAGGGCCATCTGTATATGATACTACTATAATTCTGTGTGTCAAGATAATATTATATTTACCTCTTGTAGCCTATAAAATTCTACCTAGTATGTCTTGCTTCACATTCTCTCCACACAACTCATTTGCATTCTGACGGGCAAGACGGTGATCGAATCGAGCCGCAAGGCTGGTGGTGCACAATACCTACCTACCTCGCTACAGGGCACTACCACAGTAGGTACCAAGGTAGCCTCCACCTGTTAAGTTGAGCGACCTCGACTCCAGCTCCGCCCAAGGTAAGCTCTTTACATAGCCGATGTCACCAATGACATAACGCGCTATTACACCGACAGCCACCTCGCAACATCGACATTGAACCCGAACCTCTGGCCTCGAGGAACACAGATTGCCTGTCGCGCAGAAAAGTAAAGAGGGAGCGCATCAACCGCAGCAGACAGCGCTGCGGCAAGGCCCGCGATCGCTCCACCCAGTTGCAAGGAGACCATGGATCAACAGGGACCCTAAAACCGCTCTGCTCTCTCTCCAGCTCTCGCTCCAGCTCTGCGCCCCTGCCAGCCCCAACCCCGACTCTTGACTTGATGCCACGAGTCCATCGTCGCCATACCCATGGACACTCCGCCGGGCTCGTGGAGCGCGCAAGCGCCCGCGCCTGAGAAGTCGAGCGAGCTGTACATCCGCGACTATCCGCACCGCTCCATCGCCATCGTCTCGTCGTCTCACGCCCTGATCCTGCGCTACAGCTCGTCTGCCAGCGAGGCCTTTGGCAGCGGATCGCCCGTCTCGCTGCCGTCCAGCAAGCCGCGCGGAGGCGACTCTGCAACCGCCAAGTGCATGGTGGAGTTTTCCGCCATATCCAAGAAGCTGCTCAAGGACTACCGCCCGCTGACGCCGAGGCCTGTGTACGGCACCTTGGGCCTGATTGCGATCAATGGAGAGGTCTTTTTGTCCGTCATCACTCAGGCCGTCAGAGCCGCAACGGTCCGGCCCGGCGAGACGGTGGAGCGGATTGCGAGCGTGGACTTTTACTGCCTGAGCAGCGCCAACTACGACGATGTCGTGCCCCTGGAGCCGGGGGATGCGGATTCGTCGGATGTGTTTGGATACAACTCGTCCTCGCCTTATGGACAAGGACTGAGTCGGCGAGAGGTGGCCATCGAGCATCCGTGTCATGACTTGCGCCGGCTCCTCAGCAATGGATCCTTCTACTACAGCACGGATTTCGATCTCACCAACAGGGTACAAGACCGGTATGGCCTTCTCCCAAGCTGCATGTGAATTGGGCCAGTTGTGTTGACCTCTACTGACTCTTATGTGAAGACCTATTAACTCAGACTCCTTCGAGATAGACAACTTTGACGACACCTACTTATGGAACTCCTTCATGATCAGTCCGTTGGTGCAATTCCGCTCTCGGCTGATGGCCTCCGAGCGCGAGGCGCTGGATGCTTCACGTATTCTCACGTCTGCTATTCGGGGCTTCTGTAAGACCATGACCATCCCGCAGAGCGCATCGCCCCTCAAGGCAGCCAGGAGCGGCATGCCGTCCTTCTTGACACTAGTTTCACGGCTCTCGTGCCGACGGGCAGGTACTCGCTTCAACGCGAGAGGCATGGACGACAACGGCAATGTTGCAAATTTCGTCGAGACAGAGACCACATTCTGGTCCCCCGCCGGTGTTTTGTTCTCCTACGCACAGGTCCGAGGCTCGGTGCCAGTCTTTTGGGAGCAGGTCGCGGATCTCATACCTGGCCGTCAAAAAATCACAATCACCCGACCCCTGGACGCAACGCAGCCGACGTTCAACAAGCATTTCGAGGATCTCGAACAGGCTTATGGCGCCGTTCATGTGGTGAACCTATTGAGCGACACCAAGCCAGGCGAAGTTGAACTTGCCAGCATGTATCGGGAGTGTATAAGACGCTGCCCGCTGAGGCGGCCTGGTCAAGACCAATCAGAAGACCACGCCCTGCTGCGTGAGACGCACTATGACTTTCACGCGGAGACAAAGGGTCCAGCTGGGTACGAGGCTGCCCGCGGCATTCGTAGATACATAGAAAACTCCGCCGATGGCTTCGCCTACTTCTTGGCCGAGAACCATCACGATTCTAACGAGAAGGCCGATGAACGCATGGTGGTTGTGCTTCAGCAAGAGGGCGTCTTCCGCACCAATTGCTTGGATTGTCTGGACCGCACAAACTTGATCCAGACTCTCATCTCCCAAATGGCAGTTGAGGCGTTCCTGGGCCACCGAGGGGAGTTTGCAGCTTCCGACTTCTGGATGAGGCACTCCAGCTTGTGGGCCGATAATGGAGATGCGCTCTCCAAGACGTATGCCGGAACAGGGGCCTTGAAGACGTCCTTCACCAGACACGGAAAGATGTCTCTAGCCGGTGCCATGGCAGACGTGCGAAAGTCCGTTCAGCGCATCTACCACAACAATTTTGTCGACCCATCTCGGCAAATCACCATCGACATGCTGCTGGGCCTCCTAGTTGGGCAAAGCCCCGTGCACCTGTTTGATCCCATCAGCGACTTTGTGTCGCTAGAGCTGGCCAGGCGAAGTGAAGAGTTTACTTCGTACAAGAATATCAGTATATGGGTCGGCACCTTCAACCTCAACGGACGCACCGAAGGCATCGATCACGACCTATCGCCATGGCTGTTCCCGCCGTCGCTCGGGTCGTCGCAGCCGGAGATATATGTTGTTGCGTTTCAGGAGATAGTGGAGCTGAGCCCGCAGCAGATCATGAACAGCGACCCGACGAGAAAGAGCCTCTGGGAGGCGGCGGTGAAACGAGCCCTGAACCAGCGTCAGGCTGCCCTTGGAGGAAAGAAGTACGTGCTGCTACGGAGCGGACAGCTCGTGGGAGCGGCGTTATGCATCTTTGTGAAGTCGTCATCTCTTGACCACATCAAGAACGTTGAAGGAAGTGTCAAGAAAACAGGCCTTTCTGGGATGGCTGGAAACAAGGGAGCTGTTGCTATTCGGTTCGACTACGCGAACACTCACCTCTGCTTTGTGACGGCGCATCTGGCGGCGGGATTTTCCAACTACGATGAGCGCAATCGCGATTACGCTACAATTCACGGTGGCCTGCGATTTCAGAGGAATCGGGGCATCGAGGATCATGGTGAGTGACCCCCCCTTTTCCCCGTAGCCAAGGGAGAAAGAAGGAGGAGGACTATGCGGACGCGCTGGCTAACTCACGACGCACCAGATGCCATCATCTGGCTAGGCGACTTCAATTACCGTATCGGATTGAGTTCCGAGGTTGTTCGCGCCCTGGTAAAGAAACGAGACCTGCAGACATTGTACGAAAACGACCAGTTGAATCTACAAATGGTAGCCGGGCTGGCGTTTCAGTTCTATTCTGAAGCCCGCATCAACTTCCTGCCGACTTACAGATTCGACATCGGAACCGATGTCTATGATACCTCGTAAGCCCCCTTTTCCCTTTCACGCCTGCCCAATGAGATGACTTGCTGCTGGCTACAGTTGTACTGACAAGAAATTCTCAGTGAAAAAGCGAGGATTCCTGCCTGGACAGACCGAGTACTGAAAAAGGGGGCTATTCTCCGCCAGACGTCCTACGACTCGGCACCGCTGTTGTTTTCGGATCACAGACCCGTCTACGCCACATTTGACTGCCGGGTGAGCCTCATTGACGAAGCTCGCCGAGACGCCATTAGCCACGAACTATACGAACGGCGGAAGGCGGAAGTTGGAGACATAGCTGCCCAAGGCGAGGGCGAAGACTCGGAAGATGAAGACCTGATTGGGTACGACGCAATCGAGCCCGGTCTTCCACCAGCGAGCTCAGACCGCCAAAAGTGGTGGCTTGACAATCGACAGCCAGCTCGAGCACAGATTCCGATACCCACCGGGCGAGACGGCCAGCCGATGGCGCTGAACCCGAACCGCCCTTCCAATCCATTTGGGCAAAGCGAAGAACCAGACTGGATCTCCGTTTCACGATCGTCACCAGGGGCGTCGCTCTCGAGCATGTCCAGCTCTCCGTACGAGAAAGTGATGCCTCCGAGGGGCATGATTTCGGGTGCACCTGGTGGGCCCAGGAAAGTGCCTCCGCAATATGACCCGACGACACTCCCTGCGCAGGTCGGACGGCTGAAGCTTGGCGACGGCGACAGCAGCACGCGGAGTGTTTATGGAGACAGGTCTGGCGTGCCTCCGCCACCTCCGCCTCCCCGGCGTTCAGCGACCACGGCGGAAACCGCCTCGGGTGCAGGGCCAGGCAGCAAGCCGGCGAACTCAAACTCTTCGGCGGCGGCGGGAGGAGCAGACAAGGCTGGGACGCAGCCAGTGTGGATGCAGTCTCGGCCCGCTTCGACGGCTTCTCAGACATCGCAGCTGTCTCAGCAGCTGAAAGCCGGGAAGCCCGCACCCCCTGTGGCGAAGAAGCCAGCCCATCTGCTTTCCACGTCCCCAGCCTCAGCGTCCTCGATGACAGCCGCAGGTGGCCGCTATCAAGACCACCATGGGGGCGATGAGTTCCAACCACGGCTGCCGGCTCGCGCATCCACGATGGCGGCAACGCCAGAGGATGCGCAGTGGCAGACACAATCCGCGGGCTTGGGCTCTGGGAAGAAGCCCGTCGCCCCTCCTAAGCCTCAGCTGAATGTAAACATGCGCACAAGCACAGCTACAAGCACGAATACGAGCACAAGTGCGACGACTAGAGGGCCTCCTGTCCTGCCGCAGCGATTGAGACAGGCAAACCACGGTCCCGTTGACTTGTTGGATTCATTGAACGAAGGAGGAGAGGAAGAGATGGGAGGCTGGGAGACGTTGCAGCCAAGCACAGCATAGGAGAAGGGAAAAAAGGAAGAGGACACAATAGCGCAGTCAGTTGGCGAACGTGGGATGATGTTTGAATTGTCGAATGGTTTGCCTGCTGCTTGACATGGATGAATACGACTCTTAGAGCACGCGTCCTACTGCCATGCTAGAAGTTGGATATTGACTTGTGAAAGCGAGCTCATGATGTAGGTCTTTAGCATATAGCGTAGGCGGCTTCGAGACCTTGCTGATCGGAGAAAAAGAATAGGGGCTGTGTATTTGTGTTCAGTGTATCTACAGCTTTTGAACGAACGTAGATTCGAACTCTGAACCTTGATCATTGGAGTAATTGTACGCTGTATGGACATCGTACCTACCTGTAGTCTCGCGATATCTTTTGTGTTCTCTGCGAGTTTCAGTGCCCGCAGCCACCCGGCGATTTCGGTTGTACCAAAAGGAGGTTTTTTTTCTTCCCTCTTTGCTTGGGTGATTGGTTGTGGAAGAGATTCCTTGGTTACACTGCTATATTACGGGATGAAACAGAAAACAAACAAACAAACAAAACGACTGTTGTACTATTTTCTCTGTCTTCTCCCGCTGCTTTTGAGTTTAGGGGGGGAAGGGATGCATACATGTAGTATTACTACCTAGGTAGACGCTAGGAAACGGTGATATGTGAAAGCGACTTATAGGTAGGTAGGTAGCTGAGGTCAAAGGATGGTGAGGTGTGGGAAGAAGAAGAGGTATTTGGACTTTTTATTTCTGGCGCCAGACGCGGGGGGCGAGGGTGGGATGCGAAATGCTTCTGCTAGCATTACTCCATTGCCACATGGGGAGATACGAGTAGTCGTATTACATCTACATGTCGTTGATGTCGATACCTACCTAGCAAGGAAAGGTAAACGGACGATATCACGAATCAAGTGAATAAGTGAATAATTGGTATATTGCTGGGTGCCTTGAATACCTGCGTAACTTGATGAGATTGGTCTTTTGCGCGTTATTGTTTGCTTGCTTGCTTTGTTTCGTTTCCCGGACCGCGAGTTACACCACCTCTTGTGGCTCAAACTATTTCCCGCTTTGCATCACGAGAAGAACCAAGCAAAAGAAAGTAAGAAGAAGAAAAATTGAAATGAAGGGGAAGGGGGGACTCGATCGGCTGGAAATGCGTGAGCTGTAGCAAGTATTGCAACCCAAAGCTAAGGTGATACCTCAGATATGGCCATGAGGGCAAAGTCGAATCGGATCATTGGATGCATATGGCGCGTGACCGTCGCGCCAGTCGAGTTGTGTCGACCGGATGCTGGAAGATACCTCATAGCAGCAGCAGCAGCAGCAGTAGCGAGACATTTTTTTTGGTGTCTTGTATGTATGTCTCGAGCATTCACACTCCGCAGTCCATTGATCAATACTGCATATGATTGTTGGCGCTTGCCAAAGGGGAGAGACAATAGAGGAAGATGCCAATATCATCATAGGTAGGTACTTGTCCCGTTTGTTCAGCCCTGTCTTGTGCCGTGTCTGTCTATTTGTAGAAGCGAACGACGGGCCATCGTGGCTAATCAATCCAATCCAATTCAATCCAATCCAATCTAATTTGATTGATTGCACATCCAAGATACTAGGGCGCCAATCACGGCATGTTGGTATTTAAAGAAGCGAGTCCCGGGGCGAGTGGAAGATGTGAGCACCTCCCTGCTCCCCAGCTGTCAAATTTGCCAGGATATTAGTAGTCCAGTACATGGCCCATGACAGCATGGGGGAAACGTCTCAAGCACTTCAGTCAGTCAGTCAGTCAGTCAGCCAGCGTTGCGGTTGAGCCTTTTTCTTCTTATCATCTTCTTTCTTCTTCCAGGTCAGAAGCCACCGGGTTGCGTTGAAGGAGGGCACGCGAGTAAGTCGGGCTTGGTGCTAAACGGCAATTGGACCATTGAGGGTGGTGGAATGTGTCGCAGATGGATCAATCGGCGCCTGTAGACTCGAGGTGGTGGCGATAGTGCCAGACGGTTAGCACTATGTAGTTTGTAGTTGGTCGGCGTGCTCCGAGGGAGATGCGAGTTACCAGTAGATGGCTTCTCCAGACTTGATTCTTCGACAGCGGCCCCAGACCAGTTGAATGGCATCATCGTACTACTAGTAGCAGTACATCGATCTGCCAGTAGACCTAGTAGTGCTCGGGGTAGAAACGATGCAACTGTGGTGTCAGCAGCTCAATCCCCGGCACTTGAACAAGAGACAAGAGGCACGAGAGAGAGTGAACAGAAGAGCACTCCTCGAGGCAGATCCCAGATCAGCCACCACCACGGCCTCAATCTTAAACGGCCGAGACACGCACGACCAGCTCCCCTCAATGCCGTCTCTGCACCTGCGAACCCCCACACGCGGCCTGCCGCCTGAGCGCTCTCGCACGACCTTGGGGACGGGAGCCTTGACGACATGGACATGAATTGATGAGGTCGGGGAGAGAGAACCTGAAGGGACCGCAGTCAAGTTAGTAGTAGGTAGGTACATGTACAGATACAAAGCAACCTTGGAACGGTCCGTGACTGGCTCACATGGCCCTCCTCCCCCCATGTGCCGCCACCGCGATCAGCACCCCCAGCCCACTAACACCAGCCGAAGCCCACTGACATCCCCCAGACCTCCAGCGTCCGCTAGCGAGTCCGTCCACTGAAACCGCCCCTGCGCGCTCCACTTTCCGGCGGCCTTTTCCCTGTCTAGCGCCATGTCCCTCAAATCTCAAGTGTTAGTCCTCTGCACGGCTTCTCTTTTTTTTCCTCTTCTTCCTCTCGACACTTGAACATCGACAGGCTCTCCCCGTCATTCTTCATCCCGTCTCCTGCTCTCTCCCAAGCCTCTTTTGCTCCCCTGCTCGTATTTCTTTTCCTTCCCTTTTCCTGCAGATCAACCAACCAACCAACGACGGCAAGCAGCGCAAAACGACCTGTTCATTTCCCTTCCGTGCTCCCTTATCATCCTCGTCCTCTTCTGTCTCTTCCTTCTGGCCGACGCCCTCATCTCTATCCTACCTATCCCAGGCACCTGAGATAGTACTTTGAGAACTACTGCTACGAGTATCACGCCCTCGCCTGCGTTTGCTCTGACCCTCCCTCACCCTCGCGGTGGAGCCCACAAAGGACCTAACCTTGGAATCGTGGGATCCATCCACCTCTCTCTTACACCAGCCGCCGGCCTCGAGCCGCTTGACCTCAGTGGCGCCACAAGATTTTTTTTTGCCTGCATTGACGGAGTCTTGAACCGGCCTTTTCTCTGCATCTACAGCGTCCATATAACCGGGGCTTCCTCTTTTCGCGCCTCCACCCGCAAGAAGCGAGACCAAACGAGAAGCAGGAAGCAAGGCGAACGGCACTCTCCCGCCCATTGCAGAACTTTGCATATAATAAGTCGGGTAGCTGGAGCAGAACAAAAGATCTGGGCTTGCACAGCGGACAAGGAAAGGGCGTTGAGGAACGGCCTAGACTCGGAGCATCCCGAAAAGCCACCGCCGCCTTGATTTCCTCCCATCAATCCATCTTTATATTACTTGTCCTCCCCCCCCTCGCCTCAGCTTCTGATTTTACTTGCTGCACCCTGTCCAACGTCAACCCCCGGACGCCGGAGAAGCATCGAGAGATTGCCTGGTGGGGGACGTCGTCTGGATCCTCTGCGGCTTACAAGGGTTGCATGAACAGCTGCCTTAAGGGGAAGCGATAACGACCTTGGCCTTTTTTTATTACGCGCCGCTGGTGTTAATCTGGGCCTTGCCGAGCTTGGGGCGATCCCAAGCTTGTGAATCGCCGACTCGAGCAACCTGCAGATCCATTGGCATCTGGACACGGACGAGATTCGACGGCGCCTTTTTAAGGACCAATTCCAATTGACGGCCGGCTCTCAGTCACTGCTCGTGTACCAACCAAGCCGATTCACCGACGTTTTGAGAAGTGCGTGCTTCGGCGGCTGGCTGGCAATCAAACCTTCCGAGTCCCGAAAAAAGAGCTCACATCTTCCTTTTACAAACTGCAGACCTCGGTTGGTGATAGCAGCAGCAGAGACAGCAGAGACAGCAGCAGCCGCAGTCGCAGCCGCATCAAGACAACAAACTACCACCCGAGTCATTGATCGAATCCAACCGCAACAATGGCCGACCTGCCACCACCTCCAGCCTGCTCCCTCATCTCTGCCTCCAAGCACAACCGCATCGTCATCTGGCGCGACGAGGTGGTGTCGGCATCCGCCTCCTATACCGCTGCCAGCAACTATTCCGCTCCGTCACTCGTCACCACAACCACCGCGTCCTCGACGTCGCTGTCGCCCGAGGAGCTTGCCACCATGTCGCGCGGCTCACGGCTGTGGTACAAGGTCAAGGCGCAGTTGGCGGGCAAGGCGCGCCGCCGCAGCAGCGTGACGGTCAACACTGCCGAGCTGCCAGACTTCCTGATGCCTCCGCGGAAGGGCGACGTGACGCGGACGGCCATGTACCAGAGCCTGCGGCCGGGAGAGCCCAGGCCCGACAGCGGCGACGACGAAGTCGTGCCTGGCCAAGACAGCAGCAACGGCCGCGGACGGCGTCTGTGGGAGAAGCAGAAGAGGCTGCTGAGGGCATCGAGGCTACTGAGCCAAAACGTCTAGCCGGTCGAACGCAAAAACCGAAAAGAGAGTGTATTCAACCAAAAACATACTTACACGGCTGCTTCAATAACGACGAACACGACTCGATACGACTCCCAAACCACCTTCCCACCGACTTACAAGATGATCGGGATGGGCCCATAATATAACGTTGCCATGTTCTCTACCAGGGTGATCCATCACATGGGGGAAAGCGATCTTGTTTTTTCTTCTTCTTTTACCTCTTACACACAAGCCTCAGCACGCTTCTCTTTTTACTAAAGCCTAATCTCACCCTTTCGCCCTCTCGCCCTCCCTTTCCCCCTCTTCCTCCACCTCTCCCTCTCTCGCTTTTATATCACTTTCTTTTCTTTGTGCGTTTTCGTTTCCGGGTTTCGGTGTTGCTCCCTGTTTTCGCGTGGCGTTTGTTTGTGCATCTGTCGACCTGCGCGGGATCTGTGCGTTTATAGACGGGTCTGTTGATTGTCGGGCTTTTGTTGTGTTATTTTTTTTTACAGAGATTCCCACCATACCGTTTAAATCAAATCAAGAATTCAAAATCTATCTGAATACGTCTGCTGTTTAGGTTTGTCAATTTGTGAGGCGGTCAATATTGTGGGCGCTTGTCTGCTTGCACGTACCGCTATCACGAGATGATGGGCCTTTGATACCGTGAAGTTGTTTGAGGGTCATTGGAGTATCAGCCATATATACATTCGCCATATCATCTGGTTACCATATCGAAGGTAGCTTTACAACTTCTTCTCTCTTCTTTTCTCTTGGTGTGTGCTTCAATTACATATGCGAAACAGGGCAGTTCAGCATGATGAATCCGCTCAGAATTGACGTTGACAAGAAACGGCCCATTAAAAGTCGCGTAGAAGAGTTGGCATCTCTATAAAAAAAAAAAAAAAAAAAAAAAAAAGCCAGCACAATAGCTCTAGGCAGTTGCCGAGGTCAAGCTTACCTTACCTACCTCAAGAGGGAGCTGATACGGTTAATCACTCGACTCATTCAAGCCCCAAGACAAAGTGTCAAATGCCAAGCTGTCAAGTTGTCACCCTAGAACCAAAGTAACAACACCACCACCTTCCCGGATTTAACTTAGGTAGGTAGGTAGGGTTACTTGTGATCTACGACTACTAGGTACAAAATTATCAAACTACGTTGAATTGAAATTGAAATTTCTTTTGCCATTTTTTCAATGGGGGGGGAATTGCTGCTGTCATCATCTTCAGACGTTCCTTTGTTCTCTCGTCTTCCCTCCCCTCCCTGCGGGGCGACACCAACATGGGCACGGGATTGTAAGACCACTTGTGGTGAAGAGGGGTCGAGGAGGGGTCGGGGGAAAAGAAAAAGAGAGACCAAAGACGACACGTGAAGACACAACAAAAAAGCAAGCAGCATATTGCGAGAGAGAGAGAAAACGACGACATCAGATGGGAAAACAACATTTCCATAGTGATCCACCAAGACCGGGACCAGATGTAAACTAGGTAGGTGATAGCGTCAAAACAAACATAAACAGGGGAACGAATACCGGGCACGTTGGGTAGAGGGGCGGTGGAGGCGAAAGAGGGCAACAGAAGCGTCCATCATTCAGCAGCGAACACACCAGACGGGTTCCGTCACCGGATCAACAGGCAGTAATAACGGACAATCACCCTGCGCCAACCGTCTCTCCTAATTTCCCTAACCGAAAACAAATCCGAAGTTCCATGACCACTCTCCCCTCAAACCAGAGAAGCAACGCGCATGCGTACCGGTGCTGCGTCTGCTAGGCCAGCCCTCCAACATGATTCCATCTATCGCCATGTTGAAAGGGCGGGGCGAGAGCATCCAGATATAAAACAAAACGAGTTTAAAAACGACCCTCGGTTCTTGTGCCGAGTTTTGAGCGCGACAGAGGTAAGAAGGATTTAGGAAGTAGCCTCGGGAGCGGGCTCCTCAGCCTTGGGTTCTTCCTCGGCAGGCTTGGCCGCTTCACCCTCGTCCTTCTTGGCCTCGCCGGCCTGCTCGGCCTCACCGCTGTCGGATGAAGTCCACAGGGTCAGGTTGTCACGCAGGAGCTGCATGATGAGAGTGCTGTCGCGGTAGGACTCCTCAGAGAGGGAGTCGAGCTCGGCGATGGCATCATCGAAGGCCTGCTTGGCAAGGTGGCAAGCACGGTCGGGGGAGTTGAGGATCTCGTAGTAGAACACGGAGAAGTTGAGGGCGAGACCCAGGCGGATGGGGTGAGTGGGAGTCAGCTCGGTCTGGGCAACGTCGGTAGCGTTCTGCACAAAGAGTAGTCAGTATCACCTCTTTGTCTGTCTCTTGTTTACAGGCTGGCTGTCTTGTCTCCCCACGGCGCTGGCAGACGCATGGGAGTCGGTGCATACCTTGTAGGCCTCGTGAGCGGCAGTGGCAGCGACCTTGCGCTTCTCGCCAGAGGCGAACTCGGCAAGGTAGCGGTGGTAGTCACCCTTCCTAGAAGAGCGATTTGCATTAGCTTCTGAAATTTTCGAAATATGCGAGCTGAGACGTGATTGGGTGAAAATTTTTATGAAACCCAAGCATTGGATTGCAGCGAGCACAAGAGAGGAGAGAGTTGGAAACATACATCTTGTGGTAAAAGACCTTGGACTCGCCAGTGGCGGCGTTGGGGATGAGGCTAGTGTCCAGGACGTTGAGGACATCCTCGCAGACCTTCTCGAGCTCGAGCTCGATCTTGCTGCGGTACTCCTTGATGGTGGCAACGTGCTTGTCGGAGCCCTTGGACTCCTCCTTCTGCTCGATGGAGGAGATGATGCGCCACGAGGCACGGCGGGTGCCGACGACGTTCTTGTAGGCGACGCTGAGGAGGTTGCGCTCGTCGACGCTGAGCTCACCGCCGAGCTGGGCCACCTCCTTCATGTAGGTGACCATCTCATCGTAGCGCTCGGCCTGCTCGCAGAGGCGGGCCAGGAAGGTCTTGCTGTCATCGGGAAGCCCGGTCAGCCGGCTGCGTTCGAGCGGGAGGTGGAAAAGGGGGGGCAGAGAAGAGGTGTATGGATTCTCGTCATGAGAGGTGAGTGGGGTCACGGGGTCGGACTGCTGGCACAAACCTTTCACGCTAGATAGGAGGTTAGCAGTTGCATTTCAGCGAAGAGAAAGACAAAAGTAGGAGAAACGAGGCAGCAGAGGCGGGCGAGGAAATGGGGGGTTTTTGCATGTGGTTTATGGGCTCGGTCGCGCGTTGTCCCCCAGAGCCCGCGCAGCTCCGTGGCGAGGAGGCGGGCTGAGGGGTTGCGAGAACGAGGGGGGGTTGCTTTGGGAGGGAGAATGGCAACGCAAGGCAGCGGAAGGCGGCGGTCGGAGCAGCAACGGCAGCGCTGTGCAGAGAGCTTGACGTACCTCGGTGGCCATTTCGACGGCGTCGGTGATGCTGTTTTGGAAGACGGAGAGGGCGGGAAGGCGGCGGGAGTTGTGCGGCGATGGCGGGTGGCAGAGGCAGAGGATGGATGCGGGTGTCTGAGGTGGGATGCGGTTGAGGATGGGGCGAGAAGAGTGTTTATATTTTGATTGTGGATTGAGATTTGAATTGGTTTTTGGGGTTTGGGGGGCTCTCGGGGCGGAGCTTGGGAGCGCTGAGCCCACTGCCAGGTGATGAGCGCGCCGGCCTGCAGTGGAGTTTGAGGCCTAGCCAGCTAGCCAGCCGCCTGGCACCCCGCCCCTAGGCCGCTAAGCCGGTGCTCTAGCAGCCTGGAGTTTGCCTCCCGCTGCTGATTCTGGCCGGCGGTACCTTGGCGGTACTCGGCCGCGCCGCGTCCACTGGTCCTGTTAGCAGGTAGACGCGATGTGCCCGAATTGGGCGGCTCTGTGCACGGGCGCTGTCTCGTTGCTATCAGAAGGCAGAGAAGTGAGTCGAGATTCTTCCCCTCTCTCTCTCTCTCCATGCTCGTCTTCTCACTTTGGGTACTATCCTCAGCTTGTGCTCACTCTGCACGGCCTGCACTAAAGTTGCGGTATTGCTCTGGTACACACAATGGCAGGGAGCTTGCTGCCTGGGTAGGTACATGTAGAGAACTCTCTCGACCAGGTACCGATCTACTGGTATATTCACATGGCGCAAGTCTTGATGTTCCGTATACTACTTGGTACTCAAATAGCCAGCTTCCGCCAGCCACTGATGGCTTGAGGTTGGCGTGAGTCTGTCGTGGTGCCCATTAAGCAAGGGGAATGCATAGCTAAGATTGAGCCCGACCTCATACTGGAACCGTAAACGTCTCCAGCACCACAGACCCCTTATGATGGCTTTGCTTCCTTGTTTCCTGCTGCTCTCCTTCACTCCCAAGCTTCTGGCATCTTCCACACGCATGCACATCCTGCCCTGATGCTGCCCTACCTCCAGTTGCTGGGCACAGCCGTACTGCGATGCAGGCATGCCATCAAGATCCGGCACCAACGCCGCGGTCCAAATGCTACGTCGGCCAAACCGCAGGACACTGGACATCAATACAGCTTCCTGAGATACACGGCTGTCCGTCCTCCAGAGGTCACGTCTCTCGGAGCTCCAGCCTTGTCATTAACTCAAGTTCTTCTTCCTTCTGCCTCCCTGCTACATACGAGTACTACAGTATTACTGTACATACGTGCTGCCCAAGGAGGGCGGGGCTCTTTGCTTTTTTTGGGCGGCAGAAAAAAAGGGTTACCGAGTGATCAGAGTCCCGCTTTGCCATGAGACATTCATCAAAAGGGCAAATCCTTCCCATCACCTCACCTCACTGGCGATCCAGCTGATTTGCTGCCGCGATGCGCCGCGTCGACTGAGGCTGGGCGCTAATAACACACAGTTTTGTCTGTCGATGGCATCGTCTTCCTTTCAAGGCCGTTATGTCTGCTCTCCCTTGTTGCTTCTCCCGGGGCCTCAGGCCTTGCGAAACCCGCCGCATGGTGCTTTGTCGTCCAACCAAGCCAGCGGCTCCCCTCCTTGCCCTCCCAGCGCTGCCGGAAAGGCGTCATAAAGTGTGGCCAGGGGCTGCAAATTGGCTTATTAGAGGTCGCCCAGCTTTGACTGTCGGTCAAGTCGTCGTTCCCATCTAGACCCCACCCCCCGACAGCCAGAATCGCCGCGACAAGAGGACGAGGCAAAAGTCTCCGTCTTTGTCGTAGTACTACCTACCTACTGCGATGCAATAATACTTGTACTGCCGTCAAGGTCTTGGGACTCGGCCCAGATGGCATTTGCCTTGGCTTTTCATCTGCCAGGAATGGATCGCAGTCGACAGAACCCGGCCGATTGGGGTTCCCCCCCTAGTAGCTGGCTCAGTGGTCCCGTCCCAGCAGATCCCGTTGCTACTAATTCCCTTTAGCTGTCCGAGCAGACGGCGACTACGAGCCTAGTGCCTCCTCTCTGCTCCGTTTTCTCCAGAGGCGCACGGAGGCTGCTGCTCTTCTTTGGCAGTGCTGCTATAACTATAACAGCAGTATTACTACCTGTGACAGACACGATGGCTTCTGCAATCTCCAGGGAAGCCTCTACTTTGCCATCGAGGACGACAGGCTGCCCGTCCCTCGTCACGCGAGAGTCGGATGGCTTCGGGGCACCCCGGCCGAGGCATGTGCTCCCTTCTCTGCTCCCCCGCTGGCCACGTCGGTTCAACGCTTGTCTCTGAATGTCTCTCAGCCTCCACCTTGAACGCGGGGAGCGTTCCCGGCCTTGGGTGTCGAGGCAAGGACCGCCTCGTGGTGATGCCTCTGCTCGGACGCCACTCTGCATGTCCTTACGACAACATCCCACCATCAATCCCTTGCTCTTGATGTATGTAATGGTAATAGTAGTCTGCTGCAATGCTTGGTGTGAGCAGGGACGATGCGGCTCCAAGCAACATTGGCCGCCGCAGTCGTCTAGCGGCCCCCTTTCGACACCAGCCGATCCGTCCCAAAGCACGGGAATGCATGCATGGCTTACTTGATACTATCTCGCTTGTCTCCGTCCTGCTCGTCCGTTGGATAGATGTCCGGCGTCATGTCTCAAGCTTTTTTTTTTTCGAACCAGAAGTGTTCTGCTGTTCACATGATGCCGTGGCTGCCACCCCCCCCTGGTTGACATGCTGCTGTCCTTGCCTCGCCCATCCATGCCAACAGGGCAGAATAACCTGGCGTGGCACTGGCCAAATCCCGCGGTTGCTGTGCCTGTGGCCAGCTCTCCCGTTCGGAATAGTAGGTAGTCTGTGACTCACTTGCTCGCCCTCGGAACCCCCCCCCCCCTTTTCCCCCTCCTTCTCTTATCGCCCATCGCGTGGCACAGCGGCAAGCATGTGTGAGTGTGAGTGTGTGTGTGTGTGCCGGGAGGGGCCAGTTTTCGTGGCGGCCCTAGGAGAACTGGTGATTTGCTGCTGGGTTCTTTTTTCCATGTTGCTTTCGGCTGACTTCGATCGTCTCAACCAGCTGAAAGAGACAGCCCATGGGCGGAGGATGATGCCATTGGCCTGCAGCCGAACATCACACATTCAGCACTTGCGCACACAGGCCCTTATATTACCTACCTACCTTACCTTACATGGATGTATTCGAACCCCCACCTCTCGGAGTCGCCCAGAAGCTGCTCTTTATGCCTCTGTGCTTGGCGCTTCCGATCCGATTGCTTCAAAGCTGCAGAGAAGGATCCTGAGTTTGGAGAGGAGCCTACAATATATTGCGAATGACGTATTTGAAGGCCAAGAGCCTGCCCTATGGACTGTAACAGCGTACGTATTGTAATAGTGGTCTGAGGTCTTTGGGTGCGGCTTGCTTTGATCTGTACCCAACCTCAACCGCTTGTACGTTGGGCACCCGCGGTGGTCATCGTGATGTACTAGGTATTTGATACTTGTCACATGGCGATGCAGCGGTGCTCTGCGGCCTCGACTACTTCGATGACGATGCACACAAAGTGCAGGGCTCGTTGAGGCAATACATACTACTTATACACCACCTTGTATGTGCCGATACCGGCCCTCCTTGATGGAAGATGTAAAGTGTCATGTCTTATGCCACGAAAGTTGATCCGACAATATCAACAAACGCGATAGTGGTATTCTGAATAGCTTATCATACAGCCAGGTATCCAAATGAAAGAGAAAAGAAAAGCAAGAGAAAACGCCCGACCAAATGGGTGTTGTTTCACTAAAGTCGTCCTCGCGGCTTGAGTTCGATATATTGTCCAGTAACCTTTACTGGCCTGTCGTAATGGACGTCCTTATTTAACCCCCTAACAATTACACCTCAATCACTAGGTCGATATTGACTCGCTCTTCACTCATGAAGCACGCCCAACAGGCTATAGCTCTTCCTCGCGAGGCTCATAGGAATACGGAAGCCGACCCCAGTTGGAAGGATCGCCGCCGGGAACGCAGAGCCCAAGCCTCCAGAAATAGTCCCGATGAGCGAAAAATAACTGCCATAGCTTAAACCGCGCTGGGAAGCTCATCCTCTGGGTATACTCTTCCAGGGAGGAAGTCGTCCAGCGAAAGTGTAGGAGGCGATATAGCAGGCCCTCCACGGAGCTGTCGTCCTTGGCACTGCAATTGGGATCCGCGTCGCCGATGCACAGCTGCACATCTGTCTCGGACGGCGACAGAGCAGGCTTTGAGATGAAGATTTCACCGCCGTGAGACGTGTAGCCAAACTCTCCCGGCGGAAGCAAGGGCACGGGGTCATCGGCGTGGGTGACTCGGCGGTAGGATCGCGTCTCGAGGTCGATGATGCCGTCCAGATCAAACACGTCGTCGACGAAGCGGGCGAACTGCGCATTGCCGGCGCGAGGCTCCCCAAAGGTCGTGACCGTCACGTCGTCCCAGCCGAGCGAGACTTTCAGCTCGAGCGCCGCGAGGCAAGCCACGGCGCCTCCAAGGCTGTGGCCGACAAGGTGAATGGCATACGACGGGTACTGGGCGCGGAGCGCCTTGAGCTCCGGTAGAACTGCTTTTCGGGCGCTCTGCCATGACTGGAGGAAGCCCATGTGAACGGTGCAGTTTGTGCATTCATGGCTCGGTTTCTCCGGCGATTCTCCCCCGTGGTCTGGAGACGGATATGGCACGTATTTCTGCGCGAGGGTGCTCAGGTCAACAATGGTATTGGTGATGCTGTAAGTCCCGCGAAACGCAACCATGATGGCGCCTGGCTTGTCGTCACCATCATCGCTTTGTCGCCGTCGCTGCTCCGAGCCTTGGTCCACGGCAATGAACCCACAGTTGTCGCCAAAGAGAAAGCCCGTGCTCCAGGTATTGACCAACGTCATGTTGGGAAACTCATCGCATCGGGAGATGCATTCGAACGGCTTCCGGATCCCAGAGTTGCCGAGGCAATACGAGACGTCGACGAGCCTCGCCAGCCGCTCGAGGGATGAGAACAACGATACCGAGATGCCTGAGACAGCCGGCGGCTCATCTTTGATGCCCAATGGTACTTGGTGGCCGATGTATGTCGCCTCGACGAAGAAGACGGCGGCGAGCTGGATGAGCAGCAACAGCCTGAAGCGGCCCAGCGTTGCCCACCCCATCTGATCGGATTGCGATGGCGGTGATCAAAGCATGAAGTAGCAGAGTGTCACAGCCGGCGAAAATCGCAGGATATTGCTGAGCAAAGAGACTGAGCGCCTCGTCTCGGCTGAGCAAAGGCAGTCGCCAATCGCGATGCGGCTCGTCGGATCCGGCTTGACGCAAGGGAGGCTGGGACGATGTCGCTGTGGCAAATGGGCGCAATTCGTGACACCGCTCCGGCGCGAAGGTGAGTTGCAGAACAGCGCGCGCTTCCTGCTTTTATTGCATGATGGCCAGTGAATCTCTCTGCTGTTCCCGCAAGAGGTGAATGAGTCTTGAAGAGAAGTCAGAGGAAAATTTCAGCGAGGCATGAGGAGAGGTTGTTATTATTACTTGATAGTATGCGACTTGGTCTCATGGAAAGCTGGTGGCAAGACCCCAAATGGTCGAGATCACGAGGTGGGCATGCACAACTGGGTGGGGCCGACCAGGGCCAGGGGCCGATAATCTGGGGTTTGGTGCTGAAGCTGGAAGCTCAGGGCGGGTGATGGCAGGGAAGAGCGCTGGAGGCGGGCCAGTAGTGGCCGAGTCTAGCGGTATAGTAATAAATGGCGACACGGCGTGTGCATTGGATTTGATGGATGTAATCGGCAACTCGAGCTGGAGGCTCGTTTGGAATGACATTTTTGGAGCAATGGAAGATCTGGAAGAAAGTAAAGTCTATACATGCCTAATATAGGGTCATTCAATAGAGCTCCAGGCATGGACTCCGGAAGCTGGCGCCCCGTTTGGGCTGTCCTTCGCTTTGTCGCTAGAAGCACACTATTGAATTGTCTCGGCACGACTGACTCGGTGTATGGCATAATTTATAGCCAACAAAGACCAAGATTGATGGCTTCTATACAAACCACGATATGGAAGTAGTGGGCAAGAATCATCTTGCCTACCTAGGTACCTATAAAGTGACATTTTAGAGGTGACTCTAGTCTTTGTATTGTCTCTGACTTGAGGCCAGTACAACGGTTTACCTGTATCCGTCTATGAATTATTTCCCATTAACCTCCTTATCCTAGGGTTTATATCTTTTTCTTTCAGAGCCGACATGGCCGTTCGCCAATATCCTATATCAATACCCTCTAGCTCACCCAGCGCTTGATTCGGGTCGGATCGGTCACAGGGTCCAGCGAGGTAAAATTTCCCCGGACATCGTTCGAAGAAGTCTTACACGAAGCCGGTGTCGTTGAGCAATTCAGGGCAAGGTCCACTGCGCCGGCGACCTCGTACCCCTTGACACTGTGACGAGAACAAATATTAGCATGATACTCCTCACTCGACGTCTGGAAGCAGCCTCTGGTGTTCTGATGTGACATAACATACCCATTGGGGCCGGGGCAGATCCTCTCAATCAGAGTCAACGTCCTCCCCGTGGCACCGCTCAAGATGAACTTGACATCGCTGTTCTCGCACGCGTACCGCGGTGTCAAGCTCCCCGGCGTGGTGGAGACGGAGCTCGAGTTGTAGGAGCACTTAACAGCAACGTCTGTGTCCGGATCAGAGTAGGCGAAGCTATACGCGGTAAGAGCCGGTGTCGGCCCAGTGCCATTCGTCTTGGCCGAAAAGTCGCTGATCTGGAAGCCTGCTGGAAGATTGCATCCGGCTTCTTTCTGAGCTGCGGCCAGACGCTCCGGCGGCGCAGAGTAGGACAGGTCGGCGAGGTTGGCTAGGGAGAATGGCAGAGCGGCCAGGAAGGAGACGACTTGGAAACGCATTGTGAGGGAGGCCGATGTATCGGTATGCTCAATTTCGGATCGATTATGCGACGAGTTCGAATTCGGCGAGGACTGGGCTCAAGCGGATAGTTGGGTGAGGTGAAAGAGGCAAAAGGATTGAGAAAGTCTACGGCCGTGGGATCTGCAACGTCAATGTTTGCTTTAATACGGTACGAGGCTTCCGGTCCATGACGTGGGAACGTGCAAACAGCTCCGTTCAGCCCCTTGATTTACGTGGGCCGGAACAGCAGGTATGGCAAGTAAGGGCACAGGAACGTCGGACAAAAATTGGGACAAGACGACGCCAAAGGGTAGAGTCGAGTGTCGATCCAAGTGCCGTGCGCGGCACTCGCAGCTGCAAGGGGCGAGGATTGGATGCCGACCTGCCCTTTGAGGCGCAGTTTCAACGTGCGATTCATGCTGTTCTCATTGACGCAGGGAGGTGCGTTGAATGTGCTGATACTGTATGGCTCAGGGCTTCAGCTGGGGCCCATTGTTACTGCTACAGGTAGAGGTATGTTGCCTTGATTGCCGCCGACCTCGAGTTGATTCAAATCGAAGGCTTCTGCTGGTTACGAGACACGGTTTGGTTTGGCGGTTGCTTCACCCTTTCTCTTCCAGGGGCTGCCGAGGAACGTCGGACACCGTAGTAAGCGACATGCAAGGTAGGAGGAAAGTGTGCACCAACCCTTGCAATTGAAAAGGGAAAAAAGAAGCGGTTGGCTGACATGGCTCTGTACTTTCCAGTGCAGTTGCACTCGATGCAAAGCTGAAGAAATCTTGCATATTCTGTACGAGGCTGCGCGGCTCAAGACGTGAGTTTAGGCTCGTAGGTTAAGGCTGTCTCTTGGGGCGCCTCTTTATAAATGACAAAGAAAGCTTGTTTATGTTGGGAGCTTTCTGGTTCGTATGCTGCACGGGGCGGAGTCGTAATCTGCACTCCGATTTCACGACCTAATCGCTCAATGCTACCGTTTTGGTGTCCAATTTTATCTCGGTCATGGCTTCCGGAGCTGTAAAAGAATATTCAAAGATGAACAGAGAAGGACCGATGGAGACATTGCTTCATTGACACAGGGCAAGTCGACACGGGAAGCATCAAAGTTTATTGGCAAGTGCGAGGCGCTGAAGCTCGGCAACAAGCCAGCTCAAGGCGAGACTCGACGAACAGATGATGACAATACCTAGGTACGCACAAGTGTATTTATCTCTACCGACATTGACCAGCAAAGTAATGATTATGACAAAAATAAAATGGAATAAAAATCACACTGAGTTGCCAGAAAAGGGATTTGAAGACAACAAGATATCGCAACTAAACACAAATAAATCGAGTAACGTCGTCCTCTGTAGCCTTCATCAACGCAACAGAACTCTTATCAGCGACGCATCATCGAACTGCCCCAAGCCCGCCAAATCCATTACCCCATTAGGACAAGCACCTGGCGCGCAGAGCAAAGACCCAGCGGGTGAGGTAATTATCCGCCTCCGAATTATGTAATGCCCAAGCGGCCACTCTGCAGCAAAACCTTAGCAACCAGGCATCGGCGTCGGAACTGGCACCCTCAATCATCCTCACCAGCCAGCTACATATTCAGCTCCCAGCAGATCACAGCCCATCCACCGTCGTCTCTCGCGCATCTGCCCGACTCCGGTAGCTTCTCACCGCCCCTAACAACGACCTCGTCTTCCGTCTACTCTCACACTTTATCGCTTCGATAACCCGTCATCGCCACAATGTCCACCGAACTTTGGTATGTTGCGTCAGCGCGTTGAGCATCCTTCAAACCCCCTACCATCGCCATGGAGCTTCGGATTGCATCCTTTGGAGTCCCCGGCATCATCGCTACCTCCAGCTTCCGCCTGCAATTGATTCAACATTTGGTTTTCGTATTTGAGAACTGACTTGATTGCCGTATAGCCCCGTCTACGCGGTCAGTAACCACCACCTGTTCCATTCGTACCAACGACGTCACCGATAAATATCCGCGGCGACACCGAGCCAAAACATCACCTTCGAAGACTTGGCTCTCCGATATGATGAACAGACCTGCTAACTCATCGCACAGCCCTTCTTTGGTGCCATGGGCTGCACCTGCGCCATTGTCTTCACCTGCTTGGGTGCCTCCTACGGCACTGCCAAGTCTGGTGTTGGTATTGCCGCCATGGGTGTCCTCCGCCCTGATCTTATCGTCAAGAGTGCGTCGCCCTGGTTTCCCCAACGCGCGGGTCATTGATTTGCTAACGTGCTACTCAGACATTGTTCCCGTCATTATGGCTGGTATTATTGGTATCTACGGTCTGGTCGTCTCCGTCCTCATCTCCGACGGTCTCAAGCAGGACCTCCCTCTGTACACTGGTTTCATCCAATTCGGTGCTGGTCTCTCCGTCGGTCTTGCTGGTCTCGCTGCTGGTTTTGCCATTGGTATCGTCGGTGATGCCGGTGTCCGTGGAACTGCTCAACAGCCTCGCCTCTTCGTTGGAATGATTCTGATTCTCATTTTCGCCGAAGTCTTGGGTACGCACGTCGCTCGTCTACTGTTTCTTTTTTCTACCACAACAAAGGCATTTGCTAACATGTCACCTAGGTCTGTACGGTCTCATTGTCGCCCTTCTGATGAACTCAAAGGCCAGTCAGGATGCTGTCTGCGCGTAGAACGAGTCAATCCATTTCCGGCCAAAAAACAAGACACATTTGCCTTTGCCAACCTCGTTACCCCTGGTATGAAAAAAATTGGTTTCTGGTCAACAAGATGATAACTCGGAGTCGAATGACGGTGTGAGAAGGAGCAAGCTTGCTTGGGGAATGGCGAATCATGATGTCGGTCGCGACAACAGTCGCGTTAATGGATGAGTAGGAGGGAGCCTTATAAACAGTATCTGTATACTAGTGACGGGACGCGGTTGCTTGCTGTGAGTTTCTCTTCATAGACGGTGAAGGTGAAGGATCTAGTGTAAGCAGGTGCTCAATTCTATCTGCCCTATTTTTTTTTTTCCTAATCCAGTCGTTCCTGGTGTTTCATCACACGTCAACCGAGACTGCCAGCTTCGTGATACGCCACGCCAATCGTTGATTAATGCTACTAAAGCCGTTTCGTCGTCCTTCTTCAACACGTAATACAAACATTAATGGTTATAGATGATTTTCTAATTCCCTGATCCCAGTCTGACCGTTCTTATCATTCCCTCCCCTTCCTTTTGCGCATTATTATTTCGCATGCTTGCTGAGAAATTAGAAACCCTCTCCTTGTCAGAGAGAGGTGACTCTTTAGATGTATATGTACGGGAGAAGCAGATCTCGGTACAATGAGCGAATGCTCTTTAGATGACATACTGCGGATGCTGTGTTAGGAGGAGGCCCAAGGTGAAAAGGGGGAGGACGGCAAGAGACGGAGAGCTTACGGGAATGAAGAGGTAAGGAACCTGTCGCTCATATTCGAGCCAGGCCTCGCCGTACTTGGCGCGGCAGCGGGTAATGTCTCGGTGCGCGCGGTGCGCAATCATGCATGCGAAGAAGACGGGGTAGAACCAGGGAAAGGGGCTCCTATTAAAAGGAAAGGGAAACACGTCAGCCAAGTGTATCTAAATAGAGGGCTCCTCTGTTCTCTGTTGGAAAGGTCACTTACTCGAAGCCGGTGATGAGGCCCCAGGACAAAGAGAACCACAGATCCGAAGTATAGTGGATCTTGCGAGCGAGGCCATACCAGCCGTCGACGAGGATGGTGCCCTGCGGGGTCTCGATGGTCTTGGGGTTCTTGAGCGTCTGCCAGGGGACCTGGGGGAAGGTCTTGCGCTGGATGAGGTTGCCCTTCTCCATAGCGCGGAAGCGGTTCTTCTGGCTGTTGCAGCTGTCCCAGACCCAGTACCAGAAGAGGTAGCAGACGTACATGGCCACGAGGGCGTAGCGGTTCCAGCGGTACGTGGCGGGGTCGTGGTTGGCCAGGTAGAGGGTGCAGTGGCAGTAGGACAGGGGGACGCCGGCGAGGTTCCAGAAGATGAGCATGAAGCCCCATTTCTCGTAGTACATATCCCTGACGCAAGTTAGTTTTGTGAAAATGCGACAAGTGAGTCTACAGGCAAAAGGGATTGCCATTTCTTACCAGGTCGTGATGATGAGCTCCTCGCCCTTGGCGCAGGCGTTGGCGTAGAGGTAGTGCGCCATGACGAGGAACATGACCTCGCCAGAGACGTAGCCATACTGCTCGTACTGGCGCGCAGCCGCGCCGAGACTCAGGATAAGCAGAATGTACCAGGGCATGCGGACCTCGAAGAACATCTTGAAGTCGAGGATGCCAAACATGCGAGGGTTCAGCTCGGCACCCATGAAGAAATCGTAGATGGGGTAGCCCGTCATGCGGTGCTGCTTGCCCCTCCAGATGGCGGAGAAATAGGCGACGAAGCTGACGAGGAAGCCGCTGCAGATGGCGACGGACAGCAGCGGGCCGAACTCGTCGAGGGCCGTGTAGATGGGCCAGATGCCGGAGAAGTGCAGGCCGGCGAGGACGGCCAGGGTGGTGTACAGGCTGACATAGGCGTTGCAGAAGTAGTCGAGCTGCTTGCCGCCCTCGTGGGGGAGAGGCTTGCCCTTGCCCCAGACGCCGGGAAGCAGGCAGTAGCACGCGCCCTCGAAGACGAGGTAGCTCCAGTACCACAGCCAAGCCTTTGCGTGGGGGAACCCATGGGTGTAGACGAGGTTCAACAGGTGAGCTCCGAACTCAGCCCAGCTCTGGCCGGGAGCTCGAGAGGGAAACTTGCCGTCGTAGAAGGTGGCGCCAATCCACATGTACCACATGAGGATGGGGAAGAAGATCATCATGGTGGCGGTACCGAGCGAGCCGCCGAACTCGAACTCGCCCGAGTAGTCAATCTTGGGGTCCTGGCCCGGCAACCAGCCGTCCACCACCTTGGTCCCGGCCGATGTCCCGTTCGTGTGAGCGACGTCCTTGCCGTTCGGCGCGGCGCCGTTACTGTGGCCATTGGCATGTCCGTTCGCGTGGCCGTTGGTGTGGCCATTGGTGTGGCCATTGGCGGTGGGCTTGGGATCCTCGTCCTCCTCGTCCAAGTTCTCAATGAACTTGGCGGTTCGTCGGCGGGTGATGCGCTCGCGAGGGGCCGGCTCGGCTGAGTCTTGCGCGTCTGAGGATTCGGGGGCTTGTGAGGATTGGCGAGCGCGCGTGGACTGCCTCTTTGGCGTCTCGACCAAGCCGTCAAAGAGCTCCTTCTTCCTTGGGTGGAATGTTAGCACATCCCTTGAAGTTGACAGTCGCGACGTGGCGCCATTTGGGTCTTCCAGGCCACGGGCAGAGATGAATTGCCAGCAGCCTCAGCGTGAACCAATTGCTTGCCTCACGCGATCCAAGGCGTGATGAGCTGCTGTTCTTTGACTTACCTCGGCGTCTGCCGGAGAGAATAACGGGTCGCCATAGTAACGGGCGACTCTTGTGTGTCGAGGACACTTGTCGAGGTTTAGGTGATCTGGATCGAAAGCAAATCTGCTCGAGGTCGAGCCGGAGCTTCAAAGGTTTGGTGCTTCAGTCCCGCTGGTAATGGCGCTTCGTTCGGGCCAACGGGAACAAGCAGCGCTTTCAGTCTGATTGAGGAATGATGGAGGAAGCAAGACGCAGAAAATTGCCCTCCGTCGCGAACCGCGTGGAAGAAGCCAGAGACGGGACACTTTCTGGAATCGTGATGTAACGCTATTGGCCCGCTCAGCGACCGGGATGGTCGAGCTGGGATTTCAGGGGTAGGCGGGCCGAGGATGTACCTTGACGGGCAAGACAGTGCGTGCCGGTACTTGCGTGCCTTGCCGCTTAATTTAGCCCCGGTGGAATATACGCGGGATCCTGACGTTAGCAGCTGCGAGGATTTAAAGGCGCTCGAGTTTAAGTGGCCGGGAGCGAGGCATCGGAGGCGATTTATGGATCTCGGACTCGGCCCATTGAGCGGCTCTTCTTTGCCAGATCTCTGCCGTATTCGTATCGCTGGGGGGGTCGTACTCTTGATCGGAATACGAGAGCGTCAGACAAACTGGTGTCACGGTGATTGGGCAGGATTCCTTTCCTCTGGATACGGTGCGCCAAGAAGGGGGATGAGTGAGACGGGATGACAAATGCTGGATGTTATTCTTTTACTGTGTTCTCTGAAATTTGTTTACCTACAATGAAGTGCTGCGTTCTAGCTTGTTTACCTTACGTTCCTAGGTACTAGTATCGTGTGCGGGTTGGTAGAGCTCTGGATAAATAAGGTACCATCTCCCCATCAGCGAGGTGCCGACCCGATCGTTGTAGGTTACATGTATATTACCCCAGATCACCGAGTCACGATTGGAAGCCCATGGCACGCTGTCAACCTACCCGAACCTTGTAGAAGTACCAGATTAGGTCTTGGTGCTATCTGGAGAAATAGTGATTGGTCTCCGTCATTGGATCTGTCGACCGGCTCCTTATGCCATGCATGGCAGATGCCGCATACTGCAGCCCATCGCGTGGCCAGGTGATTAAACCGAAGTTGACATCCAATGAGGAAGCACCTGTATATGGTTCACTCAGCTGCTTGAATGTGCGAGTTTTGTATTCTAATTGCATGCATAGAGGCTCGATTCTTTCATTTCATGAGAATGGGCACCGTTACAAAACATTCCTACATCTCCTTGGTGATGGTGTCTCGGGTACGGAGCACTTTGGGCGTTTGGTCTCAGCACTTCCTATACGGACAGTCTCGGTTAAGCATGAACCCTTCGCTCAAATAGCGATTATTGCATCTACCAGCGAGGCTGATAATTATTTATATTTTGGACGCTCGAATATGTTGGGAAATGAGAACAAGAACCGTTCCCACCCGGAAGCGTTACTTTGAGATACTTTGGCTATATGAAGTGGCAAGATGGAGGGCTAAGGTAAGATAAGGTCTACTGGGTGACGGGGTCAAAAGGGTGTATGGCTGCAAACACTCAATGACGCTGCTTGAAGTGATTTGGAGGGTTCAACCACGAGCTTGGGACGAGGCTGAGATTCCTCTCTCAGGCACTCTATCGATCAATTCGCCCACATAGCTGGTACGATGCGAATATGAGGTACCGGAGATCCAAAAACGTCCATAGCAGGTCCGCTCTGGGGCACTGCCGCGACCGCGTCTCCCCTCTCTTTCCGAAGTCAGCGATTCTTTGGCAATCAAGACAAGATGTTTTGAATATCGACCCCGAGTCTACATCTGGGCGCGAATCAAACATGCTTTGCATCGAAACGTACGGGGTAATAAGGTGATTCAATGCCTGGTATCTAGAGTGACACTCCCAGATGGAATTATTGGGTAGGTACGGGTGCTCTTGCTTGAACCAACATAGGTAGCCATGTGGCGCATGTAGTGCCCCTGGAGGTCCAGTTGCGCAAGACTCCATGTCCGCTAATGCCCCCTACAGCGGTCTCCGTACGCTATGCGCGTTAATCGATAACGCCCGTGGCCCCCTGCCGCTAAGACTTGTGCCACAGGAGGTGGTCATTCGGTCATTATCGTCACCACATCCTGAGGCGGCACCAAAGTTAGACCTCGCCTCAACCATTCTCGTCCCCACGTGAAGAAGTCGCTGTTGTTTGGGGATTGTTGATTGCTTCTTCGTCTACGGGCCTCAATTTCGGCACTTGGTGCATCACATGCCTAGCGATATCAGCTTGCTCGCCTGTCATTGTTGATGAAAAGCTGACAGGGCCTTTGACCGTCCCTCCCTTTTCCGCCTCGGCCACTGCGGCGAGCTACAGCGTCGCGTGCAGAACATACAACCACGCTCGTCAATAGTCGTTCCACCAACTTCTCGGTTGCATGATAGGACTGCGATTCAGAATTGGGAAGGATTACTCTCTCCAGCACCTTCTGCGCGGTGGCTTTGCATCCGATTACGAGCCACAAGATCAGGTAGCAGAGCCAGACAAAGGCACAGTCGCCACGCAGTTGGCCGCGATTTCCTTGCACGTATCGTCTTTGTCACAACCTCCTCTCACCTCCCAGAACAGTGAGCTATCCAAGAGTCACCATGGCTCCCGATCGCCTGGACGAGTCCGTCTCGCCAATGACAAGAACCCCCAACGCTCCATCCCCGGCAAACGCAGAATCACAGTCCCGGTTCCAGCCGCCCAAGTCGAACGATGGCATGTTGGCTCCGACGCCCAACTCATCAGAGCAACAGGTGGACGGCAGAGCATCACCGAAATCGACCGGCGACTACTGGAATAACGGACAGGCACATCCTGATCCATCGCCTCTGGGCTCTGGGGAGTTAAGACTCGATGCTGAAGAACGGCAAGACATACCAGCTGGACTCGTTTCCAGCACACAGGAGACCTTGCAGGTAGAAGGGGGCCGTAGCATTCATTTTGCTCAGCCCGATTACCATGAGCTCCCCCTCCAGCCTCCAGAATCCATGCCTATGGAAGAGCCCGATACGCCAACCCGGTCTCGAACGCGGTTCATGTCCAAGATCAAAGCTTTCGCAGCCAGTGGCCCCCAGACACCAAAGTCCCTTAATGGACCGACGTTTTCATCCGAATTTGGCTCGCTATCGATCCCGAACTCTCCTACAGTCTCTAGAGTCACGACTCGAGCTCCCGACGGCCTCAATGGAGAACAATCCGACGCCGACGCCGACGTTGAGACCGCAGATGAGGCTGCTATACCTGCTGCTGCCAAGAAGAACAAAAGGAAGAGCCGACGTTTCAAGAAGCACTCCATGTCCGGCTTTCCGAATCCAAGCAGGTTCCCAAGCGATCTGGACGCAATCAGCACGTATGATCGGCTGCTCAGGCGCCGAGCAAGCATGCCTGATACCACCCAACATGACCATGCCGTGTCCGACGGCGAAATTCGCGGCAACCCTAGACGAAAGCCGTTTCGCAGAGGCCATTCCTACATGAGCAATGCAATGAGCCCTCCGGGGGAGGATGACATGGAGGAAATGGAGAACTCTGCCGTCGTTGGCCGACGCAATGGACATCTACGCCGCATCACCGTCTTTGGCGGTGGTGGTCTGTCTGATGGAGATGCGCTTACCCCTAAGAGGCACTTCTTCAAGACGGATCGAGCTTCTAGCTATGGCGCACAGAAGTGGAAGCAAGTGAAAAGCACACTGAAGCTCCTCCGACAGAAGAAGGAGGACCGTTTCGAGTACTACAAGTCTGCAGAGCTGATGGCTGAGCTGAGAGCCGGTGCTCCCGCTGTTCTTATGCTTGCCAGTATGATTCAGCGGGACGAGCACGGCAACAAAAGGATACCGGTCCTGCTGGAACAGCTGAAGCTGAAGATCAAGGACAGCAAGCCCATGCCGGATGATGACAAAGAACGCCACTGGATTTTCACAATCGAGCTGGAGTACGGCAGTGGCCCAAGCCGGATGAACTGGTGTGTGATCAGAACCATCAGGGATATCTATAACCTGCACTTTCGGTACAAGTTCGCCCTGAACAACGATAAATACATGCTTGGCAAGGACCTCGGTGGTCGCCCCAAACAGCCCAAATTCCCTTACTCTGCGTTTCCTTACCTTCGTGGTGCTCGCAACAAGGGGGACGAAAGCGACGAAGATGAGCAGGCTAGTGGTCGTGGTGATGAGACGGGTGCTGAGATGACGGCTGCAGAAGACGCGGGCGAAGGGCCTCATAGTCACTCGAGAAAGAAGTCCCGAAGCAATTTCCTCGGCATGCGGCGACGATCTACCGGCTTCACCGACGGAGGCGAGCTGTCTGTTGCCGAGGGCAACCAGGGCGTCGACACACAGACTCGCCGGCAGCGCTACGTAGAGAAGCAGAGGCGCATTCTGGAGAAGTATCTCTCGGAGATGATTCATTGGTTAATGTTCAGAGCCGATAGCAACCGTCTCTGCAGATTCCTCGAGCTGTCAGCCTTGGGCGTTCGTCTCGCTGCCGAGGGAAGCTACCATGGGAAAGAGGGCTACCTTCACCTTCAGATGTCCAAAGGCCTCGATTTCCGCCATGTCCTGACACCTGCCAAAGTCATATCCCGGCAGAGTCGCAAATGGTTCCTCGTCAGGCAGAGCTACATTGTGTGCGTGGAGTCGCCGGAGAACATGAACATCTACGATGTCTACCTTGTCGACACCAAGTTTAGCATTGTTTCTAAGAAAAAGGCGCTGAAGAGGTTCGGTTCCAAGAACAAGGACAAGAATGCCGAAGACGACCTGAACATGGAGCCATCTCACGAAAAACACCACACTCTCAAAATGCGCACGTCGGATCGAAAAATCCGACTCTTTTCTCGCTATCAGTCGGTCATGCGGCAGTTTGAAGACTCAATCAATGAAATGCTGAAACAGACCGTCTGGTATGAGAAGAAACGGTTCGACAGCTTTGCGCCGGTTCGGACCGGTGTGTTCGCACAATGGCTGGTCGATGGCCGTGACTACATGTGGAATGTGTCAAGAGCCATCAACATGGCTCGGGACGTCATCTATATCCATGACTGGTGGCTGAGTCCCGAGCTCTATATGCGCCGGCCTGCGTGCATCAGCCAAAAATGGCGTCTGGATCGACTGCTCCAGAAGAAGGCAAGAGAAGGCGTCAAGGTCTTTGTGATCATCTACCGAAATGTGGAAGCGGCTGTCCCCATCGACTCCGAATACACCAAGTTTTCGCTCCTCAACCTCCATCCCAATATCTTTGTCCAACGATCCCCCAATCAGTTCAAGAAGAACCAGTTCTTCTTCGCCCACCACGAAAAGATTTGCATTGTCGACCACGACGTCGCATTCCTCGGTGGTATCGACCTCTGTTTTGGTCGGTGGGACAGCCCGCAGCACCCCATTGTTGACGACAAACCGACGGGATTCGAGCCGTCTGAGATGCCCAAGGATGCTGAGCACGTGCAGCTGTTCCCTGGAAAGGACTATTCCAACCCGAGAGTTCAGGACTTCTTCAACCTCAACGAGCCGTATGAGGAGATGTACGACAGGGGTAAGGTTCCAAGGATGCCTTGGCACGACATTTCCATGCAAGTTGTCGGACAGCCCGCTCGAGACTTGACTCGCCATTTCGTACAGCGATGGAACTACCTGCGCCGAGGTCGAAAGCCAACGAGGCCCTTGCCCTTCTTGTTGCCGCCCCCGGATGCGAAATTCGAAGACCTTGAGGCCCTTGGGTTGACGGGTACTTGTGAGGTGCAAATGCTTCGGTCCGCGTCCAACTGGTCTCTAGGGATCAATGAAACCGAACACAGCATCCAGACAGCTTACGTTCACCTAATTGAGGAGTCGGACCACTTTGTCTATATGGAAAACCAGTTCTTCATTACAAGCACCGAAGCTTATGGAACCAGAATTATCAACCGCATCGGAGACGCCCTGGTCGACCGCATCATTCGCGCTCATCAGAACAATGAAGACTGGCGGGCCGTCATTCTCATACCTCTCATGCCGGGTTTCCAAAACACCGTGGACGAGCAGGAAGGAACCAGCGTCCGATTGATCATCATGTGCCAATATCGCAGCATCTGCCGCGGAGAGCACTCAATCTTTGGACGCCTTCGCGCCGCAGGCATTGAGCCCGAAGACTACATTAGCTTCTACTCCCTCCGTCAATGGGGGATGATGGCGAATGATGTGCTGGTGACTGAGCAGCTCTACATTCACGCGAAGACCATCATCGTAGACGACAGGGTTGCGCTCATTGGTTCTGCCAACATCAACGAGCGGTCCTTGCTCGGTAGCAGGGACTCGGAAGTTGCCGCCATCGTCCGCGATACCGATATGATTTCGTCTACCATGGCCGGCAAGCCGTACAAGGTGGGCAGGTTTGCCCATACTCTTCGGATGAGGTTGATGCGAGAGCATCTCGGCCTGGACGTGGATGAAATCCTGGAACAAGAGCGAGAGGAAGAAGAGATGAACGAGTCTGCGTATGAGCGGGACATGGACGCTATATACGAAGAGGGTGCCGCTGCAGCCGACGACAACTCGAGCATAAGCTCCAACGAGGCCAAGAGCCCGGTACTGCCTCCTAATAACCTTCGTCTGCCTAGTTTCAACCACGACATTGATCTCGTGAAATTGGAGACCACTTCATCCTCGTCCGCGTCCTCTGTGAAGGGGAAAGAAGCCGAGACCGACCCGCGTGTCATGAACGAGGGACACCAGCTGGATGTGTCCGGGTACGGCCCGGATCATTGGAAGTCAGCGGAAGAGGCCGGTGTCGATGATCGCCTAGACACGGTTGTGGTTGACGGCCGCGAGATGCTCTTGCACGGCGGCAAGGGGCTCGCGGAGTCTCATCAACCGCGCCAGCACACGGCTCACCACGAGCCCAGCGATAAGTCTGGTATCCCGCCCGCACCTCTGCCCCCGGCTAGCCGGGATGGAGCGGATAGGGCTGATCAGCTAGGATTGAATCCGGGTGCACCAGCGGTGCCCCTGCCTGTCCTTGACGACACTAACATTGGTGGCCCTGCTGCTCATGTTGATCCCAAGACAGGCCGTCCGACAAACGAGCCATTCCATCCGATGGCAGCGGATATTCAACCGGCGGTCATTAACAAGGACTGCATGCGCGATCCACTGGACTCGACCTTCGTGGACGAAGTCTGGAACCGGGCTGCGCGCAACAACACACTGCTCTATCGCAGAGTATTCCGATGCATGCCCGACTCCAAGGTGGGCACTTGGGCCGAGTACCGTGAATATATGGACTACAACGCGAAGTTCAAGGCGATGATGGAGGGAAATTGCGCCGGCAACGAAAACGAACTCCGTCGTGAGGCGAGCCGGCAGCAAGGTGCCGCGGGTGACGAGGCAGTACCGAAGCAGGGCGACCAGCCGACGATTCAGCTGCCTGAAGACGAGGAGGAGGAAGAGACCGAGAAACCAGCTTCGGGGAGTAGCAATGGAGCGGATCCGGTCCTCCGCCCTCCGCCTGTGGATGGATCAACGGATAACCAGAGTTCACTAGAACCTCCGTCGCCCGTTTATACTGCGGGAGAGGTGCCGTTCCCTGCACTGGATTCGTCCCCTTCAAAGCCAGTCTCGCGAAGCAAGAGCAAGGATCGTAGAGCGAACTTTTCGACGCTGGAAAAGCCGACGTCCAAGGACACCAATGCCGCTCCTCCTCCGACGCCATCTGGTAGCGCGCCAGTCAAGCGCCGTCGCCGAGCGACCACGAAGGGGAGCCGCCGCGGGCTCTTGATCGAAGAGATGCCTACGCGGAACGAGGCCGAACAGCTTCTGGGGCTGATTCAAGGACATCTAGTCGAGTTCCCTTACGACTGGCTGCTCACAGAAGAGCACAACGGGAACTGGGGCTACCAGGTGGATGGCGTGGCGCCGATTGCCATTTAGTAAGTGCCGATTGTGAACAACCTCATTCTCGAAGACGATGCTAACCGCATGTTTCACAGTAATTAATCGATCTTTCTCTTCTCTGACTCTACATTTCTTGTTCTCTCTTTGTTTCCTCCTTGGGTCGGCGCAGCGAGCTGCGACGTACGCCCTTGATTCTGGCATTTATAGCGGGATAGAGAGGTTTTCATCACATACATACAGTAGTGAAAACTGGTCACAAGTCTGTCTGGGCAAAGGCGAGAGTGGGAGCCATTCAGCTCTGATGGCACGTTATCACATTTCTATATAGAAGTCAAGGTCTCTGTAAAATCTTTTTTTTCTTCTTTCGCTTTGACGCCATGCATACTCGAAGCAAGTTGCATAGATAATAATACATACAGCATGTTTCCTACCTATATATAGGTACTCTTCTGGCACGCACGCTGTGTAGCTGCAGAAACCTCAATTTACACCCTTTCACTCACCCATATTGCGCCGCGGCAACCAGCTCTTATGACATTTGTCAATAGCCAATGAGGCTCAGCCTTTTTGGCGTCGTTCTCCACGGCATGGTCTAGATGCTCCAGTTCCTCGTCCCGTATCCTGCGCAGCGTGTCCACGAGCTGCTTGACCTCGCCGCTGACGTCGTACCCCTGCGCTTCCCACTGGGCAATCATCTCGAGTATGGAGCGGATCTGCTCGTTGTAGTGGCTCCCGATTTCGGTCTCGACGGCCTCGGTACAGGCCATGGCGGCCTCACGGCCCATGACGGCGGTGGACCAGCCGAGGCCGCTGGCGAGGACGGACCAGAGCGGGTAGAGGGCCGTGGGGCGGACGCGGTGCTTGTGGATGAGGTCGTTGAAGGTGGTGAGATGGGCGGCCTCCTGGTCGTACATGTGGGCCATGAGGGGGCGGAGGTGAGGGTGCTTGCGGGTGATGACGGGGGTCTGGGAGGAGTAGATGAGGGTTGCGGCGAGCTCGCCGGCTTGGTTGACTCGGAGCTGTGTTTGCTTGGTTAGCGGCCTGGTATGCTTTTGGAATGCACTGGTTAATGAGAAGAATGCAATAGGGCTCAATCATACGGCGGAGGAGAGAAAGTCGCGCTGTTCTTGGGTGAGAGGCTTGAGCTTCTTCTTTGGTGATTCTGTGCTCGGGTTCTCGGAGGACGGAGGTGTCGTTGCTCGAAGGACGGCGCTGGTAGAGAGAGGGCGAGAGGGAGCTTGGAGGAGGCGTCTGCTGAGGCCAGTGGCCTGTTTAGCGAGGCATCGTGTGGATGACATTGTGCAATTGGGTGCAGAGCAGACTGCCAATTTGATGGCGAGGAATGGGAGATATTATTGATTGCATCACCGGCGAAGCAGCTCTCTCGGCATCATCGAGTCTAAGAAACTCGGGCCATGCACGCATGATGCCGGCCTGCATACGGCAAGACTGCCGATTGGCTGGCCTCGGTCGGGCGCGGAATATTGCTTTTCCGCCACGAGAGCGCTGGTCGCGTTAATTGGCAGGCGAAGCAGTAGCGAGTCGCTGGGAAAGGCTGGCCGCCGAGTTTCTAAGGCGTCTCTCTCTCTCTCTCTCTCTCTCTTCTCTTCCTCCCTCTCCTTTATTCTCTCCTGCTGGCTCATTTGCCGTGCGAATCCCGTGCTTCAGAAAGACGTCGACAGCGATACACAGGGATTGGGAAAACAGTGATAATTTCTCTTTCTATCATTCTCTGCTGCCTTTGGCGCTTAGACGCCTCATCCACCGACTCGAACCGAAGCGCCGTCGCGTTTGCTTTGCTTTCATCAAACGCTGTCAACATCGTCGGGCTTTCTCGCCACTACTCTCACCCCCTGAAGGCATCTCTTGGCCATTGACTGTCGGGACCACGGCAAGACTTCCATCATGGCCGATATCGACGACGAGCTCCTTGCTCTTGCGGGCGGTGACTCGGACGAGGAGGGATCCGTGAGCGAGAGCCGAGAACCCTCGGCGTCGCCGCCGCCTGCTTCCGAGGATGAGACGCCCAAATCACCAGAGACCAAGTCAAAGCGGCGATCAAAACAGGACGATTCGGAGGATGAGGGCGAGGCGTAAGTGAATCGTTTCCGCCTCACATTGTGCTGCCGAGCAACTGGGGGGTCATTCAGAGCGAACAATAGACGTCGCGGCCGCTCAGTTTCTCCTCACAATGGAGTCAATTCCCCTCCTCGTCAGCCATCGAGCATTTATTAACATGCGACTGTCCCATCTTTCTCTCTTCAGATCCGATGCTCCTTCACACAATTCCCTAGAATCAGCTTCGATGGACGAGTCCGACTCCGATGCGGAGCCTGCGCGCGGCACGACTCGCTCTGCCCCTGCCGCCGGTGCCAACGATGATGACAAGTATCCTGTCGACGGCATGTTCATGAGCGAGGCGGAAAAGGCCGAGATCATGGCCATGCGAGAAGTCGAGCGAGAGCAGATCATCGCGGAGCGAGTTTCTGAGATAGAGCGTCAGCGACAAAACCGCCTTTTGCGACAGATGGTCAACAACGTGGAGATTGAGGAGCGCAAACAGGTCAAAAAGAAGCGCAGCGCCGACACGGCTGAGCTCGAGGACGGCCTGCGCAAGGCATCGAGGACGAAGACGGGCAAGAGCGGCGAGTCGGCCATTGATTCCTTTCGCCGGGCTCGTGCCGAGAAGCAGAGACGACAAGAGGACCGAGAGAGGCGGAGGGATGACGTGTCGCCAGATGGCCGTGAGTCTAGAGATCCAGAGGACAGTGACGATGAGTTTGGACAGACGCGCACTCGCTCGCCGGAGAAAGCTGCAGCTAGGGAGCTGCCGCCACCGGAGCTTCGCGACTTCGAGAGGGTCCGTCTCGGCCGCAACGAGTTTGCGCAGGTTTGCTCTACCCCTGGCTTCGAGGCGGCCATCACCGGATGCTACATCCGCATCGCTTTGGGGCCGCACCCCGAGACGGGTATCGAGCAGTATCGCATGGCTCTGATCAAGGGTGAGTTTCTTTTTGTTTGACATCGTCGCTTGCTGCATGTGCTGACGATGCTGTGCAGGATTTACAACCAGCCGACCATACGCTTTAAACGGCCCTCAAGGCTCTTTCGTAACCGACCAATACGTCAAGGCTGCTCACGGCAAGGCCGTAAAAGAATTCCCCTTCATTGCAGCGTCAGGTGGCTCGTTCACAGAGGTACCGTTGTCTGAATCGCATTTCCTCATTTGCGAACCATCATGCTAACATAGTGACGACCTAGGCCGAGCTGAACCGATACAAAGTGACGTGCAATAACGATGGTGTCCCGTTGCCTACCAAAGAATTCCTGGTCAACAAGATTGATGATATTAACGCCTTGATCAATCACAAGTGGACGAATGAGGAGATCAAGGCTAGACTGGCGAAGCGCAACGAGCTGCGTAAACGCTTCGACCCACAGGAACGCCAGCGGCTGGCCAACCTTGTGGAGGAAGCGGCCCGGCGAGGCGACGACCAAAGGGTTGAGGAGCTCCAAGCAGAACTGGAGAAGCTGGGTAGAGAACGGCTTGCCTTCAAAACTAGCTTGGGACCGTCGAAAAACCCAGAGGCCACCAAAGCTTCTTCGGAACAGGACCGACTGGCGGAACGTAACCGCGAGAATCGTCGGCTCAACCAGGAGGCAGTCCGAAAGGCTCAGCTCAAAGAAAAGGCCAAGGCGCGAGAGATCGAGATGGCCCTTAAGCGCGGCGAGGTCATTGAGGAAGACTACTCGCGACGACTACGAACCAAGGCCAAGTTCGTGCACGACGTCAACGAAAAGGTGGGCGAGAAGCCAGAAGCTCCAAAGGACAACGGCTCGGCCGCGGCGACCAACGGGACCAAGGGCCCTTCGTCATCTCAGATACTGCCGCACCTGGCGAAGCTGCAAGAGAAGCACTACTCTGAGAACAAGGGTCTGCCGACGATCCACAAGCCCATCATGGATGACGACGTTATTGGAGCGCTGGACTTGGAGATTGACGTGGAAATCTGAGCCACTGGGCTCAGCTTCGGCTTTCTGTTGCAGGGACTTGGATCACTATTGCTTCTACTACCTGAACCTTACGTACTCCCCTTTATTGACGAGTGGTTTCTGCGAACAGAAAAGCGGGCAGGGGAAAAGACAGAAGGGCATACTTGGAGTTGGACGGAACGGACTGGATTTTTAGCACAAACGGTTGCTCCTCTCCCGCCGCGAAAGTGAGCGAGACGGCGAGAGGGCAGAGCAAGTAGTGAGGTAGAGCATGTACATAGATGGTGAGAATTCTGAAGATCAACGACTTGATGATGATTTATGCTGTATTGTTCCGCCGTGCGCTGTCTATTGTTTGATTTGAGTCGTCTTGTCTATCAGTCAATGAGGATGTAAAACGCAATTCATTCTAAACGCAAGCAAACTCGTTTTTTTTCCGCTTGGCGATCAAATGCAATGCCAAAAGCCAAACTTGGAAAAATGAAACAATAAACCAGTAAAGGAGAATTCTAGTTCAAGAGGAGAGAGAGAGAGAGAAAGGCCATCTACCCCTGAAAGTTCCTGAAAAAGCTAACGTCAAACTTGTCCAGCCGGCCCTGCAGACGCCTGTACCAGAAGAAGCCGGTGGCGATGGCGTTGACGAGGATGACGGTGGAGGTGGTGCCGAGACCGGACCTGAGGGCGCCGAAGATGTTGCCGAGGCTGTTGCTGGTCTTTGGGCGGCGGGATACTATGGCGGTCTCGCTGGTGTTCTTATTGTTGTTGGAGGAATTCGAGGTTGCTTGTGCTTTGTCGTCGTCGTCGAGGTCGTCTTCGATGCGGGAGCAGACTTGGAGGAAGAGTTGGGGGTTGTCTGTGATGACGCCGTCGATGAGGGCGGGTGATGAAGATGGTGAAGAAGAAGAAGAAGAAGATTGAAGAGCGGCGAGTTTGCCTTTGTCGTCTGGGAGGGAGGACGTCGATGATGACGACGATGATGATAAGGGGTGAGGAGGTGAGGAGGAGGAGGAGCAGGAGCTGGGAATGTTTTTGCGGACGCACCACTCCATCCATTTGGGCTGGTTGACGGTCCATGCAAAGACGGGGCGGTCGGCGGCTTTGGCTTTCTTGAGGAACCATGTGCCGAGGGGCCCGACGAGGATGAGCTGGAGCATGTTGAAGGCGAGGTTGGGGATGGGGAGGAAGTGGTTTGAGTAGGAGAGGGAGGTGGAGATGTGGGCGAGGGGGTAGGAGGGGAGGTGGTGGAGGGCGGCTTTGATGAATGTTGCCTGTGTTTTTTTTTTCTTATGTTAGTTCTTTGTTGTCTTAGTTGTGGGAGATGTTGTGATGGTGATGATGACGGGCGTAGGGGTGGTGGATAGGGGGGGAGGGTGAGGGGAGGGGGATGAAGATGAATTGAGTCTGGAAATGGGCGAGTATTGGGGGTAAAGGGGGATGGATTCAGATAGATGAAGGGGTAGGTGTTGAAGGCAAGACGAGGGGTGAAACTTACGTTCCAGCATCCAAGGATGATGCGTTCGTCCCAGGGAGTCGCAGACGAGACTTCTGTCAGAGCACAGGAGATGGCCCTCAGCAGGTCATTGGCATTGTCATCGATCTAAAGACAAAGACAAGGGTTTTCAAAGTCGATAATCAGCAAAAAAGTCTTGCAAAGCACATGAAGACGACGGATACGAGCCATGAGGGAGGAGAGAAAAAAAGAAGGAACAAAAGATTGCTTTCTCTCTCACCTTGATGTCTAGCAGGATCCAGATGTTTTCCGTTTCTGGGCCGGAGACGAGATACTCTAGCAGATCGACGAGTCGAGGCAGCGCCTCATGCGGCTCTTGCAGCGTCCGCAGACTGGAGAGGTAGGACCAGGTGCAGTCCTTGATCAGCAGATCGACGCCAAAGCATCTCTTGAGGGAGGGATCCTATAATGATAAGGTACTTGACATTAGCCTCTCGAGTTCATCTCATCTCATTCTCATTCTCATGTTGTCTAAGTCATCAGCAAACCTACATGAGAAAGCACAACGACGCCATCCTTGGAAAGATGCACATCCGTCTCGAGGGCATGCGCACCGACGTCGACCGCCTTGCGGAACGCGGCCATGCTGTTCTCGGGCAGCAGGGCCTTGAAGCCGCGGTGGGCGATGGCCTGCGGGAGGGAGCGCGAGGGGTTGCGGCGGGAGGGGATGGCCGAGGCCCATTTTGCGGCTGTTTGTTTATTGTTGTTTGTCAGTTTTCGTGGAGTGTGTGATGCTGTTGTTGTTGTTGTTGATGATGATGATAAAGATGATGATGATGGTGATGGAAATGGTTGATAAAGTGGATGGGAGAGAAACTGGTTTCGTATGGGAGGAACATACGCTTTGGGGCGGTGATGCTGCGGTGGAGGGGACGCATCAAGGGCTGTCTCTCCGCAGAAGCCGTCGTCATCTTCAGATCTTCCTTCTATGTATATGTCTTGTTCTATGACTTCCTCCGGTTGGAGTACCTGAGATCAAAAGATACAGCAATGAAATGAGAGCAAGAATGGGTAAACACAATAACGGCGGTTTGTGTATCTTTGGTATTAATAATTTGGAGATGCAGTGGAAGAAGAAGACGGAGAAGGAGGAGGAGGAGGAGGGTGGCGGACTTTGTCCAGCTGGTCTCGTCGTCACGCAAGGGCAAACCCGTGTCGTTTGGGCGGATATAAGTCGCAGCTCAAAAGTCCGGACTTCCGATGGTTGTTGCTGCTGCTGTTGTTGCCTCTCGGGGTGCTGTAGAGCGATCAGGTCGGGTTTTTACTGATTTATATCACACAAGGCGAGGAAGAAGAGAAAAAGAAGTCCGAGAGAGAAAAGAGAGAGAGAGATAGAGAGAGGGAATACATGGCATTCTTTGCCATCTCGCTTTTTGTACTTGTACGCTGTCACGAAAGAAATGGCATCTCCATCCATCCATCCCATCTAGACCAGTCCAGAAACCAAAATCCACGCCGCATCTAAACATAGAGCCGCTCAGGACAAGGGAAATCCACTAAATAGAGGCTTCCCAAATCTCGCATATCATCAAGTGGGCATGAACCAAGAAGAAGAAAAAAAGAGGCCATGGGAATCAAACCACATGCGCGCCTCCCGAGGTGACCCATCTTGAGAATTTTATCAGGTTAATATCATTTTGCTTCTTAGTTGCCCCTGAACAAGGTGTCGTGTCGCCACCCGGTTTTATATCTTGTTTTGTCCAGTTGCCAACGTACGAGCATGTACCTATCAAGGTAATCAATTATTACAATACTACTATAGTAACTATTCTGTGCAGAAACGTGTGCTTCAACATGTCAAGTTTAGCTGCCGGACACGATAAGCACCTTGTCTCCCGGCGGCGACAAGTGTAAAGTAAACATCTCACCCGTCTCACGCCACTCATATTGATCCTTGGTAACTATTTATCTGTTGCTCTCTCTCTCTCTCTCTCTCTCTCTTCTCCCTTAATTGCACCTTTTGGCTGATAGTAAAGCACGCTCACATACATGCGTACATACATTCAGCTCATTTACTCTCACAGTACAAACAATCCCATCTGTATCTACTACCTACCTATTTATTCAGCACCACAACTCCCCCTCCATTTCACCTCAGGTCAACAGCTCCTCCTCACCGCAGTCATTTACAAAACCACACCCCACGCCCCTATGCATAGCATCTGAAAATCACCGCAAAGCTCGAGGGCTCCCCAAAGTGCTACGTTACAATACCCTTCAACCCGCTAATAAACTGGATATCTCTTTTCCTTCTTCTTCTTCTTCTTCTTCGTCTTCTTGTCCTTCTTCATACACGCCCCCCCCCTTCCCTCCTTGATCCCCTGTCCAGCACAGCCGCGAGTCATCGTCCCGATCAAGTTCCCTCTTCCGAATCAGGAGGCAAAACGACAAGAGAGAACAGAGAGAAAAAAAAAAAGGGTCAAAAGGCCCATAAAGTAGATATGTACCGTGATTGCCGACCAAACAATGCAAAACGTGCTTTGCTGCGTAATGGAGATACATGCCTTGGCTTCATCCGTTGGGTTTTCATCCTGCATCAGCTTGTAGCAAAATTCCTCTTTTTTCCGTGTCCTTCCGACGCAGGGTCTTTAAGCGTCTTTCATGCAGCTTGACAAGTGCCTTGTTGTATGTACTCGGACTATTACCTAGCAGTAGAGTGTACTGTCATCGATCCATGCCCGCATCGTCGTCAACCAGGTGGGTAAAGCAAGTACCTACTGTAGGGGTCCAGGCACTTGTAGCCTTGATTCAACATGCCGGTTCATGCACTGATAAGATGCCGTCAAACCATCACGAATCAGGCATCACGCATCAGGGACCACGGAGATCAATCAAACTTCTTTTCGATTCGTCGCGACAGTGGTAATACTGATCCAACGAGACCATGCGGCGTCCACAAAAAAATCATGTACTAATGGAAATCAACAGACATGTGCACTCCAATTGTTCGCCCTTCCATCCATCCATCCATCCATCCATTCCATCCATATCCTCCATATCGGGCAGCCATCCAATAGGCTTGTAATCCCTCATATCCTCGTGGCAGCCTTGGAAGCCACACTACCTGGGTTCTTGTGGTCTGCCGAGTCATAAAAGGAAAAAGAGGGAGAAAACACAAGAGAACGCGAGAAGAAAGCAGCAGAAAAGTCCACAACAAATCGCTCCAGCATGTGCGCCAACCCAGCAAAACGACTGATTGAAAAGGAACCGTTACATCGAAAAGCAGTTTCAGATAAACCAAGCGCCTCATATCGCCACCGCACCATAGCGCCATGGAAACAGAAAAAACATCCCCCCTGACTTGACACGCCATCCTTCACAAGGACAGCCCGTGAAGCCCGTTTGTTGAAAATCCGTCGCCGTTGTGGTAGTTGACTCCCTGCAGCTGCTTGCCGTAGTCAACGTTTCCCAGGCTCAGCCCCAGCTCTGAAGGCGAAACTTCCTCCCCCGAGCTGAGGCTCTCGTCGCTCATGCTCAGCACGCTCTGCGGCGGCGCCGGGTTGCTTCCGAACTCGCCAATGTTGAAGTTGCTTAGGTCAAATGCGTCTGGCGACCAGTCGCTGCCAGTCGAGTGACTCGCCATGGCAGCCTCGATGCTGGCGCCTCCGTAAATCACGTCGTACACGTTGTTCATCCCACTGTCCATGGATCCAACCAGCGCTTCCCAGTCGGAGCTGGACATGTTGGGCGTTTTGGCACCCTGCTGTCCGTGGTTCATGTAGCCCTGGCCGCCGTTCTGCACCCCCATGTGCTGTCCCTGCATGCTGCCGGAGGGAGACGTGGCGTGCTTGTTCGTGAAGGAAGCGTCATTGAGCGACAGATAGTCGAGATTCTGCCTTGGCTGGGCGCTGGGAGAAACTCTAGCCATCTGCGATACCGACGGCTGGCGCTCTTGCCGGTGCCCATCAAACGACTGGCGCGACGGCGCCTGCTGGCCATTTACATTGGGGCCTTGAAGGACGGCCACGTTGCCCATCCAGCGCTTGTCCTGCTGACGGGTCAAGTCCGTCTCGCTCGCCGATGCCGGGAACTGCCCGGCCATTTGCGGCGAGTTTTGCTTGGGGAAGCTCGTCGGAGGCGATGAGCGACGGGGACCCGATGTCATCGACGACTTGCGGACGTGCTTGTTCATCAGCGATGGCGACGACGGGTCGGTGACGGTGATGAGCACGCTGGCGGCTCGTTCCAGGTCCACAAACCCCGGCGACTGGTTCTTGCGGAGCGTCTGAAGGACGTCATTAACCAGGCGCTCGTCCTCGCGCAATAGCTTGCTGTCGCGCTTCAGGTCAATGGCCTGGTAGAGGAGAGTAAGAGCGCACACGGCCAGCAGATCGCACTTGTTCATGCAAAAGGAAAAGGACAGGCTCCGCTCTTCCAGGAGCTGCGCAATCTGGATAATGTGCTTGCTGGATTCGCTGATGGAAATGAGTGCCGGCGCAGCCTTGGGGCCGAGGTTGGATCCAACGGCCGGGCGGTAGATGAGGGTGCGGATATAGTAGTAAGTGAGTGACTGTCGCCCGTCTGTGTTAGCCCCTTGCTCAGTATATTGGAAACCATACCATGCTTTCACTTACCAAAAGAGGTGACCGGCTGCCAGTGACATCTCGCGACGGCTTGCCCTGGGCAAAGTTGAGCCTCAAGTGGGCTGGCAAGTCTTGGTACCAGCCATCCAGCTCGGCCTCAAAGGCGCCCATCTGCTGCAATGAGAGCTCATAGCTGGCACTCGCAGGATAGTTCTTGTCCAAGACACGAGCGAGAATGCGGGTTGCCTTGAACAGGGCCAGGGCGCTCGAGATGCGGGTAAACTCTCCTGGCAGCGTGGGCAGGAATCCCTTCTCCGTCACGTACTCGTCATCAGTGTCGGATGGATATTCCGCTTGGACGTCATCCTCCTTGAGCATCTTGGGGAGGCCAGTGATGGCAGCCGTCATGGTGTCCAGGGCGTACAGCGTCCAAAAGACCTTTTTCCTAGTCTCAAGCGTCAAGGCGCCAAAGGAGAAGCGCTTTTGGCTCTGGTGCAGACCCAGCCGGTGAGAAAGGCCCACGGCTACGCACTTGTAGTGCTGGAGGCGACGATAGTCGGCTCGAACGGTGCAGTACAGCAGAGCCAACACAAGGCACTGTAACGTGCTCATGGTGTTCTCAAGCATCAGAGACTCGAGCGCTCTCGTCCATTGGTACTCGCAGGCAGCCACCTGCGGAATGTCTGGAGACTCGGACGAGAGGCCGGCAAGGGAAAAGACGAGGTAGAGCTGTGCGAGCTTGTAGTTGCACTTGACCCTCTCGGGGTCATTGACAAACTCTTCATAGATGCGGAGAAAGGTGGGCTTGTGGAGGACAGGGAAGAGGGGTGCCCATTCCTGGAAGAAGACGTTGACGCATCTGTCCGAGAAGATGCGAGGAGGGATTCTGGAGATGTGGTCTGGCAGCTTGGCTACGAGCGGAGTGCAGCCTTGGATGTGTAGAAAGGCATCTGGGGTAAAGTCACTGCATGGCTTGCCGCTCTCTTGCATCTTGCGCTTGAGGGAGGCTATAAAGAGAGATACGTCAGAATTTGAGGCCACGGGCGTTGGGGAGCAAAGAGCGATGCGTGTGCATCTATACGATGTGCACTGGAGAATGCGAAGGGAACGTCATGTGTGGCAAAGGATCAAGGGCATGGACATACCGATAAAGGCGCGCCCGCTTGAAGAACCCATAAAGTACGATTCTGAGTTCTCGACGCCCAGCAACAATTGTGTAGCCTGCACTCGGAACGTGTCCTCCTTCATGGTGGGCGAGTCCCTTGGGCCATCCGGAGACACGGGCGTGGCCATGGATGTGACTGACGGCCTCCGTCGTGGGCCGTTGTGATTGTTTGAGTGCATCGTCGACAACATTTCGATTTTCTCATCCTTCTCGTCTAGCAGGTCCTTGAGCTCGCGGACCTCGCTCTCGAGCGCGCGCACCCGCTCCTCCAGCGACTCCGTGTATCCGCGCGGGAAAGCACGCCGGCTCAGCTTGTCGCTGGTGCGGCACTCGAAGCCGACTGAGGCACATTGTGAACATGTCGGCCGGACGCCGTCGCAGCGAATCTTCTTGCTGCGGCAGCGGTCGCAGGCCTGGGCGATGCGGCTCTGGGCGCTGTTGCCCACCTTGATGACTTTCATAGGCAGGATGCCCGGCATGGTGGCGGCAGCGATCCGAGCGTCGCTTGGGAGATGCTATTGGGAGGAGACGAGGTCAAGAGATCGATCGGGAGTGTTGTTGGTCAAGGCTCTACGGGAGCAAACGCTTGGGGGACCGGGGCTTGCTTCGCCCACCAGCCGTTGGTTGGCGCAACAGGGCGGATGGCAAAGGATGCGCGGTAGCAGCAGGGACTATGGAAAGTTGGACGAGGCTCGGGTCGGGTCGCTCTTCGAGAAGCACGGCGACGTCGTAGCAGCAGCAGTAGCAGTGGTGGTTGTTGTTGTTGCGAAGTGCTGAGGTCATGCGAAGTTGAAGAGACAAAAGCGTTTGTTCTCCTGGTTGGCGGTCGACAAAGATGCGGATCGGCCGCGAAAGAATATTGTGGGGGTGTGAGAGATGAGATGGAAGGGAAAGGGAACAGAAGCGAGGAGGCAGAGAAAGGCGAAGTGGAGCCTAAAAAAGGACAAAGGAGCGCCGCATGAAGGTTCGCAGGCAACATGAATCAAATCCCGGGGAAGGGGATTGGCCGGTGAGATGACATGCAATGCAATGCGCTGGAGCTGGGCTGCTGGGCTGCTGTAAGGCAGCGCCCTCGAGCGCTACTGTCCGCTGGGGTGCTCCGACCCGGACGCTAAGCTGCGCTGCTAACCAGCGCCTGGGCGGCCTGTAGCTTCGGCGCGCCCACGAGGGTTGCAACCAACTGCCAGCCGGCGATGGCGAGTTAAACGGCCCTCGAATCCCAGACGGCGAACCTACCAGGTAGGTGACTACCTATCTATCTACCTTACATGTATTACTCGTGCATATGTATCATGACACGCCTCGCTTCGTGCCTCGTTTAGACGGCAGAAGCAGCATCGCATCGCATCGACGTCTTCCGCAGGCTGCACAAGGTACCTACTATTACCTGCTGGCATGCACAGCTAACTTACCTAGGTACCTACCTCCCAGCACCACCAAAAGCCACGCCAGCCCGCCCAGTTGCTGATGGCAAAGCCGCACGCCCCTAAAGAGGCACATCGTCGCCCTTGACTAGGCCGTGCTCCACCGCTCTGCAACTCGCTGTTGGGTCTATCCTCGGGTCGTGGGCTCCTGACGTTGTTTCGTTCTTCTTCAACGTGTGTAGGTCGTCTTTTTCTTCATCTTCTTCGCTCGGCTAGTGGCCCCTGGTACGTACGTACAGTATACAGTACTGCCTACTAGGTAGTAGTAGGGCCACCACAAGATGCGAGGGTCGCCCCCCCACTCCGGCTCTTCCTCTTTAGCCATTGGCGATTGATGGCTGCTGGGATCAACTTTGGACTTGTACTAACGATCCAGCTGGTTTTCTAGCTTGCCAAGTGTTTTGCCATCGATACCGAGCGAAAACCATGTTTGTTTGGCGATAATGGCAGGTTGTCATCACTATCATCATTCCCATTTCCAGCAAACAAGACGCTGAGACAAAGCACCGTTGTCTCGCGCGCTGAAAGACAGCACACACGAAAACCCGTACCCAGCATCGCGACATTTTAGCCCCGACCGCCGCACCTCGCACTGCCAATCCGGAACCCACTTGGGCTGGCTCTTCAGTCAGATCGAGCGCTGTCCCTTCCGATATACGGCGGCGTGGAGGGTCTGACGCGGGATTCAGGTCGAGCGCAAGTCAAGTCGGGAAACAAATGCAACCCAGTGTTCCCCCAACAACTCACAGCGAGCAGCCCGTCCCATCGCCATACATGCAGACATGCAGTAACTCTTTTCTTCCATTCCGATACCTGTTAATCTCACCGTAGAACCCGGCCTTTCTCTATCTTTTTTTCCCTCCTTCTGCTGCCAAGCCATATCACGCAGGAACTCTTCGAACTCGCTCTAGAACAACGCCTCCTAGTCCTTGTCAACAGCTAGCGCCGAGGGAAACATGGACTCGTGGCCTGATTTACCCCAGATTTCCCGCGGGTTTGCCCCCCCTTCCTGAGGCGCACATGGTGCGGGGTGGGAAAAGCCGGGGGAAGCAGCTCGTTCGCCCTTCTTCTTTGCCTGGCAAGCTTAGGGCTTGGACGAGAATACCGTGTAAAGCAAGTATGTACTGTTCGTACGAGGAGAGCGGGAACTGATGACGACGGTCATGGTGGACTGGACACGGAGCGGAATCTCCTCCATGCCTGGTGGCGTTTCGTATGCGCATTGCAGACCTGACCTGGCTTTGGCACGGTGTACATCCACCCGGGTACCGACCGATGCTGTCATTCGCCTCCGACTCGTCCTTGTCCTCGACAACGTGACTTGCAAAGCCGTTGCAGAACAACGTGATGCTTCCATCGCCAGCCGACTCGCATGCAGAAGCAGACGGCGTTGCCGGAGAGTCGACAGTTGGACCATCAGTCTCTCTTGTTGCCGCAATGGAATCGGCGTGTTTCTTCAACGCCCCGACCAGCGGGTGAGCGTCTACCTAGAGGAGGTGCATGTTCAGCGGATATTGGCCGGCACAGCCGGACCCTTGCCAGGATGCCGTCAGCTTCCTTCACAGCCCCAGCTCGAGGCCACGAGACACGGGAGTTGGCTCGGATGCCAATCGTATGTGCTGCTTTGTCCTTTGCAAGTGCTGGCAATTGAAGCCCTCCCGGGTGCTGGAATTGTGTGTCTTTGCTCAAGCTTCAAAGGGAACCAGTCCAACGTTCACACCCATTTTATTCTTCTCTTCCAGGTATTATTCACTGTGCCAGGTCATCGTCAGATCGGCAACTGTCAATGTTGTGTCTTGTCGGCACATCTATTATCCTCCATGGCCATCTCTAGCGCTCCTTGATCCCCGTATTTCTTGCGCCAAAATTTGGGGTAGTGGCATCTCCATGCCAAGGTTAGGAAAGCGTTAGCAACAAACCTGGGACATGGGGTGCATCGCAAGGGAAAAGCTTGAAGTCTAAAATCATCCCAGCTTTCTGGTCATGCCATACAACTAACTGCCAAGCACAACGGGACATCACGGGTTGGCCTGGATCCAGATTCAACTTTAGGCTTTATCAAGAGATCTTTGAACATGATCGTAGCTCCCGAGTCCGCCCAAAAGCTTCATGATCAAGGGGGTGAAGCGATTTCCAAGCCACTGGCAATCTCCTGCAACATGGAACGCATTCATCGCATGTTCAGGCCACGATTTGGATCCTCTTCAATCGATAGCTCAGGGCTAGTCCATTCGCTCCCACCCTCTCCCTCCGCAACCGTAGTTCGTCGATTCGAGCGGGATCATGGTGGACAGATTCAACACCAAAGCCTCAAAGCCACAGTAAACTACAGGCAATAGCCAGTAGAGGGGACAAGATGCCTCACATCCCCCATCATCCCTTCATCGGGTCAAGCCGGCGCAAACCCCATGAATCAGAAGCCGTCGATCCCTCCCCGCTGCCGCATCGTGCCAGCAAGTCTCAGATGCATACATACAGTCGAGGGCAAATCAGCGCTTCCCCGGCTGTTCATCCCACGCACGCGTGGCTATTCCGGCCGCCTAGCTGAACTCGTCATCGTCATTGGACGCCGGGCCAGGCGCTTGCTCGTTTTGGACGTCTTCCGTCGACCCGAGATATGTCACTACGGCTTCATCCTGAAGCAGCCTCGCCTTCTGTAGAATATTACGTGCTTGCATTAGCATTCGTTTTCTCAATGGCCTCGCTCTGCGTTTAAGCTTGGGGACTTGGTCTTGTTTGGGCATGGCCGTCTGCCGCCGTCGACCACTTGACTGAGCCCCTTGGACCGCAGGAACACCTAGTAATATGTAGGTAGTATCACAGCAGAGGGGGGGATTGGGGTGCCTGTCCGTCTCACAACAAACATGAAATAAACAACAAAAGAAGAGGGCATCCGTACCTCGTTTTCTAGCGCCTGTGCCACACCCTGCAGGACCTGGGTTTCGAGATCTCGCAAGGTCTCAGCCGCTAGCCTGCACTCCCCACGGGGCTCGTTTGCTGCCGCGTGAGATTGCTCCGTTGCCCCGTACGAGGGCCCGGAGGAGATTCTGTCCAGCTGCATCGCAACCCGCTCCTCCAGCACGGCAACTGCGCGAAGCTTAAACACTTGGTGGAGAGGGTGGTTCTGCACCAGCGTCTCGAACTCGCCCGTCCTCTCTGTGACATCTTCCTCTTGCCAGAATAGTTTCAACTGGCGGCCGCCTGATGTGTCTTGCAGTACCCGGAACGCAAGGCCATCTTCCTCGTTCAGGATTAGAAGATACAGAAACGGGCTGGCCCAGTGGACGTTGTCGTTGATTATCGATAGTCGTACAGTGGGTGGCCCTTTGTAGATGTGAAACTTGGCCCTCCCCAGGGGATCATCAGGCAATGCCTCAAGGTGTAATGTGAGCTCTTTGACGGTCGAGTCTTTGTCAATGAATCCGTAGCTAAACAGCATCTCAGCTGCCGGTTTAGCTTCTCCATATGAGATGGTAATCTCTGCACCTGCTGGAATCTTTGACCCTGGTCTCGGAAGCAATACTACATCGCCATCGGAGCTTTCATCGTAGTATGCCGAATGGCTCTGCGAGTGGTTTGCCATGTCCAGTCCGGGTACCATGGCATGACCGGCCCGGGGAAGCTCCAGACATCGCGAGCGGTACCAGGCATCAGCCAAGACCCAATCCTCCAGCGTTGCAGATTCAGAGAGGAGGGTGCTCCAGAAGGATAGGGCTGATGCCTCTTCGCACAGCTTGTCGTATTCGCTTGAGAGTGCAGATAGCTTGGCACTCACGGCGGCCTGTATAGGGATTGTGAGCGTTGAGCAATAACTGCATGGCACAACCTCGTGCGTTACGACCCGCCATTGGACGGTCAAATGCAAGAAATCCCCCGATAGGTTGATATATGATTGGGGAAATATTTGAGTTTACCTCGAGAGAAGTCCCCTTGAGTAGTTCCCTCTCGTCATTCGTCCACATGGTGGGAACGGGGATGGGCCGAGGCAGGAACCTGATGTACTCAGTCCATGGCGTCGAGGCAAACGCCCTGGTACCTGGAGACGTTGCTTTTGATTGAACGAGATGAGTCAACAAATATAGCATGATATCGCCCCTGGTGCTCTCTCCAGATGTCAGCACCTGTCGTCATGAAGGTTCCGTCACCATGAGTGCAGCTGAACCTGACGGTACCTACCTGATGCCCAGCAACATCAAGCAGCTGCTTGAAATTTTGATCGACCTTGGCATACTCCTCTACTGCCTCGGCAGATAAGACAAGGTCTCGCGGTATTCGAAGGATCGTTGCTGGGCCGGAAGCATCGCGGCTCTCGTCTGTGATATCATGCTTGGCGACGAGGCCGAACCCTTTGCCTTCAATATTCCGTATCTCTGCGTCCACAAAGTCGACATTGTTCAAAAGGGCCCAGGCTGGGAAAGCCTCAATCGGTAATTGCGCCATTTCGGAGTACGACAAGAGGTCGGCTTGATGTCAAGATGATCACCGCTATTGGCGAGATTCTTTACCTGAGGATGAAGTCGTCAACAAAGAGTCGTCCTGACATGTGCTCAACATGGAACGTTGAAAGTACCTAGTACTACAAGGAGATGCAAGGCTTGGAGGGGCTTGTAGAGGTCGACGAAGAGTACCTTTCTCTTGGCGTGAAAACTGGGATCCTGCCAGGTATTTCTCCCCAGCTGGTACATGATTTCCCAACAGCTGCGCTTAGCGGCTACTTTGATCGTCATATCAACAAGCGTCCACTCACTTGCGCCAACTTTATCGTCGGTCCATTTTTTTTCTGAATAATTTCTACGATATCTCACCTGGTGTCACTTCGGCGAACTTCTACAAGCACGTCTATATCTTTCATTGATAAGCCCATTGTTATACGCTTCCCTCACTTCAGAGCCTCATTAGCATCATCAAACCGATACGTATTCACTCTCCCTTTGAATCGAGCTTCCGCGCACCCCGCCATGCCTCGCGATCCCCTCATTGGGCTTGTAGGCAAGCCTTCTGCCGGCAAGAGCAGCATGCTCAACAGCTTAACGGATGCTTCCTCCAAAGTTGGTCAGTATTGCCCTCTCATTTGCCACCAGCTTGGAGTATCTGAAAGACGACGTGAACGTGGACGCGACAGCGACAGACACGCCACAACTCCTCTGCCTGATTGATGCACTCGTACGCTGCTGCTAACCACCTTTCCTACAGGCAACTTCCCGTAAATAGTCGCCCTCCTACCCCATTCCGCTCGAGAAAACCAAAATGAAAAAGCTCGCCAAGCTGACATGGACATTTCTCGTCTTGGTTCTTATGCGGCAGATTCACCACCATTGATCCTCAGCGAGCGATAGGATACCTCCAGATCGACTGCGCATGTGCGCGCTTCAACCTACAAGACAAGTGCAAGCCCAACTACGGCTCCTGCGTCGACGGTCGACGGTCGGTGCCCATTGAGCTTCTCGACGTTGCGGGACTGGTGCCTGGTGCGCATCAGGGTCGCGGCCTGGGAAACAAGTTCTTGGACGACCTGCGACATGCCGATGCGCTCATTCACGTCGTTGATGCGTCCGGGACGGTCGACGCCGAGGGCAAGGAGACGAGAGGCTACGACCCTTCGGTCGACATTGCCTGGCTGCGCAGCGAGATTGTGGCGTGGATATTGGGCAACCTGATGCAGAAATGGGGAGGCATCAAGCGGCGGCATATCGCAGTCAAGGCCACAGCCGTCGAGACACTACAGAACCAGTTTTCCGGCTACGGATCCACGCCGGTAACGGTGCAGCGGACGTTGGACCGGTCGGGCGTCAAGGAGCCGCTGGAGGAGTGGTCCGACGAGACGATTGAGCACATTGTCAACTGCTTCATCGACGAAAAGTTCCCGACAGTAATAGCGCTGAACAAGATCGACCATCCCGACGCGGACAAGAACATCGCCAAGATTGCCAAGATGCAGGACCCCAATACTGTTGTTCTCTGCTCGGCCATCTCGGAGATTTTCCTGAGAAAGATGGCGAAGCAAGGATACATCAAATATGTGGAGGGAAGCGAGTTTGTCGACACGAGAGAGGACCTCATCGAGCAGGGCGACCCCACGGGCGGCGGCCTCAAGGAACTCGACGAAAAGAACCGGAACCGAATAGAGAATCTCAAGGATATGGTGCTGTACCGCTTCGGATCTACAGGAGTCGTGCAGGTGCTGTCCAAGGCAGCTGAGCTGCTCGGCTTGGTGCCCGTTTTCCCCGTCCGAAATACGACCACGTTCAGCTCAGGAGCGTCCGAATCCAAATTTGTCTTTAGAGACTGTGTGTTGGTAAGGAAGGGTTTGACAGTGGGCGATGTCGCTCGCAAGGTGATGGGCGACGCGCCAATTGCATTTGTGGAAGGAGTTGGAAACATGAGGGTCTCTGAAGATGATCCTGTCGCGGTAGGGAAGAATGATGTGAGTGGTAACCCATGTACATCAGCTATGGGAGAGATAGATGCTAACTTTATTCTAGATTCTATCATTCAAGGTCGGACGGACATGAAGAAAGCCGCAGAGAGTTGGGATAGATGACTGGTTTCAAGCATGCGCGGGATAGAGGAATGCATAATACATCCATCTATATTTCCTGAATTCCACATATAGCCTTCAGTATCATGATTGAGAATACTGGAAACCTGCTCAGAAGATGGCCATCACTGACAATCTGGATCGTTGCCTTGTATCGCTGGGATACAGAGCTGAAATACCGCGGGATATCCCATTGCCAAGGTATTAATTGGGAGCTGAAAGAACCCACCAACACCAAGCTGCAGCTGTCACGGGATAATCACAGCTCGCAACTTTGCTCCAACATCCTGCCACTCACGACAGCAGCAAACTTGCTCTACCATGCAAATCTGATGGCAGGGTCAACAGAGAGCTTCCGCCGTCCGACGTCCACAAATGATCTCTGTCATCGACTCAGCCTGGCGGGACAGCCGTCAACCCAGAATGTTGTTGGGAGGCAGCCAACTGCCCGCTCCGCGAAAGACCTGAAAGCATAACAAGCCCTACAACTGTCCATGATTGACGAGTTTACCCAGAACCCGAGCGAAACATATGCCATTGAAATCACTCCGCTGGCGTCCTTGGTCAATGTGGACGACTATGTGCGCCTGTTTGGTACATTCCACAATGTCATCTCCGCCGCCGCAGTGGACGGCAAGATCGTCTACACGGAGCTTCTGCGCGCATTCGAGGCTTTCCTGCACTGCCGCCAGACGGGCCTGGCTGGCACAAAGCTCAATCTCGGAAGCGCCATGCTGTCCATACAAAAGGCGCTGGATAGGGCCGTTGACGCCGCCCACGACCAGACAAAGTACACCTCCATCCGTGCGCTTTCCGCCGTCTTGGATGCGATGAACGAAGTCAAGGCGGAGGGTATCGCTGATGTGAAAGTGCAGAACTTGCTCAGGCGGCTGGAGAAGCTGAGGTACCATAAAGAGCTGCGTCTCGCAGAGGCCGCAAGCTACTCGTATCAGGCGCTGCTGGCCATCCCGACGGACGTGAGCCCCTGGAAAAAGATTGGAAGCAGCGTTGCCAAGACTCTCATGGGCGGCGCCAAGGTTGCTGGCTCTGTCTCGTCTCTTGATCCATCGAAACTTGTCGAGGGACTGGTCGACTTGACGGAGGTGCCCGTACTGATCAGCTCCATCATCGAGGTCATCAAGTCGTGCGGCGACTTGGTGGGGGATGCGCCCGGTACTGACAAGGCGTTCAAGACGATGAAGAAGCCCAAAGACTGGTATATTGCGTTGCGGGCGACTGATGGCTTGGTTTGGGCGAATGCCCCGAAGCATTTGGAGGCTTTGCTGCGGCACCCCGATCTGTCGTGTCGAGAAGTCAAGGGCTTTCTCTGCGGTCTTTGTGCACAGCTTGAGATGGCAAGGAGCTTGAACCATGAACAAGTATGCGACGTGCTGCAGGCATTCATAACCGCCCAAGCGAGTCGAACCAAATCCTGCCGTGTCCTAGAATGGGCTCGACTCGTTACCAGGTCACCGCAGCTTGACTCTCCGAACTTGCCAAGGTACCGTCGCCGCAAAGTCTACCACTCAGACGTTGAACGAGCGAGGGTCATAAGTCAGCAGCCTCGAAGACAGTTGCTGGACAATGCATGGCGAAAGTGTCACAGAGTCCGCGAGTTTTATGCCGACCAGATGCTTCGAGACCATTATGCCGATGAGGACCTCAAGTTGTTGAGGATCGAACGCCTCGACGGCAGCAGAATATCCCTGGACGAGTGCTATATCAACCTCGCTGTTGTTCGAGCCTCCGGGGACAATGCTTTAGGAACGGATTCCGACACTCCATCGCCGTCTCCCTTCTCTATCCTACGCCGCCTGGATATCTGGGAGCCGCCAAAGTCGGAACGTGTCGACTTGGAAACATTATTCGAGAGGAGAAACGGTGTATCAGTTGGCGCAGCGATGGACGGCTCTTCTCGTGATATTCCCATGCGAATCCTCATCCGTGGCCAAGCCGGCGTGGGAAAGACGACGCTCTGCAAGAAGATGGTGTACGAATTCCTCTACAAGGATATGTGGGCTGAGGCCATAGACCGTGTCATCTGGATCCCGCTACGCCAGATCAAAAGCAGCCTCTTTTTAGGAGGACAGAGCATCGCGAATCTCCTGAGTGGGCCGCTCCCCGATGCTGAAAAGGCCGGAGAGGGCACGCTCGGCGAGGCCCTGGATAGATCGTTCACGGAGGACCCCAGCAGGACGCTCTTTATACTAGACGGTTTTGACGAGGTCTATCGTGAACTGTTTACTGCCGGCAACGAACTGCTTCGCAAGCTAATCAATGTGCCTCGGGTCTTCATAACCGCTCGCCCGCGTGGTGTCAATCGCGAGCTCTTCCAGGACATTCATTTGGAGCTCGAAACAATTGGATTCTATCCGATCCAAGTGAAGGAATACATCGAGAAGCATGCCGGCGATCACGCAACAGAGGTTCATTCGTTCATCGAGCGCCACCCTGTGGTGGCTGGCTTGGCTCGTATTCCCATCCAGCTCGACGCCATCTGCTACAGCATGATGGCCGGGACGCTGGATGGCAATAGCCCCCCAGAGACTATGACCGAGCTTTACCACGCCATAGAGACGTCGCTTTGGCACAAGGATGTCGAGATGCTTGAGAAGCGTCGCGAAGGCAGTGATGAACCGGTGTTGAAACATGAAGCACAGGCTTCTTATCCAGACGATGTCAAACGTCTGTGCCAGGCTGAGATCAATGCCCTCCAGGCTCTTTCTTTCACCGGACTCTTTAACAGCATTGTTGAATTCGACCCGGCCTTTCTCAGAAGCTTCCATGACGTGCAGAGTAACATTACGAGTCATCTCTCTACACCCAAAGCACAGCCATGGTTTACAGACTTGGACAAGCTCTCTTTTCTGAGGACCTCAGACGGACCGCTAACACCAGCCACTCGAAGCTATCACTTTCTGCATCTAACGTTCCAGGAGCTGTTTGCCGCGCAGTTCTTTGTCCAACACTGGATGTTGAAGAAGGATCTCATGGTCTTTGATTATGAGGGCAAGGATACAGCCCCTGTTGGAACGGAGGCGTTTCTGCTCAGGGAAAAGTACAATCCAAGCTATGATGTCTTCTGGCGCTTCGTTTCCGGCATCATTCAGCTACAAAGGGACGAAAGAGCCTTGTGCCGCTTCTTCCAGGTAATGGAGCAAGAGCCGAGGGACCTGCTTGGGCCCGCTCACCTACGATTAACGATGCACTGCTTAGCGGAGGTTAACAGCAGGGCATATGAGCCGGCCTCCTTTGCGAACATTCGCCAGTCTGTGCAAACCAGGATGAAGGGCTGGCTCTTCCTAGATTGTGATATCTCGACAAAAACGGTGCAACGTCTGGTGGGAGAACCAGAATATCCAGAAGAATTGCTGCGTGAGGCGGCTGGCATGATGGGTCCTGACAAGGCCAGCCTGCGGATGTCCTTCGTCTACGGACTCTCAGCTCGCCCGAGAGTCAGCCCGAGCTTGGTGGACTTTGTGGTTGAATGGTCCCGGCAGTTCATCGATGACTACAACGATGAGCTATACGAAGAGGAGGCTTTCCACCTGTGTCTTGCAACGACGAGCCTCCTCTGGCACGCGCCAAGATGGACTCCTTCTACATTTGCGCTTTTCTCAAAGCTCCTCGACCACCCGGACAGGCACATATACCAACATGCAGCAGTCACTGTATGGAAGGTTGCAGAAAACCGGACCGAGACGGAGTACAGTCCGCTGATTGTAAAGGGTCTAATTGAATGCCTCAGTGTTCGAAACGATGACACCAGAGTGAGCGTCTTGTCGCTGTTGAGGACAATTCTGGACTTGCCGGCAGCCACATGCGAGCGCTTGCAACAGTTGGCACGTCAGCGTCCGCTGTGGTTGAGGGCTTACGAAGTCGTCGATACGGCACCGCTCTATGAGCAGCCGGAGAAGATGAGGAAGGCGCTCGTAGAGTTGGCAGAGACTGCAAAGGTTGAGTCCATCAGGTTGAGCGTTTCAGACGGTGTCGAGGGGGAAGAGACGGAAGCACCTCTGGGAGACAGGGCAGAGATTATCTCGAACACTCTTCGACGCTGGAAGGATGAGATGTACAATTCAATTTACGTGGCCAAACTGGAAAGCATTGAAGATGTGCTGTTCCAGCGCCTCAGTCGTTCGAATTACAGTGACGAAGAATTTGGAACATTGACGCTGGACGGGTTCATGGTCGATACTTTGTTCGACATCCTCGACACTAGGAAGAATGGGCTTAGTGCCTCACATCTGGAAGGACTCGCCAAGTTCCTGACGAGCGGAGGGATGTACTACGACATCTTTGACATGCTCTTTGCGTACTTCAGGGGCCAAGAAGATGCATTGGCAGAGGTGGCAGCAAAGCTCCAGCGTCGACGCCTTGATGCGCCGATAGTTGCACCAGATGCCATATTCAACAGCGTGGCTGCCTTGCTGGGTGGTTCAGGGCCTCTACACAAAGCAGTCGCCGCGATGATCATGGACCAGCATCCTCGTCTGCCCTCCTGCGTCTGGGGAAATGCTACTTGACAACCTGGACGTTTGGGAGGGCCGTGTGAGAGAGTGCGCTCTCCTGTTCTTAGCGACGGAGTGGGAGCACGCAAAGTTGATGGACATGTTGCTGGCCAGGTTCCGAGTTCCAAACGAAAATGGGCGCATTGGGGCGTTCCCCCCAGAGCTGTGTGGGCTGATTCGGGATATCGCGGCTCAGGCACTGACCTCTCCCAAGGCAGAGAACTCGCATATCAAGAATTGGGCTGTGAAAGGCGTGCTCAAGTACCCTGCTTCGGGGATCATGGGACTCGTGGTGCGTCTGGGAGAGGAAGACTTGTCTGCCGTCTACCGGCTGTGGTTGAACGAAGCTCTTGAAGAGTCGTTGAGTTGGCATGTTGAGGGAAGTCGGCTTTGCATCAGGACATCGTTGGGTGTTGTTGCGGAGTGCTTGGAAAGTGAGGAGATGGCGGTGGATTTTGTGAGGAGGCTGAGGGATGTACAGGCTACGATGAGGATTCCCTCCTGAGTAGAGGAAGGAATTTGTTGAGAGTATTGGTATAGTGGCATGATAGTACGGGGAACATGAACAGATTGGATCCTATCTATATTTGCTTGTCATCTTCATGTTTCCTCGGCGTTTCCGGCGTTTCGATAGATTTCGTTGTGCGTTCATGTCAACGATTCAACCAGTCTGGAGGATGGAAGTGAGCCTCCTTCATCAAGCACAAGCTTTCTAAGTCCCAAAATAATTCACTATTCCACGGCTTGTGTCTCATGTCTTGTTCATCCATCCTACAGAACTTCCTCTAGGGTACCACATCCCGGACCGGACCCGAAAAAGCGGAACCCGGACTCCGGAACACCGCGATCAAAATGATCAGAGAACAAAGAAGCACAACAGCAAAACAGAGCCGAAAGAAATAAAACATGATACTAGAAACTCAGCATCCTGCCTATAATTTCAGGGAGATACCATAGAGTAACATGTTCTTGAATGGCCATTTAGCTAATAATACCCATTGCATTGAAGCGTCCCATCAACAGAGCATAGGTACACAATTAGGGCAAATTTTTCCAACAAAACTCCACCTCCAGAGAGAGCCACCATCATGTACGAAAATACCGCACTCTCCAAGCATCAGAAAGATAACTGGTTCCGTGGTCTAGTTGGTTATGACATTTCGTTAACACGTTTAACGCCACCGAAAAGGTCCCCGGTTCGAGCCCGGGCGGAATCACCACTTTCTCTTTTTGCCTCTTATCCACTGAGGCGAAATATAGCAACAATGCTGCTCTCTTTTTTTGTTTTTGTCAACTATAGGCACTAAGAGGGCATATCAACCGCTGGAGCTCTGCTGAGAGATAACTTTTTGATAGAGTTATACAAACTTTTGATTACCAGTATACAGCGTCTAACATGTTCTCGTAAATCGTGCCAACAAACGCACTCCCATCATCCCATGTTTGCACACGTTCTATCCTGCCCTCCCCCCCTTTCCCTCCTTTTCAGTAGTATACAAGCCAGCAGTCTATCAAAGTCTAATACCGCAATGCCAACAGTCTTTCACCCTTCTAAAAATCGTCGCCCCCTTGAATAGACACCATTACTGCTCCTGTCTCAGCGGCCCGCCGCCAAACTCCACGCTCCGCAGCCCCAAGATCCTCTTGAACCTCAGCCACAGCTCAAACGCCTCCAGCTTGACCTCAACCCTCACAAATCCGAGCCAGGCAGCGAAGACACGCACGGCGTTCGGCGGCCACAGCATCGAGCCGTTGCGGAGAATCTCCTCGAGCTGCTCGTGGAAGACGGTCCGGGTGCAGTATCGCGCCAGAATCATAAACGTGCGAATAGGGCCTTGAGTAGTGTGGAGGTTCTCGTCCAAGCTACGCGTCAGGTCGTTGGTCTTGAGGATGAGAAGGATGATGCGGGGGACTCGGCCGAGCATCTGCACGAGATCGACAATGAGTCCTTCCTGCAGAGCGCCGCTCATGTTCTTCTCTTCATCTGGCGTGCGCGTCTTGAGGATGGACCCCTCCTGGCTGACGATGCTAAAGTCCCGGCCGGTGATGGCAGAGGCAAAGAGCGGGAAGTCCTCCTCGCTGATGCCGGCCACCTCATGGGCGTACTTTTTCATCCGGTCCATGTCTCCATCGATTACGGCGAGCCACATCTTGGCGTAAGAGCGCCTTAAGGGCAACGGAATGTCGCGATATAGGCCGTGGTCGTACAGGATAATGTCAAAGTTGGGCCCACGGCCGAGACCCCGGCGAGTATTGTTCTTGCGGATCGCGAGATTGCCGCCGTGGGGATCGCAGTGCAGGGGGGCGCCGTCGCCAAAGATCATCTCGTTGAAGATGCGCGCCAAGGTTGCCGACACCTCGTCGCGGTCGATGCCGTTCTTGTCCAGATACTCAAGATCATCCGGTCGCCGGCCAGATTCGCAGGCCATGACGAGAATGCGCTTCTTCGCCCACATGACCTCGGGAATGACAAGAGGCAGCGCAGGTATCTTGGCGAAATGCGCCTTCATGCGACGTGCGTTTTCCGCCTCCTCTCGAAAGTCGAGCTCCTTGGGCAGGGAGTAGTCCATTTCCGACGAGAGCCATTCAAGGTCGTACTCGGGGAAGAATCTCTTGAGCGTCGAGAAAGTGTACCTGGTGAGGGCGAGGTCGAGGGGCGCCCAGGCTTCCAGCTCGGGGTGCTGGACCTTGACGGCCACTCTGCGCCCTGTATCTTTGATGGTCGCCAGATGCACCTGCGCAAGCGAGGCGGCGCCAATTGGTTCCTCAGAGAACTCAGAAAAGTAGTCCCATAGATCTTCGTTGGTGTCCCTCCGGAACATGTCCTGGATGGATTCAAAGGATGAGACGGGGCACTTGTCCTGCAATGGTATAAAGGTCGTCGTCCACTCGGGAGGTAGGAGGTAGTTCATGGCACTCTGTCACCGCCGCGTCAGTCGCTCCTCGTCCAGCTGCATCGCTCGAGTGCGTTCTCGTCTTACCAGGTGCTGTCCCAGCTTGATAAAGATGCCGCCGTTCTTCTCCAGGACCCTGAGGGTGCGCTCGGCGCATCGCTTGTGGCAAGCCTTGAGCAGCTCCGCCTGCCTTTCCGGTTCCTCAACCGACGACTTTGCGTTCAGCGTCGTCCGGTAGCTGTTGAACTCGAGTTAGTCCGCTGTCTCGCCTTCCAGACATCGATGCGCAACTCACTCATTGATACAGACGGCCAGCGCGACAACGACCCTCCCCGTCCTCTCCGCAGCCTCGTAGCTGTTCTTGATCTCGTCGGTAAACGCCAGCGCCGCCGTCCCAGCCGCCGCCCCGGTCGACGCAAAGAGAATCAGCCGGGCGTTCGGCCCAGACTTTGCGCCGTCGTGGGCTTTCCCTTTGCCCTGCGACCACGTCCGTCCAGAGGCGAATCGGCGCGCGATAGAGTGTCGAGGCGGCGGCTTAGTCGCAGTGCGAGCCAGTTGGCCGCGACAGATGGAGCAGGTCCATGATGATGTTCGGTCACCTATGCGAGCCGTCGCAAAGGTCGATCTCGAAAGGATGTTCATTGGTGGTGCCGAGGGGCTTCTTTTAGGGATGTGTCGACATGGAGTGGATTTCAATGGGCGCGATTCGGCATAGGTATTATATATAAAAGGTATATCGTGGCAAATGGTAGTAACAGATAGAAACGAACAGGTACCTATACACAGAGCGCCTGCCTTTCGCTTCCAGAGAGTAACAAAGGAAAGAAGCAATGGAAATCAAGTAAGCAGCCAATCCACTTCAGGTGCTTGTCGCAATTATCATGGCGCAATAATACTGGGAAAAAAGAGGAAGGGAGATCATATACAAGGTAAAAAAATAAGGGGACGCACGATAATAGTAGTCTATTTTTGTTGGGACGTCTTTTTTGCGGTGGATAATTTTGGCGGCCTTCGAACGACATCATCGCCAGATTTTCGCCCGCCGGCTCCTGATTCGCCCGATAGTCCGCGCTGTCGCCCGTCTCTGACATGTGCGTCTGCAGCACGTGATTGCGCGACTGATGCACCGCGTCGGCCTGTTTCGTGTAAAGCTGAGCCGAACTTGCAGCTGGACGGGGAGTGAGAAGAGACGAGACATGAACAAGAACAAGACCGGGAACAAGCTCATTGGTATATTGTCATCTTGCTCAAGCCTAGCAAGGAAGAAAGAGGATTATTTGACGGGCTCTATTGAATATCACACCGCTTTTCAAGGCTTTTTGTCTCTTGTCTTGTTCTTATCGACCACTCGGAAGTTCATGCAACCGCCGTCAGAACAACCCGCCCCAGACACGAACAAGATGCTGTCCTTCACGCCAAAGCCCGTCTTCTCATGGGACAACCGTCCCGCCGTCTCCTCCCCGCTATCCTCATCTCCAGTCCGCGCCTCATCGCCTCTTTCTGCCGCCGACGAGCCGGCGCAGAGCAGCCACCCTCGCCAGATCCAGTCGTCGCCCATCAGGCCCATCAACTTCAAGTACCAGGCGCGTCCCGCGCGGCCGAACCCCGTCATCAAGAGGCGCGAGGAGGCCCAGGAGCAGAGGCGGCGCAACTTTCTGCAGAACGTCCGCCAAAAGGCCGAGGACAAGTCCTGGCAGAGGAGAGACATTGAGGGCCAGGTAAGCAACTGCAAATGCCATTACTGGATGGGATGGCTTGTCTGCTGTGACGTGGATTTACTGACGTTTTCAACCTAGTTTCTCAAGACAAACTGGCTTGCTAACGTCGGCCGTCTGTCCTATGATGCCCCCTCGCTGTCTGAGGCGGATATCGAGGATGCCATGGCCTTTTCGCAGGAGTCTGCGCAGCCCCAGATGGACGACGACTTGATTCCGGAGGAGCTCGTCGAGGAGGAGCACATGCTTACGTCTTACGAAGAGGAAGTACTGGCTCAACGAGGGCATGCGCTGCCCACTCTGGCCGAGGAGAGCGATGAGTACGACGACATATTTGCCGAGCTCATCTCACAAGAGCAGCATCTTTCACAGCAGCATCATTCGTCGCAGCCTTCAAGCCAGATGGATATTGATTAATTGGATCAGCGCTCGGAAAATCTGGTCACGTCAGAACGGCGAGATGTCCGCACATTGGCGATATGGAGTTTGGTAACTAGTTTCAGGGCTCTCTTGGAAGGGAATTCCACTGGCGTTTGGGTTTGGTATACGGCGGAATGTGCTTGCATTTAGAGTGCGCACTATGGGTATATATGAGTGAGTGTGCGCGTGTATATGAGGGCATTGTGGCAATTATATGATAATGATTTATTGCGGGGTGCACTGGTCTTCTGCCGAGTTGAATGCTTCCTGAGCAGAGGCCATGTCCCCGACCAGGTCTGACGGTGGCGAGCCTGCTGCTTGCATCTGATAGGTGTTAGTCGTCAAACATGTACAAACAAGAACGGGGGGGACACTCAAGTACTGACCTTCTGCATCCTGTCGACGATGTACTCCCTATCGGCCGCGTTAGAGTCCGAGTAGGTGGGCTCGTTAAACTTGGCCACAATCTCCTCTACAATGACCTTTTGCTCCATGTATCTCTTCAGATCGTCGGCGGGAACCGAGTCCTTGTTCTTGGCGATCCAGGCGGGGAACTTGTCGTGCAGCTCCTTCATCGGCTCGTACAGAATCTCCTTGTTGGTCAGCTGCTCCATCATGCCCATGAGCATCTTGGAAAAGTCCTCTTCGCTGCCGCCCGCAAACTCGCCAGACGTCAGCTGCTTGAGCATCTCGGAGAGGAAGTCATCGTCGCCTCCCGCCGCCGCCGCCGCGGTAGCTTGCTCGCCAGAAGCATGCATGCGCTCCATGGTACGGCGGATGGTGTCCTGAAATGCCGCGCCACCGGAGCCTTCACGAGGCGGCTGAGGGGTTCCCGTCGAAGGGATGGCCGGGGCAGCGGCCGGAGCAGCGGCCGGAGCAGGTGCGGCGGCACTGGAGGTGGCGCTTGGGGCGGGCGTGCTCTTGTCTTTGCTGCTGGATTGCTGCTCCTGTTGCTGCTCCTCCTCTTCCATCGCGGCGCCCATTTCTGCGCCCATCTGCTTAAACATCTCTTCGAACTGAGCTTGCAGCTCGGGCTGTCGCAAAGAATTCAGTGTCAGCATCGAGGTCGTTGCGCGGAAGAGTTATAAGTCCACATACAGATTGCTCCAAGTTAGCCAACAAACCGGCTATGCCTGCTTGCATCCTCTTTGTAACCTCCTCTTCTGACATGTTGTCGTAGTCGAGCTCCGCGGCTTCAGGGCCTTCTTTTAACGTGTCGTCGTTGATCATCTCCTGTCGAACGGCCTTGAAGCCGTCAAGTAACTCTAGACATGGCTGAAGTCAGCATCATGTTGCACACCCAATTGGCAACATCCGAGGAGAGCAGAAGCAAGCATACCGTCGAGATCATCCAGGTCATCCTCGTCTGGATCGGGAACATCGTCAACATCGTCCGATACCGTGGCCGCAGGCGGCGCCGCTGCAGCTGCAGCTGTTGTCGGTGCCGGTGCCGGTGCCGGTGCTGGCTGAGCCTCTCCTTGTTTCGCCCCAGACTCTTCCCGCTTCGTCGGGTCTGCCGCCTCAGACGGGGAGCTCATTGTGCTTCTCGTTCACGATCGGAGTGTCGTCGACGCAACAAGCCACATGCGCAAGATTCGGTATTGCAGACGTTCGGTCTAAGCTGCGGCGCTAATGGAGGGGGAGGAGACGAGCAAAGTTGGAGCTTCTGAGGAGGAATCGCAATAAGCAATGGCGGTACAAAGAAAAGCGCTGGGTGTCACAGCAGCCGCAGCAACAGCAACAGTATCCAAAACAGAAACGGTGTGGCCGTGGCCAGATGTGAAAGTAGAGGTGCAACCAGGACGCTTTGGTGCTTGTGCTATCTACTAATGTTGTATGTTCTCAAAGTTCCAGAGCTCGGCCCGTGGTTGGTGACATGCAGCGTCACCACAGACGAGCCGAGGGAACAGCTCGCTGCCCCGCGACGCCAGACAGCCGCTGTGTCAGTCCTCGTCAGCGGCCGGCTTTAGGGGATACGTCCGCTGTAGGCCTCGCTCCCCAGGCCTGTGCAGCCCTGTAGCCTGGTCCCTGCACCGCTACACCGTCGCGCGCTGCCCCGCCGCCGCAGGTCATCAAGTGACCGGGACATGGAGGCTCTTTTCGCTACGATTGACTGCAAGGGACCGACGGGACTCAAGAGATCTCTGCCCTCCCAGGGAATCGCACTAGGCAGATCGCGGCGCTATCCGCAGCCTCGCCTTTATCCCGGGCTTCTTTTTCCATCCATTTTTAATCCGACTGTTTGCCTCTTCTATCATCTTCCGCCATTCTAATTCACGCCCTGGGTTTGTGTTGTCCCTCTTCTTTCTTCCCTCACGAGATTCTCAACAACGACAAGGCGTTTTTCCTTTCTTCATCCGTGCAAGATCCGTCGTCACCTGCAGCAGGCAGTTCGACGCTTACCCACCGGGTGAGGCAGCGCGACTACCATCACGTCTCGGGATCCGTTGTTGGACAATATTGTCTAGCAGTCCACCATGGCTCTTTGCCAGAACAGGTTACAGGAGGAGCGGTAGGCGATGCAGACTCTTCACAGCGCCTCAGATGGATCCACGATGCTGACGGATACCCAACCCTTAGCAAGCAATGGCGACGTGACCACCCGTTCGGATTCTTTGCCAAACCGTCCCGGACAAAGGAGGGCGTGCTCGACCTGAAGAACTGGGAATGCGGAATTCCGGGCAAGGAAAAGACGATCTGGGAGGGAGGGTTGTTCAAGCTCAACATTGCGTTTCCCGACGGTGAGTGCTCGCCGTGCCTAATAACGTCTTGGTTGGGCAGAAACTGACATCAGTCCCGTTTGTCCAGAGTACCCAACAAAGCCGCCGAAATGTGAGTACAGACATCGATCCCAGGTGCTTTACGGTGTCAATCGGTATCTAACTGTACTGGCAGGCAAATTTGTCCCTCCGCTGTTCCATCCCAACGTCTACCCCTCGGGCACCGTCTGCCTGTCGATTCTCAACGAGGAAGAGGCCTGGAAGCCGGCCATCACGGTCAAGCAGATTCTTCTGGGCATCCAAGACCTGCTCAACGACCCCAACCCCGAGTCGCCCGCCCAAGCCGACGCCTACAATCTGTTCAAGAAAGACAAGATCGAGTACGAAAAGCGCATCCGGCGCGTAGTTCGCGAGAATCCGGCGCCGTAAAGTCTCTTCTTCTCGACAAGCAGATGGGCACACTACCTTTTTTTTTTTTTCTTTTTTCCCTTGCCTTAGCATTCTAGACGAGGAGGACATTCTGATTGAGAAGATTGGTCATGGCGTTGGATGGGGCAATACCAGGACAAAATGGTTTTCGATTTTCATCTTGTGTTTTCCTTCTTTTTATTGGCAGATTCAACGAAAGATTGGTATCGCGGTGGCTACAGCCGGCTTGTGAAGTTGAATCACCAGATGGAGACGGTATCAGAAACGGGGTAGCATCGGAGACGCTGCTCCAGTTTCACGGGCTGGGCATGACTGTTCGTTCGGTCCGACGGAAGAGCGTCCGCCGCAGATACTGGCACGTTAGTTAGTTTAGTAGCATTTGAGAGAGAGAATTTACAGACACAGTCCGGAATAGATCTATGGAGCTATGGAGAAGCAGAATAACCTTATAAGTGAAATTCATGTCATGTCGTCAGATGATCCGGACAATATCGCCCGCCCTGTTTGATATCATCAAGGGCATAGAAGAGCCATATCCCAGTTCGCCACGTGCATATTCTTCAATGGGATCTGCCTGATTCAGACCTCCGAGATACGGCTTCCATACAAGTTAGCACAGCTACTCTTACTACCTAGTAGGGACGACCTCGAGAATAGTAATGCCACGTTGTGAGACAGAGTGTCCCTATACTGCAGGGCCGTGGAAGGTGAATCATCTTGTACCCTCGACCGGCCGTTGGCGATAAGCCGTCAGCACGGCCGCTCTCTTCTAGGGAGGTCGTTGCAAAGCTGATACATGCTCATACATACCACTGCATTCCCAGCTTCCACACCAAGGGCAAAAAAGCGGCTCAGGGTCCCCCCAAATTCCCTTATCAGCAGCCATCCAGACGCCCACCAGGTCGTTGGCTTTAGGTAATTGCCACTGGCCGCCAATGACCGTCGAGGCAAAGGCGAGACAGCTGGGGGGAAAAGGTGACTCTTGAGCATTAGCCGAAGTCGGCCGGGCAAAAAAACCGATTAGCTCGGGCCTGGGCGTCGTTAAAACTCTGGGTAAGAAGCACAAGTAGATAGAAAAAGACTGGAGGTGCGTGGCTACGAAACAAGAGTCATGACCATTTATACTATCCGACTATAGTCTCGCCGCTCTAAAACTTTCTAGCAACCTACTACCTACCTGGACCAGACTTCTTCCTTTCTTCTCTCTGCACCTCTCGTGAGAATTTTCGTGTAACTCATTGAGGAAGCATTGTCTCGTCAACCAACCGCAATCATGTGTGGCATTTTCGCTTGCCATTGGTACGTCGCAACCTGCTGCCCTGGTCTTCTTTCGCCCGGCGATCGCGTGCAGCGGACAGAGGCAACTTGTACCTCTCTAATCCTTCCCACACACGGTGGTTTTTGGAGGGGCATTTTGGAGAACCTCGACACCCCGCCATCGCTTCGGCTTATCGCGAACAAGACACGGAGCCAGAGCTGACAGATTCTCTGCGTCCAAACAGTCATCCCGACGTCCAAAAGTTCAAGCCGACTGCGCTGAAACTGTCCAAGGCGTGAGTACATGCAGTATCTGCCGATGGAAGCTTCAATTGACAAGTATATGCGTCAGGATTCGACACCGCGGACCCGATTGGAGTACGTTTGATCCGATTGATTCGATTCTATGCTATGATGTATAGTGTAGCGAAAAGAAGAGCTGTTTGAGGCTGACCGTGGATGATTTTGGCTTCGGTTTCTAGGCGGCAGCGTCATCTCTCACAACACAAGTAAGTCTGCTGGCGACGAGGCGCATCGCATTGCGGGCTCGGGCTGACATTCCTCGCAGTCCTCTGCCATGAGCGTCTCAGTATCGTTGGTGTTGGTAAGTCTTGCTCCTCGAATGCGAGCCCCGGCGCCCGCTCACACAGGAGACAGAGTCTGGCGCCCAGCCCCTGACCAACGCCGATGAGACCATCATCCTCGCCGCCAACGGCGAGATCTACAACCACCGACAGGTCCGGAAGCACTTGAAGGAGCCGTATCACTTCAAGACGACGTCCGACTGCGAGGTCATCATTCCCTTGGTAGGTCGCAGAGCGTTGAATACCTAGAGGGAGAAGTGTCCGGACTAACACGCTCTGCACCAGTACCTGGAGCACGACCTCGACGCCCCCAACCACCTGGACGGCATGTTCTCCTTTGTCCTGTACGACAAGAACCAGGACCGCACCATTGCCGCGCGCGACCCGATCGGCATCACAACGCTCTACCAGGGATGGTCATGGAAGGAGCCCGGCGCGGTGTACTTTGCCTCGGAGCTCAAGTGCCTGCACCCCGTCTGCGACAAGATCGTTGCCTTCCCCCCCGGCCACGTCTACGACTCAAAAACCGGCCAGACCACCCGTTACTTCAACCCTAGCTGGTGGGATCCCACCAACGTCCCCTCTGCCCCGGTTGACCTGATGGCCATCCGAACTTCGCTCGAGGCGGCCGTAAGAAAGCGCTTGATGGCTGAAGTACCCTACGGTGTGCTTCTCTCCGGTGGTCTCGACTCCAGTCTGGTTGCGTCTATCGCGCAGCGGGAGATGCTGAGGCTCAAGAAGAAGGCTGAGGAGTCCAACGGCACGGCCACCCCGGCGGAGGCCGACCCTGATGCGGGCGAGGGTCTCGTCGGTGTCGACGACGACGACAACCTGTCCACCGTTACCTACCTCCCGCAGCTCAACTCCTTCTCCATCGGTCTGCCTGGATCCCCTGACAACAAGGCCGCTCTCAAGGTTGCCAAGTTCCTCGGCACGAAGCACCACGTCATGACCTTCACCATTGAGGAGGGTCTCAACGCCCTGTCTGATGTCATCTACCACTTGGAGACGTACGACGTCACGACCATCCGAGCTTCAACACCCATGTTCTTGCTGTCACGCAAGATCAAGGCAATGGGCATCAAGATGGTCCTCAGTGGCGAAGGCAGTGACGAGATCTTTGGTGGCTACCTCTACTTCCACGCCGCCCCTAGCAAGGAGGCTTTCCACGCGGAGACGGTCCGCCGTATCAAGAACCTGCACCTTGCGGACTGTCTGCGAGCCAACAAGTCCACCTCGGCTTGGGGTCTCGAGGCGCGAGTGCCTTTCCTGGACAAGAAGGTATGTCGAAACTCACCTTGGCTTCTCAACTTGGAAACATCACCCTTGTGCTAACAAATTTCTATTAGTTCATCGAGACTGCCATGAGCATCGATCCCCAGGAGAAGATGATTACCAAGGACAGGATGGAGAAGTACATCCTCCGAAAGGCTTTCGACACGAGCGACGAGCCCGACACTCCGGCCTACCTGCCCGACTCCATCCTGTGGAGACAGAAGGAGCAGTTCTCCGACGGTGTCGGATACGGATGGATCGATGCCCTCAAGGACAACGCCGAGCTACACGTCACCGACGAGATGCTCAAGAACCCCAAGGCCGAGTGGGGAACCGACATTCCGGACACCAAGGAGGCGTACGTATTGTGGAAAGGGCAGCAGAATGTCATGGCACAAGGCTAACTCGCGACCCAGGTACTGGTACCGCCTCATGTTTGACGAGCACTTCCCTCCTCGCTGTGCTTCCACCGTCGAGCGATGGACGCCTACTTGGTCCAAGCAGACGGACCCCAGCGGCAGGTGCGTATTCTTATTCTTCTCCTCCTCCGTTTGCATTGATCAGGGTCGAGGGAAGTTCAAGTCACTAACATGTGCTTTGCAGAGCCATCGCTACCCACAACGCCAAGTACGAAACTGCCGAGTAGATGGCTTGAGTGTGGTATTGCTGGAGGCTGGAAGGAACTTTGACTTGGGAGATCAAAAGACACACTATGAGGGTAGTAGACAGAAAAGCAAAGAGTATAGAACAGACAAAAGGTCTCCAATGGCGGGTAGTCGGTACTTTGTAGTGCTGTGTATATACCCGAGGTGCGGACATGGCTCGGCATTGGAGAGAAATACACATGGAGCGCAATTGCGCCATTGCTCGACTTGACGACGTGTATCAGCTCGGATGGATCTGAGTATGAGGTGTTCTGCTGGTCGTACGCACGCGACGATGGCCAATAATGAAAGGGTCGGGTTAGGATCGGCCTATAATACTACTGTATATCACAGAGATCCGAGGATGGCGGCTTAACATCTGGTGGTTGATATTAGTACTACTAAGTGAGAGCTTGCCCCGCGTAAGCAGGAGAGACACAGCACGCGTCCAAGCTGCCAAAGCTGTCAATGCAGAGATGTAGCACTATTACTAGGTGTGCATTTGCTATCAGATAAATTACAGTACGAGCAATAATGCAACAAGCAACAACTCGAACTCTCAGCTCATTGCATCATCGCGAACATTGCCCTCAATCTCCTTTCCCAGCTCTCTCTCTCTCCCCGTCTCCCCCCACGTGGCCTCAATGCCGTCCAATTGAGTTCGGCCCGACATCAGCCGACGCTGCTTCTCCCGCCTTCCCCCAACCAAAAACCGGCCCGGCCAATCAGGCGCCGCGGCTGCGCCCAAAACATTTTCCCTCTCCAAACCTCCAAACTAAGAACCTCTTCCCTCTTGGCCTGATCCTATCAGCACACCGCAATTGCTCCAGCCTCTTCCCCTTCGTCACCAGCTCTCAGCTTACCGTCTTCCTCTCTCTTCTTCCTCTCCTCACTCCAAAACACCGCCAAAATGTCCATCCCCGCCTTCTCCGACATTGCCAAGCCGGCCAACGACGTATGCGCTCCTTTCCACGCCGCTTCTGTTGCTTGTGTTTTTATTTTCTCGCTGCCGTCCCGGCGTTGCTTTACCCCCTCGGCTATATAGCTCCAGGGGATAGCTTCCAGCTGCTGCGGCGACAGCGTCTCTCCCGACTTACAGACGATGACGACTGACGTGTGCTTCTTTCTTCTTCGCGCTCTATAGCTCCTCAACAAGGACTTCTACCACCTGTCCGCCACCACCTTCGAGTTCAAGGACACCGCTCCCAATGGCGTCGCCTTCAAGGTGACTGGCAAGTCCAGCCACGAGAAGGTCACCTCTGCTGCTGTAAGTCTTCCTCCTACTCGCCCAATGCCGAGCTCTGCCTCTGTGTGTCTCTGTTCGCCCTAACTCCCCCGGCCATTGTCCGAGGGCGAACGGGGCGCATGTCGCGGGGTTGGAATCCAAGATTGCAGAAGACTGACTGGTGCCATTGCCATGGAATAGATTGAGGGAAAATACACCGACAAGCCTACTGGTACGGCCTCCTAACCAGCCCAGTCCCAACTGAAACACGCTGTCTTCTTCAACCCCCTAGCGCGCTCTTCCGACGCTCGCCGCCGCATGCAATTCCGAGGCCAATGACGATGCTAACGCAGCTCCGCGCCCATAGGCCTGACCCTGACCCAGACCTGGAACACCGCCAACGCCCTGGACACCAAGATCGAGGTCAGCGACTCGCTCGCCAAGGGCCTCAAGCTCGAGGGTCTCTTCAACTTCCTGCCCGCCACCGCCGCCAAGGGCGCCAAGTTCAACCTGTTCTTCAAGCAGCCCGGCTTCCACGGCCGCGCCTTCTTCGACCTGCTCAAGGGCCCTACCGCCAACGTCGATGCCGTTGTCGGCAACGAGGGCTTCCTGGCCGGTGCCAGCGCCGGCTATGATGTCAACAAGGCTGCCCTGACCGGCTACAGCGCCGCCGTCGGCTACGTCGCTCCCCAGTACAGCGCCGCCATCACCGCCACCGACAACCTGAGCACCTTTGCCGCTTCCTACTACCACAAGGTCAACAGCCAGGTCGAGGCCGGTGCCAAGGCCACCTGGAACTCCAAGACCAGCAACACCGTCGGCCTCGAGGTCGCCAGCAAGTACCGCATTGACCCCGTCTCCTTCGCCAAGGTTCGTTTTTTTTCTCCTCCGCCCCAACCGCCCTATTTCTGTGAGACTCCGCTGACACCTTGTTTTCCCCCAATCAACAGGTCAAGATCAACGACCGCGGTATCGCTGCCCTTGCCTACAACGTCCTCCTCCGCGAGGGTGTCACCCTGGGTCTCGGTGGCTCTTTCGACACCCAGAAGCTCGACCAGGCTACCCACAAGCTCGGTGCTAGCTTCACCTTCGAGGGTTAAGCCTCCGAAACCCCTGCCGATCGCCTCTACGATCATTGACATTCCATATATGTATACAATGTACATGTGAGCTGTGAGTGATGAGGTGGGCCTGGTTGCTTTTCCGCGACTGCGTCCCCGATTGAGTTGCCCCTGAAGGGCTCACACGCTGCCCCAAAGGGAGACTCGCGATTTGATCTCTGGTGGGTAGATAGATGCCATTCTTTGTCTTCTTCGAGCAACTGGGGATCAAGCAAAAAAACAAAAAGGAAATAAAGAGTATTTTGCGCAAGTGAAACAATGCGGTTGCCGGTCGTTCTGTCTTGTTCTGTTGTGTTACTGCTCCGTTCTGTGATGCTTTTTTTTTTCTTTCTTTGCGCTCTGCTGGTATTTGAAAAGTATGATGATGCAAATATGTGTATATTAGCACACGCTCGTTGTCTCTATCTCAACCGCCTGTGTATTGATAGGTACTCTCTTTAATGATGATATGCTCATCCCTGTATCGTCACGTCTCTATCTATATCGTACAAGACACGTTCACCCACTTTTACTCCGTAAAGAGCACACCACAGCTCCTATCCTTCTGCGCTTTCCCCCCTCCCCCTCCTCCCTCGTCTTCACCCACCCTCCTCCTTCTTCCTCCTCCCCAGCCGCATAAACTGCAAATACACCGCCGGCGCCACAAACGTCGCCGCCAAGATACCCGCCACGATCAAGAAGTGGCCGGCCAGGCTCGTCTGCGGCTCGAACTCGATGCCGTCGTCGCCGACGGCCCTCCGCTGGCGCTGCCACCGGCGGCGGTCCTGGTGCTCGTGCGTCCGGGCGTGGCCCGCCCTGTCCCAGTGCGGCGGCACGTCCCTGTCGTCGTCCTGCCGGAACGGCGACGAGCCGGGGCCCATGCCGCCGTATGTACCACCACCTCCTCCTCCTCCTCCTGACGAAGAAGAGGAAGTGTGGGCGTGGTGAAAGGCGCTCGTGTCCCAGGGGTTTGCGCGCGTTGACGATGACGATGACGATGATGCGGCGCCGCCGGTAGACTCTTCGTGCGCTTGGTGTCGCTTCTCGGCGTGCGCGCCATATCCGCCGCTGCGATAGAAGCTCGGCGGGGGTCCGCGGAATGTTCCCCTTCGACGGCTCAGGCCGGAGGGGGGACGGCCGCCGGCGGGATTAGTGCTGTGGTAGGATCCATGATGGTGGTGATGAGGATGGTGATGTCCATGGTGCCCGTGCCCGTGCTCGTGCAGGCGCAGGACGTCGCGGTCGTAGGTTGCTCGGCGCGAGGCGTTGGAGAGGATGGTGTAGGACTCGGACAGGAGGGAGAAGTTGTGCGAGGCGTTTGGGTCGGAGCGGTTCGCGTCGGGGTGGTGCGTTTTGGAGAGGGCGTAGAAGGATCTTTGAACGGTGTCAGTTTGAGATGTTTTTTTTTTTTTTGTCTTTAGGTGGGCTTTTTTTCGGGAGAGAGAGAGAGAGAGAGAGGTTTCTTGTTTTCTAATACTTTTTGATCTCGGCGGGCGTCGCATTCGTCGACACCTTTAGCCGCTCGTAATGATTCTTGCCCTCGAGGGCGCTCTTCCTCAGATGCCTCGACGCATGAAAGCTCCGCTTCCCATCCACCTCGAAGAAGAAGAAGAAGAAGAAGCCACCGCAATGACCAAGACTGGCTGGAGAATCAAGCCGGCATCGTCCGTGGAAATGCGCCCTCGGGACGACATCTCCCGCGTTCACGCAAAGCCGCCGCCGTGACGACAGTGTTGGCAATTGCACCAGGGAAGAGCTCGGGACGGCGGCGAGAGTGTGCGGGAAGCGGGGTGGCATGCCTTGCGTATCCTCATTACTTGTTCTCGGGAGGCGGGAAAGGAAGAAGGAGGATTGAGGTCGGGGAGAAGAGAGAAAGGGCGATAAATCGTTATCTGGTGTGTCGTCTAAGAGAGAAGTGATCGCGGGAGGTGATGTAATCGACGGTGGCGGGTCTCCATACATGTACCCGTATGCAATCCCAGAGTTTTGAGCCGGTAGCGGGGCGGAGACTTACATGTTGGCTATGCCGTCACAAGCAACCATTTTGACAGTAAAGAAAGAAAGGTGCATCAGATTGATCACTGCTGATTGTATTCAGGCATCAGAATGTATGTGGACTGTGTATCTTCAAGTCTAAGCAGATGTCACCAAGCTTCATGAATCTCCAATGGTGTCTTGATGAGCCGATATCAACATGGCCCTCCATCCAAGCACGCGGTTCTCACTCGTCTCTTATACCCTAACCTTGTAGGTAGTATCACGATTTTTCCAAAAGACACACGCAAACATCACCGCCCAAAACAAGCCAGCCTCCGACGGCCTTATTTACACAGCCGGCCTCTTGAATGGATGGGCTTCCGTGTTGAAAACCCACTTGTCCAGGTCAATGGCGCTTTCGTCATCGAATATCAGGTAAAAGTACTTGAGTGTCTCGGCCAGCCAGAATGTCTGTAGTAAGTAATTGTTTGTTAGCTTGCTTGCCGTCCGCTTCGATCTTGCAAAAGTTGGGCAGTCGAGGGTATAAAGCTCACCTCCATAACATCGCCATTTCCGCCCATGCGAACCGTAACGTCTTCCACAATGGCAAACGCGTGCTCCGTCTCCGCCTCCCGGACAATGTTCTCCCACATTCTCCAGGCCGTGTCCCTCCAGACCTGATCGCCCGTGATACGCCACATGTAAAACACGCTCTCAATAGCTTCTGGCCGCAAGAGATAGTGTCTGCTCTTGACGTGTATGAAACCATGCGGTCTCCTGCCGTCAGGATCAACGGGCGCTTTGACCTCATCGTACGGACAGGGCCCATCAAGCTTCGCGCAAGCTGCCATATCTGCCGATTCGGGCATGATGCCGGAGGGGAAAGAGTCATACGCCCATACACAGCCGGATGAAATACGTGAGCCCAGGTCGACGTAGTCGTCTCGCTTGAACAGCTTGCCGGCCATTGCGTACATGCCGCCGGCGAAGCACGTGAGGTGTTGCATCTCGGTAATCCGCTGAACATTGCCGTGGTCAACCAACGCATTTCCCAGTGCCAAGATGTTGTCCCCCTTTTCAGTCATGGGGCGGAACAGCAGGTTGTCCCTGGCGGTATCGAGCGCCCTGATGGCCATTTCTGGGTACTGGGGGTCCAATCCACCGAGAAGAGCAGGCATCTTGACCAGATACTCGTACAGGGAGTCTGCGCTGCCTCCCATGGAATATCGACTTTCAACCATTGTCTCTTCGCGGTAGTTCATCATAACTGGCCACATGCCGGGGAGCGTGGTTTCGTTCTGGAAGCGGTAGAAGAATTGCTTGATGCGCTCCGTGGCATCGTAATACTTGGGGTCGCCCGTAATCTGCGACAGGCGAGTAAACTCCATGCAGAGGGTGCCACCGGCAGCGCCCGACATGCTGTCGTCGGCGCGTTGGGTGCCCTTCTTGGCCTTGCTGTAGTCGAGCCAGTGAGACGGCAGGCGATTTGGTGTGTCAAACGTAGCGTAGAGGGTGTCGCCAAGTTCAATGGCTTTTGCGCGCAAGACGGGCTCCTGGGAAAGATCGTACGCGGCAATCAGACCGCCGAGATATCGAATCGTCACCTCGAATAAGTTGATCACCTTGTTGTCCTTGGTCTTGGACCAGTCAATCACCGCCACCTCTTTGACGGCGAGGAAGAAGTCGTCCTTGAGATCCATGATCCACAGGGTATCCAGGGCATCCACGAGCTGTGCCGACCACCCGCTGAAGGTCTCCTTGCCACTGAGCGAAAGCGGCTGCAGCTGGTCCTTGGTCCAAGCGTATGTCTTGTACGCCTCCCAGCTCTTGACAAAGGCATCCTTGACAGCCTGCTTCCGGGCCTTGGTAGTGTCGTCCTGGGCCTCCGACTGGTTCCTGAGCTGCAACCTGGGAAAGGTAACGGGCGTGCCCTGGGGAAGTGTCTTCATGTCCTTGACAGGATAGTAGACTTTGGCCTTGCTCCAGTCATAGCTGCTGGGCACGTACTTGAACCTGCCGACGGTGGCTGTTCGAGGGACAAAGTCATAGCCGCTCCAGAGCAAGAAGGCGACAAAGAAGGCAAAGGCCACGAGGGCGATGTAGCGGCGAGGGACTCGGCCCTGCAGCTGGTTCAACATGGCGACTTTTGTTGTTTCCTTATGACGGGTACATGGTTTCGTTTATACCAAATGCCAATGTTTCCAAGACAGATCCCGATCAAGCCGCGGGAGGAGATAGTCAGGGCTGGCTCGAGGTTCGGTCAACTTGGGGGAATAGGGAGCGAGCGTGAGAATAATGCAGTAACCAAAAGAGCACCGCACACCGCAGCGCCAAAGGAACAAGAAGCAAGCAAAAGACGAACCACGGCAACGCAGAAGCGGAGGAGGGAGAGGAGGAAAAGGAAAAGAAAAGGACTGGGCAGAGACGAGAGGTGAGCAAGTATTACCTATTAACAATGTAAGCAGCAGCCAATAGGGCCGTCACCGTCTGGCGGGAAGCTGCGGTCCTTCTTGGGCCTTGGCAGCCCGTCTTGGCACAAAGTCCCCTATAAAAGCGGCTACTGTTAGGTACCTAGGTATGAATTATTACTGGGAGGATGCTACTGTACATAGGTAAGTAGTAGAGGGCTGTGCTGGATGAGACCCCCCTGTAAGGATGATGTGCCACTGGTACTTTTAGCCGTTCAGCTGCCCCCAAATCCGGACATGCAAATACCAGCGAGATCCTTGAATACGCCTCTTTTCATGATGCGTCGATTACACATCAATGAGAGTATCGTAATATCACCTTTACGCAGTGTGGCCTGTCATGCTGATCTGATAGCTTGCCTTTCAGGTCTCTAGGTATTCAAGTCTGGTATCAATCACTGCCGAATCACTGTTCCTTCTCCCCCTTGTCAGCCCTGTCCCGTTTACCAGAGTCCAGTCGCCGGAATACGCTCCAACCCTCCTTTGCCCTCATCCTTTCCCAAAACTCGCCCCAAATCCGCACAAAAAAACGCCACACCCAAAGAAACAACCCCCCCCCCCCCCCCCAAAGAATGCGGAGGACGGCGTCGCCTTGTCTCATTGGCTGCTCTTACACATTGGTACCATAACCCCTCCATTATGTATGTCCGTGGGCGGAAACTCCCGCTTCTTGTGCAGAGACGGATTGGTGATGGAGAATTGGCTTAATCCAGGGTAGTCATTGTCGCCACTGAATATGTCAGATTGTGACAGCTTGATATGTGATTAAAACCCTTTACATCAATTTCACAGCGACGTCAGCGTTTTGGCTACCCAACTCAAAAAGAAGGTTACTCAAAGCTCACTACACTCCTTTTCCAGTTACCCGCCTGCTTAAGGTATGTAGAAAGGAGGAGGAGTTATGCTTTAGCAAGAAGCATACACAGACTTGTCCAACCTTTCCCCCCCAGCACGACCCCTTTTGCTTCCCTTCGCTTCACTGCCACCAGCACTCCATATTTCCAAACCGCCTTCATTGTTTGGTCACACAAGTACCTACCAACAGGATGCGGGCTGCCTCCGAGCCGCGAACACAGAAGGTATCTGCAAGAGATCCGCACGCATGAATAAGAATCACACCGCTATCCCTGATAGACATGATAGGTGCCCACGTAGTCCTGGGTACAGTAACCCCTTTGAAGAGTATATCTACACCAAACGGCAATGGTTCCTCTCCACAGGTTCAAGTGAGTGCCACCTTGGTACCGATTATTCTTGGGGGGGGGGGGGGGGGGGCAACTAAGAGGGTTGCTTGCATGCCGTGCCATATATATACTCGTAGACGTCAGAGATCAGAGATCGTTTCACCCTTCTGCTGGACAAGCCTCAAGAGTCTCACCAAGACTTGCATATGATTCACGTCTCACCAAGACTGTCGATATTCAAGGAATGACTGATTTTCTTCTGACTAGTTCAAGTAAAAGAGAGCGTCTAATAGTTGGCGGTAATTAACATCAACTTGCATCTTCCAGATAATCGTCGGGCAACGGCCGGGAAGTTTGCCAGTGCGTTCGTGTTGGGCAGAAGCTCTCAGAACTAGCGAGCTGCCAACGCATGGCTCTCCATTCCGGCAGTCTGCGCTCGACATCGCCTCACTGCCCCGTCGAATAAAACAAAGAATTCTCAATCCCTCCTCGCCACACCATGGCCGCCCATACCCTGCTGCTCGTCGTGTACCTCGAAAGAACAGTCACAGAAGCTGTCACTGCCCATTTTCGTGAATGGCGAGAGTCAAGCATGTTTCCTCGACAAGCCTTGACCAGAAGCACACCTCATCTCGATGGTGTACCAGCTTCAACTCCGATGCGCGTCCGAAGCAATCAGCTGCATCACCAGACTCGGGGTGGTTGCATTCACCTTAAGTCTGTTGGAGAAATTTGCTTCTCCAACGACCGTTTCGGCGGAGCGGCTGTTGTAGCCATCACGATGTTGATGAGTCCCGTGACAGTTATTGCTCGTTAGTAGAGCCCTTTGGGGGATATCCTTATTCGCATCACTTGCTCGTGCAAGCAAGTTTTCCTTTATAGTCCTGCGTCTGTCACTCAATCGTAGCCTCCGCCGATCTGGCTGTGGAAAGCAGTGCTGATGCTCTTCTCGTCGTCGTCATAGCGTCGCCCATAACCGCTACCGAGTGTCATGCGGCCATTGCTTTCCACGTAATGCTTCAGCCGATCGCTCTGGCTGTACGAAACTGCTCGCATTCCCGTAACGACGTCGTGCAGGCCAGCTCCCAGACTGACGCCACCTTGGCCGATGCCCTTGGCGCCAATGACGCTGGCCGAGGCATCGGTCAGCTCAGAATTGGCCACGCTTTCGCCAGCAACGCTTTCGGGCGCTCGGTTGCGACTCTTATGTCCTCGTCCCGGCGCCGACACTCCAGGCAGCCCGGGCCACTGCTCGGGGGCAAAGCTGGAGAACATTGGTGGGAAAGCCGTGTTGAGAGCTGCGCCTCCAAAGGCCGAACCCTGAATCGACGACACATCGTCCGGAATGTACGAGACCATGGAGCCCGCATCAAAGTCGCGGCCGGGAGGACCGCCGTTGAGTCGGCCACTTTGCTGCCTCGCACCGGGATACTGGAACGGCTGGCTGTTCTTCTGGCGGTAGCTCACCCTGGGGCGGCTGAACTGCAGCAGGCAGGCCTGCAGGTTGGTGAGGGGTCCCTCGACGAAGCACTTGCGATCCTTGAAGTGGGTGAGAAGGTTGTGCCAAAGCTCATGCTTGGAGAGGACCTTGGGGTTGCCGAGAATGACAAGTCCGTATTTGGCTCGGGTCAGGGCGACGTTAAGACGGCGGGGATCCGACAAGAAACCGATGCCTTGGTTGTCATTGGATCGCACGCAGGACAGAACGATAAAGTCCTTTTCACGACCTTGGAACGCATCCACCGAGGCCACCTCGACATCCTTGTACCACTCCTTCTTGTACGAGCCCGAGTTCTGCATGGTCGAAACGATATAGCTGCGCTGGCCCTCATACGGCGTGATGACTCCGATTTCGGATGGCTTCACGCCGGCCTTGAAGAATCGCGTCACGGTCTTCTCAACGTTCGATGCCTCGGTCCTGTTCAAGTAGGAAGTGCCAGATGTGGAAATTTCTTCGTGGCCAATGTTGGACCAGAACATCATGGGCATCTCCGCAACGGGCCAGGGGAAGTCAACATCCTTGCGGATTCGTTGCTCGTGGGTGATACCATTCTGCAGAGTGCCGTCGTAAAACATGTTGGAAGGGAACTCCGAAAGGCATGGGTGCATTCGGTATTGCGTCTTGAGCGGGATCGGGTTGATCTTCAGGTTGATGAGTCGCTCAAACAGGGACCTGTTGAGACCGGCCTTGGCCGCCTTCTTGTTCATGATGACAGGGCCGAGTTGCTTGTGGTCACCGACCAGGACGACTTGCTTGCACCCGAGGACGAGAGGAATCATGCACTCGGGCTCGGCAGACTGCGTAGACTCGTCGATCAGGACATTCCGGAACTTCATCTTGGAGAGTCGCGGGTCGCCTGCGCCGACGCAGGTGCAGCAGATGACGTCTGCGTTGGTCAGGATCTCTCGTTCGGCAGCCTTGGTCAGTTGCCTCAGCTTCTTCTCATCCTGGCTCGAAAGTTCGCCGACTTCGCTTTTGAGTTGCGACAGCTTCACTAGCTCGGTGTTGTGCTCGGACAGGCGGACCTGCTCATGCAGAGCCAGGAAGCTGACAGACGACTCCACGTCTTCGCGCGACTTGGCCGTGAGCCGAACCACCTTGAGGCCAGTGCGGTGCACACGTTCGCAGAGCTGGTCCACGGCAACGTTCGATGGGGCGCACACCAAGACTTGGCTGCCGCTCATCTTCGCAAGGTGGTAGATGATGGTGGCAGAGGTCACGGTCTTGCCCGTTCCTGGGGGTCCCTGGATGAGGCTGAGGGGCTTCTGCAGAACGGCCCTGATCGCGTCAACCTGGCCCTGGTTCAGGTCAGGCAGCCCGGGAGCAGACCATTTCTTAGGTAGCGTAACTTTCATGGGCGGCGGCTGGCAGATGTGGCCGAGCAGGATGTGGAAGATGTATCCCGAAACACTCATATCGTCGACGGCAAATGTCTTCATGGCGAGTTGCATGCGATCGTACGAGGTGGCTTTCCAAACGTAGTCGGCCGAGAAGTTGTGAGAGAGATCAATCGGGACGGACTTGTCGTTGCCAGTCTTGCGGAGCTCGAGACAGACTTCGTCGGATTGACTGTTTGGAATCTTAATGACATAGCCAACTCCCTCCCATTCTTCTCGGAGCTCGCCGGTGTAGCGAAGTCGCATCTCGTCGCCGACTGCGAGCTTGACATCACCCGACTCGATTTTTTGCAGGTTGAAGCTGGCAATATGCTTGTTGTTGAGAGCGTAATCCCAGCGGACAGTCAGGCCGTCTTCCGACTGTGCTTCCTTGAGCTTCTTGTCATAGTCGGACTCCATCTTGACAAGGGGGCCAAAGATGTTTTGATAGTGGTACGGATCGTCATAGGTCAACTGAACGGGGAGAGGATCGTCGTCAATGTTGGAAGCCTTTTCCAAGTCTTCAATCGTCGCATCTGGCTCGAGCTTCCACATCTCTTCGAGCTTAGCAATCGTGTTCGGCGTAAGGTGGCGGGCGCGTAACTGTTCGGCATCGGATGGCGGGCTCACAAGCCACGGCAGGAATGCGCGCTCTTCGATGAGAGGCTCCCATCGCGAGGTGTCCCAGGCCATGTCCTTGTTCGAATGGGGGGCGGCGCAAGGTTGGCGACACAGCAAGACGACCACGGCATCGGATTTCGCAGGGATAAAGCCAAGAATGAAGACATTTTTCGTTCCACAGCTATAGCACTCCAGCACGGTGTCTCCGAGGGTCGATTCGGGATGTAGTTGAACTTCCTTGTGTCGAGCGCGAACCAGGTGGTTGACGATGTGGGTGGAGGAGCCGCTGCCACGGGCGCTGCAGAACCATTTGCTGCAGGTCAGGCATTTGACGACACAGGCCGGAGAGTGGATGCCGCAGTATCTGTAAGACCCCTGATTAGCTTGGCGTCCAGCGCGTACAGCTGCATGTTGTTACTTACGCGCATGCATGAGGGGGAAGCTCCTTCTCCTCCTCGGGGCTTTTCAGTTTCATGCCCATCATCTGGTCAATGGGGACGCTGTTGAGACTGTCGTTGTCGTCCTCCTCGAAGGCCTCCGTCTGGTTGTCGTCATCGTCGGCTCGGCGCCGGCCACTTTGGCCACCGTATTTGCCGTAAAGGAGAGCCTCGTCGGGATCGAGCGCGGACAAGTCGTCTGCGCCAGCCTTGATGGCCGCAGCGGAGTCGGAAATGAGGTGATTGCCAACATGGGTGAAGGCGCCCTCCATGGTGGATTGACACTCGGGCAGGTGCGCCGGATCGTTCTGTGAAGCCGATGACAAGTCAGCCTCTGATATGAATCTGCCTTTGAGTGTGACGCACGAGAGAGGAGGAGAGAGAAAGACAGAGCGGCGGCCAGGCGAGTGAAAATTTGCCCAAGCTTCGGCTTTTAATTTCAAGAGAATGAAGGGGGCAATTACCTGGAGAGTAAAGGTGATTTATGTAGATATCCGGTGCGTGAAGCTTCGGCGCGGATATTAAGGGAAGGATTCGATGGAGTCGTTGGCCGGCCTCACATCATCGCCGCAGACGCCGGGCGGGGTTGGAGAAAGCAAGGAAACAAAAATGAGCAGCAAGTAGACTATGAGAGTCACTCAATATTGGCCTTTCAGGCAAAGAATTCGCTGCCGAGCGAGCGGTGATTCAAGAGGCAGAAAGCGTTTTTCTGCACTTGACAGGCTGGATCTGTTATCAAGCAAGTGGAAGCGGTTAGAGTGACTCGGCAAGACTGCGGTCGCTAACATGCGAAGCCTTTGGTGGGATAATGCGCCCACGTGATAAGGTGGCGGCGCGTTATCGATAAGCTAGAATGTCGGCAGAACCGATAAGCCAACTTTTTTTTCTTCTGGCTGTTCTTCACGCCAAAGCCTGCGGATCTGGAACCCAGCCGTCAAGTGGTTCGAGTTGAAGCAGCCAACATGATTGTACGTTGATGTCAACCCATGCTGTCTAATTCTTGTTGTATGTCAATTGCTAACACGACTATTGCAGCGCAAACAAGCTCGCCAGCGGCGCGACTACCTCTACCGGCGGGCACTTCTGCTGCGGGATGCCGAAATCAGCGAAAAGAGGGCGAAGCTGAGAGCGTCTCTGGCCTCGGGAAAGCCATTGGACCCGACCATCGCCAACGACAAGTCGCTGAGGAAAGACTACCAGTATGACGAGTCGCGAGACCTCACTACGAATGAGCAACTGGATCTGGACGACGAGTATGCGCAGCTGTCCGGCATCGTCGACCCCCGAGTTCTCGTAACGACTTCTCGCGATCCGTCGGCCAGACTATCGGCTTTTGCGAAAGAAATCAGACTCCTCCTACCGACATCAATCCGAATGAACCGTGGTAATCTCATCTTGCCAGACCTTGTCAAATCCGCCCAGTCTGCAGGCCTGTCCGACATGCTCCTGCTCCACGAGCATCGCGGTACACCCACAGCCTTGACGATTTCCCATTTCCCTCACGGACCGACAGTGTCATTCTCGTTGCATAATGTTGTGCTACGCCACGACATTCCCGGCAGCGTCAGAGGAACAGTTTCCGAGTCATACCCCCACCTCATCTTTGACGGCTTCACGACACGCCTGGGAGAGAGAGTTGTCAAGGTTCTGAAGCACCTGTTCCCGCCCAGGGAGCCAATCACCAGCAAGAGCAAAATCGGCAACCGAGTGGTGACCTTCAAGAACATTGACGACAGCATCGAAGTCAGGCATCATGTTTTCGTGCGGACGGGCTACGACAGCGTTGAGTTGGCCGAGGTTGGCCCTCGGATGACCATGAGAGTCTTTGAAATTCGTGGCGGTACACTAGAGAACAAGGACGGCGACGTCGAGTGGCATCTGTCGCAGTATACACGGACGTCCAAGAAGAAGAATTACCTTTGAATCAGTATTGGGTATCTCTCATATGGTGGACGAAACTCTTAGCGCGTCCGTTGTGCGCGCGCAGAATGGCTGCTTCCTACAATATTCGACGTTTGCTTGGGGCAGAATCCGCTATCCAGCGTTGTAAATGGATGCGGGATCAGAACGACGGTCGAGGCTGACGGTGGCCGCCATGGCTGACTGTAGTACGATGTCGGTCTGAGACGGCTTCACGTCGAGGGTGCTTCGCCACGACGGCGACGTAAAGCTTCATGCGAAGGCTTGTGAGCCACAAACCTGTACGCCAGCAACGGTTCAGTAGAGGCGAGAGCCGAGGAATTACTGCATGAATTTAATTGGCCGATGGAGGCCAATGCATGCGCCATGTCGACTGACGACTTCAGGTAGCGGATGGTCAAGACGCAGTACGGGTTAGCGATTGTATATAGGGTCTTTGAGGATACTGTAAATACCTAATGTTCGAAACGGATCAGTTTAGTGATTTTCCATGTTACTGGTTCATCATTGCATCTTGACTGAGACGTAAGGTAAGCTAAATAGACTACTGATTTGCACGTGCAACCCAAGCTGTGAGGATGACTCGCCAGCTGAATTCCATACTATTATACCTAAGGTACTAAGAGAGGGCCTACCTGCACTCACCATTACATTGACTACCTTAGTTATTAGATTGCCAGCAGGCATCCATCCTTTGGCAGATACTACGTGAACACTGATGCTTGCACCCTCTGGTAAGGTAGCAATGAATCAAAGCGGAATATTACCAGAATAGCCGTAACCGCCTGGAAGAATACGAAGCCACAGCAGACCCCTGTCTATCATCTGATCTTGCAAGCATTCGACCCGCGAGGCTTCTCCGGCTTTCAGCGTCAATTGACGTAATACTCGGCTACTAGAAGAATTCCAAGAGAATCTTGTTCGCTCTATGCCGATTCTTTAACATGAGTTTCTACACCTTTGACAGTCTACTAATTGACGATGGTCTTGGTATTCGACCGACTGTGACAACGTTTGTGAGATTTACGCACCCTGGAGAGTCCAGGTCGTCTCTGCATGCAGATGCAGATGCAGATACAGCACCGCTGTCGACGCGCAATGATGACATCCTACAGTGCTGCCGTCCATTGGCTCGTTAGGTCCCTTATGTTTGTTGACAAGGGCAGCGGCGGCGGCGGCGGCCAAGCCACGGGCTGATGACAAGTCAGACCCCGTCTCCAGTCGCGGGCATGGGCTCGTGGCCGTGGCCGCGATGCGACTCGATTGGCGGGCGCATGGGCCAGCGATCAAGGGACCCCAGAGGGACTGGAGGAAGCTGGGCAGTGGAGCTTGTCAACGGGGTTCTGAGAATGATTCAATTCGCATGGGATTGATGGATCAATGGATGCTCAACCTTGAACGAGAAAAAATGTTTTATTACTATTAGTAGCGGGCTTCGTAATGGCGCCGAACTGAGGTGCCCAGCCAGCTTCAGTGTTCCATCTGTTCAGCAGCTCCAGGGCACTGGCAGCACTAACGACCACTGGGCGCAGCGGCGCTGACAAAGGCTCCGCCCATCCGCAGCAGCACCTCAACCCTCGGACACGGACGTCGAGGACAAGCAAACAACTGCCCGCAACCCTGGGAAGCAGACTTTCTCTCCGGCCTCGGGTCACCGGTATAATGTAGGTAGAGAATTGGAGGGGAAACCATGGGTTTTGAAGCTATTATAGGCCATTACCTATCTATAGAGGTACTACCTAGGTACATGTGATATCGACTATGCTTGCATGTACCTTGTAGCAATCCAGTCTGGGAAGCTGGCCGTTGTTGTACGTCATCACAGCCGGCGCATGTCTGCATGTCCGCATGTCTGCATGTAACTTCGTACCTCCACAAGTCACCTCTTTTACCCTTCCATTTTCTCATTCTCACCCGTCTCATTCGGCCTTTATTTCTGCGCCTCTGCCGTCGTCCGCATTAGGAACGCTGAAAAACATATTGCCGTCCTCTGACCTTTCTCGCTCTTCCTCCACCTCCGCGCCACCCGAAGCAGCTTCGGTATACCTGAGCTACTGCTACTTGACTGGTAGTAATTGTTACTGTTACTGTTACTGCTTCTTTTGTGCCGCAGCTCCCCCCCCACCAATTAGAACCTCTCCAGTCTGTGCTTGTTCACGCATTCTCCAACTTTCAAAGCACGAGGCCGTCCCTCCCGCTTCCTCCCTGCTTTGTGCTAATTACTCGAATCTCTGTCGAACCACCTTATTTGTACGTGCCGGCAGCAGCTGCGACACCGCAAAAGAAAAAAAAAGGGCCAAAGCTCTTGGACCTGCTTCTACCTAGGTAGTGGTATCTTTCGCCCAAAAAGCCATCGCTGGGTACTTCTGCCCTTCTTGTCCTCCCTCTCCTCCTCCTCCTCCTCCTCCTCCTTCTTCTTCTACACCACCACCACCACCACCACACACGAAAATCTCGATAGGCGCTCCCTCCAGCATGTCGAGCGGGCAGAATCCTTATTCGCAAGGCCCTTCCCAGGAGTCTGGATACGGCGGCGGCGGCTATGGTCAGGTAAGCAAGAGGCGTTCTCTCGGCGCTGCGACACCCGCTTGCTGTTTCGCGAAGAGCCAAGACGATGGATGCTAACAAGATGCGCCCGGCAGCTGAACCCGTATGCCACCAATGCGAGCGACAACGCCTCGCCGTACGGCGGCAACAACAACTACGAGATGCAGGACTACAACAACCAGGGCACCGCCGGCGGCAATGGCTACGCCCAGGAGCAGGCGTCCCGGCAGCCTACTGTGCTGTCGCAGCAGGACTTCCTCAACCGCGTGCAGAACCTGCGCAACGACATCAAGGCGCTGACCGGCGACATTGACTACATCGGACAGCTGCACCAGCGCACGCTCAGCACCACCGACCAGGAGGCCACCCAGCAGCTGGAGCACTACGTGGCGCAGACGCAGATTCGCAACACCGCCATCAAGGACGGCATCAAGGGCCTGGAGCGCGACCTGCTCAAGACCAATGACTCCTCGCGCAACACCAAGAAGACCCAGCTGGAGTCTCTCAAGACGTTCTTCAAGTCTGAGCTCGACAAGTACCAGAGCATTGAGCGCGACTACCAGCAGCGCTACCGGGAACAGATTGCCCGGCAGTATCGCATCGTGAACCCGGATGCATCGGAGGACGAAGTGCGACAAGCTACAGAGGCCGATTGGAACAACGAGGGTGTTTTCCAGACAGCTGTAAGTGTTTATCCTTCCTCTCCCGGTCCAAACAGAAATACGTTCGATACCGGGGATCAACCTTTTGGGGCCACACTTTCCCAGCTCTTGCGGAGCCTGTTTGCGCGTGTACGAGCGTAAGCAATGCTGACTCGATTATCTGCAGCTTCGCACCAACCGCACCGGCCACGCCGCCTCCCTGCTGGGCAACGTGCGCGCGCGCCACAATGAGCTCCAGCGCATCGAGCAGACTCTCTCCGAGCTTGCCATTCTCTTCCAGGAACTCGCCGCCATGGTTGAGCAGCAGGAGAACGTCGTTGTCTCTGCCGAGGTCAACGCCGAGAACACGGTGCAGAACATTGAGAAGGGCAACGAGCAGGTTAGCCAGGGCATCGAGCACGCCCGCCGCACCCGCCGCCTCAAGTGGTGGTGCTTCCTCATCTGCTTCCTCATTGTTCTCGCCATCGCTCTGGGCGTCGGCTTGGGTGTCGCTTTGACAAACAAGAACTAGTTTGCCTCATTGCGATTGCGGTGTCGATTGTTTGCTACTTTTTGGTATTCGTGTTTTCAAAATCTTCAAAGGGGGAGAGCCACCTTCTCTGGCTCACGGGGCGCAACTCTTTTCTTTTTCTTTCTCTCTTTCTTCTTTCGTTTTATTCCCTGCTTAGACCATGACACATGTATTCAAACTGCAACAGGAGGAAGGCATATGCCTTTTTCCGCAGCGGAACGATCTTCTACACAACCTTAATTCTAACTCTTCGAGACGCTACAAGGGGGGGGAGGATGGCGAACAGTAGCGTTGATTGCGGCGGCAAGGGGGATGGGGAGAATGGAGTCACATCTGAGAGAGAGGAGGAAAAGAAAAAACACCACGCGAAAACCAAACATGACATTGACGTTAAGTGGAAGTTTGGGGCTGCGATGGATGACGAGCCCTTATTAATGCCATGAACTCCCAGATGCTGCATGGCGTCAAGGAATGGTGGACATAGGCCGATAGGGGGGCGACGGAAGGGGGAGTTTATGTGACGGCATGGATGAACATAGGATAGGGCTTCCTTTTATAGCTTATGAAGTGGACAATTATGATGAAGTTTTCTTTTGTTCACGTTGAATCATGAGAGTGCGTGTTCCTATTTACCTCGGGAGTTGTGCACAAGTGATACCTGAGGTAGTACAATGTCGTCCCATGTTCCCCTGGCTTTCTGTGATACGAAGCCCTCATGCCATGATGCGGAAGGGGGGAAAAAGGACAAGTTACACAAGACAAGGAGAACGCAGAAATCATGCAAAGATAGGTAGTTAAGATACATATACATATACAAATACAGACGAACAAAAAGGTACCTACCTAGCTGGTAAAAGCATCGTAACGACACCGTTACATACCTACCTATCGAACGACGAAAGGAAAGATGCCATTTGCAGAGTGGAAAATGGTACAGAGATTGTGTTTCATATCTGCATTACCAAGACGCATTTGTTGATTTTCCCCCAGGTTCTTTTTCCTCCTCCACCACACCAGCACATACCACCCCCTCCCGCCTTTCTTTCCATACACTTCTTCTGTTTTGCGAGTTCCCCTTTTTAATCCCCCCGTTCTCTTTGTTGCCGTTGATTCAAAGATAATGCCTCCTGAATCATGAGCTCGTCATTGCCGTGTGAGTTGAGTTTTGACCACCACGGAAAAAAAAAAAGAAAAGGTATGGGATGTGGACTGAATAAAGACCAACAAGAACTCATATCATCTCAGTTTGCATCTCTCCTCCCACAGCGTACCTTAGGTACCTAGTTAGTATAGAAACATGGTAGTGGCATGTACATTTGGTTGTTACATGCGCACGCCTTATATGCGTGCATTCTGCGTGTCAAGAGGGCAATATTTCTCCCTCATGGATTGCTTCTCCTTTTTGTTTCTTTTCTTTTCTCTTTTTCTGTTTTGTCTCTCCTCTTCTCCTGCCTGGTCTCTTGTCTCGCTACTCTCAGGCTAATTCGCCTGGTAGCTCTGGTGAGACGCAAGGCTTTAAGGCATACGGAGTCCTGCAGGGCCGCCTGGGCCGCCGGCCAGCTTCTCTGCCAGCTTGGGGTACTTCTCCGTCACCTTGACCTGGGTTCGGGTAGCCTCGGCGTAGGACAGAGCGTTGACAATCTCGCCCTCGGTTCGGGCAAGCTCCGCGGCGCGCTCAAAGTACTTGAGTGCCTCGGTCACCTTGTTCTGCTGCAGCAGGAGCTGGGCCATGGTGGCGACGGCAATGTCACACTCGGGGTCGACTGTAGATATTGTTAGCCTTTTGCGATATGATTTACCAATAAAAAGCAAGGGATACTCACTGATGAGGGCCTTCTGGCACAGCTTCTCCGCCTCCTTAAAGTCCTGACTTGACTGGAAGAGAGCCAGAGCCTTGTTGATGAGGGGCAGCACGTTCATGGACATGGGCTTGGACTGCTTCTCCATCTCCATGGCCGTGTCGAACTTCTCAATGGCTTCGGCGAAGTTGCCCTGATCCAGCAGCAGCTCACCGTAGTAGTTGTAGACGTCGGGCACCTTGGGGAAGTTCTTGATGCAGCGACGGAAGGTGGCCATGGACGAAGCGATGGAGCCCATCTTGTACTGCGTAACACCCAGCTGAATGTGGGAGAAGATAAAGTCCTTGTCCAGGTCGATGGACTTTTGGTAGTCCTTCTGCGCGCTCGCGAGATCGCCCTTGATGAAGTGAGCCTGGGCGCGGTGGTAGTAGACATCGGGATCCTCGCTGTCCTGCTCGAGGGCCTTGGCGAACTCGGCATCTGCCTTATCCGGCTCGCCCAACTCCAAGAAGATGCTAGCCCGCTTAATGTAGCTCTGGGTCATTTTGGGGTCGAGCTCGATGCTTCGGTCAAAGTCCTGGGTCGCTTCCGTGTGGTTGCCCAGCAGGGTGCGCATGGTACCCCGCAGGTTGTAGGCGAGGGCCTCGTGCTCGCCGAGATCGCCCAGCTCAATGGCCTTCTCGAACGCCTGTCGGGCCTCCTCATACCCCTCGGCCGTCTTCTGCTCCAGCCCCTGGAATCCGAGCTGCAGCTGTCCGAGACCGGTGTCGGGGGAGAGCTCGACCGAGTCGTCGAGAGCGGCCGGTCGAGGCTTCTGGCGGAAGCTCTGGAGGTAGTTGCCAACGAAGATGGGGCTGGGGAGCTTGGCGGGCCTGGAAGCCATGACCTCCTTGGCCTTGTGCTCAGCGAAGACCTTGAGCAGCCTCTCGACGGCCTGGGCAGTCGACTCGCTCTTGAAGTTGTCGATGATGCACGAGGCAGTGAAGTCGAGCAGGGCCTCGGAGTACATCTTGAGGTGCTCGTAGGCGGTGGCACGGCGATTGATAGCCTTGATGTACTCGGGGTCCATGGCGATGGCGGCGGTGGTGTCCTCGACGACCTTTTCCCACTCGCTCATGGCGCTGTAGCAGGCGGCTCGGTTGGAGTAGAAGACGGCATCGGGCTTGCAAAGGATGGCCTGGGAGTAGAGCTCGATGGCCTTGTTGTAGGCCTTATCTCCGTAGGCCTTGTTGCCGGCCTGCTTCAGGCGGGCGGCGTACTGCTCTCGAACCTCGGGGGCCAGCTGCAGGACCGAGGACTCGTTGATCTCGGGCAGCTCTGACTCGGGCTCGACGACGGCGGCCTTGGACTGGGTGGCCTTTGTGTCGGCGGCCTTGCGCTCGGCCTCCTTGCGCTTCCTCCTCTCCTTCTTGCTGAGCTTTGGTGACGCATCGGATTTCTGTTGCGAAAGGGCTTGGGGTTAGAGATCAACTGTTTCTCAAGTTCAAGGTTCAAATCCGGACGTCCACAGCATCCTTTTCTCACTGCTGCTCGACCAATGCGGCGGGCAACGGCGGCAACGCAGCTATGCGATGGCCCGTGATGTCGTCATGCCCGCCCTGGTCGAGCATCTACCACACTTTTGCAACCCCTCCACCCGGTGATGATGGCGACAACGTACCGAGTCGTTATTCAGGTAATAGACGACGCCCGCGCCGGTGACGACAACCGCCACGCCGGCAATGGTGTAGACGACGGCCTTGTGCTCCGACACCCACGAGGATATCCGGTCCCAGGTGGACGACGAGCTCGCGTCGACGGGGATGGCGCCCGCAGGCATTGACGGCAGCGGGTTGGACATGGTCGGGATGGCGGATCGAGATCAAGAGGCGCTGCCGGGGGGGAAGGCGAGAAGGCGCAGCTGGAAGAGCCGTCGATGTGAAGTCGGGGAAGAGCTGCGGCAAGGAACGCGCAGCAGGACGAGAGATGGAGGAATAATTATCGAGATAACAGAACAATGATGGCACAAACGAGGTTCGGTCCTCGTCTGCCTTAGTTCGAAATTTCGCACCAGCGGCTCGGGTTACTAACTGAAAAATTCCAGCCCACTGACGCTGCTGTTTTTTTGCCTTCTCCACCCAGCTCCAGCCGCTGTGAGAGAATTTACAAGGGCGAGACCGAGAAAAACCAGCACAGGGAAAATCCAGAGAAGGTCGCAATGCAATGCGCAGGTGCTTTCGGATCGCATGGAGACGCAGAGCAGATGCCTGAGGCAGCGTCAAGAAAGGATCTCTAGTCTCATTGTTTGACATTGACTATCAACTCTTGGAGTACCTACTTAGCAGCCATTCACCTCGACATGAAGCTTCTACCTGAGATAGAGATGAACCTAGTATATCAACCCTAGTGCGAGGTGGTGCCGAATGGCATCGTCATAGCTGGAGGCAAAACCGCTGCCACTTCGCGGGGATCAAGCCCGAGAACTCTTGCTCACGCCATTGGCCCGTTGCACGCCAGGATCTGCCGCCTTGTCTGTGCTTGTATGCACGTATTATCACAACCCTGCTCTTGAGATGGTGCCATGCGTATGAGATGCTTGCACTGTACATATGTACTACCTGGTACGCCCATGTGTCTTGTCCAAGCTCTTGCTGTGAGCGTAAGGCTGGACACCGAGAATGGATCTGGTATCGCTAGTCACCGCAGTTATTTTACAGCTGATTCGTCTCTATCTGTGTCCGGAGAGTAGGTTTCGTGCACTAACATATCTGACTTACTGACGAGAACCCCGGACGATGGCCAAGACGATGAGATGCGCACTGTGTCATTCAGCAGCTCCTCGTTGCGTGAGCGCAGTCAATTTCATTTCCATCAAATGTGCTCATGATGTAGTATTTCCAAAAGGTCTCATTGCGTACCCGAGGATCACCTTCATTTCAACGCCTTGAGTAGATGCTTACATAGGTAGGCAAGGTAGTTGAGCATCATGGCCGACGACTTCTCTCTCTTCACCTCTCTTCGGTATGACCCGGCCTTGTTAGAGCTCCCGTCCAAGAACATCGACTACGCAGGATGGAACTCTGCAAATCGCTCCCCGTTCTACATGCTCGACTATCATCGCGATCGCATGCTACGGGCAGCAACTCACTGGAAATGGGAAAAGGCCATCCAAGTCCTCTCGGGCGAGGAGGGTCTGGAAGCATTGAGAAAGGCAGCGGAAGAGTTTATCGGTCCATGCCAAACGACTCCGCTGCGCTTCAAGATCCTCGTCAGCCGCGAAGGTGTCGTCAGCTTCGAGAAGAACAACACGGCCCCTGTTGGCCTCGAGAATTTGTTTCCGCTACGGCTGCCTCCTCCCGGGTCTCCGTCCGGCCCTCAAGAGCCCAGGAAAACTCCTAGCTGGACAATAGTGCTTGATAACGATCAGACGGCAGCTTCAGAGTACACTCACTTCAAGACTACCAAGAGAGACATGTATAACTCTTCTCGCGAGAGGCGCGCCATTGCTTTGACAGATGAGCGAGAAGTCCTGCTGGTGAACCATGATGACGGGTCCATCATGGAAGGGAGCTTGACGACGCCGTATTTCTGGCGAGATGGGCGATGGGTCACTCCGCCTGTTGCTGCGACCTTCAACTCGGGGGCCGGGAGCGGTGGCCAAGACGGGACCTCGAGACGATGGGCTTTGGAAAGGTGAGCTGCCGATTGTCGACTGAACCAGCCTTTAATGGTGCGAGACGGCTAATCAAGGCAACAGAGGGCTGGCTGTTGAGCAAGCCATTCCGGCAAACTCCTTGGTGGATGGCGAAGAGTGCTGGATAAGCAACGGGGTGAGGGGGTTCATCGCTGGTGTTGTACGACTTGAGTAGTAGGTAGTACTAGGAAGGGGTATCGAACCTGATGAGGCGCCTGATGGGTGAGACTGAGATGCAGTCGGACAGGCAGATATAATTGCAGCAGTTTCGTTAATCTAAACAAGAGATGGAGGTAGCTAATGTGATATACACATGTAGACTCGTGTCATGTTACCTTATTCTCGCAATTTCTTTTGGCGCTGAGCAATATGTACCTACCTTAGATGCATGGCATAGGTAGGCCGGCAAGAGCTGAGTGAGACCTGCAGTTTGTCGCTTTTGGCGGTGACGCCACCTTAGAAAAAAAAAGGCCTGTAAAATAGCACACCTCGTTCGCGTCTACACAGTCGCGTCTGTCTCTTCTGTGAACAAACAATCAGCGCCGTGCTTTTCGGCTCGCCAGTACACCGCTCAGCCTTATTGTTTTTTTTATCTGCATAGCTGGCGTTGAGGTTGTTGATTTCCGATAGTATTTCTCTTACATCACTCCAGCGATCAACTGATGTTACTGTCCTCGAAACATCTTTTACCCCGAGGCCTCTGGTCTCGACATCCCGCTTCACCTCAATCCATCAGCCATCAGCTAGAGTGCACGTCAATCCTTCATCACACTCACCATGGCCATGATCATCACGCCTGATGTTGGCCGCTCCATGATGGAGGCCATCGCGGCTGGTCGTGCCAAATATGTCGAGCAGCGTTACAAGCAGGCCCTTGCCTCGTTTACCGAGGTCAGTCGTTCTCGTTCACCATGGGCCCCCCATGCAAGCCATCTATGCTGACTGCTCGTAGGCAATTAAGCACTGCCCATGTGAAGTCGCAAAGAGGAAAAGGAAACGAGAGGAGCTTGAGGACTTGGAGAACCCAGAGCTCCCCGAACATACACGAGCACTCCTAGCAAGCCTCACGGCCACCAGAGCCAGACCTCCTCCGCTGGAATGTCTCAACCCGCTTCACCTCCAAGCCCTCAACTACCGGTCTGGCACCTTCGAAAAGGTACCCGATATTCGTCGTGCGCAAGCTGATGCGCGGCGGATGATGGACATTGCGCCGCGTTCCCCCGAGGTAAGCATGCACACGATGAGATACAGCATGAAAGACCTTCTCCTGACCATGTATGCATGATAGGGTTATCTCCGTGCAGCCAAGCTGCTGCGGGCAGAAAACAAGTCATTAGAAGCCTTCAACGTGCTGACGGAAGGTATTCTAGCGTGCTTGGAAGGGCCGTTCGAACCAGAGCATTTACGGGTATGCCGATTCTTCTCGCATCAGTGACCCCTCGGCGGTAAATCTGGTGGACATGCTAACAGCATTATAGATCCTTGACAAGGCTCGCAATCCTCTCAAACTCAAGTATGCCAAGGTCGATCCTCTCGGTAGCTTTTTGAGTCTTAGTTGGATGTCAACAGCTCATCTACCGTTCGAGCTTATCTGGAACATATTTGGTCGTATGGATCTCGCAGCGCTATGGTAATGTCGCAGAATCTTGCTCACATCCTTAGCCATTACTAATTCTCAATCCTCCCCAGTCCTTGTCTGCGCGTCTCAAAAAGTTGGAGGAGGCTGTTGGCAGGTCCAGCAAGCGTGCCCTATTGGAGGTCGCTGCTGTTCACCGGCGCTTCAAACCCCAGGAAACCCGTCCCAGTAAGAGCTCTGAGGAGGTTACTCTCTTACTCATCAAACGATATTCGAGAGCTCTTGGTAGAGGATGGTCGAAGGTTCGTCCTGGACCGGAGAAAATTCGACATCATCCTGAAGGCGGGGACCAACCTGGAGCACCTGGAGATCAGCAACCCGTCTGACGCTCTGATTGTCACTCAGGTCCCGAAGCATCTCAAACACCTGAAGCTTGACGGATTCCAAAGGTTCTTCAAGAGTCATCATACAGGCAACGACCCATATCGGGCTATGTTGCTGGCTGTTGCCCCCACACTCGAGACCTTGGATCTCGCAGGAATTCCCAGGCAATGGTTCACCGATGCGCAGATACCTATGATGCCTAATTTGAAGCATCTCAGGCTTTCTAAGGGCAGAGAGCAGCCGTGGGCGTTGTCCGTGGTAAGCACTCTGGTGAAATAGCATGTGTAGCACGAGAGACTGACGCACATTAGGTTCACTTGTTGAGAAGCACGCCGAATCTTGAGCAGCTGCACGTAGAGGACATCAACCTCAACTGCATACTTTCACAGGATGAGTCCTTTGACATTTACTGTCTCCCCAATCTCAAGGCTCTCACAATCGTTGATACAAAAGCATATGTATCCCAGACTCATCACCAGCAACTGGCATGGAACCATAATGTGGCCGCCCTCGAGGCATATCGACACTTGATGGTTTTGAATGCCGGGAGGAATCTCAGAGTTTTAGACTTGCACTACGGCTGGGACTACACCGGCCGCAACCTGGAGGCTACCGACATATTCGGCCACATGCACGGGAACCCTGCATACGAATACGCAAACCTGGAGGAGTTTCGAGCCTCTAAGTTGGTCGTTTCACCGCAGGTTGCACAGGACCTGTTTGAGGGGCCTATCAGAGCCGGCAAGCTGCATTCCTTTGACATTGTCTTTCCTCTGCCCAAGCTTCAGGAGCCACTCGGGGAGTCCAGCGCGGAGCACATCAAGAAGTACCAGTGGCTCGAAGGGGCCGAAAGCATTCGAAGCATTGGCTTATACGACTTTTACTTCAAGAGCTACATCTACATGGCAGATCATCCCCTCATCAACTTTCTGAACAAGCTCCCATGCCTGGAGGAAGTGAGGATCACGTCAAATCATTTTGACACGTCTGACTTCATCGTCACCCTGCGCGACATCCTCAATCTCGTAAAGCTCAAGTCAGCCTACATTCCGCAGATTTCTGGCATGGCATTTGAGAGGATCCGGGAACTGGCCAAGCAGAAGGGGGTGGATCTGGTATGGGAGAAGCGGTTACCCAAGTGGCCGTTGGTCTTGAAGGAGGATTAGATATGAGCTGTAAATACCACTGTGAGTGCGGGCCGCTCATGTTTGGGAACACTACCTTTCTAAGCCCCCTTGGGCTTATCTCCATTGCGGTGAAGCAGTATTTTTCATGGCCTAGGGAGATAGAGGCTCGGTTGGGTGCATGCTGTGAGACGAAAAAAAACTGGCATGACAGTGACGCGATCTGCTATGGGGATCTCTATGCCTGACAGGAGTGAGATTCGTTCTCAAAGGGTAATATTCTCTGAGCCTCTCACTGATTTGTTGAGTCCTTGTGTGAACGCAAGTCAACCAATCCCGTAGGCATGACCACAACCATGCGAGTCAAGCTATCAGACTGTCCCAACAAGATCAATCGTTCCCATGCCCAAACTCCTCTCAAACTCCTCCGTTTCCTACATCCCATATATTCGCAATAACTCATTGCAAACAAAAGCTCAAACACTACACGCAGCATGTCGTCATAAAAGGGGGTATCTACATGGATGGCCATCTCCTCCTCCTCCTCTTCACACCCTAACAATCCCAAACCTGCTCAACGGCAAAGAGCAAATCCGCGTCATTCCCCTCCAGCCTCGCCCTCTCAATGGCAGAGTATCCATCGGCATCGCGCAACTCCGGGTCAGCCCCGTGCATCAGCAACGCCGGAAAGCAAGTCTTCGCATCGTTGAGCACAGCAATGTGCAGAGGCGTACGGCCAGACTCATCAGTGTGATTTACGTCCAACCCGTTGTCGACGAGATACTCAATGTACGAGACGCCCCCGTACCTTGCCGCCTCGTGAAGCAGCGATACGCCGTTGATACCCTTGACGTCAATCCGTGCACCTCGCCGGATGAGATGGTGGAACATCTCGCCGCCTAGCTGCCCAAGCGCCAGGAAAAGGGGCGTCTTGCCGTCTTCGTCTCTGGCTCCCAGGTCGGCGCCGTGGTCGAGAAGGACATCGACCATGCGGATGTGTCCGCGAGCAACGGCCAGCGTCAAGGGCGATCCGTCGTGGCCATTGCTCGAGTTGACGTCTGCGCCCTGTTCGACGAGCATCTTGGCCGTGAGGAGAGTTCCGGCGTTGGCCACGAGCACGAGAGGCGTCCATCCGTCCTTGTCGAGCGACTCCATGTCTGCCCCCTTGTCGACGAGCAGCTTCGCCGTCTTGACATGTCCGTTGACGGCAGCCCACGCGAGCATCGTCCGCCCATCGCTGGCTTTGCACTCGAGAGCGACGCCGTGCTCCAGCAGCGTCTCCACGACGTCCGTCATGCCCGTCATGGCGGCGTGCAGCGCCGGCGTGTGGCCCCAGATGTCGGCCGCATGCACCGAGGCGCCCTCCTGGAGCAGATACCGAACCAGCTCGTGATGCCCCTTTCTCGCAGCCCAGGACAGCGCGGTCCGGCCCTCTCGGTCGGGATGGTCGACGTCAATGCCGCACTGGATGAAGAGCTTGATGGCGTCCTGCCTGCCCAGCTCTGCGGCGTGAGACTGGGCGATGCGTGACTCGTAGTCGGTCTGCAGCATGTCGACGCCGAGGTCCAGCAGCTTCCCGAGGATGCTGACGCTGCCACCCTCGACGGCGTAGAACAAGGCTGATGATCCGGCGGAGCATCTTGCGAATGGGTCGGCGCCTCGACGCAGGAGGAGGTCAAAGGTCCTTTCGTTGCCTTCATGGGCGGCGAAGAGCAGCGGCGTCTTGCCTAGATATCCCAGGGCGTTTACGTCTGCGCCGTTATCCAGAAGCAGTCTGGCAATGTCGTCGAATCCACGGCCTGCGGCGGTGACGATGAGCATCGAGTCCCTCAGGGAAGCCCCATGCTCAAGCAGCAGCCGGACAATGTCCAAGTGGCCCTGCGCAACAGCCCATCGAAGGGCGCCGAACTCGCCCCTTTTGGATGCGTTGGGATCGGCTCCGTAGGCCAGGGCCTTGTTGGCCGTCGCCATGTTGCCTGTTCTCGCGGCCCAGGCGAGGGCGTCGCTGTGGGAGGACTTTGCGTTTTGGCGGTAGAGCAAGGGGTTGAGGATGGCGTGTAAGCGGGAGCTGCATCGGGCGAGGGCGTTTGTGTCGCGGTGGGTGGAGGAGAAGTCGGCGATGGTGGTGAGCAGCTCTGGCGGGATGGCGTCCAGCTTCATTTGGACTTCTTCTCTTGTGTATATAGTGAGGGACGAGTTACGGTGGTGAAGAGGAGGATGATGGAAGTTTGGGTGGGTTTTATAGTTGGTGATTTGTGTGAAAGGTAAGGTAAGTAAGGTAAGGGAAGGGAAGGGGGAGGGGAGAGGAGTGATGTCACTGGGTCAGACTTCCAAAAGCAAAGTCAATTCGCGGGATTCTCAGCGGTTGGCCTGAAGATTAGTATCATGAGTCCCAATCGCAGCCCAAAATGTAAATGAAGGTTTTCAGTCATGATTGGTCTTTGATGAAAAGTAGGGATGCGCAGACGGCATGTCAAGATGCAGACGTGATAGGACGAGCTGGCAGCAGCCAGAGCCACTTCAAGGCAGGGAGACAGTAGCTGAACATTAACAAAATCTCGAAACACAACGTTGACATAATAGTGTCATTGAAAGACAAAAAGTAGGGTCATATGAATGCTTGATAGAAGACCTTCTTCGATTCGTCTCAATTTTATGTAAGTTTGTAGGCATGTTTCCCCCCCTTTTCTCCCTTGTCACATTTGAGGCTTGAGACTCGAGCTGGTACCCAATAAGGACATGCGCTTCGCATTTCGTACATGCAGCCATGCAAGTCGCAGCTGGTCTACCTAAACAAGCTGCAGTAAGACTGCCCTACAATTCTCCTTGCATCCACGTTTACTCGTACACATTGTTTTATGCATCATCTTGTATGAACAATCTCAGCCTGTAGCTTTCAACGACCTGTGTCTCCACGATGCCGTCTCTTCACTGAGATTGTGCTACCCGAGAGCTTATTGAGCTGCCACGAGGAAATCGATAGTCTCTCCAGCCACCACCACTTCAATGTTTGTACATAGTAAGAGCGGTCACCAAGGCTTCTAGTCCGAAGTTACCAGCATAAGCAGGAAACGCGTGATCATGGGCTGAGGAAACCCATGTCAAAAGAGGTTGAAAGAGTGAGGATGGCCTGATAAGCGGACATCGTTCTGATGGCTGCTTATACGACAAGTAGTGATTCAATCAGTTGAACAAGCATACAGCAAGACATGATCATCATCTGTCCAGGTCTTCTAGACTCTACCAGTGAGTAGCTCAACAACATACCAAGCCATCCATCATCGATCCACAATCAAAACACAGGATCCAAAACGCCACGTTGTATGTCGCTCGTGTTCAAGCACACGCAGCCCTCCTAAACGCCATACCAAGAAGCATAATCGTTCATCCAGTCAACATCCACATATAATCGTGAGCTCCCTACTCAAACGACCCCTTACCGAGCAAACCACCCACAAGTCCGGCCCTGCTCTCCGCTCCACGCACCTTCTTCTCCTCCCTCCTCCGCTCATTCTCCTGCATCCTCGCCAGCTTCTCATTGTCCCTCGCGAAGCCGTTGATGCCGCTCTTCTTGCCCGCCCCCTTCTTGATCTTGGCCTCTTCGCCAAACCCGCTGCCAGAGCCGCCTCCTGCTGCCGTCGTCGTCGTTGTCGAGGATGACGACGTGCTGGCCGTGGAAAGCAGCGACGAGTTGGTCGTTGCTCGGCGCAGAAGCGAGCCAGGGACCCGGAACGACGAGCTGCCCGATGCGGTAAAGGCAAGGCGGCCGGTAGACGACATGCTGGAGGATGCGTTGCGCTTGAGGCTGATGCGATCGACGACGACGTTCCTCGTTCGACGGGATGCGGGAGACTTGTTCTCCTTGTTGCCTCGAGACGCGGGTCTGTCTTCTTCGTCCTCGCTGTCCGAACCAACTTCGGTAGCCGGGATCACAGAGGCGTGTCGTCCGTCTTCCAGCAGGTCAGACAGCGTCTCACGAACCTCCCCAATGTTGGAAGGCTTCTTGCCGTCCTTGGTCCTCCTCATGTGAGCCGGAGCTCGATTCTCACCAGCACTTCCGAGCGGTTTGCGCGGCTGACTATCCGGAATCGTCCGCGGCTGCTGCGGTTGCTCAGAGCTCTCGCTCTGTGACTGAGACTCTTCCGACTGCAATGTCGGGACATCTGTAATCTCTAAGAAGTCCATTTCATCGTCGCTGCCACGGTCCTCGATGGTGCGTAGGAAGGCCTGGTTGCCCGGGTTTTCAGCCATCTTCTTGACCCGCTCGTCAGAAAACAAGGCCTTTTGCATCTTGGCAAACTGCCGCCGCTTCATTCTCCGACGAGCTTCACCGTCGTCGTCCGAGTCGGACAGGTCATAGTGGGCTCCGCGCTTGCGACGGAGCATGCCTGACGTGATGTCCTTGTACAGCTTCTCGACTTCCTTCTCATCATTCATTCGTTCCCGGTCACTGCCGACTGTTAGTCTTTCTTGCCCCTTGCCTGGGAGTAGAAGAAGCGAGTGAGCACTTACGCGTAGAATGCGGCCAGCTTGCGCTCATCCACGTCGTTTCCGGCCCCATCATCAATAATGTCTTGTATGGAAGCATCGGACTCGTCATCGCTGGCCTCGCCGTCCGCTCCGCCGAGTCCCGCGTACTCGTCCTCGGATTCCTCGGCCTGCTCTTCCACCATCTCCTTTGCCTTGCTCTTCTTCTTGTTGAACTCCTCAATGAGCTTCTTCTTCTTCTGTGCAGCAGCGGCGTCCTTCAGTAAATTGAATGCCGTCTTTGAGGATGCCGCCTCTTCCTTCGCCCCCTTTTCGCCGCTCATGGGGATGGCATCCTCATCATCAAGAGATGTCATCTCCATCTTTCGGCGAAGTCTTCCCTTGCGCACTAGTGGGGAGCTCTGAACTGCCTCGCCGCTTTGGTCCAGTGAGATGGTCTCTACGGTTGAGGTGGGAGGCTCGACAAATCTCGACTTCAGCGGCGTGTATCGCTGGAGTCCTCCATCCTGCGAGGGCTCAATCATGTCCGAGATCTGGGAGTTCACGTCATCCCGCAGGAGGCTGTCCAGACCATGCATCTGCGTCTGTGCGAGGTTCAGCTGAACGGCTTGAGTCTCCCCTTGGGTTTCATCCCGCTGGGAATCGAGCACCATGTCGTCCGCGTTGTCGTCCATGGTAGCTGAAAAGTTTGAGTCGGGGAAATTGTCGAAGTCGGGCATCATTGACTGTGTCGGCTCGTTGAGCTGGCTTCCCTGGTTATCGTCCATGGTCCCTGCAAATATCTGGGTAAGGCTCAGTCCGGCAGGCCCCTGTACAGGAAGCCCAGGAATGAAGGTCTTCTTGGCGGATCGCAGCACAGACGTAGGTGCAGCGGGTGACATGAAGGATGAGTTGACGGGAGTCTTCTTGGGCTTTGGAGTAGATTCGACGGGATTGGCTTCGTCATCGGACAGAATGACGGTCTTGTTCCGTGCCCTCCTCCTTTTCAAGGGAGTTGCTCTTTCGATGGCCTCGTCTTCTGCCCCCTCGTTATGAAGCGTGGGGAGGATCTCTGAGGTTTCGGACTGCGCGTCTTCCGCTTCGGCCTCAAACATGGCCATGCCCGCAACGACATCGTTGGATTCCCCCTCATCTTCCTCCTCGTCGCCTTCTTCGTCTTCTTCATCAGACCCTGAAAGCTCCACGTCAGGTGCCTCCTCGTCGGCATCACCATCGACGTACTCTTCGTCATCACTATCGTCCCAAGCCAGAGGGTCAGCTTCACCATTCTCCTTTCTCTCTTTCTTCTCCGCTGCTAATTCCTCCTCCTTGATACGCTGAGCCTCTTCCCTAGCTTTGGCAAGGATGTCCTCCACTTCTTGCATCTGCCGTTCTCGCTCTTCCGATGTCTGAATGACAACACCTTGGGCCTTTAGCATCTCAAGCCTTCGGTCCCGCTCGAGCCTCGCTTGCTCCCTCGCCTTTTGCAGCAGTGAAGCCTGAAACTCGCCGGGGGTCATTCCCTCGCGCTCGTTCTTGCGCTTTTTCTCTTTGCCGGGAGACGTGACATGAGCCAAAGCCCGCAGAGCCAGTATTGAGTGCGACTCTTGTGCTTTTCGGAAAGGGATGCTGTCAAAGACGGCGTTTATTTTATCTTTGGTCGTAGTTGTAATCTCGAGTTCGTCGTCCGAGCCTGCTGTGCCAGCTTTTGTTGGAATCGGTATTCTTACCCGCACCCGGCGCTTAGTCTGGGCAGGCTTGCTTGGTTCTTCCACATCGATAGCTGGTCCCTTGCCCTTGTCTAGATGTGTAGGTTCTGATGGGTGGTCGTGTTCCGCCCTTGCATCTGTCATTGGAATATCAAGGCTTGCGGAGACATTCTCCTCAACCTGGACTGAATCCTGTTTCTCCCCAACAGGTGGTGAGCTAGGCGGCGTCTCTTTATTCGCGTCCGCATCAGTTGGGGGCGACACCGGTCTGCTGGAGCTGTTTGCCGAAGGCTCGCCGGGTAGCGCCTCTCCATCTGGCCTGAAGTTGAAGCGCTCGAACAGGCTTGCTTTGGAAAGCTTCTTTCGTGTCCTGGCCTCATGGGCAAGTTGCATGTTTCTTGCCATCCGCTGCGTCTCGCGATTCATCTCTTCGAGCGCCTTCTTACTCGCTTTCCTCGTTGGACGAGCTTCCTGAGTCAACCGGCGACCACCTTCATCGTCCGTTATGCCCCCGGCGTCGTCATCTCCAGAGTCCAGCTCTTCAAGTTCAGAGGCCAGCTTCTCCTGCAGAGCCCGGCGCTCTGCTATCCGTGCTTCTTCTTCGGCCTCTTTGGCAAGACGCTCCTGTCGCTTTCGCTCCACCAGGGCTTTGAAGCGATCCGACTTGACGGGTGGTAGGTCGTCGTCGGAGTCTGACTGGGCTTGCGGTGCCTTTGTAGGTGATGGGCGAACTGGTGAGGAAACGAAGAGTCCGGGGCTGGGTGATCTGGCCGGGAGCGCTGTAGCGGTGGCGTTGACAGCACGGCGCTGCAATCGTCGTGGTGCGACGGGCAAGTCCTCATCCTCGTCATCGACATCGACATCGCCCTCCTTCTCAGCGCCATCGGCATCGGCCATTTCCGTATCCGCCTGTCTAGACTGCTCGTTTTCTTGCTCCAGCATCCGCTTCACGCGGTCTCTCGCAGTTTCGCCGTGATGCGCAGTCTTTGGCTTGTCGGCTGCATCCGAAGGGCCCTGCATCCGAGAAGCCAGCTTCCCCCGTGGCCGTATCTGGACATCTGAATCCGAGTCTGCATCCGAGTCCGAACCACTGGTGTTTCGCTGGGCAATTGCGCTGTTTCTGGGCGAGTCCGGCTTGAGTACTCCATTCTGAAGGGCGTCCTCGTCGTCACTGTCGCCCACAGTCGCAAGTAAGGCTCTGATTTTGGACCGCGGCGTCATGAACTCTGGAGTGGCATCGCGAGATGCGGGTGTGGGAGAGCGTAGCGCAGCCATTGTAAATACCAACGGCCCGCATAGAATTCACAAGTCGTAAAGAGCTGGCGCTTGCGAGTCTATAGGCAATGTTGGAAAGAGACTGAAAAAAATATATCAAATACTCAAGACATGGCACGCATAATGACTTCTAAGACTTGACTGGCGCCAGTTCCAAGCAAAGTGCTGGCTGATGGGAGGTGCAAAAGAAGAGAGACACGTCAAATTGCGTGGGGAACATTTTACGCGCTCCCGACGCGACGCATGTCAACGCGCAGGACAAGCGACTCAGTGACATAACAGGCTGTGCGGCTGCCGTTTCCCCGCATACAAAAATCGCGGCAAAGGTACCACCAGAGCCTGGCCGAATCAAGTACCTAGTACTTATTACCACCTCAAGTAACTATACACACGATTAGGAACAGGTTGGACAACAGAGGCGAGATAAACATGAATTCTGCGAATCATGCAAAGGATGACGGTTAATTGCAACGGTGGAGAAGAGCTATGATGCGCCAGGTAAAAGAGTGCTATACCAATTGGAGGAAAAGTGCATGTTCTTCCTTTGCAACATCTACCGTCAACAGTTCGACCTCACGGACATGGTTCAATGAAACGTCAAGTGGTGGCGAAAGAGCTTGATTCAATTGTCAGCTATGCAGTATCAGCTTGCGGCCCAATTCTGCCGTTTTAAGGGCTATCTAAGTATCCGGTAATGACTGTCCAATGTGCCGATGATGTTCCTCCTCCTCGGGCAACTAGCCCCCACGGGCCTTTTGTTCTGGAGTTGGGAGTCTGGAGATTGGCCTAGAAGAGCTTGTGCTCCAGGGTCATCTCGGACTCGGGCTCCAGGCCGACGCAGGCACGGAAGATGTTGGTCAAAGCCGCGCGCTGCTTGGCCAGAGCATTCACAACGGGCGTTCCCGGAGGAGTCAGAGGAGCCTTGAGCATGTAGCTCAGGACGCTCAAGACACTGTGGAAGTGCTTGAACTCGGCAGTCTCGTGGCCATCGTTGGAGGCAGCCTTCCACTGGATACGGGTCATCATCTCAGCCACCACGACAAGGTCAATGATCAGAGGCGAGGCCAGGAGAGAGTCCTCGCAGATATTGAACAGCCTAGTGTTGCCGGTTAGTGTCATTCGCAAAAACGGACCACTTGAAAGAAACTTACGAAATGGTTTGGTGACCACCGAGGAAGATCTCAGCGTAGTACTCGTCAAGCGCCCGCTTGTTGTCGCCGACAGCGGGCATGTACTTGATGACAACGCAGTGATCGGGGTGTTCACCCTTCTTGTACAGGATGCTGTTGGCCTCGACCATGTCATCCACCACGTTGGACTTGGAGATCTCCTTGGAGCGGAACTGCTTCTGGGAGCTCAAGTTCTTGCCGTCGTTGTTGCCCAGGTGGTTGTAGCTGGCAATCGAGGTCAACTTGATACCGGCATTGATGAGGAAGTCCACCAGAGCCGACTTCATCTTGGTCTGACCAGACTTGAAGTCGTCACCGCCAATGTAGGCATTGTGCTTCTCAGCAAGCTCAATGGCACCGGGGACGAAGGTGTTCTGGGGAGAGCCGTTGATGAAGGGGGCGTTCTCCAGGATACACGCAACGGCAAAGACGGTGGAGGGAGAGACCTCCTCGTGACCCTGCTCGATAGCCTTGAGAAGGTTATCAGCGGTGTCGTTGACTCCGTCAATGATGTCGGCGTATCGCTCGGTGTTGGCAGTCCAGAGGACGATGACCTTATCGAGGCCATTGTTAGCCTTGAAGTCACGAATGTCCTTTCGGATCTGCTCAACGTGAGCCATTGAAGCCTTGGAGCCCTCAATGAGGTTGTCGGCGCGGTCCTCCTGGTTGGCGGCAATGAAGTCGGGGTAGTAGATGGAGGGGAGGGGGGTCATCTCCGCCATCTCCTTCCGGACAAGGGACTTGAGAGCAGGCTCAAGGACCTTGGCCCGATCCATGGCCTCGGCCAGGTTGAGCGAGCTGATGTCCCAGCCACCAATGACGAGGTCGTTGGGGTGGACCATGGGCAGCAAGCTGTGGAAGGGGATGTTGATCTCCTTGTTGGTCTTGGCGTCGGCTCCGAGCTTGACGGTGGAGCTCATGACGACGGAGCCGTAGTAGTTGGCCTCCTGGACGCCCTCCTTGGTGTCCCAGGTGAGGTTGCGGCGGTTGGCAATGATACCGGCGGTAACAGTGGTACCATTGTTTCCGCCCCAGCCCACCAGCATCATGCCGACCTTGGGAACCTTGCGGTCGACCTTGAAGTCGTAGAGCGTCTCCTTGGGAGTCGCCACAAAGTTGCCATTGGCGTCGGTCTCAACGCTGGTGGTGCGGTAGGTGTACTTGGAACGGATTTCCGAGTCCGTGTAGGTGACGTTGGGGGAGTTGACGACGAAGGTGCTCCGAGCAGCACCAGGGGACGCCGTCTGGCGTTGGGCATAGCCATTCCCGTTCGAGGAGCCCGTGCTAACTTCCGCGTGCGGTGCCATTGCGACTATGGGGCGCGGCGCGGGAGAGAGTTGGTCTAGTTGAAGGGTTGTACGGGTTCTTTTTCTCTATATTCGATCTTTATTTGGCAAAGATCGAGTCCGCTAACCCTCCAGAGGCAGAGCAGCGGGCTCCGGCGAACGGGTGGTGAATCCTGGGAAGAGTCAGTCCCAGGTCTACTCTTGTCTTCCTTCTCCTCCATTCTCCGCCGAGACAAGAACATACGAGTTTAGAAGATTGGAAAACGTCTTGTCGACTGTTTGTGATCGAGGCTTTGACTCCTCGACCAACTTTAGACCTGTGAAAAGGTAAAGGAGAGGGAGGGTATTCCGGCGAATTGGGGTCGCGACAAAGCAGCTATTCAAGAGATTTCAGAAATGGGTTCTGGAAGAGAAGTCGGCTGACTTGTCTGCGAGGTAAACTTTCGAACTTGACTTTTGTGGTGATGAGAAGAGGAAGAGAGAAGAGAAGCGTCCGGTTAGCAGGGGGAGGGGTTGGATCTTATAGGTAGCTAAGGCACCTGCTGTACCTAGGTAGGCTTTCGTCGGCTAAGGCCACCTCAATACATATGCCTACAATGTACATCCAGCCAATTCTTAGGTCACCTCTCGGGTCGACGTGTGCAATCGAAAGCACCAGCGCTAACAAAGCGCCTTAGGCCGGCGCCGGAGGACAGCTAGCAGCCCTCATCATCTTGGCCTGGCCCGCGCGTGCAGGCGGTGAAAAGCCCTCACGTCTGCTGCCTGTGCTAAGAAATTGCGGGATCGAAATGACAGTTGATGATTGGGCGGGCGAGAGATTGAGCCGTCCGAGTTGCATATTAGATAGTATTGCTCTGATGTGTATCAAGGTACCTACATACAGAAAGTCGGGCGGCAGCTCTGGGTCGTGGTGCGTCCGGATCGGACGGACGAGTGACGAGCGGAGCGGATTTCGGGACCCTGAAAGCTTCCAGCCGTCTATCTTCCATAGCTTACTGCTAGCAAGAGGATTTTACGGGTTCTTTCGTTCTTCCATACATGAAATCGAACTTTGACGATGGTGGTTGATCACTTGTTGAGGGTGTACCACAATTAGGGAATTCTACTGTGATGGCTGTCAAATGTCACGAGCATCAGGCTTCCTCGTCTTACTTTGCCAGCGTGTTGACAAGATGCGCATTCGTGCTTCGTGCTTCACGCTTCATACTCTCTACCAAGTAGGTCGGGTAGTAATACTGCTTCCATAGTAGTACAAGTAGAGGCCAAATGGCGTGAGTTCCCATCCCCGTGTGGGGGCCATTGCTCGACACGTCAAAGAGGCGCATCAGCAGCCCCGAACCATTGAAAGCCCAAGTCTTTATCGTCTGATTAGTCTTGGATGTTATTACAAGTACTGGTTTCTACTCAACCTGCACATCGGACGCGTTGACGCGGCGCCAGAAGCACCTCGCCTGCATGCAGCAGGGGTCCCTTTGATGCCTCGGTGCTTCGGTGCCAACCTTGACGAAGCCTTAGGTAATACTTACATAGGTAGGTGGTTCGCGTGCTCTTGGCCAAGAGGTTCTTCGTAATTAGATGCAGCAAGAGGACAGCATGTCTCGTATGCCCGTGTTGGCTGACAAGTGTCCAAAACGGCAGTATATGGAAGAGATCACCATCGACCGCCTTTCTTGACCGCACCTGCTGCATTTCGTTTCGGTTGGGAGATTCCATCTCCTTCCGTCGTTGCAGGGTATTGCATGAGGTATTCACAGTTGACACGTAACCGTGAGCATCATGTAAGGTGGTGCTAGCCTTTCGCCTGATGCCTCAGACCGGCCAATCGCTCATTCATCGCTCTAGAAAATGCGTGAGGCTGACAGGCGGTCATTGAATGGGACCCTGTCAGAAGGATTCGGATAAATCACGTCGACGCAATGACACGAAGCACGCAGTACCTGCAGGTAGACAGTTGGCGATGCTGCAATCCTGCAGGTTGCCTGTAATTGTGATTCGTCCAATATGGCGGTGCCTGGTATTATCGTGCCCGAAGTCACCCTCCATTGATCAATTGACCGACAGGTCAGATTCATGCCAAAAGCGGTCTCACATTGGTAGGTACAAATAGTAATAACCTCCTAGCAGCTGGAGATCAATTCTGTGGCATCTATTCAGGAGTCTGTAACTCTGTTAACAATCGTTGATGGCATGAAAGCTTACCCACTACCTATGTAGGTAGTATCAAGCTGTTGTAATGTATGGACCTTTTAATGACACAAAAACCAGCATAGGTAGCCTAAACCTAGTATACGTGCAAGGTATTGTCCTGGAACACTGCAGTGGTCATTCAAAGCAGTCCCAACAGCATACACGGCTAAATTGTATTGGGTTGAGGTGTGCAAGGACGACAGTCGGTGGGTTTATGACCTGTCGTACAGAGTGTTCATACAGTCACGGTTTTACGTACCACGTACTCGTATGGGATCGCATCCTGTGCTGCTACCCTGTTGCAGCCCGGGGAAGATAATAGCGGCATACTGTACCACGGTTTGTTTGTATCACCAGCGATGTCTTGTGTGAGGCTGGTTCCCGTCCCTCGATCAACCCGCAGAACTGCTTGCGATGTGCATCAGCCTCAACCCCGAGGCGGCTCAGCAGCTGAGCATTTGTCTTGTCGTCCGCCTCGGCAAGTCAGAGCATTATAGAACAACCCCTTCGGACATAGCACATGAAACCGGAACGGTCAGCTTCAAACAACGCGTCATGTCGCAGCAAGACTTGTCAAACCCCCAGTCACGACGACGTCGACAGGGATCTCTGGTGGTGTTACAATCACGGAGTAGCCAAGGCTGCACCAGAATGGAGCTCTCGCGCAAAACCAAGTGCCTCTACCAGTACCAGTACTTTATGCTATCGCGTCGGTAGAGTCCATGAGCAGCCTGCAGGAGAGTCGTACAAATATATGTGCCGTGACTGATGCGCCGATCTGCGATACGTGGCGTCGTCTTGTGTTACTCTTTCGTTCTCGGAACAGTCATCCTGCTCCGAGCCAAGACCAGAGGCCAACGAGTGAGTGACAGAGCCTCCCAAAAGGAAGAGCAAGAGACTTCATGTTTTCCCCCTGGAGTTGCCTGTCCAGAGTGCTTCACAAAGGAAGGGTGTGCCCCATGGCACATCCGTACCCATACATGATGGCATTGGGCAGCATCTTGATGAGACGCTGAACCGCCTCATGCGACGTGCCAGGGTCTCTCGCGAACAGAGACCAGCCAGGATGGTAACCACCAGTATCTCACATTGGTAGGTGAAATACAAGCTTAGTACCCCATACTCCTCCCTGTGGAGGAGCGACAAACCGCACTTGAGCCGAACAGAGATAATGATCACCGATCGAGCTCGAAAGAGGAAATGAGACCACCGGCGATGTGCGGAGAGCGGCTCGGCAGCGGCGCGATGGCAGCCTCGTCGCCTACCTACTAGTAGTAATGGCAGGTACATGATAGCAGAAGCTTGTACGTTGTATAACCGAGACTGCGCCGGTTCGTGTCATGCGTATGGGACCAACAGACGTCCTTCCAGCCAGTTCCGAGTTCCCAGTCCATCATCATCATCATCATCCTCCTCCTCCTCCACAATCGTGCATGCGCCGTTTGAGACATTGGGTCGACCATCCACGTGCGGCGCCTGTTCCTGTTCTTTGTGGCCTCCAACCACCAGCAAATCAATCTTAATTCACATCCAATACTCGCACCATGCGAGACAGCCGGCCGAGTCGAGGGGCGCCTAACGGAGGGCCGGGCACGTTCGGTTTGTTACTGAACGAAGCGTTGAGGGCTCGAGGCTCGAGGCTGAAGCAGCAGAGGCGCGGCCGTCCGTCCAATGGTTCCAGCGTCAGGCCGACGAGACGGAACAACTTGAGGTGAGGTGTGATTGAGTGTGGATGGATCCTCCCGACTTCGACTGGGCGAGCTCCTGATGCAGGTGCATGTGGGCATGGAAATTTGGCCTCAGCGCCGTTGGCGACCTGCAGCGCACCCGTGTGGGCACCGAAGCTGCTGACCGTCCCCCGAAAAGGGACTCCCCCAGGGCCCCTCAGCGCTCCAGCGGTCCCCCTCCCCCCCCCTTATCAACTGGCGCACAGGCACTGGGCGGGGCGGCTGCAGGGGCGTCCCTGCAAGGTACGGCGCCCGAAAGGGCGAGCCACATTGGCGCTACTGCGGCCTCATTTACGCAGCTGTCTTCTTCCAGCGAACCGTCCGGCTTGGGTGCGCTGTTTGTTCACGACCAGCCGGGATTCAACGATGAAGAAGGTGAAATGAGGCCCTGCTAGTCCGTCTGATACGGATTTAGTGGCAGGCTAGGACGGCCAATTGGGGCACCGGTTCGCTGCGCAGCGCGACGATGCGAACGACGTCTTCTGGACAATCTGCAGCGATGCCCTTGGGTTTAGTCTGGATTGGACACCGGCGGCGTTTGGGGCCTTGATGGCCTCGCGAACGCGCTCGATGACGGCTGGAGGAGACTGGCATCCAAGGGAGTGGATATTGGGAGCGACGAAGCACGACCGGAGTCTGGATATTGAGCCCATTTCCCTGGCAAGGGAGCGGTCTCGAGGACTCCAGACAGGACCCTCTGCCCTACGAAGCCACCACCGTCCGGGGTTCCAATACTACAACTACTAGTTGTACGGTGTGCGACCTCCCGCCAGAATGACTGGGACCGACCGCATTGCGATGTGCTCATGCTCGGGCTCGTGTGTCGTGTTCCCTGTCCGAGAGCAGGACGGATGCGTCAGTCTGGCTCTGATACAGACGTCTTGGAAGCAACGCCTCATGAAGCTGGGAGGAGCCACGACAAGCGGTGATGAACCTCACAAACCGTGGCCTCGCCCTCCTCCAGCCTCGCCTCGCCTCGCCTCACCTCGTATTACTATTTGTTCACCTCGCAACTCGTGTCTGCTTCGGTGCCTCTCCAGCAGCGCTCTTGGGCACAAAAAAGGGCAAACATCCACACCGCAACCACCGCCAACGTCTAGCCACGGCACTGCGAGGCTGCTTGCAGGGATTCGCGACCTGATCGCAATTAGCTCCCATCAAAAAACCCTGGCCATCCGCAGGCCAGCGACAGGGTTCAGGGCGAACCTCTAGTCAGGGGTCTGCCACCACCCCCAGCGACGCTTTCCGTGACCTCCACAACTCGAGACACTATGCGCAACATCACCGCTTGCAGGTAGCCGTTCCTCCAAAACTTGCGACCTTTTCCCCCTTCTGCCTCGTGCCCTCTTCTCTTCCTCGCCAAACCATCCTCCTGGCACATCAGGCGAGGCGTCAAGCGTCGACCCAACGCAGGATTTTGCCGGCGTCTCGGCCGTGGGCTCGACAGCTGCTTTCATAGGATCCTGGCTCTCCCGCCGCCGCCTTCTTTGTCGGAAACACGATTAGGTCGTCTCTGCAATAACGCTGTCGCCGACGGCGAGGCTGTGCTTTTGTTGTCAGCTTGACATCCGCAGCCTGAAGCCTCTGCGCAAAGCATCTGGAAAGAGGCAGCAGAAACCGGAGGCGGCGTGGGCGGCGTTTCCTTCGTTTCGTTTCTTCGCTCAACTCTTCGCCTTTTATATCACACAACGCACACTGCCAGTCGGCCACCCTCCTTCTAAACGCCGCCATAACGATTGCCTGTGGCCGCTCTGTAGCGGGTGTCGATGTCGGCATATCCAATGTTTCCCTTCACGCCTGAATAACACGACTTGAACCATTACACGACAAGCCCTGCACCGCCGTCATGTCCGGACTGAGGGAGTCGGCTTTTCTGCCGACGATCAAGTGTTCGTCATGCGGCATGCAGGTGGAAATCTCCATGATGGGAGAACACGCGTGTCCCGGGCCTGGCCCGGCGGTTGAGCGTAAGCTTCCTTTTGCTGTCGCGGTTGAGTATGGTTTTGTGCTAAGCTCGATTTCCTAGTATCGCCGCCTCCTGACAGCAACGCCAAGTTCCAAGATCCGCCTCCCAGGTCAGCCGACCGTATGCCTGGCCCAGTCGACGTCGGCGCAGCGAGTACGATCACCCGACGACCTGAACCCTCTCCGATTAGCAGCAGACTACTAACTTACAATAGACAAGATGTACATGGCTCCAGGGCCGTTGACCCCTGTGAGCGCCGGAGGTTCGCGGAGCGTCTCACCAGCAACACCATCCAGACCATCCTTTGCCGACCAAGCAAGAGACTTCTTCTCGTTCGGCGCTGCGAAAGCGGACGAGCCCTCACAGGCGCCCAATAAACTCGACATAAATGGCCATCGCAGCTCGAAGAGCGTGGCCGCTGTGACATCCACACCAGCTTCCACCAAACCTCTGGGTTTCATGGAACGCATGAACACCATTGCTCCTGGGCCATTTGACGCCACCCAGCGACCCTCGACGTCCCACGGGGCCTTCCCGGCGAAGAAGGAGTCGACCTCACGGTTCGACATGCCTGTATCAGCAGAGCCGGCCTTTATGAATGAGCGACCAGGAACAAGCAGCTCCAGCTTGTCTTCTGGGAGCAGCGGCGTCCCTTCCACCCCGCAGCAGCCCCGGAGGAACAACTACGAAGGATTCGGTCCGCCGTCTGGGCGCGGGCTAGATCCCAACGGCATGGCGCCGCCGTTGAGAGCCGAGACCTTTCCGGGCCCATCGAACGGCGAAACCCCGCGGCGACCATCGTATTCGAGTCCCAGATCCGGTCCGCTGGCTACCGCGGGAGCCCCCCAAGGCGAGCGACGACCTTCCCTGGCTCCTGACACGTCGAGAAAACCTCCGCCGCGCAAGAGCCTCATCCCCCAGCACTTGCCGACGGCCTCCCTCAACTTGGCCGCCGAGTTTGGTGCCAGCAACCCGTATCACAACTCTACAGACTCTGCCTCTTCAGGCTACTCGACTTTTAGCAACCAGAGCCAGGGCACAGCGCAGACAAGCCCGGCAAGGTCCGAGGCGCGCAACAGCATACCGGACGCGCTCAGAGTCAGATCACAGGACAAACCGCGTCCATCCAATCTCCGACTCGACCCGGCAGCGGAGATCGCCCCGCCTGCTCGATCCCCTGTGCCGCGATCGCCGTATCTCATTCCGGACGGAGATGACGAACGAGTTGACCCGGCCATCCAACCTGGCCTTGGTCAGCAGCCGTTCAAGCCATACAGAGCTTTTAGCCCAGCCATGTCCTCGACCCCTGCGCCAAGCCAGGAACCACCGGAGCTGGACTTGGGACCCAAGAATGAAAGCTCTCCCAAACAGCCTTCTCCCAGACAATCTACCCCTAAACAGCCTTCTCCCAGACAATCTACCCCTAAACAGCCTTCTCCCAGGCAGTCAATCCCTAAACAGTCTCCTCCCGGGGAATCTCTTCCCAGGCAGTCCACTCCCGTGCAATCTCCTCCAAGGCAGTCCCAGCCCGCACCGGTGGCATCGACCCCGAGACAGTCACCACCAAGACAATCGCAGCCTGCACCGGCAGTATCGCCCCCGAGACAATCACCGCCAAGACAATCCCAGCCTGCGGCGCGGGAATCGCCCCGCAAGTCCGAAGACCGGAAGGGGTCCAAAGATCTCAAACTTTCGTCTCGCGGCGACTGCAAGGCCTGCGGGCAGCCCATTACTGGCAAGAGTGTCTCTTCGGCTGATGGTAGACTGACTGGAAGATACCACAAGGCCTGCTTTGTCTGTGCCACATGCGCAAACCCGTTCACCTCGGCAGAGTTTTACGTTCTGAACGACAAGCCCTACTGCGAGCAGCATTATCACAAGCTCAACGGCAGCCTGTGCGGAAGCTGTGGACGCGGTATTGAGGGGCAGTTCCTTGAAGATGAGTCTCAGACCAAGCACCACCTGAACTGCTTCTGCTGCCAGGACTGCCGCCAGCCGCTTGCGAACGGCTACTTTGAGGTCGACGGCAGGGCCTATTGCGAGCGAGACGCCCTGAGGAGAACCCAGCCGCCACCGCCCGCCCCCTACCCTCGAGGACCGCCGGGACGAGGCGGCTACGGAGGCCCTGGAGGCCCTGGCCCACGACCATACGGACCACCAGGACGCATGGGACCGGGAGGCCCAGGAGGTCCAGGAGGCCCGGGACCCCGACCGGGCTACGGCCCTCCTGGCCTACCCAGAGGACCTGCCCCTTACGGTGGCCCACGGCCCGGCCGCCCCGGACCCGGCATGGGACCAGGCATGGGCCCCGGTATGGGACCCGGTATGGGACCCGGCATGATGGGACCCGGCCTAAACCCGCGACCCAAGATGAACAAGAGGATGACACGATTGGGCATGATGTAAAATGCCTGCGTAGCGTTCTCTATCCGTCTTACTGCATAATGTCTTTGTATTCCCAGCCACGTTCACTCTGCAGAGCAGAGCAGGACATATCCTCTCAGACCCTCTTCCCCGGAAATCATGGAAACCAATGCATAATCTGTTTGTTTTTGGTTATATACCCAGTTCTTTCTTGCTTGTCGTTTCACCGGCGATGTACCGGCTGGGCTTTGTTTGGTGGATATATCTCATTTTGGCTATAATCCAAGTTATGCTTACGAATGTATCCGAATCCCACATGCGTTTTCAGTCCATGTTGTTTATCTATATCCTGTCCTCATTATAGATGGCGTTTTCTCCTTTCTTTCGTGTTTTTTAGCCTTGGATGTACCGACAACTCTGTTAATTCGTTGATATCGAAATTCAACCGATATACCTCGAGCAGATGTTGGGTACCTATCCTAGCTATCTGGATGGGAGGCAAAACATGTGGGTTCTTGTAACAAGTTTTATCTCGTCTCTTCTTTTTATGTCTGCAGAAACTATACCGATCTTTTGGGGTCATAATGTCTACTATAGTGCCTGAATTCCAAAGTCTTCCCATCCAATGTGATAGCGAACGTAAATGCCGCTATAAAAGAGAAGTCTTGTTAAAGATTCGCTGCTGCCAGGGATATCAAGTGTGCATGGAGATGATATTATCCGATGGCAACAAGTAAAGAAAGAGAGAGAGCCTGCAGTATGACGATGGTGGCTTGGTGTGCGGTGCCCGATTTAGTTCAAGCTTTGAAATGGAAATAGACTGCCGCTTGTCGAAAAGCAGACTTTTGAAATCGGGTTGAGATTTCATTGATATTAATACGATGCTTCCCCTTGTGTAAGAAAAGAAGTTTCTGCTGACACGTGCTCATGATTATATGTGTATGCAGCTGGTAGTCTTTTTGGATAATGGTGAGACGGTAAAAAAGAATGGGATCCATGGGTGTGATGTGGGCTGGAATGCGTGGTGCAGCTGATGTGTTTTGGCTCTTGAAGGCGTCGACTTGAACTCGTATCTTCTTATCTTTGTTCGTTGTACGAGATAAATCTTACCTACCTTATCTTATGAACATACTGATATTGGCACGTGAATGATCTTGGAAAAAGGCATTGTGGGATTTTGATGATACTTTACCGTAATACGTGAAGCCATCTGCGGCTTTGCACTGTAGACTGGCCGCTTGTGTGTATCATTGAGACGGCCGCTTTTGGAATCGGCTTCGCTTGTTGGCGAGGTGGAAGAAGAACAACATGTACATACAGGTTGGTGGGGGGGATTGAAGGAAAATCGGGCTGGGCTTGTGGCATGTGAAAGTACCAACATCTCCTTCACAGTTTTCTTTTCTCACAAGAGCTTTCAGGTGCCTTTCTACATTATCTTTGGGTTTTTTTTTTTTTTTTTTTTTTTTTTTTTTTTTTTTTTTTGAAGTCTGTTCAAGAGCGTCGGTGTCTGCTCAGCTGAGAGAGAGCATGTATTCTGCCATCAATTCTCCCTGTACGTAATCGGCAATTGCCATCTTCTGTCATAATAGCACGTATCTGTACCTTATCTGAGTGCATGAGAATTGGGGGTGCTCCCTCCTGTTTGCTGCGACTGATCGTCAGGAGAAGACTTTGAAGTGGTCGCTGTGTGGACACGGTGCTGCAGGTGACGAAATTGCCCCTGGGCCAGGCGCCACTAGGAAGGTACCTGGCTAGGCCCGCGTTTGGGCTGGAGCAGAGCCGGCATGGCAGATGGAGAGCATCACCTTGACGGGTCAGCCGTTGAGATTTTTCTTTTCTCTCTCTCTGTGTCGGGGAGGAGATGGGCCGACGTGCTACGCAAACAGCGGACTAGTCGGCTGTTGGAAGGTTGGTAGGTAGGGATGGGATTTTAACGGGGTGGTGCAGGATTTGTGTTATATAGGTAAGTTAAGGTACCGTATAGGTAAGGGACCTTTGCTGCAATTGAACTGAGATTTGATGGATGCTCGGGGAATCGCCCTATACAGTACACGTGAAATATAACAGTCCAAGAGTTCCGACTTTTGCAGAGTACAATAGGTAGGTAGTAGGTATGGAGAATTTGAGAACTAATCCAGTATGTACAGCTTCTCTTGAATTGTTACCCCTGACTAGTAGAAGACGAGCAGAGAACATATAGAGATACTACTATATTAGGAGAGAGAGCCTACCAACTGCCGGTCGCCGGTTAGAGCAGCACTGTATGGATTCGGTAGGCGTGGTTTGGTGCTCCTACCTACGCGTAATGATCCCTCCTGATCGACGGCATGAATCTGGCTTTGCAGCACCTTGTGGGCTGGTGGCTGCTGACTGAACGAGCCGGAGCTGCTGTGGCAAACCAGACGTTGAAATCCCTCTGTTTCCCCCCCTTACATGTAGCCACTAAGACGAATCCACCCCGCCGCAATCTTGGATCCCCGCTAGAGTGACACTCGCGCCATGGCAGAAGAAGCAGAAGCATCCAATCCATGCTGGAACCTGTGGCCACTGGACGCCATTCAGTTCAGTTCAGGCGTTGGGTGCGGTCCCCTAATTCAAGCTGGAGGCGATCTAGCGGGAGGCAAAGGGCAGCTACAGTGCAGTTCAGCGCATCACTCAGCGCCTGCCACACCGGTCTGGTCCGTTGCACTCAAACTGGCTGCACCAGACGGGGGCACTTTCGGCCACCTCAGCCAATGGATCAGTGATCCCTCCGCCATTCATCAATGTCCGGGCATGTTCCCACCGTGGCACGACATCTGCCAGATTGCGTGTGTGCTGGTTATTCCTCCGAACTGCCATCCATCCTTCCCTCGCCTCGTCCCTGTGCCACTTGACCCCGTTCAATCCTTTTTCGTCCTCCCCTTCCTTCTCCAGACCGCACACGCCTCACGCCTTGTCTGGCTCCCTCTGCAACAGCAATCCTAGAGGCTGGAATTGGAGCGGACTTTTGTCTTCTTCTTCTTCTTCTTCTTTCTTCTTCTTCTTTACTCCCCTTCGCTGTGGTTCATCAGCCCCCCTAGTCACTCTTTTGAAGACCTGCTCTGCTCTTTTCCACGCCCCTCCCCGCGACGGTGAGACCTCGACATCAGAATCGCGCCTTGTGTCCGCGCCCGTTCCTACGATCGCACAACCAGGCGCATCCCGTCCGAGTTCTTACGCGCGCGACCCGATCGGCTTCTGCCGGCAAAACACATCAGACGGCAGAGTTACGCCAACACAGGCTGCGTCACTCAGTCGCAACGGTCGCTGGCAAACAAGGCCCCCTCTGTGCGACACCGCAACATGCAAACTTGAGAGCTCTGGCAGCCCGCAAATCAAGTTATATATCCGGCAGCGCTCGACGCCTTGGTCCAGCGCCGACCAGTTCCCGCGACACGTCCCGAATAATCTGTTTCAGTCGAAGCCATCGCTTCAGGGGGATCCGGCACCATGTTGAGCCCCCACGCGCGCCGGCCTCGGGTGAGGTTCATCCTCCTCATCATCTTCGCCTCCGTTACCTCCTATTACCTGCTCTTCAGCGGCCCGACCCCGCGCTTCAACATTGTGCCCTATCAGTCAGAAGCGCCAGAGACCAAGGGCGACCAGGCACTTCCATCTGGAGCGCCTCAAGCTTCCCTGACACCTGCAGTTCCCTCGGCTACCAAAGACAAAGACAATGGCCCAGAAAGCAAACCCGGCAGTGCGCCTGTCGGCAACGATGCCCCAGCCAAGGATGAGAGCGAAGACAAGAGCAGCGAAACTCCCGCAAAAGACGAGGACGACGGTTCTATTCAGAACGGCAAGCCATCGGCTGAAGAGAAGCAGCATGACGACCACCCTAGCAATGATGCCCCCAAGAACGAGCCTCCCAAATCGCCCTCCGATGCTGAGAAGGAACAGAAGCCGCTCAACATGGATCTTGAGACCTACAACAAGGAGGTTGAGATGCTCGAGTCTTGGGACATGACGATTGAAGAGTTGAGAAAGTGGAAAGATCCCACTGACAAGGAGAACTACGACGACGTAGCCCCAGGCTACGAGACCGATGGCCAGGGGAGAGACTCGGGCACCATCAGCAGACTTCAGCACGAGAAGGACATGAGGAAGATGTGGAGATATGCGTATAAAACCACAGCCGAGTGAGTCCTCCGCGCCCAACTTGCGTAACGTATCAAGCTAACCATGTTTGCGCTCCAGCCTCGAGTCTTCCAACAAGATCTACGGGAACACGCTCTCGACTCTCGACTTCAAGGAGAACCGTACCGAGTCCCTCCGACGCAAGCTCAAGGAGGGTAGCGAGGTGACTGTAGACTTTAGCGTGGACAAGCCCGTTCGCTTCAACCCGTACCCAGACTACAATAGCGACGAATGGAAGAAGCTCAAGCACGCCCCTCACGTTACCTGCAAAGGTCCGACCGGAGAGCCTGTCGAGGACTTGCTGGTTTTCAAGGGCCGCCCTCACGACTTTCCCGAACCCAAGTTTGGAAGCTATGCTCTGTTCGACATGGATCCCAACATCTGCTGGGAGAGAGAGACACGTCTCGGCCCCTATGGCCTCCTGCAACAGACCAAGAAGGTGGGCGGCGAGGTCGAAGTCATCGATTGGGACAATGTCAACTGGGGCGATCTTGTGCGACGCTGCGTCGAATCAAACGCTGCGAGGTTCGATTTGACAAAGGAGAAGAAGAACCCGTACCTGGATGTCTACCCGGGCCTCGTCAAGCCTGCGGCCCCCAAAGACGAGGGTAACAAGGACGGAGAAGCGAAGAGCGCCAACGATGCTCAGAAGGATAAGGAGTCGACAGCCGCACCCGTCAACCTGGATGATAAGACGACCAAGATCAAGATCAAGGGTCGGTCGCCAGCAGACTCGGGGGCTGAGGAGCCCAAGTATGTCAAGGAGAAACGATCCGCCATCTTGCTGCGTTCCTACACAGGAAAGGTATACACCAAGAACGACAAGGAGACGATTCGTGCCATGATCAGCGAGCTCTCTCTCAAGTCTGGCGGCGAAATGGAAGTCTTCCTCCTCGTCCAAGTCAAAGACAACAAGCTCAACCCGTTCGACGACCGCGAAGTATACCAAGATATTCTGCAGAAGCACATCCCTCCGGAATTCCACGGCATCACCGTCCTGTGGAATGACCAGCAGGTGTGGGATATCTACACGGAGCTCAAGGACGACAATGAGCGAAGCGTCCACACGGCGCAGTGGCTCTCTGTTCAGAAATTCAGCCAGGACCACCCCGAATACGACTTCATCTGGAACTGGGAGATGGACTTCCGCTTCACCGGCCATCATTATGAGATGCTTGACAGCATCAGCAAGTTTGCCGCCAAGCAGCCGCGTCGAGGTGCCTGGGAAAGGAGCGATCGGTTCTACATCCCTGAATATCACGGTGATTACGACACGACCTTCCGAAAGGAAATCGAGGAGGCTTATGCCGGTGACACCGTCTGGGGTGCACCTGAGCTGCCCTTTATCACGCCCGTCGGCCCCAAGCCCCCCGTGAAGACGCCCGAGGAGGATAACTACACTTGGGGTGTAGGCGAAGATGCCGACTACATCGCCCTCGGCCCCATCTTCGACCCTGTCAACAGCAACTGGATCATCCGCGATAATGTTTGGGGTTATTCAGACGCAACACACAGGGCCCGTGACCTTCCTCGCCGCACCACCATCGTCACCCACTCTCGCCTCTCGAAGCGTTTGTTGGACATTATGCACGTGGAGAACTTGCGTGGAAACCATGTCGCATCCGAGATGACCCCTCAGACCGTTGCCTTGCTCCACGGCTTCAAGGCCATCTTCGCGCCTCATCCCGTCTTTACCGATCGCGATTGGAACGGCAAGTTTCTCCAGTCGTGGTTCAACCCGGGCCCCAGGGGAGAATCTGGCGGCTACGGAAGCCCCTTTGGCTGGGGTAGAGAGCGACGATTCCAGGGCCATTCTTGGTACTATCGAGCGGAGCCGCCGAACCGAATGTACAACAACTGGATGGGCTGGGTCGACACTGATATGGGAGGTGAGGCCTGGGAGAAGGAACACGGACGACCTTGCCTGCCGTCCATCTTGCTGCATCCCGTCAAGGACACAAAGCCCACCAAGGAAGGCCACAAGACTGGCTTCGAGCTCTTCTACGGCTAAAAAGTCCCTTCTGCATATGCGCACATTGAATTTCCGTTAGCTTCGGTCTGGTGCATTTCCGACCTGACCGGGCTTCATTCTGCTCTGGCAGCTGCTGCTTCGAACAGTTTTCGCCATTCCGTTTCTCCCTTTTATTATTCTTCTCTTCTTGTGCTCCCCCTATTACTGTCCTTTCAGGATACCCCTTTATGAAACTTCTCAGCAAATGACAAATGGTTGCCACCAGCTCGAGCAGTCTGCCGGGTTGGTGGGCGCTTCCAACAGGAGGAAAGGATGTACTATGATTGTTGACAAACGCAAATGTTCATGGCAACTTTAGGTAAACGGACGAAGGAAATGGGCGAGATGCGAACAAGCCCGGCGTTTACAGTTTTTCTTATGATGCCACCGGACGGTTATTTCCTGGGGCGGTCGATGGTTTATTCTGCGTATTATTTTGGCATGGCGATGTGGCGAGACGAGGGTTATCTTTCACCTTGTGTGTGGGAGATTCGAACGGAGTTTCGTGTTCAAGAATTACCTTATATCATGTCTTACTGGCATTGTTTCCGTACAAAGAACAGGAGAAGGGAGTGGATGGAGGTTGATGTTCCTCTGAATACCTAATGTTTTATAAGAACGAAAGAACGACTAGGAAGAGTGTCCTGCAAAAGCATTCCCAAATGCACTGAGTTTCATGTTCCAACATCGCTTCCAAACGAAAGTGATGCGACTTGCTTTTGATTTGAGTCATCAGTCCTGACTTGAGGTGCAGTCCTGGGCGAAACCCAAGGTTCACGTTGCTTCATATCAAATGGCGAATTCGGGGCCGGATTAATTCACTTGTGCCCCACGACAGATTCCGCTAAATGCATGTCGAATCATGTTTGAATCCGACAGTGTGTGAAACTTGGACCAGACAGTTTGTTGTTTCTCTCATACAAGGATATCATGGCCACACCTGCCAAATGAATCCCATTCATTGATTGACAAGATATAAACACACTCAGTAATGATTCGGCATCTCGTCTACTGCAGAGCTCCTGTGCCCCCCATCAGGGTGAAGCGAGCGAGCCTTTTGTCCCAAGGAAGGCAAATGCGTTCATCCCACCTCGATTCACGATGAATCCGTTTCCCAGCGTGAGAACATCCACACCCCTCAAAAGTTTTGTAGCTCACTTGACAAAGGAAAAGCGGAAAATCTGACATTTGTGCTGCTATGCTTTGCGTGTATGTTTGATAGACGCCCACGCCGCGACGGTTCTTGCTGCCCGGGCGATCAACCCAGTCGTCGTCGTCGTCGCAAACGCCGGGTGCGCCTCCGCGATTTCAGGTCACGCCGCGGTTTGGTTCGTCTTCGGCGGTCAAGTCGGCGCAGCGGAGGGAGCTTGATATCGAGGAGTCTGATGAGGAGGAAGAGGAGGAGGTTGTGTATGAGTCGAGTTTGTCAGGGGATGAAGGGGGGCCTCTGGGTGGTGGTTCACGACGGCGTGTGCTTGAGATTGAGTCTGATGCCGGGGTTGCTTCGCAGGAAGAGGATTTTCCTGGAGACGAAGATGGCAGAACAAGAGCTCCTTTGCGCTTCGATATTGAGGAGTCTTTTGATACAGAGATGGGGAGGGAAGCCAAGAGGCGCAAAATGTCCATCTCCCCCTCGTCGGTGCTTGGGTCTCCGGATGCGGGGGATGCAGAAGAAGCTACACTCGGACACCACAATGACGATGCCGACGCGGATATTGAAGACGGAGCATCGGTGATGAGCACAAACAGCAGCAGCAGCAGCAGCAGCGAGGCTTCGCCCATAACGATGCGCGGCAACTCCAAAGTCCCGCGGCAGCCCGTCTTTCAGCAGGCGCCGCGCTTCAAAGCCCTCGACGCCGAAGATACGCTGAGCGGAGGTCTTCCGGCGGCGTTCTCGCCGCAGAGGAGAGGAGCGAGGTATGTCTCTGGCGGCATGGCGTCTCAGCTGCAGGGTTGGCTATCGGAAGTCAGGATGTGGGACGAAAGCAATGACAAGGCTGAGTCGGTGCTCAGGCTGCACGTGGAGCGGATTCGGCCCGGGAGGAGGATGTATCTCGTGGAAGGGCGTGTGGCCTCGGAGGAGACGTCTAAGAGATGGATCCTGGCTGGGGAGGGGAGACTGACGGGATTGGGGAGGAGGGCGGAAGTGAAGGAGGGGAGTGTGGTTGTTGTTGGGCAGCCGGTGTGGGATGTTGAGGTTGAGGGGGGAGTATGGAATGTTGCCTGCGAATGGAGTGTGGAGGGCTGTTGAGGATGGCTTGGATGGGTTCTTTGTATCTCATGTTTTGCAGTCTGGTTGGATGTGATATCCCATGGTTATTTGCGTGTTCATGAGGTCTGTTGATGCAGTTAGGCGGTATTTGCATCAAGCGCGAATGAGGGGCCAATTGAAGTTGAGCACCGCGCATCGCCGTACATGTACCCTGGAGCAGCAGCTCAGCACACAACCTTGAAGCAACGCCCATCTCAACAGAAAGAGAAGGGCTCTTGCAAGAAAAGAGTCTTTCTCATATTGTGCATTTTCCTTTTATTACACATATCTGCAATGACACATTCATAATGCTTCGACTGTCTTGCGGTGTCACGTTTGCGCCGCGGCTGAGGCCAGCCTTTCAGCAACGGCGGTGCTTTTCCTCTGAATTTACAAGAAAAGCTTCTGATCCGCTGCGGATACTGTTTTGCGGCTCGGATGCCTTTAGCTGCGAATCTCTGCGGGCGTTGCATCGGGAGCATGAGACGAATAGGGGGCTTGTGGAGAGTTTGGATGTGATGGTTTTGCCGCCGAGGCGGACGGGGAGGGGGTTCAAGGAGATCAAGGAGGGTACGTGTTCCTCCAGAGAAGGAGACATACTCGGAGATGCGGCATCTGCTAATGACGAGACAGTGCCGTGTAAATCTGTTGCAGAGCATCTGGGGTTGAGGATACACCAGCGGGAGACATTCAGAGGCTGGAGTGTAAGCTCTCTCTTTCTCTCTCTCTCTCTCTCTTCCCTTATGTTTAGAAGCTAAACGCAGTATAGATGCCGGAAGGAACCAATCTTATTGTGGTAGTTTCGTTCGGACTCTTTGTGCCCCCGAGAATATTAAAGTCGGCAAAATATGGAGGACTGAATGTGCATCCGTCACTCCTACCACAGTAGGTCTCGTCCTTTGCAAAGACTTGTGGCTTGATAACAGGTCAAGTTGACCGATATACTGCAGCCTACGTGGACCAGCTCCGATACACCATGCCATGATGCGTGGAGAGAAGTACACGGGAGTCTCTCTCCAGACGCTTGACCCCAAGGCTTTCGACCATGGCACCGTCCTCGCCCAAACACCTTCCCCCGGCTTACCGATACCGGCCAATGCCACGCTCCAGCATCTTACAGAAGACCTTGCCAAGGTTGGCGCAGAGATGCTCGTCCAGGGACTGCGAGACGGACTGCATGTGCCGCCTTATAGGGATGCAGGATGGATGGCCGAGCAGCTTCACGGGGAGGACCTGATTCACGCGCCGAAAGTTGGGAAGGGCGAATCACAGATCAACTGGCTGGAATGGAAGCCTTCAGATTTCGAGCGTTTTGTCAACATTTTCGGCACAGTTTGGACGCATGCGAGGAACGACAAGGGCAAGTTCAAGAGGGTGCTCTTTTTGGATGCAGAGAGCGTGTCTGCAGACGAGGTGGCGGGACGAGAAGAGGAAGTGGTGTTCCGGGTGGAAGCTGGGACTGAAGGAAAGGATGTCCCGAGAACTGTTAGGGTCGATGAGGAGCGTGATGTGGTTTATGTTCAGACGGCGCATGGGGGCTGGGTGCGTGTGAGGAGTGTCAAGGTTGATGGGAAGACGGCGCAGAAGGCGAGGATTGGGCTGAGGGAGTTTATGAGGAGATGAATGGAGTGACGATGCTAGAGTACCTGTCATGATGACTGTTCCATCTGCATTCCCATCAGGGGTAGGTTTATTTCATGCGATGGGAAGCATCTGTCTAAAGAATCGGGATGCATACATAGAGAAACAAGAGGTGATTGCACAAAGTCATACTGGATACGAGAACATCTTCAGCAGGCTCCTTGTTTACGGATCTATGAGACTTGCTTTCTGTCCAACGTGTTAGACTTAAGAATGATGAGAATGCAGGCATATACATAAGCCTTCCGAATGAAAGCCTAGACCGCGCTGAGAACCAATTGCCGGGTGTTCGCCCTGCCTTGGCGGCAATCAGGAGTCGGCTTTCTCGCAGCTGCACCTCGTATTTCCAAATGAAGCAACTAGGTAGTTGCAGAAACCCAACATGCAGCAAGGAGATGAGACGCAGAAGAAAAGACGTACGATGCTATTTTACAGGTCACATACGCGTACCTACTTACTTACTATATAACAAGAACCTAGCTACTAGCATGAAGAAAAGGGTCTGCCTCGCATGCAAGCTCGCTGTCCCCCCCTTCTCACTCGCAGGGCATGGATGGCGAAGCGAATCGGCTGCGGCTGCATACAATCCATGTAGGTGACTCGGTGCTTCTTCTAGGGGGGTCGGACGATGCTTGGCTGGCTGGCTGATTGTCTGCAGAATTGTATACAGTAATACGATACCTACCTGGAAGAAAAAATGGGAGGCAAGGAATATTCGAGAAGGGGTATTGGTTGAGCATTGGAGGGCCTTCCCCCCTGAAAGAAGCCTCGAAAGCAAGAGGCCTCGATTTCTACGGGTGGAGTTTCGCCGAATTGATGGGATGGCCTTGGTGCCTAGGAGCCAGGAGGAAGGAAGATGGAAAGGAAACAGAATCGCTAGAAACAAAAAGTTGGAAGTGGGCTTTGCCTTGCCTTGTTCTTTGTCTCCACAGCTGGCGATGTGTTTCTTGGATTGACTTGTCGAGTTTTCACAACAACAGGCTTCTTGCGGGTGGAGGTGCATGAAAACGAAGCTGTACTGTACAGCAGGGGGTCGTCAGGAACTGGACGACCAGTGGTTGGACCTGAGTTGGGATGTTTGATCTGATTGGATGGACGGTGGTTAAAGGTCTGGTGGCCAAGGTGCAGCAACTGAAACGCGGCTGGGGGGCCAGAAGCAGTGGAGGGCCCCTGGTTTGGGGGCAGGCTGGCCAATCAGCAGCGGGCCTTGGTGCTTCAGCGATAGGAGAGCATTGGGGCTGGCGGGCGTTTGGGTTGTTTTTGGCGCCCTGAAACCATCCCGGACGTTGTTGACATACTATGTATGAGCGTATCGTGTGTGGTGTGTGGTGTGTGGTGTGTGGTGTAGGAGGTATCTGACGGGTGTACGAACAAATTACTGGCGATTGAAGACGGGAGATCGGAAACGCGGGCTCCGAGATTCCGTTCGGTCAGGACTTGGAGTGGAAGGAACGTGGGACGATGGAAACAAGCAGCATCGACATTTGCATCTGCATTCTAGGTACACGAGATATTCATGATGCCGTGCATTTCATCTCACAGAGACGCTGAACGTTCGAGTTCATGATATTACTTGCATTTCGACGGAAGCGACAAAAGCAAGATGGTTGATGCGTCTCGCCTCGACACCGGGGCCGAGATGCCTCTTGCGGGTCGTCTAAGATGCATCGCTGCGCCAGGATTAACGTGACGGCCAGTCAACAAGTCTTTCGTCCATCACCAAGCGCTGATCTTTCTGCAAAACAAGACAAGACCAGGTAAATCACAGGTCAACCTCAGGTCAACCGCGGACTCGCCACGCAAAGCACAGACAGCAGATACGACCAGCAAAGCAACAATACCCGCGATCCCCCTCGTGCCGCCCATCCTGCGTGGCGCAGCGTTCATGTTTCGGCGAATACCCGTGTGGGACTGGCTCGTTGACAGGAGGAGGAGGAGCCCGCTGGAACCAACGGCAGCTCTGATCCATTCTGCTGCGGACCGGACGTCCAAGGTCGGATAGGCCGGAGTATCGAGGCAGAGAGCTGTGTGTACTCGTATGCGTACAAGTACATCTGCCTACGACTTGTTACAGCAGCATCACCTCTGCGCACTGGCAAAAGGGCGGCAACCTAAAGGGGATACGAAGCCCTGTTCTCCCGGATCAAGCAGGCATTGGCCTTGCATCCTTATGCCGGGGATACTCCGTTGAAATTGAGGGTGATTATGGAGTACCAGAGCCCATCTACTATTACTTGTCGCCATGCTGACGCCCTGGAAGAGAGGCTCGGCGCATGGCCGGAACCAACTTGCTGCCTGGAAAGCTGACGAGATGGCTCTTTCTTTCGATATCTCTGTCGACTACCTTGGTATAATACAAAGCATGGGCACCACTCGCTATATCACCCCGTACTGTATGGGCGCAAGGTGGCAACCAAACAACTGTCAATACCACCCAACCTCGCACGCCGCACCCATACGAGTGCAGGCTCGGACTTTGCTTGGCCGAGCAAGGGTGCTGAAGAAATCTTCAGGGAAGTCGAGAGGTCCAGAGTCAAAGTTTGACCCCTGGCACCACTGCAGTTCCTGCATTAGCGGCTCCGTCGTCTGAAGGGGGGGTGGGATGGTTGATTCTTTTGCAGACTGCACTTGCAAATGGGTTTCGGTACGAAGCTGGACAACGATCCATGCCTGAAAATGATAACACGGCTGCTACGCTGGGATGGGCACAGTACCCAGTCTCTCGTAACTGATCTTCTGGATGCGAACTTTGTCGCCATGATCTTGAGATTCTACGGTTGGCTTTTGCATCAGAGTTGATTCCCGCTGGATACTCCCACCTAGTCCCAATGCTCAGCATCACGCTGTCGAACTGCAATCTCGGCATGCTATTTCTGTCCGGTTTTGTCTGCGATCCAAGGCATAGGGCTCGTGTTCGTTGCCACTCTGGCTCGGCTCTCCTGCCGGATCAGCTGCCTGATTCGCTCCCCCCATGTTCTTTGCAAGTGAGCGATTGGACAAGGCCTTGCTGTTTTCCACACGCCCAAGATGGGGCCCTGCCAGCAACATCCCCTGACCTTCCTGGGTATTGCCCGCATGTGCGCGTTACGGATACACCCCTGGCTCTATAGCAATTCACAGTGGACAACAAAGGCTCCACCAAGTCGAGGAGGCCGTTGAGGACTCACTTACATGCCGCAACATTGTTGGCCTTGGTTGCATGAAGCATTGCCGCCCATGGGCAAGCTTCTCGTAATGGACCCAGGGGTGGGCGATGTTCTATCTAAAAGAAGGACGACTGCCCACATCGAGTGTCTCATTCATGTTCCTTCGTCAGTTTTGCTCTTTTGCTCTCTTTGGTTCTTTCGTCAACGACCACTTTGAGCTTGATGCTCGTCCTCTGACGTATCGTACGTCCAAATCACACTCATTCCAACCGAACACCAAGAGAGACCCAGCCGTTCATTCAAACCAATTCGGGATTCAAACCATCATAAACTATCGAGACAACTTTTTGAAATGCCTTCTATCAACGCCCTGAGCGCGGCCTTCCTGGCCTGCGCAGGTAGTGCTGTTGCTACTCAGTTTACATTGACTGATACCTACGACCATACCAACTTCTTTGACAAGTTCACTTTCAACGACGTACGGCCCTCCTCCCGTTCCACGGCTTCTGGCTGGTTGTTCAATGCATCTTGCTAACAATTGTCTGTATACAGCAACCTGACACCAACTCGGGATTCGTCGTCTATCAGAACCAAGCCAATGCTGTATCCCAGGGCCTGGCAAAGATCACCAGCAACAACGAGGTCTACCTCGGTGTTGATCACAGCACTGTCCTCAAGGGCGCTGGCTTTCCCGGCCGTAACTCCCTGAGACTCGAGTCCAAGGCCTCCTACAAGCACGGCCTGATCGTCGCCCGGTTCACCCACCTTCCTGCCAACCGCTGCGGAAGCTGGCCCTCCTTCTGGACCCTGGGTGACAGCTGGCCCAACGATGGAGAGATTGACGTGTACGAGGGCTGGAACAACATTGTCAACAACCAGCCTGCCTTCCACGTCGGCGATACCAAGACCTTTGGCCAGTGCATTCTTGAGAGCGCCGGCCAGACGGCTCCTGTGGCCACGAGCAACTGTGACAACACCTTCCAGAGCCCCCCTACCCAGTTCCTCAACCAGGGGTGCACGGCCAGCGATGGCAACGGCCCTTGGGCTTCCAGCAACGGCGGTACCTGTAAGTATAACGCTTTTCAATAATTCACTGGCAATCATATATCTAACCATCAACCTAGACGCCATCGAGTGGACCAGCGACTACATTAAGCTGTACAACTGGGCTCGCGGCTCCGAGCCTGCCAACCTGGCCTCGTCCTCGCCCGACACCTCTACCTGGGGCACTCCCGCGGTCAACCTGCAGAACTCCAACTGCAACATCGACAGCCACTTCAGCAGCCAGCGCCTGATCCTCGACATCGACTTCTGCGGCAACCCCGTGGGCACTCCCGCCTTCTGGGAGCAGGGCTGCTCCGCCGCCACCAGCCAGGCCACCTGCGCCGACTACGTCGCCAAGTTCCCTGGCGACTTTGCCGAGTCCTTCTTCCAGATCCAGGATATCCGCTACTTCACGGAGGGTGCCAGCCAGCCAGCCACTTCCAGCAAGCCTGCTTCGTCCTCTGCGGCTACCTCGTCTTCGGTTGCCGCTTCATCCTCCGCTGCTGCTCCGTCCTCCGTTGAAGCTTCATCATCTGTGGCTGCCACTTCCGCTGCCTCCTCCGCAGTCGCCGTCCCGACCTCCGTGATTGCCAGCCAGCCCGGTAGCCCTCTCTACCCTGTTCCCGAGAACAGCACCTCTGCATACTCCGTTCTCCCCACCGGCGGCGCTGGCTACCCCGTCCCCTCGAGCGGCGGATCTAGCGGCCCTGAGACCATCACCACTGACATTACCATTGTCCACACCATCACGAGCTGTGCTCCTGAGGTGACCAACTGCCCGGCCCGCCACTCTACCCAGGTCATCCACACTACCCTCCCTGCTCCTCAGCCAACTGGTTCTGCGTCGCTTGTCGTTACGGCCGGCGCCCCTGCTCCTTCCAGCGGTGTTCCTGGTGCTCCTGGCCCCTCGTACAGCGTCCCCGAGGGCCCGGCTCCTTCAAACGGCCCCAGCGGCCCTGAGACCATCACCACTGCCATTACCATTGTTCACACCATCACCAGCTGCGCTCCCGAGGTGACCAACTGCCCGGCTCGTCACTCTACTGAGATCATTCACACTACGTACCCTGCGCCTCAGCCCACCGGTGTTGCGTCGCCGCCTGCTCCTCCTGTCGCTCCCGCTCCTGCTCCTAGCGTTGAGCCTGCCCCCTCCGTTGCCCCGGTTCCGGTTCCTAGCTATTTGCCCCTCCCCCCTGCGGCGTCGGCTCCGGCTTCACCTGTTGCCCCTGCTCCTGCTCCCAGCTCTGAGCCTGGTTCTCCCGCTGCTCCGGCTCCGGCACCCAGTGGCGAGCCTGCTCCTCCCGCTTCCCCTGTCCCGGTTCCTAGCTATGTGCCTGTTCCGCCTGCGGCTTCGGCTCCGGCTTCACCTGTTGCCCCTGCCCCGGCCCCTATCACGCCCGGCAACAGCACTGCTTCTACCCTGATCTCTGTCCCTACCGGCCAGGCTCCGACTCCCTCCAACGGCGCGGGCTGCACTGGTCTTGACTGTCTGCCCTTGAGCGGCGCCGCCCGCACCGGCATGAGCACTCTTGCTCTCGTTGGTGCCGTGGCGGTCATGCTGTTGTAGGTGGTATGATACTGACGAGAGGACATGGATGAGACAAGAAGGCGAGGAAATGGAGGATTGCAATCAAAGCTCTGGTCAAGTAGCTACAAACTAATCAAGGCGTTTAGTGTCGGATACTAGTCTGTGCCCCCTTTGTTGACTATGGGTGGACGTATATATATATTTTTATAGAGATGGATCCGAGGATCTGTCATACCTTCTGATAGGCAGTTACAATTTTTACTTTCTACTTTTTACTCCTTCGACCTTGTAAGCATTGCACAGAATGTGTAATAAATGTGTTTGATTCATATTACTGTCAACGAATGATGCTATAGAAAACCCAACTCCCTGAGCAACTACCCAGGTGCACCCCAAGTAAAACGATAAGTTTGTTACCGCCTCTTAGCCCCTTTACTCTTCATTCAAAAGATGCGTCTCAACAGCCATCTCCACCTCGCCATCGCCATCAGGACAATACAACGCCGTAATAATAACCCTCACCTTTTCATCCCTCAGACCCTGCTGCCACTCGTCACACGCCGTCTTGGCAAGCTGCACCAGCTGCGCCCAATGGCCCCTCGGGACATTTGTTTCCTTGAGGCGATCGCCGAGAACATGGTCGGCCGCGATCCAGTACTGGACTTTTGCGGGGGTCGAGCCGTGGGCGGGGTGGATGGAGATGCGGTGGTAGTGGTTGATGTTGGGAAGGGATCGGTTGTTTGAGGAGGACGGAAGGGAGGAGTCTGGTTTTGTGGTGAGGCGGAGGGGCGCGACGGAGGCGGTTGATGATGAGGGTTGGGTTGAGAAGAGTGGTGCGGGAACGAGGTTGCGGATGGAGTAGGGGGTTGGGTTTGTGGGACGGGTTGGTGGGGAGGATGGCATCTTTGAGAGGGGGGAGGGGTTGAGGGAGGAGGAAGTGGGATCTGTGTTTGGGAGGGGGGGAGCTGGAGTTGGTGTGTGTGTGCTGTGTGTGTGTTGTGTGGTTGTGGTAAAGACTGTAGGATGGTGGGTGTGGCTTGTTGTGATGTGAGAGAATGTGGTTGGTTTTGGGGATGGAAGGGAAATGGAAATGAAGACGATGACTGGGAGGATCATGATGATGATATAGACGAGGTGGAAGAGTTCATGCCAGACGGACATTTGCTGCGTTGGAATTGTACAGCAAGTGTTCAATGTTCGTACCTGGGGAACCCGACAAGTCCACAGGCGAAACGTTGCTTTGAACATCATTGATAGGGGCTAAACTTGATCACTCTTGAATTCAAACATGGAACAGGCACAAACACAATACAAATAGGAAACGATGATGACAGTTCAGTTGGGTATCAAGTGTGTTTATTCAATGCAGGAATCTCGACTCAACACAAACGCGTGCGTATCCATTCAGCCCACTTGCACAGATCCTCCAGCCGTTCAAGCACCCTGCCGAGGTCCTGTCTGTTCAGCACCTTGCTCTTTCCATGAGCAACCTGGTGTTCAACGACATTCTCGTTGACGATTTCTACCACGCCGCCTTCGAGGATGCGAAGGGTAATGTCAATAGTAGAGTTTTTGACGGGGAAGACGACTTGAAGGTATGGCAACGGATGAACCCATATTATGACATCAATGTCCATGTCTTTGCCCGTCTTCTTTCCGCGCTTGATACTGCCGTTCGTACCTTGGTGGCCGCTCGATCCTTGGTCTGCTTCCTCCTTGACCTTTGGCTCTGCTTCTGTTGTGGCCTCATTGTTTGGCTCCTCGTCATCGCTGGACTCCATGAACGCTGCTAGTTCGTCCTTAACCGTCTGGGTAGTAGCGGGAGAGGGATTCGTCGTCTCCTTGGTCGACTTTGGCACGGCCTCCTTGGTTCCTGGCCCAAAGCTATTGTTGAGCAATGTGGATAGGAAAGCATACTGCCTCAGCAGAGGAAGCATGTCAATGAGCTGGCGAGGATGCGAGAAGGACATCTCAGTGACCTCTTGAGAATAGATAGGCTTATAGACAAAAAGAGTGTTGTGATGACTCCTGGTGAATGACTGTCCCTGCTGATCGAATACAAGAACGTCACGCAGGCGTGTAACCGTCCGCGGTTCACTGGGATCTTGCCTGTTACCCGCCGCTACGGGGAAGAACAAGTCATCGAATGTTGGCGGGGGGAGAGGGCGCTGGCTAAAGTCGTTTGAAGGATTCGGATTAGGAGGCGTGGAGTTGACATAGGAGTAGAGCCTCATGCAGTCGTTCTGCGGAAGGATGACGGGCGGGTCGAACGTGACCGTAAACGCAACTTGAGGCAGCGTCGAGAGATGCAGCTGGAGCACTTCCATGCCGTTGTTCTTATTCTCGTCCGACGATGGAAGCGAAATGTTCTCTGGCTCCTGCCAATCGAGAATGGGAATGTTGGTCGGGTTCAGTGCTTGGTCCTGCTGGTGGAGATCCTGCTTGACCACTTCCTTGGAGATCCAGTCTTCAGATACCCTCACGGGTGACATGCCTAGTGATTCAATGGGCGCGCAACCGATCAGAAGCGACCAGACCTTCTCTTCTTTCTCCGAGAATGATGCCAGTCTGTCGTCTGAAGGGGGCACGAATCTCAGCTCCTTCCAGTACTGCAAGGCGAGGCCGACCTTGTTTCGTGCATGCATGACAGGATAACCGTGTCTCGTACACAACGCCGTCAGGAACAGGTACTGATCCGACTTGCCAGCCAGCTCAGGCTCCTTGCGCAGGCTCGCGAGGTCCCATTGATGCAGCCTCTCCAAGCTTGTAAAGATGCCAGCCAAAGCTTCATAGCAGTCGAGGCCAGGGATGACGCTGAGCTTGTCCAGGTTGGCTATGTAGCCAAAATTGGATGCAAACTTGTCCAGAGTCTTTGTCAAGGGGCTCTGGTTGGGACCGAGCTTTAGGTCTGCCAGCAAGATCTGGCTAGCCGACTCCATATGCGCGGCTACTGAAGTTGCCGAGCCGTGGTAGGTTAGTGATACGTTTTGAACAATATTGTTGTCTAGCACAATGTCGACGGCGATGGCAGAACCTGCAATTGCCAGTGTCTTCTTCTTTCGTCCGTCCGCAGCGGTGTGTTCTTCGGAGAGTAACTCGAGACCGAGGCGCTGAGCAAGACGTTCCAGGCCAGCTTCGCTGACGAAGCCCTTCTTCTGCTGCGGCGCCATGTCAGCTTAGGAGATTTCCACGTCGTAGAGAAACAGCACACGAACATTCAAAAGCTTGAGGATGTTATCCAGCCTCTTAAGCTTGTCATCCTCAGTAGCGAATACGCCCAGCGTGTCCAGCCCGCCGACATGATCGAGGCCCATGTCGAAGCTACCGCCGATTCCCAGTGCTCCCATGGCGGCAGCAGTCGAGGGACTATCGAAATTCAGAGCACCGATGGCCGACTGGCTCATCAGCGTCGACGTGGCTGGCGATTTCTTAACCTGCTGCGGCGACGAGCGCTGTCCGCGGGGAGAAAATGCGGCCTGGGCGGGATTCGAGAAGGGCGTCGAGATGGGAGGCGTCGCTCCGGCGATCTGCGATGGCGTCGGGCCCTGATGCGACGGTGTGCGGCCCTGCTGCGAGGGCGCCTGCCTCATGGGCGTTGGAGTTGCCATTGTGAATCGGAGTGCCTGTCTCTAGAGCTGAGACGAGATCGTAGAAGTCGTGATGAGGCGAACAGGACAAGAGAGAGAGAGAGAGAGAGAGAGAGAGAGAGAGTCGAGGCGATCGTTTGGAGGGATGAGAACGAAAAGGCGAGAGCGCCGTTAGCCTGTTGGTCAGCCTTTCGATTCCATCAGTTACGAACCCATGCAAGGGCACATGGAAAAGCGGGAGAGCAAGCAAGACTGAGTGATTGATGGCTGCTGTAGTGATGCTTGACGCTGTGATATCCAACTGCTGGAGGTTGGAGAGGTTGAGCTTGAGCATTTGACAGCCTTGTGCCGGTCCGACAGCTTAGCGGCAGAGCCCACTGAAAGAGGGTACCTTGGCCCCCGCAATTCTGTGGCCTGCAGGCGAGTACCGGGCTAGCCTTTTCCAATTTGATGGCGAGGCTGCATCTCAATTGATTCTTCCTTCTCTTCCGCAAAGATCCCAGATCGCATCTTGATGGCAGCGATTGGAAATGCGGCCCGGCAGGTTCGGGACCGGGTCCTTAGCGAACGATCGATACGCGTGCTCGTGACGCCAACGCCAATCACCTTTGCCGAGCGCCGCTCCGTGCTGCAGGTGCTGGAGCAGTATGGCCCTGTCGACTTCTTCAGGATGACTCCCGTAAGGCCCCGTCGATTGGGAGGGAGATCGCATACCCGGGATACATATGTGAAGCAAGATCTAGGTGCCTAACCATGGAGTTTGTGGAATCATGTTACAGGGCTATCATTCCAACTTCGTATCGATCACGAAAGAGTCCACGACGGCCGAGCGATTGGTTGCCAGCAGCCCTCTCACATACAAGATCACGGAGCCCGTTCGCAGCCCCGTGGAAGACATTTACGTCGCCGATCTGGACGAGCCCGAGAGCTTCAACACGGCCCAGCCGACGATCACGGGGGAACAGCAGCGCAGTGCCAACGGATCGAACCAGGGACCAGCAGAGGGTTTGAAGCAAGGGCAGCGGGAGTTTATGCTGGAAATCTTCCCTCTGCCCGAATACAACCACAGATTTGCCATGGCCGGATCACTGCTGCACGGCTCCTGGCCTGAGGGTTACGAGCGAGATCAGTCCTTCATTGCAAAGACACTAGAGCAATCGCTGCCCAACAGCATCGCTAGCAAGGGGCTTGTGCACTGGATGGTACGGCCAAGCCCTCGGATGGTGGCTGCTGACCTCCGGCCAAAGAATCCTCGCAAGGAAAAGAGGCTGCAAATCAAGGAATGGCTGCCCAGCCAGATCAAGAAGGACACGACTGAGTAAGCCAGCGGGATCGTCGTCGCGATATTACTAGATGCGCGCAGGGCTGCTGCGGCGGCGGAGGAGGAGCATTACGCCGGCCCTCGTCGCACCGCCCGGCCACGCTGAACACTTTGTGCTGTACATACAAAGTACGGAGTACAATGGAGATGGCGACACATGGATTGATTGCAAAGAGGCTGGTTGTCGCACACGATGTCACTCCACTCCATAATCTCAATGTCTCAGAAGGTGACGCCAATTCATTTGCGAAAAAACCAAGGCAGGGAAACAAACGCCGCTCCAGCGACGGCAGGGCAGCGGCTGAAAGACAGAAATTTGAAGGCCTCGCGAAAATGGAACAAAGCGCGCAAAAACAAGAGTGTGTATGAAGGATGGACTAATTGCCAAATGAAGAAGTCGATGATGATGGATCTGCGCTCGCTCTGCAACTTGATTCCTCGTCCCGGCTTCAGTTCACAAGAGTGCGACTACAGAATGTACCAAGTCGGACCACCATCATGTGCGCATAAGGTAACCATGCTGTAATCTGGAACGTACGAGACGTCTCCATCGCCGATGATGTGGCCAGGCATTGGGCTTGGGGGGCTAAGGGGACTTGGGGGTACTTGTGCCGACGGGGATGGGAGAGCAAGCGAGGCTTGAACCGCCAGAATCATCGACTTACGTCACGAGGAACAAGCCATCCAACGCGAGCTACGACGACTAGCACAGCCCATCACACGGTCGTGGTGGTTGTGGCCCAGGGGAGTGGCGCATCGCCCTCCAAATTCCGGCTGCTGCGCTGCTGCTGTGTCCTCGACCTCACCTCACGTTGTCTCACGATCAAGATGAGTTGACGGCTTCGAGATCGGCCTCACGTCTGGATGCGGCCGAAACTGGAGACGCAAGCAGAGGAGCGTCCAAGCTGCTTCACGACGCGTTCCATGTGATTCTGACAGCAGAGACACTCAGCCCGTCTTTGACCCTGGACAGACCGCCACACCACGACCCCTGTTCCATGTCGAATCGGGCTTGGCCTGGCACAAAGCAGACCCATGTTGTGGCTCCAAAAGCAGGGCAGCGAAGCCACTGGGCTCTACGTCACCCACAGCCTCTCTCGTGAACTCCCGAGGGTCCAGGAGCCGTGATCCGAGTGAGCTGCTCTATACAATTCGGCACAGTACTACTAAGTGCTCACCAAAGACCATCCTTCCTACAGTACTGAACTGTCGGGACTTGTGCGCAGGGGGGGCGAAGCGGTACGTGGCCGTGTCTTTGACCGTGCTTGCTTGGAATCTTTCCACCGTTGCACAGGGGAAACAAAGCTTCTCTCGAGCACAGTGCCATTGTTGGCCCGAGACATTTGACGGGCGGAGCTGCGCCGCGTCGAAAAAAGAGATTTTCATGGGACCTGGTCAAAGCATCGTTGGTGTTGTGCAAGTGATGGGAAGGTAATATGAAGCTGGGAAGTGTCGAGAGTCGAGGATTCCAGCTCCGCACATGCGAGACATGGTAATATGCCCTGGTTCAATGTTTACCAGGACACCAGAGGGCATCACCTCCCCAGCACCAAAGGCTTCTCCTCGTCTCTGCTTGCCCATTCACACGAACCTGTACGCTCGTGGCATCGCGCTAAACCAGGGATGCTTCGCGTTGCTCCCCATCGACCAACGATCTTGCCAGCCGGGGGTGGATCCTGATGCCATCCACGCATCCACGCATCGCAGCCCTGCCCATCTCGCGGGCTCAGAGGCCAGAAGCCGGCACAGGGCACTGCTTGGCAGCTCTGGGCACGTTCGTCTCCATGACGTCGCTGCCCTGTGGCACCCAACCTGCCGTCGGCGGCCGCTGGGCACCTCGTGAGACAACTCGAAGCCGTGCGCTGGCTTATATGCTGACCACTTTCCCTCCCTTTTTCTCTATTGTGCTTGTCCCTTTGCTTTGACCACTTCTTTTGCGATTGCATATTTGTTCCCAGCCAGACCTCTCGTTTTTTCATCTTCCGTCTCTGTCCAGACACGACATCAATCAGTTGCAAGCTTATACCATCTCGGTCATATAGCCACGATACTACTACTACTACTACACAACTGATCCTCGAGGACATCTACACGCAAGTAATAGTAGCTTGACTCGATCTCTTACCACAATGGGTGTCGGAACATTCTTTCACTACTTCGGCACGGTGCTGCTGCTTGCCGCCACGGCGCTCCTCATCGTCGTGTCCGTGACTGCGCCCGTCGTCAACGACCTCTCTCTCCTGAAGATCAACTTCAGCGGCAGCAGCTCTGTCGACAGAATAACATTTGGTACCTTTGGTTACTGCATCCAAAATGCAAAGTACGTCTTGGTTCATCTACTCATTACTCTCAAACACTACCATATGAGAAACACAATAGCTAACATCTACAAAGCGGACACGATGCATGCACCCACTCTCACATCGGCTACGAGGGCACCGACGCCTTGACCCAGGTCACCTCCCTCAACTTCTCAAAGTCCGACCGCGATGGCTTCAGGATTCTCACAAAGGTCATGATCCTGCACCCCATCGCCGCCGGCCTCACCTTCTTGGCCTTCCTCCTCTGCCTGGGCACCAGCTTCCTCGGCTCCTTTGTCGCGTCCTTCTTCTCCTTCCTGGCCTTTGTCGCCACCGTCATCGCCATGGCCTGCGACTTTGCCGGCTTCGAGATCATCAAGCACGCCGTCAACACCAGGGGCCCTGCCAACGTCGAGGCCCACTGGGGACCTGCCGTCTGGTGCATTCTGGCTGCTGCGGCGCTGACGCTGATTGCGACCATCTTGGTGTTTGTCACTTGCTGTGCCGGTCGTGTCAAGAACCGCCGCACTCGTCGCAGCAAGTCCGAGTACTAAAGATGGATTGGAATTCTTCCGTCTGTCTAGACGACCCGGCTCGGAAGTCACTTGCTCGGTGTCGACCCGGCAATTGTTATGAAAGCACCCTGACACCCGTCATAAAAAAAGGACTTTTAAAAAAGAAGACTGAAGATATGAAGAAGGCGAGGACATATGGATACCAGCGAATTCTCTTTGTTTTACTTTTGTCTTATGGATGCTTGTTCTTATGAGCGAATGGGGGAGAGTCCATTGATCATGATACCACACCAGGGGGGGCATGATAGTCTACAGGTCGCTCGTGCCGGGACCTGAACGACTGTCTTTTTTTCCCCCTTTACATTACATATACCTAGTGCTTAATACTGTAACGACCAAATTTTTATATATCCCATCTGCATACTAGCGGACCGTGGCTGATAATATGGTTGTCTTGCGTTTCAAGGCAGCATCAATCCAGAGATTGCGGGACATTGTGAGAAGGCGTATGAGAGAGACGTAATATTCACACAAGATAATTCACGAATGACTAGCAAATGCGCTCTATATATCGCATGACTTGGCGAAAGTGCATATTCGACGTTTCCTCAATGCGAGCATCTTGTTTTTCTCTCTGGAACGGGAAGTGATTCATCGCATCATAATCAGTAGCTGCGCTCGAGCTTGCGCCTCCTATATCATTTTCATTTAATCCCCTAATAAAACATCCTGGGCGCCAACCAGAAAGCCCAAGTGCCCCATCCCAACATATTCGCGGTGGCTATCGGAAGTCAACCAGTCCTTTAAATAACTCGACTCTTTTGTGACTGAACATTTTGCGGTGGCTGCTGGAATCAAGGTGGTCCAGAAATTGCCTCACCTCTCTTTCTGACCAAATCTGCACAATGAAGTCGCAAGCTAGGCACTTAAAGAGCGGGCGCATATTGCTTCCCCGGGGGTAATCTTCCTCGTTGTTTGGATGGGTGTCTGTTCTTTCTAACACGAAATCCAACTCAATCTTCTCGTTTGGGTACACTTCTTGTGACATAGTCAAACAAGGTTTAGCTAAAGAGTGAAAGATGATACGTTGCCTAGCGAAGGAGTTCAATCGTAAGTCATGGACGTGCAACGAAGATGGACGCATATGTACAGAGACCGCATATACTGAGGAAGAACTTACAGGTACGTCTGCATCACAAGTCCCCCCTGGCTGAGAGTCAAACTCCCACTTCGAATTTCGAGTAGCCGCTTGATTCGAAGGAATGGCATCGTCCTCGCCCTGCATTCGCGCCGCAGACGCGATATTGGGCTGGAACGATTCTTCTGCGAGTCCAAAGTCCCCCAATGACCGCCATGGGTCAGGTGATGTAGATGCTGTAAGGTCTATTGATGGTCCCTGTGACATTGGTGCCAGTAACTGTAGTTCTGGTGGTTGTGAAGCTATCAGCAGCGGTGTCATTCCTTCCGTTTGTGCTGGTGGCGGCAATAGGAAAGCTTCATTTTCGTCGAATGGTAGGAAACCAGATTCCTCGAAAGGAGACAAATCAAGCGAAAATTCAAGTCGATTGTTAGGTGGTGGTGCATCAAAGTCAAGGCCACCGTCGGGTTGTCTGACAGTATCTGCATCCGGGTCTACAGAGTGACTCAGTGACTGTAGTTCTGTTGGCTGTGGTAAAGACCTCGGGGCTGTTAATCCTTGCGTTGGCCATATTGATGCCGGTTCCGAGGCTTCGCGCATGTATGGAAAAGAAAGATGATTAGATACACCCAGACTCGTATCGGCCGGCACCTCCGGTGCTTGTGAATCAAGGTTGTTGTAGTCACGAGCGGATATCCGGGAGTCATCTGCTTTTACCTCTGCTGAGAGACTCTCCCGCTGGAAAGAATACATCGCTCTCTTAGAATGCCTCCTGATCGTGTCTCGTACCTCTCTTCGTTCGCTATTGGCATGACATTTGGCCATATGATCCTTAAGCATCCTTGCTGAGGTGAAGGCCGGATATTGGCAGCCTGGAACCCGACACACGTGCTTGATGTGGTCTTTCTCATGCTGAGTGAGGCGGTCCATGTTGCTGAAGCCGACGACGGCATGTGGACACGACCAAAGTCGACAGGTAAACGCTGATGCTCGAAAGTTCTGCTTGAATTGCTCGAGTTCTTGAAATTTGATGCCTGGATAAGTAGGATAGTTCAATAGTGTTCGAATCATCGCTTGATGTTTCTCCTTCAAGGCAATGAGGTTGCATGCCACTGCATGGGGACTACCATTGGGATCTTGGCCTTCTACCTCCCCACAATGTCATTAGCCATGGACCCTGACAGCACATGAGGAAAGGAAGGGAAGGAGTGTACCCTTGATTAACACATGTTCTAGTGTGTCTTTCTTTTGCTCCAAGATTACCCTTTTTGCCATCTTGTATAGGGGATAATGCCTTTGCCGTATCAGAGCAAGCCGTGGATTGAGTTCTTCACCTCTAATCTCTTCCAGGCTTGGTGTCGCACCGGTAAAGCCTTTGGCCAAACGACAAGACAACACAAACATTTCCGACTCAAGAAAGCGAGTTTCTTCAAGTTCAGGATATCCCAAGAGGTACTCAACCCAGAAATGAGTGGCATACATGTGGAATCCATGAGTTCCACGAAGTATTCTCCCAACCCTTTGGGTTTCAGGGTATGGGGGCGCAAAGATCTGCTGACAAGACAGGAGACAATGAACAGTAGCTAAACCATGCTGCCTCTTAGAGTTTTCAGCCGTGATTGACAGTGAACTATCAGAGCTCTGGAGAAAGCTTCCGCCCGTTAGTTTGATGAAGAACAAGCGAGCCAAGGATAAACTTACTCTCGAACGGACACGTGGAGAAATGCATAAGTAGAGTCGGCTTGTTTCTGAATGAGAGGCTCACACCGATCGAGGATATAGGCCGGAACTGGCTCACTCACTTCTTCGTGTCCGGTGTCAAATGTCAAAGCAGACAAAAGCTCTGGAGAGCGAAGTGGCCGTTTAGCAAATGATATCCAGCTCAGGACAGAACTGATCCTTTGAACGGATCGTTCGTCAAAATTTGCCATAATCTGCGACAATGTCCGCCCATAGCTGAATGACGCTAGGGTTAGGCAATAGGTACATAAAAAAAGGTGAAGAAAGGTTCAGATGCTCACTCACAACTTTCCCAGTTCTCGAGGAAGCTTACTGGCAGCTTCCAATATCTCATCACGGCCGTAGAAGAAGTTCTTGCTTATAAACTCCATGACGAGTTTGGCCCAGAGAAACATGCCTGGTAGCATCTGATTAGATAGCGGAATGAACGAGCTGCTAATCAAGTACCTACCGTCTGCTTTTTCGGTAATTTGTGATGCCAAACTTGTGATATCTTCCTCCGTTATGCGTAGCTGAGATAGAGTTGGACGGATGGCGTTGATCCTCTGCAGGGTGTAATCCTGGATGGCCTTGTTCAGATGGACTCTTTCATCTGTTAATGAGATCTGGCGCTTCCTCTTGACGACTTTGGCCACAGCAGGCGTCATTTGAGCGCATAAGAGCACCTTGAGTATAGTCGCTCCGGAATCCGAAGAGGTGGCAACCAGCTTATCAAGGGTCTTCACGACGCTACTCACCGTGCTGTCATTGCATTCGTTCAAGCCATCAAAAACAATATGAAATGTCCTCTGCTGAGATGGCGTAGTTCCCAACGCTTCAACCAAAAGGCGTAGAAGTTGTTCGATAACCGCACAGTTTGGGGGTTTCTTCTTTAATACAAGCCAGTCGTAGGCTAAGGCTATAAGCTCCGGATCTTGACGAATCATCTGCACCATCAGGGATCGCAATATGCTGTTGTAGTCCGTTGACTCGGGATAGAGGTATGTGCAAAAGTGCGCCGCTACCCAAGAATGCTCTGAAGACCGGAGAAATGACGCGATCTGAGCAGCCAAGACACTTTTGCCGCTACCGACACAACCATGAAGTACAGCAGACTGCGTATCGCGGCCAGACTTTGCCCATGCTTTTATCTTCGGTTGTTGGAGTATCCAGCCGCAGGATCCGGGGTGTTGATTGGCTTCAGCAACAAGATTGTCAAATATGTTTATCTGACGTGTCTCATCAACTCGCAAGACGCTCAGTACGGCATGAAACTCTGTACTCGTTCGTTCCTCCTCCTCTTTCGTCAGTTTCATCATCTCTTGTTGTCTCCAATCATCCAACTTCTCTCTCATCTCCTTCGCCTCGAATATATCGACGGCACTGACGGTCTTGTCAACCAACTCTTCATGTGCTTTGAGATCAGCAAAGATATTATGGAAGCGCCGCTGGAAGCGGCCCCACGAAGTAGCAAAGAGTCGCTGCCAAGCTATTGTGAGGAGAGCGCAAGTGTTAGAATGAAGTTGAACGTAGAGGTCACCTGGAGATATCTTACCATTTCGTCGGACGAACTTGTAAGCCTCCCCGTGAAACTTGAGAATATCAGAGTAATAAACAGCCAAAGTTCTCTGAATTTCTGGATTGGTCGAGAAGGACAGTTGGAACAGTTTGAATCGGACCAACGGTTCGGCCAGCTTGCTGTAGACTTTGATGATTTGTTCAAATGCTTCGATGTAGTCGGCAGATATCTGAAGACGGCATGTGCCACAGTAGTAATGAGTATATTGCTTCAAGAGACCGCATCGGGTTGGAGGCATACCTTCAACACAAGTTTGATCGGAGCCCATATCCAGGGTAGATAAGGCGTTCCATTACACAGGACCTCGATGGCCTGGGAGTAGTGACTCAAGCCAGAGAACAATGGTGCCAGTCGTCGCATGTTGCGGAGCGATCCGCTTGCCGCCAACCGTGTTTCGATCTGGAGAGCGGCTTGTCGGACGTCGTCAAGCGTCACGTCCTTCAGCTGCGCTCGATCGGTGACAATCATGATCCTTTCAAGGCCCATGAATGCTTCGCGCATCGTGATATGGGCTTCGCGAGACGCCCTCCGACTCAAAGGCATCCTTTTCTTCTGCTTGCATAGGTATACGGAGCTGCAGAAGGTCTTTGGCCAGACACAAATGACCATCAGAAATATTCCCAAGCTACGAAGAATCGACTAAGCTGTAGCAGATATAGATAACTGTCAATGACACCCGGAATGATGAATATCTGAGCCTAAGGCCTCCATTGACTCCTCAAATTTCGGTGTCAGGGGAAGGCTGTGCAAGTTTCCATTGGCTGGCAGCCATCCACGTAGCTGTCGGCTTTTCGTTGGGCAGAAAACAAGAGCTGCATTAGCCAGAAATCTCTGGTATTAGCCATTGTCATTAACAGTCAATACATGTATGTACCTTACCGATAAACGTTTCAGCGGCTCAGGATGTTGGGGAATGCTTTCACTCACATCAGCATCACCAAAATGGAGTATGGCTCGAGGGGTCTTCATCAGCCCAAGCGACGGCGATCCAGCGCTTCACATCATGTCCATGGCAATGAACCGAAGCGCAATAGACTTGCGATTGCTGATATTTTAGACCTCACTATTGATGATGAGGATCCTACCCAGACGACGCGGGGAACCTCTGATCCAACAAACCCTGATACATCAGTTTCCTCCACCCTACCCGGCCTGGCCATCTCCAATGATACGGGAGAGCAAGTTGTATGTTTCGGCATGGTGAGTGATTGCTCTCTGTTCAGTATCACCTAGCATAGTTAACAGTAGATTCGAGATCGCCAGTATATGTGGCGTTTGTCAACTTGCACGACCTGCGCCGCCCCAGGTATTTCCAGTCACATTGAAAGACTCTCAGAGCTTTATATCCAGAGATGATGCGTCTATCAAAGGTCTCATAGACCCAGGCTTTACGTACATTATAGCTGCCCTACTCGATGAGCAAGATCTCGAGCTCGAAATTGTTTGCTCCATAGAGGCAAGCAGACCATCCAAAACAAGATCTGCATTAGCCTGTTCAGCGTCATGCTGTCTGAGCGTGACAATTTTTGGACCTCTCAATATTTTAGAGGAGATAGGAAGCTTTTTTGAAGAACATGAGCTCTATCTCCAAGACCCGCCGAGCTGCTCACGGAACGTTTTATATCGGAATCCGCACAAGCTGTCTGATGAGTCTGGCTCTGTTGTTTGGACCTCAGGTTTAGCTAGGGAGCATGCGAAAGCTGCCTTCATCGACAGCACACAGCCCCGACCCGAGTTAATTGACGTACTAAACACTCAGGAGGATCTAGTTGAAGCAAATCAGCCGGGCTCTATTCGGTCGGTAATGAAAAGGTAGTGGAATTGCCCTAGTCATCCATGTGTTTCTTGACCATTGATCTGATGAACTCTCCATGGATAGTCACCAGTTGCAAGCCTTGACATTCATGCTTCAACGAGAGCAGGGCTGGGCTTGGGATGGGAGACGGCCCGACTTATGGGAATTCTGTTGCGAGAGTACTGGATCTTAGTAAGTAACCCGGGATGAAGCTGTTTGGCGATCCTGTACTAAGTTCATAAACTGCATGTAGTTTCGTCAACAGGGTATCGTCTGCAATTCAGGCAGAGTCTCCGCAGCAATTTTATGGTGGGATTATCGCAGACTCCATGGGCTTGGGCAAAACGTTATCCATGATCTCTCTGATAGCCTCCGATCTCTTGGTGAACAAGAATGATCCAAATTCTATCATCGGGGCCAACTCTGAAGCATCATCTGGCCGGACGCTGATTGTCGTGCCGCCACCTCGTGAGTCTGACAGCCAGCAATGTTACATTCCCTATCGATTGCTTAGAAAAGCTGACCATTCCCATCATCTACCAAGTACTTGACTCTTGGGAGGAACAATTGAAACAGTGAGGATCTCGTCATCCTTTCAAGGAAGCCGAGCAACGGAGACTGACGCTGTGACTCCAGACATGTCTTCTCCAACAGCATCCCCTGGCGCAGACACCATGGAAAATCTCGTATAGCAGACGAGACAGATCTTGCAGCATGCTTGGTTGTTTTGACAACTTACCATACCGTGTCTTCAGATTGGAGAAGCAACTCAGATCAACAGCACTCCTTTCTGTTCAATACACGATGGCGACGTATCGTCCTAGACGAAGGTTTGTAACCCACAACGAGAGATATAACTAAAAGATCCACAGAGGCATGTTGACAATGACCAGCTCATTTCATCCGAAACAGCAATTCCCGCATGGCTCGTGCCATCTGCTCGTTAGAGTCAGTCTCGCGATGGGCTGTGACTGGCACCCCGATTCAGAACCGACTTGGCGACCTCACAGCCCTCCTCAAGTTTCTTCAGGTGTATCCATATTCAGATGAACACATCTTCAATGCTGACATTTCTCATCTATGGAAAGTGGGAAGAGTCGAGGAGGCTGTGAAGCGCTTGAAACGGCTCGCTGGCTGTATCCTCTTACGTCGTCCGAAGACTGTCATTCAACTGCCCCCAAGGCATGACTTCAAGCGATTTGTAGACTTGGCCCCGGCGGAAAGAGAGTTGTATCAGGACTTCAGAATGGGTACCAAATTTCACATTGAACAAGCCCTCTCTATGAACGACAAATCTACCAAAGCATACTCGTATGCGAACATGTTACAGAGGATCGAGGCGATGCGCATGATCTGCAATCTCGGCGTGCATTATAAGCGGCGATATGATCTACCGGCTTACAACGAACAGACGCCTCAGAGTTGGAGAGAGGCAGCACAGCAAACATTCAACATACGCCGCGGACTCAACAGCATTCATTGTCGCCTATGCTTTTGCGTGGTTGATTCGACAGAGAGCGTCATATACGACGCAGGGTCGCCTCCAATGTCTCTTTTCTCACAGTGCTTGGAGTTTGTGTGCTCAACATGTCTGTCTACACATTCAGGCTCCCAGGTGCTGAGATCTTGCTCCCATGCGACACTGTGTCCCACCGCGTCCATATCGACCGATATGTTCGACACCGATGATGCACCGTGGTTAAGCATGGGCCAGCTGAGTGCCGGATTACCGACGAAGGTATCTATGCTGATTCGGGACCTTCAAAGCCAACCTCATGATGTGAAATGGTGCAGTATATCTGATCAATTTATACAAAGCTGATAATTTGGCTAACAGATGGACTGGACAGTGTTGTCTTCTCTTCATGGCGAACTACCTTGGAGATTATTGAGCTTGGCCTGAAACAGGCAGGCATACCTTGCCTACGATACGACGGCAAGGTGGCACAAAAGGACAGACATGAGGTTGTCGAACGGTTTCGCAAGGATCCAACAATTAGAGTGCTGCTACTGACAATCTCATGTGGCGCTGTTGGGTGAGTCTGATCTACTACAAAACCAGAGATATTCGGTTTATGCTCACCATTTAAATCGCAGTCTCACGCTGACAGAGGCCTCGAGAGCCTACCTCATGGAACCTCACTGGTAAGTTACACGCCTTTGTGAGCTTCCATCAGTAAGAATAGATGTTGATGATAAGATGGTATAGGAACCCAACCCTTGAAGACCAGGCGCTAGCACGAATTCATCGCATTGGACAAACGAAAGAAGTCACTACGATTCGATTCATCGTCAAGGACTCATTTGAAGAGGTTTGTGTTTCGATGAACCACAGCCGACTTTCCGACTAACATCAGTGTTTACACAGAGAGTTGTGGAATTGCAGCAATCCAAGACTGATCTGGCCGAGGTTATACAACGTCAGAACGAAAGCAGCCAGTCAGCTGAGCCTCGACAGCCATTGGAGGTGCGTATATCCATATCTTGATCTGATAATGCCACAGCTGACCCTACGCAGTGGCTGAAAGCACTCATCTAAGCGCTCTTCACGAAACGGATGGCACGGAGAATCGTAAAGGAGGATAAAGAAGCTTACTGTACAAGTAAGCAGTCATGATCCGTTTACCACATATCTCCTGTATCCAAATTTATAGCGTTAAGTCCTTTCCCGTTTAATACAATGTGTCTTCAATCCATAGAGGCAATTGAATGGGCCATGAGCTGGTTGAGGCCCGAACGGGTGATGTTGATCGCTCACATATCGTACAAACTGTCGATATCTACGGTTTCGCTGTGATGAGTTCTCTAAACTTTTCATGCCCATTGAGTGAGCTTTGATCATTTTCTTTGACAGGAATATGCGCTTCGGATACGCGGCATGATTCCAGGGGAAGGTCTCGAGGCATAGCGTCATATGATATCCGCAACCCCGTATTGCAGTGTCAGATACCTCGAAACGAACGAATTACAAAGCGGCGGAAGACTTTCTTCTAATGATCACTACTGTTCTTCCTTTATCTATCTTTCATGGGCATATGGTGATGAGTCTAAGGAAGAGACGCTACCGACTCTTGGGGACTGCAGCGTTGGCATACACGCGTACGCTCTTGTTCCTGCGCATGTCGAGGAGACATGTAGGAACCTCAACATGATAAGGTCGACAACCACACCAAAAGCATTTCATGTATATCACATGGAAAACACTGAAACCGTTTAGAAAACAAAACTATTATTACCCAGTGCAAAAATTAAAACTAATCCCCGACTCCCATTAAGACCACCCAAACTCCTCATCAAGACCCAAGCCTCCCATTAAACCGAGAGTCCTGCTGGACCCAAACTCCTGCTGAATGCAAAACCCTGTGAAGCCCATCCGGCACACATAGTCCCGTCATTTCCACCCAAAACCAAACCCTTTGCCAGGTTTAGTCTAAATCCTAAAGTAAACCTCCATCCAACTCCAATCTGCCATTAACCTTCCAAGTAACCCCAACCCAAAAGGGCGAAATAGAAGCCAAAATCACCAGGAAGACGAGAGAACCATAAACCAAACCCAAAACCCCAACTCCTAATACCTTGCTCCAGGATGCCAACTCCCAATACCTTGCTCCAGGATGCCACTCCCAGTCTCTGACCCCTGATTCCCATTGTAGACTCCCAATCCACAAGACCAAAGTCCAGAACGCTAGATCTCAACCCCTTTATTCCCACCTCCCACTCATTAGGAGCTAAGACACAGCCGAACCAGATCTCTTGGGGGGGGGGGGGGGGGGGGGGGGGGGAATCTTTAGAGCAGGTAGTAAGCCCCAGCAGCAGCGACGATGGCGCCCACCAGAGGAGCAGCAGTCTTCTTGCCCATGCCCGTAGAAGGAGGCAGAGTGTTGGTGGGAAAGCCCGCAGAGGGGCTGGCGCTGGTGCGAGAGGCCACGCTCTGCGTCGCGTTGGAGACGAAGAGAGGCCACCACTCGGGGAGGCCAAACAGGACGGGCGACGGGGTGGCCGCATAGCGAGGCGGCTTGGTCGGGTCCGGATGGATGGTAGGCATGGGATCCGGGACAAGGGCCGGAGGATCGGGAGTGAAGGTCGGCATGGGATCCGCGGTGTGAGTGGGCGGATCAGGAGTGAAAGTCGGCATGGGATCCGCCGTGTGAGTAGGAGGATCCGGGGTGAAGGTAGGCATCGGATCCGCCGTGTGAGTGGGAGGATCGGGAGTAAAGGTCGGCATGGGGTCCGCAGTCTGGCGCACCTCGACGACGGCACGCTTCTTGGCCTGGAGGTGGTCGTTGACGCCCACCGCCTCCTCGAGCTGGTCCAGCCAGTCGCGGAGAAGGTCTCCGAGACGGTCCTTGTACGCCGCCTTGGCAGAGGGAGCAGCGGTAGGGGCAGAGCTGGTGAGCATGGTGGTCATGGAGCCGGTGACGGGCGTGGTGGGAATGATGGTCTGGGCGTAGGTAGTCATGGAGCCCTCGACTCCGTCGCTGGACGCGGGGATGGCAGTGACCAGGGAGGAGCTGGCGGCGACAAGGCCGAAGACGAAGACGTGGTGGTCCAACATGGTGAAGGATTGCTTGTGTTGTGTTGTGTTGTGAGATGTGTTGTGACTGTGTGTTGTAGTGAATATGAGTGCAGTGTGAGCTTGAAGGTAGCAAAGTGAGGTGACGAAATCAAAGGAAAAGACTCGAATGGAATGCGAGGAAAGCCCCCTTTTTATATCATTGAGCTGCTATGAAATCCTTTCCATCTTTAACAGGAAATGCCCTCATATCTCTCTGTAGTCGGAATAACCCTTCAGCCTCACATCTTAGCCGAGCAAGCCAGGGCCAAGATCGTGTAAGGCTTGCAGTCTGCCACCGCATCAGCCCCGAAGCCTCGAAACCCCCCAATCACCACCTCGTCGACGACGGGCCGATACCCAGAGAGCTCAGTGTGAAAAGGGCAAAGACACCCAATACCAATTGCTGCCGTTGAAAATTATCGCTGATGAACACTAAAACCTTAATTTTGGCTGGAATCATAGAACGAATATGCTCGCTATGTTGTGTCGGATACCCATTTGCCCCGCTACTCCTAACCTCCCAATTGTGGTAACGTTTTTTTGCCTCTTTGAGTTTTTTTCTTCTTTGTTTTGTTTTTTACTTCTTCTCTCTGCTTCTTTTCGTCGTTGATTGGCTTCTCCGTTTTGTGACTTTCGTATGTGTGTGCTGTACGTCCTGTTGCCTAAGCTCGTATGTATTGTGAACCCCATAACGCCGTGCGCAGCCCGAAGCGGGCCGTTAGTTTTCTTCCGCGTCCTCGGGAATATCTGAAAAGAAACTGAATCGCATTCGGTGGCTCTGCAAAAGCGGCGTTAGCGATCGTCACGCGACCTCGCCAAGGATGGCTTTTTGGCGTTCTTGACTCACAAAAGGTAGCTTAGGGATAACGACAGCCAGAGTGGCCAGGAAGTTGATGACAAAGTATGTCGAGTCGTAGTGGGTGTAGTGCGTGCTGATGAGGAATAGCACAATGGGGACGCTGAGGAGGAACTTCTTGGTGGGCGTGTACTGGGCTCCGTTGTCGATCTGCTCCCACATGTTGAGGTTGTCGAAGGCGCCGCCGTTGAAGTCAAAAGGGATGCCGCGGACGTAGTGAAACATGATGTAGGAGCCAATCATGTATGTCATGTTGGTGAGAGTCCACGACGTCTCCTGGGTACTACCCGGGATCACATCGTAGAGGATCTTGAGGCAGGCGATGATGACGATGTGGACAGCCCAGGCCCCTATTTGGTCGCCATGGCGGCGGCGGCGGTCAGCGGACAGAGGCTCCCAAGGGTACGAGAGTGCATGTGTTTCTTCAGCAGCGCAGCGGCTTACCCTTTGCATTTGTCCAGTTGGCGTTCATGTTGGGGATGACGGCCTGGTCGCTCATCTGCTCAAGCGTCTCGGGGGGCTCGTGGTAGACCTGGAGGATGCTGCTAGACCTCCTCCGGCGGCCACCAGCGCTGCGGTCGGTCATGTCGAGGAATCGGCTGCCGGCGGCGGGTTTCGCGCCTGCGTCGTAGGTCTGTGAGGATGCGGGAAGGCAGGTCGACGGCATGGTCGGTTGTCTGGCGATGTGGTTTTTTGTGTTTGCCCAGCAAGCCGCAGACGCTCAACCAAGTCACTCGCAAGGCAACGCGCAAGTCGCTGTGCAGGTTCAGAGGCCGACCGCTCAATCGGGGCGCCGAAGGGTACTAGCGGCAGTACTTGGCGGCGCGCGGCGTTAAACGAGGCGTTGAAGGTACCGGATATGTACAGTACCCTTTGGAGCTAGGCACCTTCGACGGGGCCTCTTCTAGCACCGTAGGTAGTAGGTACCTTATGTACTTCAGTAGAAGGTGGGACGTGCTCAAGCTCTCGAGGCTCCAGCTGTGCTGTGCTGAAGTTTACAGTGCCCTGAGCGCCTGTATCAATCAATTACCTAGGTAGGTAGGCACTTGCAGTTGCAGTGCAGATGGCCTTGAGAGAAAAAAAAAAAGAGAAAATCCCAAGTTGATGATGCCAGCGGGTCGAAGCGAGGCGAACAAGCTTTATGCAACTAAGCGAGTGACGTCTGGCACAGCCACCGAGGCTCAGGAACCAGCTTCAGACGTCTCGTTTGGGAAGCGGGCAGATGGTTATCTGGCTTCATCAGCATCGGAGTGGGGGGGCTTTTTGGCTGGAGGAACGCGAATACGACGCTACCTTTTGCTGCCTTCTGTTACGCAGCTTCTCTCAGAGGCGTTACAGTTGCGCGTTTCACCGTGGTTTGCACAGCGGGTTTCGAGTTGAGGCTTCGGTTTGGTCTTTCGGATGGGTTTGAGGCTTTCTCTCCCGGTTCGATTCTTCAGCAGCTGAGTTGGGGCTGGTACATGTAAATAAGGTGACGGGCGGTATGGAGTTGTCTCACGCAAACAGAGATGGCGCATTACGCGCATTATATGCCTGACGTGCGGCTTCTGCCGTCTCGGAGAGGGGCTTGAAGCAATTGCCAGATACGACTCGCTACTCCGTCTCAAACCCTGGGCTCTTTCGCTTAGGAGAGCGTCCTGAGGACTTGGAGATGCTCGGCGGCGGTGCTTCCGTACTACTACTGTCTACTACCTGGTACGACTCCGTACTTTGGCACAATCAGGCAGGTTGACGACGGTTTTCTTGCTGGGATCAGGCCGTCAAAGGCTGTGGAGACACCCTAGAAAGGGGTGCCGCGGTACCTGCAGGAACAGGAGACATGAGCCGACAGCAAAATTGATGGCAGTGGTGCTAATGCGGACTAATAACATAGGTAACGAAGCAGCACGGCCATTTACCCTTGTGGAGGAAGTGAAGACAGCAGCTGACCAGCTCTGTCAAATCACAAAAAGCCTCTCAGTAAGTACCTAATTCAGCTTGACGTCTGGTTGCCGATGCAAGTAATGCCTCCAAGAGAACGCCGAGGCCCGTTCATTGATACGCCTCCAACCCGGGACGGAGGGGCATATTGGCTCGACCTCACACCCCTGACGGCATCCCCTACCCATCTAATCACGTCCATGTGCCATCTAGCCGTTATCTACATATCCGGGTGATCATTGGAGAGACCAGTGCGTTCTATTGCCTGTTAGTGTAGCTTCTCTATGAGGACCGCCGGGCGTTGTGGCTGTATGCGTCCCACCTACCCCGTAATATCTACATCTAAATCACCACCCCAAGGGGCTGCAGGGAGACGAGCCGCACCCTGGCCTTCTAGAAGGCTGCACCTCCAGTTGCTTCATCATTTCGGTGACAGGGGTTCGCCGTTATTATTATTGGCAGCGAATGGTCCACACATTGATCCTCAGTGCTACATACCGTGCCCACATGTATGTAGTTGAACGCAGCGATAACATCGAGGCTCTCTGACGACCGAGCAATACTATCTGCAAGCCTTTGGTCGGACTGCCTCATATTGTCAGCATACTGTACACACCTACAGTATTGCTTTGTCTGTGGATCTCAGAGACGGTTCCTCCCTGAGGCGTGTCAACGAAGCGAGCCCGCCGCAATGCTGCGCAAGATGCAACATCACATGCTTCCCAATAGAGTAATTAGGAGGTGCTTGATTGCCGAGCGCCACGTGCCACATCTCTCATCTATTTTAGGGACCTCATTTGCACTCCTTGGCCTGGTACAAGCAGCTCCTGGCATGAGCCCCAGCCCGCCAGTCCTTTCGGGAGACTGGAATCCGGACCTGCTCGCCTATCTCATCTGTAAAGAGATGGCGGCGGCAATGCCTACGAAATTGAAATTGAGCTCACATGAGATTGTGCTTGTAGGTGGAGGTCCTCCTGTGATGCCATCTCTCTTCCGCCCAGACTTTGAATCGTCCACGAAAGGGCATCCACGACAAGTCCTCTCCCCAAGCATCAAGTTCAGGCACTCAAGAGACAGCACATCTTGTGCTTGCCGTGGTAAAATACCTAGGTCTGTGTACTATGTGTACCGTAGGGGAGGGGATTGTAGAGAAAGAGGGAAGACCAGAGTGAGGTCGGATAAAGTACTACTCCGTACCTACATGTCTTAACGCCTCTTGCACCTGCAGCCTCTATCGGGCTAAACCTCGGAAGCGAGCAACGCCCCTGCTCTCGGTCTCGATTTTGATTCGTTTACAGATTTTATACTTGCCTTTGTGTGTGTGTGTGGGCGAAGTTATGGCACGGCTCAACTTCACAGCTTCACTCGCCTCTTGCAATATCGCAACTTTTCATCCTCATCATTACAGCACATTTACGAATTTCTTGTTGGTCTGCAGCAGATACTACTTCACTGATTTGTACCAACGCCGAAGGGATGACATAACGAAGAATTCGGGCCGCCCGCCGATCTTGCGCCACTCGCCCTTGGGCTGCTCAGGGAAGATACCCAAGGCGTCCAAGCCCAGCTATTTCCTTCACGGTCAAAAGCCTCTTCGGAGAATTTCCACGATCTTTTCCCTAGCGTCTGGATGGTTTTCATTTAAATCTGGGTTTACGGAGATATTTTTCGGGGCTTTTTGAGCCACAGACTGACGCACTCGGCCCAACATGAGGACTGCTCATCGACCAAACCCGGACGATTTCATCAGCCTGCTCAGCAGCGAGGATGAAGCGCCCTTGAACAGAAAGAGAAAGTACTCGGTGGCAGAACAAGCCAGCGCTGGTAGAAACAGGGATTCTCAAGGACGAGCCAAGCGTGTTCGAACAAGCCAAGTCCCTGGGGATAGCATCACCGGGGCCAAAGGGCTCAAGGCGGGAAAACTCGAGGTCGTTGAAGGCTCTGATATCGGAATTCCCGCATTTGGCTCACATGGCGAGAAGAAGAAAACTGGAGGCTTCTCTCCGGACAGTGTCTTCTTGCCCAAGTCGCCTCCGATGTTCACCTTGCACTCAATCTCTCTTCAGCTTCCTGTGTTTGCCCCACAGAGAGAGGGAACATGGCTCACCAGATTCACCGAGTGGGCTCAGCTGCTCTGCAGCGCCAACAGGGACTCACCCAGTGCTGCGGAGATCACGCCTGCCTTGATTCGCACCGCTTACAAGCAATACATTGACATCCACAGCAGGCTCAAGTCCAACAAGAAGCGGGCTGCCCGACTGGTGGCCCAACAGTTCAAGGATTCGTCACTGCTTGACCTGATAAGGGCCTTCCGGCCACTCCAGAACGAGGCTACGGTGCAGGAGACTTTGGAAGAAGGTTTGGACGCAACTTTGGCCGGATCCGAGATACGACTTGACTCACTTCGCCCGCTGGCGCTTCCGCCTCAAAGCCAAATCCTCTCTTCTGCTGCGGCGCCTCCTAGTTTGCTTACAGAGCAGTCCGGCGCTCTCTATATATTAGACGTGGCCCCCCAGCTTCCCCAGGACGCAACGATGTGCGAGACAATACCAGCATCACAGCAAGGATCACAGCCAGCATCACAGCTAGACTTGCTTCCAGAACCACAACCGAAGCATCTTCGACAGACCCAACACGCCTCTGTCAAAGTCACCATGTCGCTCCCATCTGCTGTCCCTTCCGGCGCCGAAGCCCTCAGGCAGCAGCGCCTGTATTTCCCTTCGGCCAGGGACCCCTTCAACATGTGCTTGCTCTGTGGAGCAGAGGGCCATGTTGCCGACAAGTGCACCCGGTCGTGCCAACTCTGCGGGAAAAAAGACCACTGGGACCTTTGCTGCCCATTATGGCAGGCCAACTGCGGAAAATGTTATCGGGTTGGCCACTCGGATGAAGCCTGTTGGTATCCTGAGGAACACTACTGGGTTTTTTGCACATACTGCAGGTCAGCCGAGAGCCACTTGTCTTCGGACTGCATGTCACTCTACAGGTCCTTTCGTCCCGGCCCAGACACTATCAAGAAGGTCAATACACTGCCTGTGTCATGCGCCAAATGCGGGAGTAAGAAGCATTTCCACGGGGACTGCCGTCCAAATGGAATGCCCGCCCTGCGTTGTGACCACAGGTTCCACCTGGACAATATGCGCCAGTATCTGGACCCGACGAGCAGTGCCGGCCCCATCATCGGCGCAGATGCATGCAGAGTGGCTCCCAAGGCAGGAGGTTTCAGGGTCTACGGCCAAGTCTTGGCCTCGCCTGTCGACAACGTGCACTACTACTCCGGCAGCGACGATTCCGATGAAGGGCTGTGTGTTGTGACCTCAACGGTGCCCTCCCGCAGCTACAACTGCGAACCACCCCCGCCGTGCCTTCAATCACCACCTTCAGCCACCTACCATTCACCGCCAACACGCCAGTCATCGCCATCCCTTGGCTCATTGTCGTCACGAGACAGTTCACCATATCGCCCCCCGACACCTCCACCGCATCCTGTGCCATCTCGTCGAGGCGGAGGAGGAGGAAGACGTGGTCGAGGCGGCCATCATGGTGGCCCAGGTCGCCAACAGGGACAAAGTGGTCAGGCTGCTCAGGATGTCCAGAGACGTCATGAGGAACAAGTGCAAGGTGGCCAACATGTGCAGAGTGGACAAGGCGAGCAGACTGGCCGAGGCGGCCGGCGTGGCAGAGGTAAAAGCGGCAAAAGCGGGAAACGAGGTGGCCAGAAAGGTCAAGATGGACAAGGACATCATGAAGGCCCTGATGTACACAATATCCAGGGTGTTCGAGAAGACGAAAACGGCCCAGGCCAACAGAATGGCCAGGGAAAGCGAGGCAAAAAGAAGCCACGACGTGGCCGAAGAAGTTCAGATGGACACCAATGAGGCCAAGACGGACAAGTTGCACAAGATGTCCCAGCTCATCAGGGTGATCAAGCAGGCCAAGTCGACGCAGGTGAACAAAACGGCCAGGGAAAACGAGCTACAAGACAGGGACGACGTGGACAGATTCACCAAGGCCAAAATGAACGGGGCCTGGAGGACTGGGTCCTAACACGCCCAGTAGACTGGGCACCTCAAGATCCGCAGGGTGGCCAAGATGGCTAAGATGGCTCAGTTGAGCAAAATCATCAAGGCAAACGGGGTAAAGGTCGGGGACGAGATCGCCAAGGAGGCCCATATCGCCAGACTGAGACGACTTGGTGATCCCTTGCAGGGAGTTGGACGCCATCCACGAACCAGACATTAACCTTTCTATACCCAAGAAGCAATTCCTCGACAATAACACCAACATCATGCGGCAAATCTAGTAATTGGTTTTGGTGTCAAGTTGAAGCCCTTTACATGCTTACGTTCCAAGCATTTACCATCGCTTCCCGACTACATAACGATGAGGGAAGATGACAAACCTGTACAGGGTGCACAGCCAGGTGCACATGGAGGCCAAGTAGGCCAACATTGGCCAAGGTGGCAAAGGCCAGGAGGATACAGAAGCCTTCACGGAGTTCTCACGGAGGAGCAGAGGCGGCCGATTCCAGAGGAGATGGAGCTCTGGAGGCCGTACAGGCGTGGAGAAGTCTACGGGACAACGACTGATTCGTGGATATAATCACACTACGACTTGCCAATGGAAAGGAAAGACACGCTCTGATGCCCCTCTCCGCTTTCGGACCGGCGATATGCCACAAGCATTCAAAGAGAGATACAAATACGTACAATGAGACCCCTGACTCGGTAGGACCGGCCGACTCTGCGGCCCGGATGCTTAACCGATGGAGAAAAGATCCCCAGACACTAGACGATAGATTAGGACGGAAGCTACACGGGATAGATCGGGAAAGGGGAGGGAGGGGAGGGGAGGAGAGGCTAATAGTACTGCTTGCTTTGCTCTTGATGTCTCCCGCGGGGTGCATAGATGCAGGGAGCACATTAGCTTGGGGTCCTTCGCTTGGAGGCACTTCCCGTGCTTGTGTCCTCTGCGTTTCGCCACGCCGGAGGTGATTCGCAAGAGTATGGTCAAATGCAATTTCTTACAAGCCATACATGATACGCGGTTGATACTACTGGTGCCTTGCCAAATATATGGCCACTTTTCCTGCATCCTGCATCTCGGGTCGTACCAGCGGTGGCACAAGTTGTATGTGTGCATGTACAGCAGGTAGCAATCAATAATAGATGCAGATTTCAGAATAGCCTCCTTTTCGGTAAGTGCTCCGACGAAAGTGGCCTGTTGACTAGGTCATGGAAGCAGAGCCCCGAGCCACTCAAAGCGTGCCGTGATGGAGCACATTCTTGTGATTTGCCGAAAGGTTGTCGAGATGCAGAGCCAAGATACATGAAGGAGGAGGACGCTACCTAATAGGTCGATAAAGGTGCATATTGGTGTGTCGACGCGCCACGAGGGAGGATGCGGGTGAAGAAGGTGACGGGAAGGAAGCCTTTGCAGGTTTGGTAGGTTGGGAGGAGGAGGAGGAGGAGGAGGAGGAGGAGGCGTCCTGAGTCCTGACTGGGGATGGACGTGGTTTTGAGCATGAGATTAGTCTCTGACTTGCTAGTGGTAAAGGAATGAGAAGTGCCCAGGAGGGAATTTCATGGGTAAAAAGGATTTGTTTGGGTTGGGATGGGAGGGGGGGAGAAAGATGGGAAGGGTTGGGCATGAGTTGCGGCCTGAGGAGGGGACCTGAGAGGAGACAACATGAAAGTCTAATAAGTGCCCGATTAGAGTGAGTGCCTGACTGTTGCAGGGGGGGGGATGAGTAAGAGGATCGTCTACGGATATCACATGTATGTATGTGTGTTTATCAAAGGGAAAAAGAATATCTAGAGTGATGATACTGGTCACCGTTGATGGCTGTCGGTACTAATGTATGTATGTAGGCATGTAAGCTCTCTGTATGACGATCCGTGGTGTTGAGGGTCAGAATAGGCGACATAAGTCGGCCAACGTGCATCCGCGCGAATCGCAGTCGCGCTTAAGCTTCGCCATCAAGCTTCATTCTTTTTTTCTCGCGTGTAAGTCGTCGCATCGCGTCGCCACCACCTCTTCTCACCTACATGTTCCCACTGCCTGCTTTACCACCCATATTCTCTTTCGTTGTCTCACCGCGTCGAGTCAAGAATCCCGCTATTGATTGTACAACATCATCTTCCTCCACTTTCAGAAGACAGCAAGGAGTAGAAAGTGAGCTTAGAGCAGAAGTTGAATTGAAAAAGAAAAAAAAAAAAAAAAATCCCAACCTCGACCCAAAGGTTGAACCAACGCTCCCCCCTGTCCCACGCTTATGCATCCCGTCCTCCACATTCGGCATCATCCACTGGCTCTGGATCCCACAACCTCGAGACGGTGCCCCTGTGGGACGACAGCAGGAGAGAAACAAAAAAAGGGTGGGCACATGCAGCTCGTTTCGTTTCCGCTTCATCTTGGTCCATCCACTTGCTGCTGCAATACCTTGCAACGTAACTCGCTGTGGGCGCGGATCCTGTGTGTGTGTGACAACGACGCGGACAGGACACGGTGAGAGACAAGAGAGAGAAAGGAAGAAAAACAAAAAAGGCGGGACAGCTGGCGTTGCTCGCTCTCTGATGGAGACTGAAAGGCTTTTTTTCTTGTGCTGCTTGCCGTGAGTCACTCGATGCTCTTGGCCAGTTGTTTTCGTGAAGCCAGCATGCAAGTTGTGTTAAACGATTGGAGCGCGGAGGGCCGGGAGAGATGGGCGCTAAACAGGGGGGGATAGAGAGAGCAGTTAATGGATCTTTTTGTTCCTCTCCGACTTTCACTCTAGGAAGTCGAAAGGTTTTTTTTGTTGTTCGCTTGAGCTTGTGTGCTGTAAGTGCTTGTTGATTCCCTTGGGCATGAAAATACGGCAAGGGGTGAGCTAGTAAAGCTACCTATGGAGAGAGGTGAGAGAGGTGCCCGATTGGGTTTTGGTTTTCGGGAGTATGTCAGGGTCAGGGTTATATACAGGCGAGGTCGACAAGAGTTTCCGTCCACACTTGCTCTAGACTTCTTTCTCTTTCTTAAATCTCTCTTCTTCTTCAGATAATTCTTATTGTATGAATGAAATGACGGTGTTTTGAAAAAGCAAACTGTATTCCGTTTTCTCTTGGTGCTTCCGGTTGAGAACGACTTCATTGAGTCCGCATCACTTATACGACACAGCTCTCTCCATCAGACTCATATATATATATATATAATATCCCAACGTCAACAACCATCCATTACAACAGAACATTACAACATCTGCAACCAGAACCTGCACTTGAACATCTGCAGAAACCAAAACAGACAGAGCCAAAAACTGGTCGAGGGTGCTTCATCTCTCTCCCCCCCCGACATGACACGGCTATGGCGTCCACACAACAGCTCTTCATCGCCATGCTGAGGAGCGACCACATCAAGGACTGCCTCTTCCCCCATCTTGCCACGGCCGACCTCTGCGCCGTCCGCGCGGCCTCGTCCGCCTGCTGCAACCTCGTCACCAAGCGCCTCTTCACCCGCATCCGCGTCACCTTCACGGCGGCCACCTTCACGCGGCCGGCGCGCATCGCCGCCCTCGGCCGCATCGGACACCACATCGAGCACCTGACGTTCCACTTTGCCCACTCCGAGGCCACCTTCTTGCCGCCGCTCGTCCATCCGCTGACGGGCGACGAGATTGCCTTTTTGTACAAGCCGCACACGAGCATGGGCTCGGCCCTGACCCGGCCCAAGTACGCCAACACGGAGCTGGGCGAGATCCTGACGCAGCAGTACCCTCCGCTCTTCCACGCCGCCACAAACGTCCCCAGCTTCATCTACGCCCTCAACCACATCCCCAACATGCGCCACCTGACCATCCGCTGCCCCGGCCAGGATCCGCGCGAGCGATACCGCCGCGACATTGTCGACTATGCCCTCATCAGCCTGCGCATCGCCGTCGAGCGCGCCCCCATGACCAAGCTCAACAAGCTGTCCCTCGCCTCGCTGCACCCGTCGGCCTTCAACTACCTCCGCTACATCAACGGCATCGGCAGCGTGCCCTCCGCCAGCCGCAGATGGCACCAGATCACCAAGCTGCACATCTCCGTCGAGGCGTGGGACTTTTACGGCCCCTGCCCGGGCCTCGACCACCTCAAGGTCATGGACGACTACATCCGCAACTTCGCCCCGGGCCTGGAGAAGCTCACCTTCGCCTGGGTCGGCGCCAAGGGGCCGTGTCCCATAGCCCTCTCCGCCGACCCTCTCTTCGCGCCTCCGCGCAGCGCAAAGAAGCTCTTCCACGAGGTCACCTCCCCCATGTCGCCCCTGCCCACGCGGCCTCCGCGCTGTCCCATCCACTTCCCCAAGCTGCGCTACCTGCAGATCCGTAATGCCACCATGAATTCCCCTCAGCTCAAGGGCTTGATCGCCGCCCATCAGGGCACCGTCAAGCAGTTTGGCTTCGAGAGCGTCGTCCTTGCGAACAATGGCAGCTGGGAGGAGGCCCTCGCCCCTGTAGACGGCGACGACAAGTGGTCTCGGAGCAGCATCAAGGCGCCCTCGGATATCTCCGTCGTAACGGGCGCCAGCGAAGAGGGCTGCTTGCCCAGCCCCAGTGCGGCTGTCGAGGCTGCTGGTTACCTGAACAGTCTCATACTCAGCGACAGCGAGAGGGATGTCGTTCGGGGTATGTCGACGAGCGACACCCCTGAGCAAAGGGACTCTGAGCCGAGCTTCTCCACCAAGATCACGCGGAAGCGTGTTCGTCGGCGCCATAGAAAGCACTCCAAGACGACGACGACGACGACGGATTCGGGAGACCGAGCCCCCGACAGCCCGTCTCCTCTGTCGCCTCCTCCGTCTTCTCACAGTAATAACAAGTCGCTCAAGATGCGCTTCAGATTCTCTTCCGGGTCCAGCCAGGTTGCCTACTCTGCCATCCCCGAGCCGTTGAACCTCATCACGTCCCCCATCATGACATCCGAGCCCCAGCCCGTCCTCCTCCAGCCAACCATCTACTCCCCGTCCTCCCACCGCCAAGCCGGCCCCGACGAGGGCATCTCCACCGTGCAGCGCAACCTCGAGCAGGAAAAGGCGCACCGCCTGTTTGCCGAGGACGCAGACGCAAGGGCGAGCGCTCTGCACAAGGCCAAGGAGGCTGTGCTGGCGAAGCTTGGCAAGGAGTTTTATAACAATAACAACAACAACAGCAACAAGAAAGAGAGAGTTGCGGATGCGGCGTCCATGTGTCGGTATATGGGCGCCAGAGAGGTGAGCGGATGCAGCGGGGAGATGGTGATTGAGGATTGGAGGGGCTTGGAGAGCAGGAGTGCGTTGGTGCCCCTGATGTTCAGTCGGACTTGAAGAAGGGGGGAGAGGTAATGGCTGGGGTGATGCTATCTGATGTGACGACTTATGAATTTCTTCTTGTCATGACTTTCTTGTTTGGGCCTTTTCTTTCTTACGACTCCTTACGACTTTTTACTCTTCATGACGATACGACGAAATGATTATCGGCTTATGACTTTTTCTTTGTTTGATTTCTCTTCTGTCACTCTTTGGGATAACGAGTCTCTTTGTTGTACTTTCTATCTGTATTGATATTGATATTCGGATGGAGGGCATGATTTATCATTTACTGCTGGTACTATTAATAAACACTCTACTCACGATCATCAACGACTCTCATTCGCAATCCTCTCCAGCGTCTTGACATGATCATCCACCTCCTTCGCCCCTATCAGCGTGATATCCCTCTTTCTCCCTCCAACCATCACCATTGACACCGGCATCAACATCGCGACTACCTTCCCTCAGCTTCATTTTCACTCACCTTTACCACTCCCATATCGTTGTCTTCTACCCCTATTCTCGCTTCTTCTTTCGGGATACCTGCTTCTACACAGGGCCTAACCAAGATCTTGTCCGTGGAAGGATTCTTCCCCTTTTTTAAAGGCTTGTTTTCGAGGTACCACTTCTTTCTATCTGCTTCGGGGGGAAAGTCCGCGTTGAGCTAAGGGGGCGGAGATGAGGGTGTATGAGATGGAGGGAGTTCTGCGTGGCTGAATATGGACCAAGGGCAGATCGTATCTAGTGTATAGATAACTTGCGGTTCATACCTGTTTTTCGGTCGATGATGTGACTTGGAATGAAACTTTGAGTATAGAATATGCGGCAATGTTATAGCTATCATATGGAAGGGCCTTGCAATGAGGATTCAACCTTACTGTTGTTCAATTAAGAGATTGCGGGGAAATGGCATATCAATGGGTTGATGCAATAACAAAAGACCCGACATTGGCACAACTGAATCAATTTCAAATCTCTCATGAATACGAAAGTTGATTGCTGAACTGAAAATGTTGCAAAACAAATGCTGAGGGTATCTCTTTCACAAGATAGCCAATGCTAGTCAAAAGTCACCTTGGTTCCCGTATGCTCCACCAGTCCTCCCGTCAAACGAGCCACAGCAATATCCGGCGCGGCCTTTGCCGGCGTCGCAGCCTCCGCCTTGCCTCCCTTGCCATGATCTCTGTCATCCGTCCTGCTTCTCCGGGGAGGTCTTGATGTGTCGTCCATCCTCTTGGAAGCATCCTTGCCGAACCGCTTCTTGTACCGCACCTGGTCGTCCTCGGCAAGCTCCAGCTTGAGCTCGCGGCCCAGCATACGGTTCACCCACCACTTGCGCGTCTTGAACTGCTTCTGCGCCGCCTTGTTACCCTTTTCTCCCCCCTCCTCATCCTCGGCCTCCTCGTTGTTGTCGCTCTTGTCATCCCGGAAGTCATCTTCCGTCTCCACCGCCTCCTTGATCTTGACAAAGCCCTTGACGGCCCATGCCGCAGCCTCCGGCTCCTTGAACTTGATCCAGCCGTAGCCCTTGCACTTTCCCGAGTCCTCAAACGTCGCCAGCTTGGCCCACTCAATCTCGCCGCACTTTTCAAAGTTGCGCATCAGGTCCTCCTCGGTCGTCTTGAAGCTGAGGTTGCCCACAAACACCTTGCGGCTGGCGTTGGTCTCCTGGCGCTGCTCCGTCTTGTTCTTTGACGGGTCCTTTGCATCCGCCTTCCCGGCAGCCGCGTCCTCGGGCTCCTTCTCCTTGGCCGGACGGCCCTCGAACGACTTGGCGTCCTTGATGAGCAGCTTGCGTCCGTTCAGGTCCGTCTCCGAGAGCGCAATGGCGGCGACCTTGCCGCCAATGTCTGTGAAGTCGACATACGCAAAGCCCTTGTTCGCCGGCTTCTCGTCCTTGCGCCGAGTGGCATCCTTGACCGTCGGCAGCTTGATTCTCGTAATCGCCTCGGGGGTGATGACGCCTCCCGAGTTGTCCACCAGCCATGTGCGCAGCTCCGCGGCCGTCAGCCGGAACGGCAGGTTGCCGATCCAGACGCCGTGCTCGGACCGCGTCTTCTCCTTGCCCTCCTTTTCTCCGTTCTTGTCCTCCTTCTCATCGTCGCTCGAGGGCTTGGTCGGCAGAGGCTTTCCCTTCTTGAGGGCTCGTCGCGCTCGCTTGGACGGCGGCTCGGGTGCGTTTACGTCGACCTCGATCTCCTCGACCACGGCCTTGCGTTTGGAAGAAGACGCCGACTTGTCGACTTGCTCCAATTGAGGAGATTCCAGTTCCGTGGCTGCCATTGGAGCTTTTAAATGGCCGTGCTACGAACAAAAGTAATGCGTACAGTAGGGAGGTGTATGGCTTCGCACGGAAAATCTACCTTCTCTGTGAGGCCGGTCTCATCAGAAATTTTTTGGAGAATCACAAATCGATAAGGCGATAACTACCCGTGGCTAAAGTGGAGCCTTTCCCCCTAAGAATTGGGCTTAGCGGGCCACGGAACATTGAGCCAAGGAACCAACCACGAAGCCGTTTTCTTTGTCCTTTTTTTGTTCTGCGCAACACCCAACGGGCAAACGAGTACTCATCTGTATGTACGGCCTATGAAGCAAGCTGCGTCTCGAAAGCAATCGCTTTGTCTGCGCATGCGACAGAAAGTACCAACGGCTCCATTCGGGAAGAACCCGAAACATCAATAGGAATGAAGGTAATCTTGCCGTCACACACTCGGCGGCCGTGTTACATCTCCGCCAGCGCACAGCCAGGCCTGTGAATGGCTGACATGACGATGTTGGCGCAAAGCCACGTCTATTTTGCCCGGCATTAGCGTTGCAACGGCAAGGAGAGGAAGAATGGCAAAAAGCGTCTCGACGGACACGACGGTCGACGAGTGGCAGCTATGTAACCATGGGCGAAGGAGAGCCTGGGCGAGAGGGAAAATGTGACGGCTAGCGATGCGGCGCATGAGCTTCCTAATGCAGGCTGAGTCGTGTGCGCACTCTGGCGACTGCGACGTGGGCTTCGGATGGATGAATCGAGGGCTGGAGGAGGCCTTGGTGAGAGTTTTTTTTTTTTGCTTCTCGACCAGAGTTAATGCACTGCTGGAATGGAATGCCTCTTGGTCGGGGGATTCGACTTGTCAAGGTAAGGTGGTATTATAACAGCAGCATATACGAGCCATTACTACCACGCTGATATTGAGTGCGGAGTACTAGTGTTTGGTAGTACTACAGTTAATATCCCAGGCGAAACAGCCCACATGGCACCGGGTCCGTCATGGTGGAATGGCGTGGACGATTGTGGACGTGGACATGACAATTCATCTCGGGTTGGATCGTGCGGGCTGAGGCCCACTGCCAGGCCAGTTGTTAGTGGTGTGTCATTGCGATGGCATTCACATTGCATGTGCGTATGACCACGACTGTCCAATTGACGACTGTGACCATGACCAAGGCCCTGCCCGGGAGATGCTCTACATGAAAGGAGAAACATGTTTTTTTTTTTTTTGCTGTGAGATGCAAGGATAGCATAGATGACGGCTCGTCGTCCAGGGCTGCTGCGCTTCGACCGACATTAGGCGCAGAGGCGGGATGACTCTTGCTCCCTTCCATTCGATCGCCATCGGCAGTCGTTGCAAAGGATTGCACAACCAGGTATGTGTAAGGTAGGTAATACTACTAGAAACACTGCCGATCACGACTATATGTCCATCGAATCCTACCACGTCTCGCCCCTGTCTGTGAAAGCACACGACAAAGGACACCAAGAGATGCCAACCGTGCTGTTACAGCTCACTGCTCTCCCCCATCTTAAAAGGCAAGGCTCACGATGCGGTCTTCCGGAGCAAACAAAGCAGATCGGGACCCGCAAGGCCTCGCGCAGCATCGGCTCCCTTCCTTGTGTGTGCGGGCCAGCGCGAATGAAACATTTCCCTTGCACAGCTAAGGCACGCTGCAGGGACGAGGGCCGAATAGCGCCGGAGAAAACATTGAGAGTATTATCTGATGCCAAAAGGGAAGATGGGAAATGAACGAGAACCTTGGAAGGAGAGGGATCAGGTAGGCAATAGTAAGGTTCCTTACGTAGGTAGTAGCTTGGGGGTGAAGCCGAGCCGTTCCTAGATCGAGTGATAGCTGAAGCGACCGATCTAGACTCTGATAGCTTCACGCTCTACCTTGTGTGCGTGATGCTTTTCCGCTTCATTCACCTGTACCTTTTTTTTGCTTGGGTTGATGCCACCATCTTCAAGTTGGTCCATCCATGCTCTCTCACATGCAGCTTTGCAGTGCTGGCTTCAGCTAGGTACCTTAAGGCAGGGTAAGGTAGCGCAACTTGCAAGTGCTCGTACCGGTACAATGACAGTAGCGTTGCAGCCCAACGGCGGTGGAGGATTGGCCATGGCCTTCCATTCCCTTTATTACTAGCGTGAGTACCGGTACTGCTGGCCGTTCTAGTAGCTTGCCTGAGCCGCTGACGCACCTCCATTGTCGGGTCTTGTCTGGTCGAGTGCCTCAAGCCCACCTGCACCTTGCCCACGTTGCAGCGGGCAACAGCGCTGCCCTCCAGCGCATCAACACCTAGCCCTGTAGGAGGTACCTTGTGCTACTAGTACTACCTAGCAGTAGGAGCCTGTGGCCTCCCAGCTCCTGGACGCACGCAAACGACCTCGTCGGGGCACTCGAGCTGTGGACCACTGCGGCGGATTCAGCGGCTAATAAGGAGCCGTTGCTGGTAAGGCAGTAGTACTACTAAGGCATTAAGGTACCGGTACTTGGTGTGGTATGCGCGTGGCCTTGGTCTGGCCCTCCCTGGCAGCTCGACTCGACTCACGTCCTCCAGGCAAAAAGAGGTACTGGTACCTACAAAAAATAGGAAAAAAAAAATAAAATAAAATAAAAAGCAAGGCGAGGCAAGACATGGAAGGCAAGGCAAGGCCGGCTCCAGTCTCCGCATCTGATGATCCTTTTTAACCACGGATTGCCTTTACCCACCCACTCGCTCGCCTCTCTCTTTTTTTTTCTGCCCTTGACAACAACTCACCCACTCACTCGAGCCGTTTCTGCCCTTGCACTGGCCGGGCACCCATGCAGTGCCCCGTTGACCGCTCTCTGGCGCTTTATTGCGCTGCCGCCGCCGTTTTTCTCGGCTCATTCTCCTCTTTGCCTTCCGTTGCCTCGCCCCTCTCGTCCGGACGCTCGTGGAAGACGGCCGTTTGAAGCTTGGCCAAACTCTTCTTCCGACAACGCCAGCTGAACGCCAGCTGAAGGACGACGACGACGACAACAACGACGTCGCTGCTGCCGCCGCCGACGACAGACGCCGACATCTTTCTTCAGGACTCGCCCATCCGCCAGCGCCGCCGGCTTCACCATCCGCATCGGGGTTCGGTGCGATTCACCACCAGCTTCGCCCATCACGATGAATGTGCTGCTCTCGCCGCAGTTGCCAGTTTTCCCTCACCAGCACGAAAGCCCGCATCTCTCCCAGCGAAATCGTAAGTCGCATCGTCCCTTCCTTCAACAGCCTCGATTTTTTTTCTTGGTTCGATCCATCGGGGATATCGGCCCATCTCTTGATCTCTGGTGTCTCTTCCGCACATGCGCGCGTCATGTTCTTGGACTCACATTACCCTGCAGTCTCTCCTCTTCACAACATGAGCAGCCGAAAACGAAAGGCCGACGACGATGGCGACGAAAGCATGTCACCCATGAGCTCGCCCGCCGTATCCTCTCGACCTCTCATTCGTCCGTCGAAAAAGTTTCGATCAAATGACTTGATCGGACGACCGCTGCCTTTGCCACGCCTTCTGGAAACACTCAACACCGATCAACTCCGGTCTGTTCTGGAACGCATTTGCGAGCGACATCCCGACATTGGCCAGGAGGTGGTTTCCGGGGCGCCCCGGCCCAGCGTTGCCTCAGCCATGAATGTGCTCCAGTCATATCAGGACAAGCTCAACGCCGCCGCCCCGTATGGCAACAGCAGCGCCGAATACACCTACAACCGAGTCAAGGCTCCCTTGATGGCCCTTATCGACGCTCTCTCCGACTTCACCCCTCAGTTCCTTCCGCCCATCGAAACCCAGCCGACAAAATCCCTCGACTTCCTTGACGGTGCCACAAAGTTCATCCACAACCTTCCCAACTGGCAACCGCAGGCTTACCGCCACCACAAGGAGAATGCGTACGAAGACATTTCCAAAGCGTGGGCATTGGTCATCAACGAGGCTGCGAAACGGGGTGGCGGATTCAATTTGCACACGGACGGTTGGGACCATAAGCTGGCTAGGCACAACGAACAGTCTGGCGGACGGCTAGGCACCGCCATTACGGCCATGTCGAATAGCGTCGGCTGGATGGGTTCTGGTGAGAATGGCGGTTCCTCAGAGCAGAGCTCGATCCTGAACCAGATTGTTTCTGGGTCGTTTGGATCGCCCGTTCGGGTTGGGCCGTGGTAACGGCTGCTCGTAAAGCATACGACGAGAGCAGTCGGCCCATCCTCTTTCCACTCGGAACCGGAGCATTCACAACGCTAATCGGATCCTCTCACGACATCATCTTTCATTCGCATCAACGGGCTTTTATAGACTTCGGCACTCATTTTCTTTCTTTACGCACAACTGGATGGCAGGCGTTCTCTTCTTTCCTTTGTTTTGTCCTTTTTGATATCCTTCCCTACCTTACCTCATCAAACTCAAGTGGGCAACGGGGGCTTTACAGTGTGGCATATTTTGTGTATTTTGTACCTGGTACAGGCGTATCCTCATTTTGTAAATACGAAAACAGTCCATAGACTTGCACCTCTAATATGGACGACAGGCGTGGATTTTATTTGGCTGAGCATGTAATAACTCCCCGTACTATATTCGTAATCAGATGAGATGGTGCCTCCTTGTGATATCCTTGAGTGTGAGTTGCCAGCTTCGGCTTTAGTTCTTTTCCACATCTGACCATAACCCTCTATGACAACCTATACAACCACCTTTTCGAGGCTGACGACACACCTTGGTAAAGCTTCCGGCTTCCTTGCAAGTGCTATTCGAGGTCAGCCGGACAAGATCCATGCTTGCCCATGTTAGTAAGGTCCCTTGGTAGGGCGTGGACATGGAGAGATCTGGGGTTACGCAAGAGGTACCTCGGTACCTCGCAGCTTCGATTCTGGTCACGTGCTCTCCTGTTGTCAATTAAACAAAGACGCGCCTGTTTGGGTTGAGGCACGCAGCTGGACGCGACACCGTGAATCATCTGGCACGACGACCCTAAACAGCCAGCAATACTAGAGGCACTCCAGCTACCAGTCCCGACGGCTGCTAGGTATACCTACCGAACTCGGTGCACTGTCTTTTGTTCTTTTCTGTCCATCTGCTACATAGATGACAGGGTGAATACGGTTGCCCTCCATGCCTGCGTATGCCCCTCTCCCAACGAACTTGTGGTGAAATCGACAGCGGTTAACAAGCAGCTCTTTGCAGTCCGGGCGATCAACACCAGGCCTGGGCCAACCCCTTTGAAGAGACAAAGCCGCGCATCGCAGAATGGACGGCCAAAGAAATCGCCACCATTGCCTCGCGGCTCGACAAGCAGCTCGGGCCCGAGTACATCTCCTCTCGCGCCGGCCCGGGCGGTTCACGGGTGCACTATCTCACGGCCGAAAAGGTTATCGGGCTGGCCAACGAGGTCTTTGGCTTCAACGGCTGGTCGTCCTCGATCCAAAACATCCAGGTGGACTTTGCCGACGAAAACCCGCAGTCGCAGCGCGTGAGCATCGGCCTGTCTGTCATCGTCCGCGTCACGCTGCGCGACGGGACGTACCACGAGGATGTCGGGTACGGGTCGATTGAGAATGCAAAGGGCAAGGCCATGGCCTTTGAGAAGGCGAAGAAGGAGGGCACGACGGATGCGCTGAAGAGGACGCTGCGGAACTTTGGCAACGTGCTGGGCAACTGCATCTACGATCAGGACTACGTCAAGCAGGTGACCAAGATTAAGACGCAGACGAACAAGAAGTTTGATCCGGACAATCTGCATCGACACTCGGATTTTGTCAAAAGGGAGCCACCGACTGGCAACATGGGCAACACTGGCACCACCACCAACAACAGCAACAGCACAACTGCAACTAACGCGACCACCACTACCGCTGCTGGTGGCCCTACATCTGCAGCCGGGGCTTTCAAGCTGGAACCAATGGACTCCTTCGATGACTTTCTAGGGGGTATGCTGTCCTCGGATGGTTTTGAAGAGATCGAGGCTGAATATCTATAGAACTCGATGAGGCCGATTTTTGCGTTCCGGGAGACGGCCATCCTGACGAGATTATGCTCCCCAACGGTGCCGTTCCCGCGCTCGAAAAGCCTGCTGCCAACGAATCCCGGCCCGGTCAGCCAGCAAAGCCTACACCAGGGAACAACATGAACCGACCGCCTCAGCCGCAACCGCACACCCCCAGACAGGGTCCACCGCAGCAGCCGCACAATCCACAGCAGGGCAAGGAGTATTCGAACCAAGGAATGGCGCCACCTCCACAGGCACCCCCCGGAGAGCCTGTAGCTTTCTTCTCGGCGAAATCTACTCTAGCTGATGCAAATCAGTCCGCTGGTACTCAGAACCAGCCCAAGCAGCTCTTCAACCCCAAGGCTGAAAGCCCGTCGATACGCAAGACGCCCGGAATCGACCACACTTCATCCAAGCCAGTTGCGAGAAACGGCCAGCATGTCCCACCCGCTAACAGTCAAGCGACATCTGCGCAGAGCGGCAACACCAGCGGCTTCACACCCTTACGGCAGGGAGTCAGCAGCTCCCAGGCCAGGGGCAGCGTGATGAATCCGTCTCTGGACCAAGCTCGCAGGATAGGAGCACCCGGTGCCGGCAGTCCCCTTGCGAATCGAGGTCAATATAAGCCCCCTACAATGAAACGAACGTTGCCAACTGAGGGCAACGCGGCTACTGGACCAAGGGCTCCGCTCGTGGACATTCCGACAAATGCTGGCAATACCAGTGGCGGGGATGGGCTGGATGCAAAGAGGCAAAAAGTAGCATGATCATTACGACTGGGGCACAGACAGTGTTCGGGCATCAAAGAGCAAGGAGTTTTTGGAGTTTGGGTTGGTGGACGACGGTAGCCAGTGCTTGATTTTGGCCTCTATGGGCTTAGACAGATGTCAATATTTTGATTGCGTATTTGACTCGCCAATGAGACCAGGTTCGATCTATCACCCACCGTGTCTAGAAACTCTCCCGCCGTGTCTAGATACTCTCCCGGCCGTGCCCTTTGGTTCTCTGAAGTACGGTATGTCCACGTCAACCCTCCAGCTTGAGGGCCTAGACTGCTGCCTCTGGGAACAGGTTTGGAGAGAGAGAATCATTACCAGAGCATGCGAAATTTATGAGCATTCTTGACAGCCAGAATATCAAGATATGGTTTATGTAAAGAAAGCCAAAAAGCATCCCGTTTTCTGTATGACGTTGCTCACAGCTTGCGGTCTCAAGTCCTCAGCGCTACAAGACGCCTTGCGGCTGGACCCTCACCACAACTCCCCACAACACACCCAAACATATCTGTTGGGAAAATTCACAAGTAAATCTGATGATTGTATCCAATATTGACAGAAAGTAAATGGATATCTATTCAACTTTCCTCTCGTGACGCTCTGGACGGACTTTGTCTTCTTACAAGCTGCAAGTCATAGTGCATGTTAGCGCTATGGTGGTCATCAAGCAACCAAGGCAGAGTGCCAGAGTGGTTAATGGGTATGACTAGAAATCATATGGCTTCGGCCTCACAGGTTCGAATCCTGTCTCTGTCGGACTTCATTTTTTTGCCGCATTCTCATACCGGCTTTTTCTTTCTAATCTCCAGCTTCATCTTTGTTTTTTTTTTTCCCTTTGACCTCTCGTTTGTTTCTTCGTTTACAGCTTAAACATCTCGGTTGTTGTTATACCAGTGACTGCTTTCTATGTCAATTTAATTTGACATGTTCATCACTCTAGGCTCAAAACCCCTGTGATATCTTTCCATCCCCAAAGTATGTATTCCCACAACCTCCCAATGCCTACTAATTCACATAGAAAGCTCTCTATATCCAAGCATTATAAAGAACGCCATTCTTAATAACCCTCCGCCCCCTCGTCCACGCCCCGACCAAAAACGCAATCCTCACCAGAATCACCAGCGTAAGCACCTCCATGCAATAAAGATCCTCAACCCTCACCGGCCGCCACCACCCCTTCATCTTGCCATCATCATCATCACCCGCCCTCCACCACCACGACAGCACCCAACAGGTCGTCTGGTTGAAAAAGGTAAAGTTCCAGACCAGCAGCACCAACTGGACGATGCGCCAGAGGTTGTAGTCGTCCGAGTAGTGCTGCAGCAGGGCCGCCATGGTTGCTAGTGCGGTGATGAGGGCGAATATCTGCTGCCGGGAGGTGTAAGGGTCGTGGTAGATGTTGTTGTTATAGTTGTTGTAGTAGTAGTTGTCGTTGTTGTTGATGTACATGGCCTCATGCTCCTCCTCCAGCGCGTCGTAGTACATGTCGACGGCGGAGGTGGCTGTGAAGATGTTGCGGTAGGCGCTGCATATCATGATGAGGGGATCGAGTTTGAGGAAGAAGACGCGGTAGAAGGGGTGCATGTCTGCCGTCGACTTCATGGCTGCTGGGGTCTACCTAGGCAGGTAGTAACTGAAGACGAGCAATGGTTCTTAATTTTCCAAACGATTGATCAGATGACTCGGGATATCTGGTTGTATTTGGATGCATTCCCACCATGGAAGTCATATTGTCGCTTTATATGTATATATATACTCGTCAATTGTCGTCTGCCTTTATTTAGGCAGCCTCTCCTTGCAATCTTAACAGAGTTTGCTACCCGGACCAATGCGCGATTCCACCAGGCAGCCAACTCCACAAGGCCGGATGAAGAAGAAAAAAAAAAAAAAAAAAGAGCAAGCCACCAACAAGGAAACAACAGAGTGAGGTCTAGTGTTTTCGTATCGATCCACAAGTTGGGCCAGGGTTGCCTTTGCAGTGCTGTTGGGAGATTTCGCGAACAGAAGCAGCCGGGTCAGCGTGATGCGTGGTAATAGTACAATTGGGAAGTATTATACACTGGCCATGTTCGGGAACCCTCGCGTAGATGAGCCCCCCAAACCTATGATGTATCTCAAGGCCAGTCTTCTCTTCTCTATGCCTTGGCCGAGGATGCAGAAGCCAACCTGGCGAGGCCCAGCTGAGCTTGCTTCACCCCGTCTGGAAACTCCATCTTGTTGCTCATCTCGATGCATTTCTCGTACTTCTTCTTTGCCAGCTCAGGCTTTCCGAGCATGGCTGCAACGTCTCCCCAGTTGCAAAGCGCAACGGCACAGGCTTCGTCACACTCCGGTGTCCGATCGTCGCCCTTGACGTCTTGAGCATGGACATAGGCGTTCTTCGCCCAGTTGAGACCTGCCTCGAGGCACTCCTTGCGCGTCGTGGGCATGGAAGCGTCGAATAACTCCTTCAATCCCTCGGCCGGCTCCGTCGTGCCAGCGGCGTAGATGGGCTGCTGAGCAAATGCCGCTGCCAAATTGTTCATGATGACCGCACGATGGCACGGGCTTTCGCACAGCCGGAGGGCCTGGAAGAAGAGAGGAATGGCAAGCTGGAACTGGGAGCGCCGCTCGTAGTCGCGGCCAAGCGATTCCATTGAGCCTCCAAGCTCTTCCGGGCTGAGCCACTTTTCCTCTCCCGGTTTGGGGCCATCAGTTCTCCGTCTTCTAAACTCTTTCAGTGAGGTCTCGACCGCCCAGACGAGATGAGATCGCGACTTGTCGGGGTTGAGGACATGCTCGTCTGCGTATAGTTCACCAAGCTTGACGCTTGTTGAGATTGCCTTGAGAAGCAGTCTCTCGCGTTTGCGCCATAGTGTCTCACTGGGCTCTGGAGGAGCTTCAGTTGAGTCTTCTGTTTGCCCATCTTTGCTCTCAGAAGCTGCTTGTCCGGCCTTGCTCTCAGAAGCCGCCTCAGCCGCAGCAATCCGTTGTTGAGCATCGCCGACGTATCTCCCCTGCTCGTCCACCTTGCCGTCCTTGACGGATTGCTCCATGACGTCGATCCACTTCCTGCAGTCTCCCAGGACAGACTCGAGCACGTCAATGGCCGCCTTGTGGCTGTTGATCTTCTCGAGCCAAAACGCCACTTGTATCCTGATGCCCAGCACTTCGTCGGAGAAGGGGTCCAGGCCGATTTCAGCACACTGCTCCATCGCCTTCTTGTAGTACCTCAGCGCGAGTTCGGGGTCTGGCTTGTAGTTGGTGTAGTAGATGGCGCGGCGCAGAGTGTTTGCGACTGGCTCGGGGTATCTGCTAAACTGCGAGTTGTAGAACGTGTTGACGTATGCTCGAATGGCGACCGCCGAGAAGGCAAAGGTAAATAAGAGGCTGATCAGATTAGCATACTTTGTTCCCTTTTTGTGGATGTAGTTTGGCAATACATACAGCAGGATGTTCAGCGTCGTCGCCGTGGGATTCTCGCGATACGCCTGCCGAATGCCGCGAGGGCTCAGCGCAACGACGAGGTTCCGCAGACTGACTCCGAGCGCGCGCCCGGCGAACTGGCGGAACGTGATCTGGGGCTTGTCGGATGCTGAATCTTTCTCCTGAGGGGATGGAGAGGTCGACTGATGCCGCTTCTGCTCGGGTCGCAGAGCCACGACAGCTCGCAAGTGGACAGTCGCAGCTGGTGATTTGACTTGGACGGAGAGCAAGCCGGTGGTGGCATGGCGGATGCAGTTGCCTCTGGCGGGCCGCAGCGAGGCGATTGCCGATATTGACATGTTGGAGTGAGTTCAAGCCAATTGTGCCGGTATCTGACAATATCCTGGACTTGCGGTGGCTTGCCGTGGTGTTGGTGAGTGGAAGCTCGAACGAAGCTCGAAGCTGGAAAGATTTCGATATTTTGCCCGAGTCGAGGCATGACGGCATCCGGGTGGCGTGTGGTCCGTGCGCTGCCGCCTTTGAATTCGCGACTCAAGTTGCCGAGGTGGGGGGGTATGGTAATGCAATAATAGGGCATCTCGTCGGATTCGGATAATATCAGACCAAGCCTCGGTCAGCTCTGCAGCTCTTCAGCTCCTCAACTCTTCTTCGACGCTCGAGACTCCAGACTTGCTCCCCCCCTCAACCTCAATCTCATCTCTGTCAGCAAAAATGGCCGGAAGATTCGAGCCCAAAGTGCCCGTCCAGCTGGACCCTCCCAAGAGCGATCCCATTTCTCTCGAGACTCTGGCCGCTGCCAACGGTGAGTTGCTCGAGTTACTCTAACTGCGGCGGATCTAGGATGGCATCTCCCAGCAAATCAAGCTCTGCTCTAAATCTATGATCCGAAGCTTCGTCTGCTCAAATTCGAAGTTTGACTGGGATCAATGACACCTTGATGGCCTTCACTTGCTCCGCCGACACTCTTCTCTTCCCGGCATCACATGCTCCAGGCCTTGGCTGACTCTGTCCCCCCCATAGGTGTTGATGGAGCAAAGACGTACGTTGCAATCAAGGTATGTTCGTGACACAACATCTGTATGTTTGTCAAGCTAGCAGTCACGGCTGACAATCCTCTCCAGGGCAAAGTTTACGATGTGACGGGCAACAAGGCCTACCAACCTGGAGGCTCATACCACGGTACGTATTGTGTCATGACTCGGTTTCTTCGCACCCATCTCCTCAGTATCACTTCAAGATCGCTACCTACCTAGTCAAGCCTGAAACAAGGTAAACTAACAAGTTGCCTCAGTTTTCGCCGGCAAGGACGCTTCCCGAGCACTCGGCAAGACATCCACCAAGCCCGAGGACGTTTCGCCAGACTGGTCTGACCTCACAGACAAGGAAAAGGACACTCTCGAAGACTGGGTCACTTTCTTTTCCAAGCGATACAACGTCGTGGGAGTTGTTGAAGGCGCTACAAATCTCTAGTTGCATCCAGATGAATCTCTCTGAACGTGGCGTCGAGGCGTGGTTGCTTGTCCCAATGTACTTTATCTACTGAGCTTGATCTACGACACTATAGCGTGCGGTGTGATAATGGCGGCATACTTCTTCACCCAAATTCCCATCCGTTGTTCATTTCCAATTTGCATGGCAAGTGCTGGGCTCTTCTCCAAGTGACAAGGCTGCTGTTTATCTGGCGGCTGCCAATGGCGGTTCTTGACGTCGCCGGTAGCTTACCTAGGTATGGAAAGCATCAATGTGACAGACTGCGGCTCGTCGACAAATTCGTACAATGCATGGATTTTAACGCCACAGCATCTATTCATTTGACAATCTTATGCAATGACTCTTCATCATGGGCATGAAGAAGGGCGTGAAATGCCTTGTGTCAATCCTTGATTCCCCCTTGTACCTCCAAGTCTATGTTTTACACGCCCACATCATTCTCTGCGCTGCTCATAGGCGAGTATCAACACCAGACATGCACACACCTGCTCATTCTTTATAAGCTACATGATCATTAGTAACTGTTAAAAAATCAAAGCACGGCGTCTCCAAGGCACACACCCTCCTTGTCCGTATACACCTGACAAATACTTGTATGCACTCATTCAGCAGCATACCCACCAAGTCGCAAGGATAAGTCGAATTCGGTAGAACGTGCATACACTTGCATTTGGGCTCCCATACAGCAGCTTTGTATCGATTGTATCGTTGCAGGCTGGGGCCAGGGAGGCCAACATTGCACCTGCAAGCGACGGGAGTGAGGATGCCCGAGCGAGTGTTACACCCCCGGTGTGACTCGCGGAGATATCGTCCCCAACGCCAGAGCGATATTGGCTCCTCTACATTCGAGTACTAACGCGGATGCAGAATGTGAATGGTCACTTTGTTTACAGGAGTGTCATGAGTAAGTCATATTCATTAGCTTGACTCCAATACAGGTTGGGCATCACTCATTCGCTGGAATCTTCCTCATCCCATGTACTCGGCGCAACCGATCCAACACCCCTCTCCCCTCCTCTCCATGTCCACCTGAACAACCCTTTGCCGTGATAGTCTCTTCCGCCCTTGTAGGCCCGCCATCAGCCGCAGACCGTTGGCATCCATCCCTCCCATACCGTTTAAACGGGTTATGTACACTCCCTCGAACCTTGAAGATTTCCAGCTGTCGTTCCCCCCCCAAGTCCCCGTCATCCCCCCTCCCCCCTCCCCCCTTCCCCGTAGCTTCTCACTGTATTCGTCCGTAAAATACACAGTGCCCTTCATTGAAAGTCCCGGTGTGGTATCCCAGCGGAGTAGCCCTTGAGGAGGCAGTCATCGCACGGAACCGCCTGTCGCCACGAGCTGCGGAGGACTTTGACCCCTAGACAGCCGTGGTTGGGGTCGTTGCGCGCAAAGTGGCAGTAGGACTTGAGCCGGACCTGGGAGTGATTGCAGGTGAATAGGAATTCTTCCCAGTCGCACATTATGGGCAGAGTATCGGACTTGGTGAGGCTGGTCAAACGTTATATCCGGGACGCCGTTAGTAATGCTACAGCAATCTTTACATTTGGGTGTTGTCGTGCTTACCAGGCGGGTTCAGAAAGAGAATTGCTCTATTGGGTTTTGTCAATGAGTATCCAGATCGTGAATAGAAGATAAAGAATCCTTAAACGGTGGGGGGGTCTAGGAGTTGGGGAGCCTTTTATGTGCAAACAAACATGACAACGCAAAAGTCCCCGATGCCCTCTCAATACAGGCACCGAGCCTCCTTCACGACAGCTACCTTTCTGATATCCTGCATACAGACAAACATCTCCACCCCCGAAATATGTGCGCGAGGTCGAAGCAAGGAGGTAGGTTAGCGCCATAATATTCAATCAAGCAGCGTACAATGCTCAAAGACAAAAGAGGGATCTTGTGGCATCATATCGGCCAACCCCGGAGGCCATCTTGATCGGAAAATGATAGATCATCCAAATGAGCTCCATCGTGTACTACAAGGCCGTTGTCGATTCTGGATTCTCATCACCAAAAGCTGGGGCTGGCTTCCAAAAAGGAGCAATGAGAGTTGCACAGAGTGTTGGTTGAGGGGACTGTGCCTGGGTAGCTAAGGATTACGAGGAGAAGAACACGATATGAGATCTTTGCAGCTGTACCATCATCAACACAGGATACTGTAATGTGCATACGTGAGAGGGCATGGGTAAAATACAGCTCCCAACCTCCACCATTGCCCGTGTCCGGAGACGGCTAGCGAGCTGAGAGCATGCATGCATAATCAAGAACGACAACAACAACAACAACAACAACAACAACAACAACGAGAATAGATCATGTCAAGCGAGCGAGCAAATAGAGCAGAAACAGAAAGCGAAAGAATTGAAAAGAAAGCCCGTCCGTCCGTCTCTCAACCATTCCACCTGTCAGCTTTGTGCTCCGTAACATGTTTGTTTCCTCTTCTCGTGCATCCATCAATCTCCGCAAAAGCCTCTTACGGCGCCGAGTGTATCACAGACAACGAACCCGCGAACATTATCCACGATCTACTAATCCCGAATCTCCTCTCCATTTTCCTTTCGGCCCGCTTCTTCGAAATACATGGGCTCGGAAAAGCGACGACTGGAAACTGGTGGGCAATGCAAAGCTGCGCGGGACAAGGGTGGGAGAGTCCCGCGGTGGCGCTTACGGTGACACACAACAGCATCGGACAGGCATCGATCACTTCATGTCAACGGTAAAGGAGCTGAATTGACGGGGGGTCCAGGACATCCTGTGCCCTGAACTTACGTGGATGTCTCTGACGGTCCCGCTGCGGCTGGCTCGTGGGCGGGAGCGGTTCGGGTTCCGGGTACCCGGTTTCGCTTAAGGAGAGACAACATGGAATGGGCTTGCTTCTTCATAACTAACCTACTGAGCTCGGATTGTCACCCTTTGTGATGGTCAGGCAGTACGCTTAGATGCTGTAAGGCAGCAATGTCTTGTGATGTGATTTCTACTCTGTACTATACGTCAAACCGAACTCTGGGGTAGGTACCTAAGAAGACCTTTTCCCACTTGGTTATAAGCCCTCTATGACTGCCATGTGTGTTCGTGAAGAGCCAGGAATTGAATTCACACACGGCATACGACGTCTCTGTCTCTGTTCTGTTTTCTTCTTCTCTAAAGCAATTACTCCTCACATATCGCAATTCAAAGAGAAATCAAAGCTGAAAAGAAGCGAGAGAGAGACGAAAGCGGCATCTCTTGCATTTTCCTGCTGGGATCCAGCTCCTTGCAGCCGGCTTGCTTCCGCAGCCAACCGGAACTCTGGAAGAGTCTCCCCGTCTGCAAAAGCGGACTGAATCGCTTTGCTGCCGCATGATTACTAGCTTTATCACCATATTCACCTGATTACGGAGCTGGGCTGTTTGTCGATAGTGCGAGTATCTCAGGGATCTAAAAGAGTAAACTCACCAAAGGGTTTAATTCGTGTCAGTCAAATCCGCTACGAAATCCGGAACCTGAAAGTTATGATTGCGTCAATATTTTATTGAAGCCACGTATTGTGTCTGAGAAACATCAATGCTATGTCCAGAAGCATCAATGTATCGACTCCAGACCCTAGAGGTCTGCCTATTACACTTGACACACTGTCCAATTTCATTCTGAGCGAAAGCCTGAACCGTTTTCTGTTCATGCTATAGCTTCTGAATGTGGTATTCATGTTGAGTATTACGCTTTTACATAAGAACGCATGCTTTTCAGTCAAAGGGGTGCATGTAGCTTTGATAGACAATCTTGTAGGCAGAGTGAAAGAACCACCTTCGGGTCACCTGTATACCCATGGCATTATATGATTCCTTTTTGGACCTCGGGTTATATTTGCTGCGGTATAAGGTAAAGTGCTGGAAGAAGATTCATCAGGTGGACCAGTCATCGAAATTTCAGGCATTTCCTTTGGCTAAAGAGGCTGTTGGTATGTAACAAGTGGCATACAAATAGCAAGCGGTTCGACCACAAGCGTAATATCTTGGAGTGTATTATAGCTTGATCGAACTCAGAGGTGAAGCAAGAGATGATATAAGTATTACATATAGTGGAACAAGTGCTTTGAATCCATGATTTATCCAGACGCTTCCAAGGCTCACGTGGATTCTCTCTGATCCATGGCAAACGTCGAGACTAGGGAATCCATAGATGAGCACCTAAGATGCTTCATAAAAGGAGTTGCGAATCGAATGCAAGATGTGGTTGATATGCATATCAAGCCGTAGATGACGATAGAAGACGATGTCATTTGAAAAGTACCCCTGAGCCCATACCTCATGTTGCCAGGATATCAACAATTTTTAATTGTAGAATCACGACGGTGGTTGAGACATCTAAAGTGCTAGATAGCCCAACTTATAATGCCGTACGATCCGATCCCTCTTAGCAATGGGTCAAATGTAGCTCTACTCAATAGGTGTCTAATAGTTTCATTACCAGATCTGCAATTGAGAGTAGTGCTGTTATAAATGAGGCATGCCCATGGTTCCCTGATATCCATCCATTCGAAAATCTACTGCAACATCACTCACACAGAGGCGACGCAAATCATCATACTGTAGCTCTCTGTATTTGACTTTCCCTCGGCACATGTTCGTATGACGGTTATCCCTCTAAAACAACCTAGGTAGCACAAGAATGGCTATACTGCACACAGATGACCAGTTGTGATTGCGCTTCTGGTTGATGCGATACAGTCAACTCGGCTATTTCCCCAAAAGTATGTCACACCCGAAAGACATCACAGACATCACAGACATCACCAGAGCATCACATCGACCTACCACTTCGCTAACGGTCGGCGCGCAAATTCAAGGGTTTGAAAAGGCAACTGTTTGCCTTTGGGAGAAAACCGGGGTCGCGAGTCTCGGCCCTTGCGACGACAGGCGAGAATGAGGCCAACGGATCCTATGCGGCCGCAGCTTCATCAGATGGCCGACGTGGACGTGCGACAAGCGACGCCAGACCGAACCAGCCGTTGGCGATGGTCATTGGCCCGGCACAGTAGCTGGCATTACCCGTGATATGTGACGTGGAACATGGATCTCATGGGCTGTGCTCGCACTGACGAGCTGCGCGACATGCACGTTTGCTATCCAGAGCCGGCTTCGGCCAAGTGCGCGCATCTGCTGGAGACGCCAGGGGAGGCCGAGGAAATCAATCAGGAGGCATCGTCGGGGATGGAACAGGCCAGCCGCAGCGTCGTGGGCGTCCAATCCAATCATGGCCTGCTGCCGACGAAGCAGTGGTACGAATACGACCGGCTATAGTATGTAATTAGGTAGCAAACAAGAGCCTGTTGGATCTGATTTGGGGGCCGTTTTCGCCGTTTGTGCTGTTTCGGAGCTGATCGAGACAAACCCCTGGAGAGTTGTTGGGCTTTGGGCTTTGGGTCGTGGTCAGGCCTTGGCTCGTGACATTTGGCCTGCGGCTGCCTTTTGGACGCCTTTTGGACGCCTTGCGAGGGCGCGGTTGCCTTTTCCCCCTAGTCGCGGCTGCCTTGCCGTGCTTCCTGCCGTTGGGAGTCGCGCACCAGCTGCAATCGGGGCTGATCGGTGGACAGCAGCCCTTTGATTGGCCGGATGGGATGAATCAAGACCGCACACATGCAAGTCCAGTCCCCTTGCGCCTGCCTGCGGCTTACCGAACAAGCTGGGTAGGAAGCAGCGAGGCGGAGGTAAGGTACTCGTACGAAGTACTACTTGGCACGACCTGAAGAGGTCATGCAGTGGCTTGAGGCAAAAAAGTGAGGCGTCCAGGTGAAGCGCATCCTCAGCATCATCGTCGGTCATCATGCACAGCTGCGGCCCCTGAATCCGAGGCCCAGCAAATCGCGGAAGCCCTGGTGCAATCGGGTCACGATACGGCGCATCCGACTGAGAAAAACCGGGAGGCGCCCGGCACCACCGACGACAGGCGGACGGCCAATAGCCAGCCACGAGCGACCTGATCCGACTCATCGTTTATCGCACAAGAGCGACGTCGAGTCTTGAAGGGACATGGGCGTCAGGTCGCTTGCGTGTTTTCACCGCTGCTGAGACAGGAACCACGACTGCCAGCTACTATTATTAGCCCGTTGCCTCGCCGCCGCTGCGGTTGCCTCGTCTTGGACGCCCTGCTGAGGCGCGCAATCCATCCACAGCAACGAGCGCAGAGCGGTGATGCTCTGCTCAGCATTTGGGTGCCTTTACGCTCATCGACGCTGCCCAGCGCCGAGGTGTGTGTGCCTCGACACTCGTTCTGGCCCTCGTCCTGGCTCCTACCTGTTACTCGGTGTTACGTTCGAGTCCAATCGTTGAGTCCGTGAGCGTCTGCAGACCGACTCCAAGTCTCCCGATGATCCCCGCCGCCCAGTTCACGCTGTCGCACTGTTTGTCCTAGCCCCGTCGTGCTCTTGTCTCGACGGATATTGGCTCGACTCCTTCAGCAGCCCAGCAAATGACCCGTGGTGGAATTC